TCAGATGGGTCTACCGTTTATGAAGCCTGATGAAACCTACAGACACATTCCTCCCTATCCAAAGTTTCTAGTTCCGGAGCTACGGAAGACTTTGGACACTCCTTCCGATCAATATCTTTTGGTAGCATTTGATGAAGTTGGTGTTCTAGACGAAAGTCTCGACGAATTTCATTTCAAGAGAACCCATGACGGTAGAGTTCGACCTTACAACGACTTTTTCGGTATCATTAGTCAATTGTGCAAAGAACCCGACTTGTTTTTTATAGTTGTTGGGAAAAGCAAAGGTTTAAGTATTAAGAATTATGTGCTCTTCGGCATCAAAAGTCATACTACATTTTATCCCTTTATCACCTTTGGACGCTTCCAGTATCGTTGAATTCCTTGAAAAGAGTCTTCTAAAGACACCTACTCAAGAACCAGTTTGTAATGTCTTATGTAGTTCTTCATTTTCAGTAAATGAATTGGCAGACTCATTATTGGAATGTACAGGTGGAGTTCCTGGTTTGTTGACTCGTGCAGTAAATATGCTTTTGAATTATATAATAGCAAGAAACCAGCCTTTCATATCGAAAGAAGAATGTTTGACTTGTATGAATGACTACGATTTCCGAAGAATTTGTGCTGAACCATTTGTGGAACGAATATTGAATTTGGACGAAGATAGAAAAAGTGTTTTTGATATACTTTTGATGATGGCACTTTATCGTATACCGTTTCAAGTAGATGACAGATTGACCTCGGAGTCCTTTTTATATGATGCAGTCACTGAAATGGGACTATATCGATATCCTATTGACCAGAATACTTTTCAAGTCCTAATTCCGAAAATATTTGTTGTAATCTTCAAGAACGACCCTTCCATATCTTCTTTGGAAAATATACTTCTTGGATCACTCGATGTCGAACCAGTAGATTGTTTCTTCTATTCAAAGTGTCGTGTATTTGAAGGAATTGTTGCACTACGGCTAGTTTTGATGTTGTCTTCAAAGAATCGAAATGAATTGAGGGAATTGTTGTGTCAATTGTCTCCGATATGGAAACAAATGAAACTTCCAATCAGTACAATATCACCTATTCACTATATCAAGTCTGTTGTTAGTTCTACAGAAACAAGAAATGAATCGAACAAGAGTCGAAGAACCTTTGCCAATACTGAATGGAATAAGATTATTCGAGACACACTTTATTTAGAGACCATTTACATTCCTTTGGACGCTACTTCTCATAGTCCTGATATTATATTCAAATTACAATCTCCTGTGGAACCCAAAGTTCTTACTGTTGGAGTTGCATGTAAAGGACGTTGGAAGTCGGAAGGAATTGGCTGGTCAGATATTATAGATGAAGCCAAGAAATTTTTAGATCCTGTTCATGATCAAGTCTTATCCAGTGCAATGGATTATCATCATTGTATGCTTATTATCGTTAGTACAAAGTTATCATTGAATGCTTCTAATGAGTTGGGTAATCAGAGTCGTTGTTACTCCAGTGGAATGTTTATTAGAAATGATTCGTTCAAAGTACCTGATAATTGTGAACTTGTTATTCTTTGTGAAAGAGATATCCAAATGCTGATTGACGAAGAAATATTGAATGGACTTGAAAGAGCATTTCATGTTTCTCATAATCCTACTTTTTGGGATTTTGGATTAGATTTACTTGATAGAATCCGTAACAGTTTCTTAAGTTGGCAATAGATTCTAACTCAATCCTTCCCTTTGTTTTGAAGAGCAAATAAACTTGTTTTTGTATGTTTGAAACTTAGTTACATCTTACTTTTTTGCCTCTTTGGAGACCATACATTCTTTTCCGAAAAGAGTTTATTAGCTGGCTGACAGGGCTGGTTCACAGTAGTTCATTCTTATCTAGCCATTTTACATGGCTATGTAATTGCATAATACATTCTGAATATTATCAATACTAAACATACGACAATTGTATTCAATAAGTTGAGTCATTTTTGGTGTCTATGACAATAGATTGGCTATTTTGAAGCAATTGTAGAAAACTTTGTTGGGAAAGGCTCTCAAGTCATGAAAAAGTCCGTATTGGAGAAACAGAAAACTCTATATGACACCAGAAAGAGCTTTGTCTTTGCTCCAATTGTTTCAGAATCTCACATTCTTTCTTCTCTTCTACGTATGAATGGAATATTTGTTGAAATTGAAACGTTTCTAAAATGTTTCGATTTTTCAGCATAGTCTCACAATGGATGACTTCAAAAGACTGTTGGATCAGTTTGTTACCAAAATAAATCGCTATGGAAGCTTGAGACACGTTGATAATGACTCAATTTGAGCAATGGAAAGTTATACAACAAAAAACTTTTTATTCAAAATAAAAAGCAAGGCTTAAACTATGGTATCTTACTTCTCAACTTTGGAAACTGTGAAGGTTCTAAAACAAACCTTCATCAGCCAGAGACCAGATGTGATTGGGTGAGCACCCAAGTTTCCATAACCAAACATAAACTTCACCTTTCTGAAAGGTAGAATGAGTCTTCAACTAGATTAGGTTTGATAGAACCACAAATTGGCGGACAAAAGGTTGCAGATTGTTGTGCAAACTTCAAAGATGTAATGATGATGGAACTTGGTTGAATCGATCGAAAGCTGCTTGGTTTTCATATTAACAGAATAAGAAATATTTTACTAGAATCTTTTGTTTGGAATTGTAAGTTTGAAATACGTTGAACCCTTTAGAGGAGTGGTTATTTGACAAATAGTAAAGGAGAAAGAAATGCAGTCAGATTGAAAAGTTTTTGTAAATTCTGCACCATCAATCGTTTTCAAACAGTTATCTGTCGCAATGATTTAGACAAAAGGTATGTTTCTAGTACCTGGAAAATCTTGTTTGGAAGGAACTTTGCTGAGATGTGGAATACCCTGGCAGATAGTATTGTTGCAAAAGATTACTATCACATATTCAAATAGATAGTTAGTTATGTATTCTTATCACATTGACATTGTTGCAAGATATTGTATAATTCCATTGCAGTATGTTGTCCACATAGGAATGCTTCATTTTGAGTCATTGGCTCTAAACGCAAACGTACCTGACTTTGAGTCATCCAGAAACTTTCTTGTGACTACTACTCTCCTCAGGGAATGTTAGATTGAGTTTTTACTATGGCTACTCCGGTATATTTTGATATATGCAATATTTGGATAGTCAACAAACACAAAAAGTTATAACCTCAAACTTTGCCATTCATTGACTGGGTCTACACACAAGTGCCAAGGATTATATCGAGTCATTGAGTATTAGAAAACATACAAATAGGGACACAATTTACGGGGTAAAGTTTAGAGTACTGTTAAAGTAAAGGAGCTCATAGAGAGAGTATCTCAAACGGTTGCTCAAAGATTGAAAGTTGCAAAGATCGTCCCTTTCCAGATTCAACCCTATAGTTCTCTTCAAATGAAAGCCAACAGTGAAAAGTTATAAGAGTATTCGTTAATAGCACTGTTAGATAATTTATGCTTCTAGTTTCCAAAAAAAGAAGAAGAAGCAGAGCAGTCTTTCTACTACAAGAGCTTAAGTTCCATTGTTTCCTAATTTTTTGTTTTAAAATTATCCATTCGAAGAACCCACCACTTGTCATCATAACAAGGTAAATGTACATCGGCAATCGTACCTAATTATACAGTATTAAAAAGAAGGAGACTGTATGCCGATTTGAACAACGATATGTGTACGATTGCAATCTTGCTTTAGCAATGTTATCTTTTCTTGCAAGAGTTTGCTAAATGGGAATGTTTTAAAATCATCTATAAAAAGAATTGTAAAAGGATTGCTCAGATGTTTCTGCTATGATGAGAAACACTGAAATGTAAACTCCTTTCTGTTATAATAGCTTTTTTTGGGCATAGAGAATTTACTGATTTTTGGTACTCTTATAAACCAAAAGTTTGTACACTTTTTAAACCTTTTGTTATTTATCCATTTTTTGGAAATGTCTCTTTAACAGCTAAAATACTCCTATAGTCAGCATCACCTTGCTTTTTCAGTAAATACTTTTATCATTTATGTAAAACGATACAACAAAACGACTGGGTAAGATGACTATTGAAATTTTTCTTTTGGTAGAATTCGTGATAAATGAATTAACGATCATCCATAAAGGAATAGATATGAGACATTGAGACAAACTATATAAATACCTATCTACAAGGTGTATCAAAACAACAAAGTCTAGGAAAATCAATCATAGCAAGGAGCAATCTATCTCTGGTCAGAATCTTCTTTAAACGCTCCGTCAACTTATTAACGAGCGTCCTAATTATCTAATAATATGACCCTTTTAAAGGTGCCAATCTATGAGCAATTCAAAGGCAAATAATAAAGACAACTATGACAAATGGGTAGAAATAGTCACTGGATTTCTTTTGCATGCTATTCTGAGAAATGTCTTTTATGTTCCAAATCTGATCACAAACCTACAATTCGTCTCTTTAAAAAGAGTATCTTACTAAATGAAAACGGACACAACTAAAGTGCCCAAAAATAAAAGGAATAGGATTCGACTAAGAATCTAGTTAAGGTTCCTACAAACTATCTTAAAAATGTGAACCCAAGGGCTGATATCAACAAGAGCCTAAAGGACCAAGATTCTGACTGCAGATATGCACGAAAAATATTCTAAAACGACATTCAATAAAAACCTGCTGATTTACGAGAGAGATGAAAGGTTCACGACCTTGAGTTATTTGGAATCCATTGCCTTGGTTATCTCCTCGAAAAACAAACAGCGAATTTCCATGGAATAACAGAGTTTAAACAACGATATCTCTTGAATGAAGTATATAAACGTAACAGAGGTACTCAATGTTGGATGATCCAAAGAGACATTACAAGCCAAGTGGAGCTCAACTTCTCCGATGAAAAGGTGGAATGTTACAACAGAAACAATTGATTACAAAAATTCACTTTTTCAACTTTAAACCCTCGATAGAATTGAAGTGGCTAAAGTGTCACAATTTAACGTAACGAAATATTTGTATCTGATTCACAATTTGTGTTTAGGTCATTGGTTGTTGAAAGGTTCAAGTTGTATCAGTCTCTGAATGATGCAAACAATATACCACTTAAAAAGAATCACAAATTGACAGGGAATAGGACGTCAGGACAATTATACGGACGTTTGTTTCTTAGTTCTCAGAGAAAACGTACGGTGGGTCTTTATTCAACCGCCCGGCTTGCTGCTTTGCGCCGCATATATATGGAGCAGGCAAAACTTTTCTAGGCCAAAACTTTATGACCTATTTGAATATTTTTGCAGAGCGTGAGTGTTCCAATGCACAGACTTTTCAACAACTACACAGTTCAAACGATAACCCCCAACCGAGTGCGTTGAAGGTGCCTTGGAAACACTTTGCGGAAAAAACTTTGTCAGTTGGCTTACAACTAGAAGACAGCTTTTCTCGTGCTCCTTTTCCAAGGTTTCAAAAGGCTTTGATGTATAATATAATTTTGAACGCTTACCGACAAAATGGTAAGATACGGACGCTCTTCAGATGGCTCAGTTGACGGTAAAGAAATTTGATATTGTAGGAGCTATTGATTATCTTTTCGAACAATTTCAGAAACGATATCTATTTTTGATGATAGACGAACTTAGTCACCTAAGTTACCTCACCAAATACTATAGTGAACTCGACGAGGAACAGTTCGTTGAGTCCGATCCAGGTTATATCCCGTATCGCAAATTTTTTCGAACTGTATATGAGTTGCTTAATACAGGAAAAGTTATCTTGTATATTGCTGGGCGAACAGCTGAAATCTCAGCCCGCCTGTCTGATACTCGCTCCAGTAGTGTCACCCTCCATATGTTGCGGTTGAATCCCTTTAACCTCCATGATATTAACGAATATATTGAGCTGGCAACTTATGATGGAAAGCCCTTGAAGGACTGCTTATTACCCTCAGATAATTTACGATATCGATTCGTAGAATTGTTGAAAAAGAAGACAGGGAGTATTCCGTTGATTGTCAGGAACACTTTTTTAGCATTAATAAGAATGCAACACGAAGCCCAACCTGTTATCAACGATGACAATATGGAACCCTTATTGGATGAAATCTTTCGCTCTGTACTACTAAAATCGAGAACGTTTATTATTCCAGAGATACTAGATTCCGCAACCCCTCTTCGATATCAATTTGTCTTTTTGAATTATCAGCTCGGAACAGTTTTTCCAATTGACTTTGTAATTACTCTATGTGGAACGAGAACTTATTTGATGGACTTGGTTGTAACTTTTGGGTTTTACTCTGAAGGTTGTGGAATTGACGGGATTGATATGGGCACCAAATTCAAGATTGGCTATTGTGAATTTAGATTGAGAGCTCATAGCAACTATAAATTTTTCCGTGAGGCTAATCAACTCTTTCCTTTATCTCCGTTTAGTTATATTCCCGACACTTCAACAGCAAAGGGAGTCTTCTTTGAATTTGTATTTATGAAGATCTTTCGCTTTCGCTTATAAACTTTTCTTCATTCTAATTCCTCCCCTATTGTACACTCTGCTATTCCAGGAATTTTCCAGGGTTCTTTTATTGAACAGGACAATGTTTCTTATTCTATGGAATCAACAATATGTTATGATATACCCATCTTGAGAGATGTCCCTGGTTCATTTTCTGATCATTATAGAAAATATTTACAACATTGTGGTACTTTTGTTCTAAAGGAGGGCAATTCTAGTGGCCCTGATGCATATGTTGTATTCCATAATGGACAAACACGTTATGTTGTTGGATTTTCATTCAAATTTTTCAAAACTGAATTTTCGAAAACAAATATTAAGGAAGAAGCCCAAAAACTTTTTAAGGGAGTTGTTTCCGTTTTGAATGACGAATCTTTTTCATCTGTTCAACTTCGTTTTCAGTTTGTAGTGGTAGTTTGTACTAGATATGATCGATCTGTAGGTTTCTCTACTGAAGAACATAATATTGTTGAAGATGCAAGTGGTTTTGTGACTCAACATTCTTCGAGGTCAACTTTGAATGAAAGTAGTCGATCATGTCTGCAATTGGTAATTGTTTCCCAAAGGAACCTTGAACGATTTTTGGGAAGAGATAATGTCGATATTTTGAGGAAAATTGGGAAAGCAAACCGAGAATAGTTCAGTAAAGACTTTTCAGTATGGTGCAATACTGTCTTTGAGTCGATGTCTAATGCATATGTTTCATCTTTGGAAGCTGAGCAATCAAATGTTATTTCAAAAGTGGCTCGAAATATTAGATAGAGAACAAATGAGGAGAATCGGATGCAAATGGAAAGTTTTCAAAGTGATATGCAAGTGGAAAAAGATACAATAAGAAGAGAACAAGTATCGACTGGTATTACACATTTTGACTGGAAAGAGTTTCTTTTCAAGTCTGCCTTGTTACCGGAAGAAGTTGCCATTCGTTATCATTTGACATTTCCTGGTATATTTGGAGATAATCCTCAAGTGATTCGAAGAAAGTCACTAGAGTTGATGGGTATACCAGAATGATACACTCAACAAATTTTAGTCGCCGCAGTATTACTGGAACAAGATGCAGAAATGAAACGATGACTCCCTCTGTGTTGACAAGTCATCCATAAGCAACAAACATTATATTCCGTGTCAAATCCAACTTTTGATAAGTGTTATTCTTTAAGATAATTACTCTACATATTTCTTATTTGTTACAAGTGCAGCACCTAAAGGGATGGAACGGTTTCATTTTTGAATTGAAAGACTTGATCGGACACATGAAACTTGCTAATTCCTTATTTCATATTGTGAAGTAGAAATAATAACATCTTTGGGTTTCTTACGAATAAACTAAAATATATTTACCAAGAAATAGACACTTACTGCTACTTGGATGAAATATATAGCTGTAACAAATCCGAAAATCCATTTTTATTTCCGAACAAGTTCAAGACCATCATAGACTTCCACTGATATCATTTGCATCTTGAATAAATGTCGCGATGAAGGTGTTTCTTACACAAGGCCACGTATAGTTTGATAGAAAAGTTTGAGGAATAATATCTTCCTCGTATTTGATATACGAGTGAAGCTACCATGATGAACGAACAAGGCACTGGATGGAGAAGAAGTTTTTAGAAATGTCTGTTTTGAAAACATCTTTACAAGATATTGAATATATTTTATTTCCACATAGCAAATGTTTTATAAAAGGCAGACTTGTAGAGAATGACTCTTTTAGACATTATAGATATATTTATGTGTGTACGTGCATGTGTGAATATATCTTTGAATTTCAGCTTTACTTGAGCAGTGCTATTCAAATTGTATCATCCTTTTCAAAGAAACTGTTCTTTCCAAACAAAGCTATCGACTGCATTTGTATGGAGAAAGATTACATGGTCTCTTTAGTCAGAGTCTTTCCTGCTAAACCATTTTTCCAAATTTGAGCTCCTGTTTATCCGACACAAAAATAATAACGATCAGCTTTCAGTGCTAGTTGAACTTGTATTTCAGTTACATTATCTTAGAAGCGTTGCAATATGACCAAGTCATATATGAAACTTGGCTACCGAAAGCAAAAAATCAATCGAGTGATTCTATAACAGAGTTCAAAGTTTTTCCACTTTCTATATAAATCTTTTATGCTAAAAAATTATAGCAATTGTTGACAAAACTCGTCTTCAAATATAGTCTTTTGTATATTTTTATTCAACATCCAAACTGGGTGGAGCCGATGGTGAATCTGTGTCATTCTCTCTGTTTCGGTTTTGAGGAAGCCTTTTTTCCCCTGTAGAAATGGGATCATTCTCTTTTTGTTCCGATTCAAAGTCAGAAAAGGTTTGAGAATCATCCAATCTCTGTGGAGAATTAGACTCTTTAATGGAATTTCTTTTCAAAAGTTCCAAACGCTTCGCAATCGTGTCTCGATCTATTCCACTTTCGGGTAATGCAAATGGAACCATTTTTACAAGCGATCTTCCGGCCAGAAATACAAGCTCACCAACATCGGGTTCTCTTTCATAATATACACTTGTATTCTGACGATAGTATTCTTCAAAGAGATTAGTACTATTTTGAAACGTACTATTAGCCAACTGTTTTAGTGAGTCAAAACGGAACTTGGAATTAATTTTCTTCAAACGATCCTTGGTAAGAGTTTCTAGAGAGGCACGTAAACATGCTACTTTCAAACCATGTTTGCCGTCTGAATGTGCCTGTTTGCCCATATAATAATAACAGGTTGCTTTTAGAACGATGGAACTATACTTTGCAAGCTTGGTTAAATATTCTGAAGGTTTCGCACAACCTCGTATGCTTGCAGCTTGCTTTTCTGCAGCTTCGTAATACTCAAGTACCCCAAGAGCTACTTTGAGCAACGTCCCATCTGACATTCCTTTTAATTCACCTCTTCGAAGTATAAGTTGTTGAGATTGGCCCAAGGCAAGACTAGGTAAAAAAATACCGTTGAGGGGTTACTGAATAATCTCAACATAGGACAACAACAATACCTATAAAACATGTCTGCAGAAACAGGATGAACATCAGGTGGTGAACCTCGACCTACGTCTATTATACAGTCCGGTAATACGCTATTTCTAAGAAACTGAAATATTCCTGCTGCTTCACCAAGGTGATGGGAAGCCTTGAAAACAGGTTACTCTGATGGTTTCCAAAGGATTGTGTATGTATTTGGCAACTTACTTCGTTCACTTCAGCTTCACTAGCGGAGCCAAACTTATCATTTGCCATTCGAAGCTTCATAATTCCTTGATATTAGTCAGAAGGGTTTCAAGAACAACTAATGGTTGAATACCCAAAGTCATGAGAACCATGGCAATCTCGAAAGAGTGGTATTTTTCTTCAAAGAATCGTTCTTCTACTGCAAAATTGCTTTTCCACTCATAACTCATAAGTTGCAAGTCTTTCTTTTCTCTAGCATCCACCATAATGCTCAAATCTGGCAAGTACCGAAGATATCCCTGTATAGCAAGTACAATAAACTCAGGCTCCCTGTTGTTATTCAGGGCTTGTTCCAATCTATTACGCGCCAACTGAGCCTCTTTTAGAATGGTTTTCTCTTCAGAGGTAGCCAAAGGAAACCAAGAAGAAAAATTCACAGTTTTAGTGCGAGGAGTTCGGAAAAGGGAATTACTGCCTAAGCTAAATATTCCAAAATTTTTACGAAGGTTGCTACTGCTATTCTCTTCGTCTTTGGACTCGCGAGACTTGAAAAGTGACATGAATAAAGGCTTGGAAGCCTCGTTATCATTTTCAAAATGATGCTTGAATTTGCCCAACATTGAAAATTGAATTCTTTGAACAGCGATTTCCTTTGGAGAGCATTTTCTATTCATTGTGACAATTGTTTTCCACAAAGAACTCGTCATGTTATTAAAGTGATACAATTATTAAAATCTACAGCCTAAATTGAAGTTTTCTGACGGAAGATATTTCATTATTGAATGCAAAACATGCTACATAAAGAATATTTTTCTTACATTCTACTTAAATATCAATCAGTTGTTTGGATAGGTCTTTTGTTTGTACATTCTGAAATGTCTATATTATGGACCTTGTAAAGTTCTAAACTGAAATTAATTAGAATACTTGAAAAATGATACACAGTCTTCGTATGGAAACTGGTTCCAGGATAGTAACTTCAATCCTTTCTTTCTCCAAACTTGTTTTTCTTCTGGTGTCCACAGAAGTTGCAAGAGAAATATGAAAACAAATTGTTGCTTGGAACATTTTTACGTAAATAGTCTGTTCATTCACTTATGACACAAGCAGAGTTACCACCTAAAGGGTTTGTGTATTATTTTGCTTTTGGAGCAAATATAAACCCCAAGGTTCATGGAAAAGAAGCGAGTGATAGGTATCAAGGAAGACGAACCAACTTTGTCCAAGCAAAACCAGCACGACTTCCAGGATATCGGTAAGGAGGTCACTTGACAAACGGTGTCGCTGAAAAGAGTGGGACAGGATTGTTTTCAATCTGCGTGGTTTTGCATTTGGAGAACCTTGTTTTGGTAACATAGAGCAATGTGACGACGAAGAAGTCCACGGTGTTTGCTACTGTATTGCACAAGATGCACTTGAACGCTTGCATGAATCCGAGTTTCCTTACAAGCTTATTGATGTTCAGGTTGAAACATATGAAGGCCAAAGATTGCAAGCCAAGACATTACAAGCTTCCTCAGTTAGAGATATCGAAGCTTGTCCAAAGTGTTCGGTACCTTCAAGAAGATATTGGAATCTCATAGTTGAGGGTTGCAGATATTGGAAGTTGAAACCAGAATATGTTGACAAGTTAGAAAGAGTACGGTATTTGGCTCCTACTTGGTCACATAACACACTATCCAAAGTGTTTCTTTGGTTTATTCAAGTAGGCTTGGCAAAGTTGAGAGTTCCTATGGCCTATCGCAAGTATATTTATTTTTTTATTTGTAGAGTGTCTTGGTGGCTTGTGGATTGGAAACATTTATTATCTCATCACCATTCGTAAAGCAGAATATTATTATCATTTTCAAGTCAACATTGTATGTATGATGCCAACTGCAATGTATAAATAGTATCGGTATTTATACTTGCTTAGTAGAAAGACTTTCTTTGGAAACTTTGCCATCATCTTCGGTGGGTGTTTCTCCTATTTTTGTGCGCATCGATAAAATATCATGACGAAGAGAATCTTTGTCCCGACATAGTTCATGAATTGTGTAATATAATTGTGCTATAGCTTGCTCTATCATACATATTCTTTTTTCTAACTCTGTTGTTGGCATGCCAGTTGGTGATAACCAAGGCACTGCTCCCGATGAAAGAGACGAAGCATATTGAGGTTGACAATATTGTGGTGACAATGACTTTGCACTTGTCACATCCACTCCATTCTTTAAAACATTATGTCCCGTATCATTTAAGACGAAAGGATGATATGACTGCCAGAGTGTTGTGGCTGAACTATTTAATCTGTTCGATGACATAACGCTTCCTCCAATACTGCGACCATAAGGAGGACCTTGATCACCATCGATATTTTCCATTTTGGTTTCCATAGATGCTTTATTTCGTGCTTCTTCCAAACTATCCGTGTTGTTGAATGAATCTATTTTTGGTCTTTTCTGCAAAGGACTATGGTTCGATTCATCATCTTTATCATTCCAACGTCCTTTCCCTGGTCTACTTGGTCTCCTCTCTATCGTAGCTACTAGATCCTCACGTCCTCGAATGAACCTAGCATGACCAAATTCCCAGGCGTCCGGATGCATCTTGTGGAAACCATATTGATTGAGTTGCCGAACAAAACTCGAAAGATTGTTGTGTTTGAAATAGTTGGGTAGTACATCGCGTGCAAAAGCAGTTGGATTCCAAATCACGAAAGAACGACCGCTAGCTGTCCATGAACATAAATCTTCCGTTTCGGGGTCACTCACTAGTCGATACAGTTTTCTCAAAAATGGAGTTGCAATTCTTTCATCAGAGCCTTGTTTTGACACAGCATGAGAGGAACGTTGCAATGAAGTACTTTCATTTGATTGTTGAGTTTGTTGTCCTGTATCCTCTTGTGGCTTCTTATAGGACTCCGATGATTCCTTTCCTCCAGATGAGCTATCTGCAACATTTGAACCAATGGAATGTGTTGATGACCGTTCACGTTGATGTACAGCATCCAATATTGCTGTCAAGCCGTTCCTATTATGATTGGTAGGCATAGCATTGGTTGCTGGGACTGGTGGATTTCTCGAGTCACTTTCAGTAGATTTTATCATATCATTCTCAGTTCCATTGAAAGGAGTAGTAATAGATACTACTTCAAAACCTCCCATGTTATTATATGGAGCATAGTTCGGTGGCCACGGATAAGGGACGGGATAAGTGAGCGGCGGAGTATGCTCATGAGATGAAATAAAAGGATTCATACTCGTATAATAACAGTAATTATCGTTTCCTGTTATTTGTTGTATTCCTTTCTGGTTAGCGTTCTCAGGAGGGCTGCATTTCTTGTTAACTTGACTTTCCACAACTCTCTTAGTGTGTGTATTATTATCTCCTGGCGATTCATGGTTTGTCTTTTGCACTTCTCCATAAAAATTGGAGTAGTCAGGCTTGGCGTACAACAATACCTTTCCTGGAAAATGGGTAGCCTCGGAAGTCTTCTGTAGTAAGTCATTGCTTTCCACCTCGTTACTACTAGTTGTTGGTGACATGGAAACGTCTGATTGACAACTTTATGACGTGATTTGACAACGAGAAATGTAAAATTTGCGTTAATAGAGCACAAACTTGAATTATTTCTTGTTACGGACGCTAGGCAAGAACTACTCGCTTTGGTGAAGTCTTTATATATGTTGGGGAAGCGAGCTAGAGAAATTCAGCGACTAACTGTGCACGGCAGAAAAACAAATAACGAAACTCTATTGAAAACCAAAACAACCTCAAGCTGCCTACTCAATAGAAGCACTGTCCAAGTGAAAAACTTCTTCTACACCCCAACTCAACGAGTAGGTCGTCTTCTAGAATCCCATTTCTTTCGCGGAAGAGATATTGTGGTGGATTTTTATATCAAAAGGGGATATTTTGATTTGGCCGAAGAAAGGAAAATTTAAGATGCTGTGAAATTAACGGAAAATTTTGGCAAGTAACAATAAAAACATTATGCCACAGCCAATGGAAAGAATAAGAATTAAGAAAAATGCCAAACTGGAAAGAACTCTCTTGGTCAGTTTCTCTAAAGAAATCGCATAACCATGCTTACCCTTTCTTTTGACTCCGCTTAGCTTTTTCCAACTCTTTAACTGCACCTTCTGTTGAAACTTCGATTTCTTCAACATTGTAGTCTATGCGATCCAACAGGGTGCCTTGATCAATGACCAACGAAGCAATATCCTTTACTATTGTTGCTAGGTCGTTGATAGAAGAAGCTATCTTCATAATCTCTCTCTGTCGTTCACTTGCAACCTGGTCCGAGTTTTCCAATAGCATAACCTGTTCCTGAGTAAAACCAGGATCATATTCTTCCAATTCTAAACTTGTAGAGAGCGGATTCTCATCGGTACTTTCTTCTACCAAAGCATTTTGACCTTGCAACTTCCTTAAATACTCTTTTTGGTTTCTACGAAAAGAAAGAGAAAGCTCCTGCAGTTTTGAGGCAAAGTACTTTTGCGCGTTTGTTCTTAATAACTTCTCTTCGCTAGAAATATTCGGTTCACTACTTGACGGTGCCAACAGTCTTATTCTTTCTTGGGAACGCTGCAAAAGTAAAGTAATATTGCGACTTAGTTCGCTAATTTGACTTTCTTCATCAGATCTCTCTTCAAATCCCTTGCTTATTACTTAATATAGAAATAAAATAATTTTCAAGTGAAACCTACGGGTAAAAGGTGGTTTTGTTGTAACGACTCAAGTTGGGCTAGCTGGTGCGTAACCGAATCAACACTATTGCTGAGTTCTTCATACCAGTCTAACCACTGAGGGGGTAAAAATACGGTGTGAGAGTCAGTTTGAATGGAACCTACAAATGCGCATTTGATGAATAGGTTGTCACAGCCAAGGCTTGCAACGAATATACCTTTGTTAAGGAAAGGTGCCAATTCCTTGTGGTTGCCACTTAAAGATTGGTTGCCTATAGTTTGAATACCATCATTTCCTGAGCGTCTTCTTTTGGCAACAACAGACTCTTCTCTATATCTTTTGAATATTGCAGTTCGGTCTCTGGTAGTCATCTATTCAAACAAGTTGGCCACGTTTAGAATTGAATTTGAAAGGTTTATAAATGAACCAAAGTTTTCGTCTTCCCCAAGAAACAACTTTTGGAAAACCTACAAAGGAAAGTTCACAAGACAACACTACGAGTTCATTAGTTCAATCGGAAACATCTTTACCGGATAAGCTTAAACCGATACCAGTCCAAAGTGTCATTTTATTTCAAAAACAACAGAAGAAAAAGAATTTTGTTCAAAAAATATTCAGTTGCTTCTATACCGAGAAAGAACCGGAACAAGTCAAAAAACCCATCAAACGAGAAACTCCTAAACCTATTCAAAAAGTTATTTTACCAGAGACTGGACAACCACCAAAAGGTATTGCTCCTTGGGAACGATCAGGAAAGAAAATAAGAACAAGCTCAAATACTTCCGACAACAATCCTGAGTCTTCCAAACGCCCTGTAACCACAGAAAATGAGTCAACTAGAAGTGGAAATTCAAGTAAAAGTGGCGGTTCTTCAGCTCCGTGGCAAAGTGGACTTCGGAAGAAGACTAAAGGGATTGAAGCGGATGAGTCTTATAGTTCTTTTTCTATTCCTGACGAACTTTTGAAACGTACAAAAGTTCCCGTCAACTACGAGGTACCAGTGCTACCGAAAAAGACGAGCGAGCAACTGGGAGGAGTAACGAACTCTAAACCGAACCTTGAAGGTACTGACAAAAGTATGTCTACCGCAGATAAGCCACTGGCAGACATAAACAACAAAGCAAACACAAACAACAACGGCGTGGTCACCTCGTCTTCTCTTTCCACAGCACTACCAGCACCACCAACTCTTCCTGGCGCTGTTCCTGCTGCTGCTGCTGCTGCTGGTCAATCAGTTGATCATTCTAAAGCACCCAAGGCTCCTCCACCTCCTCCTGTTCCAACAGGAAAGACGAAAGCAACGACACTTCCTCCTCCTCCTCCTCCTCCTCCTAACTCTCTTCTAAGCCTGTGAAGCAAGCAGGTGAGAGTAAGATATCAAATATACAAATCAACGGTATGGTGCTATCTGAAGATGTTGCTACAAATAGTTCAACAATACTCCCTCCTCCACCACCTCCTCCTCCTCTTCCAAAATTAGGAGGAAAAGCAGCGAGTTCTGCCCCCATGACACCGCCTCCTCCACCTCCTCCAAGAAGAAACTAGAGGTTCAAGCTATCTAAGTCTTTTGCAGTAGAAAACCTGTATCCGCATGGCTAAGCTTTTTACTCTGCAAATCCACAAATTTCTTTAACGCGTGACACAAGTTGTTGAATACATATGCCATCAATAGCAATTTGTTCCCGTTGTTCCAAAGTGTATTTAGTTTGTAAAATAGTCATCAGTTCCATGCAACTGGTCGATGTATTCGAACATACAGAAAATAAGATCTGTTCCTGACAGTTGGGACTCCTTATATAGCGTTTGAATAGTTGAATATGAAGAGGAAATTTCTGTTCCAACAACCTCCAAACATGCGACCAGGCATGTTTAATCGACTCAGGATCTACAAGAACAGTTTCTGGAGATGATAAATTGAAATCAAAAGATATTTTCTCTTCCGCATCGGTTGGTTCTCGTATACTATTTTGTCTCAAAGGAGATGTCTTTTCTATACTAGTCGAGAGACTGGTGCCCTGTCTGGAAGATAATGTATTCATTTCAGATAAAAGGGATAAAAGAGGCTCTAGAAAAGTATTACAAAGAAACATAATATAATTAGAACAAGCTTTCTTCAATTCTTCTTCTAAACTGCGTTTGGAATCATGAATAATTTGTCGATGAGGCTCTTGAGAGAAAACTTCATTATGGGACTTGGTTCTCCAAATCATTCGCATCATCGAGTTTCTCAACTCCGAAAGGTTTAGAAATTTTTCCTGATAGGAGAAATCTGCATCAAATGGTTGAATTTGTTCTCTTAAAACCCACAATTGACTCATAAGAAATAACATGGAATGTTCTTCCGAATTCTCCATAGATAATGACTGTCTTACTTGTTGAGAAGAAAGTATTAAAATACTAACACATGAAGATACAATCTCCTCAGCTAAACCAGAAAAAACTTCAGAGGTCATACGTCGATATAGCATGGCTAATAATTTCAAAGTACGATCGACTGGAGGATACCAACAAGAAAAAGGTAGAACGGCCTCTTTATAATTAGTGCCTCTCTTTATCGCCATTGTTTCTTCTCTTGAAGGTTCAACTTCTCGAGACTCTGAAGAACTAAAGAAACAGCATCGGTTCATATCTTCTCGGGTAAAACTGTAGGATTGAATTTCGTTTCTTATATAGATTTGAGTAAGATAGGTAATTCTCTCCTAAACACAATATATGAAGATGATGATTCGTATATTACTAACATATAAAATTACCTGAGCATCGGCAATAGTACGCTGAAGTATTCTCTTGGAACAACTCTTTGCTATATTCATATTATCCGATGCCTTGTCTTCAGGTAAAATTTCCGACCTAAATATTTCAACTATATCCACCAATCGAGATAAATGTTGTTCTTCAATTATTCGAGGTCTCCATGTATAATAAAAATGAGATCCAAAAGCATCCAACATGGTGGCTAGATACTTTCCGCAAGTTTCATTGAAATCAAAATATGACTCAAAGAGGTCTTGTTCCATTTGCAACAACTTTATCAGCATACTACCACTATTTCTTGCCATTTGTGATATATCCTATAAAAGATTAGGAAATATGACATTCCAAACGGAATAATGTATCAACTCACCTGAACTGTACGAAATTCATAAAATGATTGGAAAAATATCTGTTCTACAACCTTTTGCCTTTCCTTCAAATAGACATCCTGACATTCCATCAAGACTTTCTCTGCTCCCTTTTGTAAACGACTTTGAATAATAACACCCAATGAGTTGCGATTCGATATGGTGTCAACAACTATGATGCCATGATTGACTCGTGACTCTAAAGCCACCATCCAACTTTTTGTTTTAGAACAAGTTGACCGAAAATAACTGTATAAGGAAGAATTATGATGTAACTCAGAGTTTAAGGACCTAAATGAATTACGTATATCTGAGGTCCAGTTTCTGTAAGCCTTTTGGGATATTCGATTCATTAATGCATAAATAAAAACGGAATAGCAATAACCTACCTGAAAGGTGTCTACACAAGTCTGACTCATAAAGGACTGAAAATGATATCGTATCTGATCAAACAACTCCAACTCTAAGTCCATCAAGTTGACAAGAAACTCATCTGCCTCTGAGACTTGCGCATGAGACGATATAATGTTCTTCAAAATATTTTCAACTTGTTTCAACCTTTTCCAAAACTCAGACTCGGTGGGACTCAGCTGCTTTTGGCTCAAAAGCTGCGTGGTTGACTCTAAAAGGTCCAATGAGGACAAACGCTCGGATAGAACATGAAGCAACTCGGTGGAATAGCCATACTGTTCAGTGGTAGCACCCATATCATTTAAAAAACTTTCTAAGCAAGTCGTCACAAAACTTGTTTCATTTCCCAATACTTGCAACTGTTTCTTCAAGTTTTCAAGAATCTCCCTCATTTCGTGGCATCTATTCATTTTCTGTTCGAGCTCCTCTCTCTTCATAGCTAACGGTTTGTTTCCTCTAAAAGTAAGAAAATTATCAGCGTTCTTTGACCAACAGTGAAAGTCTTCCAAGTTCTTTATCTGCAGCAGTTGATCGTTCAAAGCTTCCACTGTAAAAGGTTTGTCCCCCGCTGTGCTAGTCTCTACTAAGACCGAGTCGTTCGTTTGGTCTTCATGACTGGAACTGAAGGAGTCTTGCGTGTCACTTTGTAGTTTCTTCTGGATTCTAACCAAAGCTTCTTGTTCTTCCAAACTTAACTGCAACTCTTTCCATTCTTTTTGCAACTGAGAAAACCTTATTTACCAGAAAAACAATAGTTTATCACAGTATAAAATGTGAATAGTCAACAACTGAAAAGACTTACTCTTGAAACGTGAAAGACTCCATATCATGTGTTAATACCACAGCATTTCTCAACACTTTATTTCATAGCAATGAAGAGAGAATGTAATGGACTTTTGTTGGATCATAAAAATATCAAAAGAAACTAAAGCATTGCATAGAATAAAAGAATATATCAAAAATTACCGATAGATAATCATAAAGAAACATTTCACTACTATTCACTTTGAAAATCCTACAGGAATTCCAAAGTCTGGACTAACTATACAAAAACATTTGTACACATTTCCCATGCCATCACCATGAGAGACTAACCTCTTATAGCCTTTGTGAATATCAGCAGCTTCCTCATCTGTCTTACTTGATAAGACCAGCTGAACGACACGATACTCAATACCCATCGACAGCAAAAACTGTCGTTGTGAAATTGGACCTAAACAAATAGGACGAAAAGAATTTCCTTGAGACTTCTTTAACGCTGGCGTTTGTTCGTATGCTTTTCGAAGACTCAAGAAATTGACATCTGCACTCAAGTCTGCTTCACCGGGTTCTCTCAGAACAGGAACAAACTCATGAGAACGAATGGCACGTAAACTGTCGTTGATATGTTGGTTGGCTCCATAATCGATAACAAGAAATGCTCCTGATGACTGTGTCAATCGTGTTGTTATGGACTGCACAATAGATAAACTTTGTGGACTCAATTCAACTCCATCTCTCATCACAGAATCTTCTATGTCACCCCTTTCATTTCTATGATAACCTAAAAAATCCAAAAACACTCGAGAAGCAGTAGTTGAACCACCCGAAAGAACGTAACGAAAATGAAAAGGCTCCTCTTGCCGAGTTTCAATATCAATTAGCTTCTCTTGCCAACCATTTTCTTTCCATACAAATTGATGAATGGGAAGTGCATCAAAAAACTCCTGAGCTATAATAAAAAATGATCCATCACTAGGTACTTCATCTATATTTCTATGCCAAAAAAGATTGACTCCTTTCTAAATAAAGTTCAGCAAAACCCGATAACACCAAAACTTATTATCTTCTTACTTGTTTATATCTTGTCAGTGTCAATTGCTGTTGCTTCATTAAAGCAGGACTAGTCTCTACGAGGTGAACTGTAATATGGCGATAAAACCAAGGAAACTGTGCCATAGTTCGAAGCATATCATTCATAAGTGTGCCGATACCAGGACCCAACTCGACCAATCGGAAAGGCTTCGTGAAGGAGGAATATCGTTCTTCAGCCAAGGAAACAAACCAGAGCCCCACCATTTCTCCAAAAGTTTGACTTATTTCTGGTGCAGTAACAAAGTCACCTTGTCGTCCTAATACAGTTTCTTTCATATAATATCCATAAAAAGGATGCTGCAAACATTCCTTCATAAACTCTGCTACTGTAATGGCTCCCTTTGCTGCGATATTTTGCTGCAAAATTTCTCCTACTTTCGTCAACGATACTTTTCTTTCAGAGGTAGAATACTTTGATACATTTGCACCACAGTGAAAGCCAAACACTTGTATGCCATAACAGGACGGTCTATAACATGTCAAAGCTTTCTTAAAGGAGTCCGCCCATAAACGACGTAATAACAACGATCCATTCATATCTTCATTCTTTCATGTTTCTCCATTTCTACTCTTTGAATGACAAACCCTAAAGGAATACAATATATGCAAAAATATCAGAATATTCAGTGTATCTGTTCTCGTTTTCAGAGTGGTTGGAGGAACCTAACCAATATTTCAAAAGCCTCTTTAGCAGTTGGTAAACCACGTTATATTGACCCTCAAGGCAACGACACTACACAACCTTCAAACTTGGAACAAGTAAAAGCTTTTGCCAGTAGAAAGCCTTCTCCAGTTACACTAAAGCGTCTTTTTGAATTCGGTTCTGAGCCCAGTCCTAAGAAACTACTTACAGCAGCTCAGTTATTACACCGAGAGCTACCTTGTAGACTTGCTAGAAGAGTCATTCAGTTGGCTTCTCTTCCTTATGGTCTATCAGATATGCCCTCAGTGAAAGTAGTAAAGGATATGTACGAACGCTCTTTCATAGACATGATTCAGTTTCCAAAGCCTTTGGATGAAGAAGAAGAACTGATATTTACTGAACTGATTCGAAAGATAAGACAAAGACATGATAATGTGGTCAAACTGATTGCAAAAGGTATTCTGGAGCTCAAGCGATATTGTGGAAAAGGAACAGAAGATATTTCTATTCATGATTTTTTGGACCGTTTTTATATGTCTCGTATTGGAATTCGATTTCTTATTAGTCAACATATTGCAATGCATGAGCCTCGAGAAGGTTATGTCGGCGTGATAAATGCACGTTGTCGTCCAGCTGATGTGGCGGAAGATGCAGCCAATGTGGCAAAAAGTATTGCATATCGACATTATGGTGAAGCACCGGATATTCAGCTACTTGGAAATATTTCTCTTTCGTTCCCTTATATTGAAGGTCATTTGCATCACATGTTTTTTGAGTTGTTGAAGAACTCGCTTAGAGCAACTATCGGTAAGTATTTTGTTATAAGAATATCACAACTAATACAGCGATCGAAATTTAGAATATCATCGAGACTCGGATATTTTTCCTCCAGTGAAGATTATTATAGCAGACGGTCAAGAAGATGTCACAGTAAAGATTTCTGATGAAGGCGGTGGAATTCCGCGTTCTGCTATGAATAAGATATGGACTTATATGTTTACGACTGTTGATATTCCACCAGAGCAAGTTTTAGAAGCAACGGAAGGAGGAGCATATAAAGGTCCGGATGCTGACCCTATTGCAGGATTGGGTTATGGACTTCCTCTTTCTAGATTATATGGTATGTCCGAAGATTGTAGAAAATAGATTTTTCTAACTGGTTTGTTGATATAGCCAGATACTTTGGTGGAGAATTAAGTGTTATGAGTATGGAAGGATATGGAACAGATGCGTATTTACACATCTGTAAACTGGGCGATAAAGAAGAGTCTTTGGTTTGATGGAAAGCATTTCTACATTTGATATTTCTTTCCCATTCATTAATTAAGCATTGTGTGATTATTAATATTATTTGCTCTTTGAAGAGAAGATCGACAATTGGTTTATGGTGTAATATGAAGTGGTTTTACCATATATACAAAGAAGTTTCCCAATCTTGGAAATATTCTTTTGCAATAAAAGAGTCCTCTTGCCTTTCGTCTTCCCGCAGAGGACTAAAGACGTCTTGTTTGACTCATTCTGGTTTGGATAAGGATGCTTCACCATCCAGTTTTTCTGGAAAGTCTTACTCCATCGTCGATCATACTTACGATGGTATGTTGGTTGGTAGATTTGAAAAACGTCTCTATTGATTATCTGTTCCAAGCTGTGGTCGTAGGTGCTGGAGGAGCAGGTTTAAGAGCAACTATTGGACTTTGTGAAGCCGGTTTGAAAGCTGCTTGTATTACCAAGTTATTTCCCACACGTTCTCATACAGTTGCCGCTCAAGGAGGAATCAACGCAGCTTTAGGCAATATGACCGAAGATGACTGGAGGTGGCATATGTACGATACAGTAAAGGGATCCGACTGGTTAGGAGATCAAGATGCTATTCACTACATGTGTCGCGAAGCTCCAGCCACAGTTATTGAATTGGAACACTATGGGCTTCCATTTTCAAGAACACAAGAAGGGAAAATATATCAACGTGCCTTTGGTGGACAATCTTTGAAGTTTGGGAAAGGTGGTCAAGCCTTTCGTTGTGCAGCAGCAGCCGATAGAACTGGACATGCATTGCTACATACACTTTATGGCCAAGCTTTAAGACACAATGCGACTTTCTTTGTGGAGTACTTTGCGTTGGATTTGATTATGGATAAAGAAGGTGTATGTCGAGGAGTTGTTGCATTATGTTTGGAAGATGGAACTATTCATCGTTTTCGTTCCAATGCAACTATTCTATGTACGGGTGGTTATGGAAAGGCTTATTTTTCAGCTACTTCTGCACATACTTGTACAGGTGATGGAAATGCAATGGTTGCAAGAGCTGGTTTACCCTTGCAAGACTTGGAATTTGTTCAGTTTCATCCGACTGGTATATATGGAGCTGGTTGTTTGATTACGGAAGGCTGTCGTGGAGAAGGTGGCTACTTGACCAATTCGAATGGAGAGCGCTTTATGGAGCGGTATGCCCCTTCTGCAAAGGTACATGATGTGAATATGCATATCTAATGCCTCACAATTGTATTAGGATCTTGCTTCCCGCGATGTAGTTTCTCGTTCTATGACGATAGAAATCCGAGAAGGAAGAGGAGTTGGACCTTTAAAAGATCATATTTATCTCCATTTGGAACATTTACCTCCCGATGTGATTCATGAACGCTTGCCAGGGATCACAGAAACAGCCAAAATTTTTGCTGGTGTGGATGTTACAAAGGAACCTATTCCAGTTCTTCCAACAGTACATTACAATATGGGTGGTATTCCAACCAATTGGAAAGGACAAGTTGTCACTATAAAAGATGGAAATCCAAATAGTGTTGTTCCAGGTTTATATGCAGCAGGAGAAGCTGCATGTGCTTCGGTTCACGGGGCTAATAGACTGGGAGCCAATTCTTTACTAGATATTGTAGTTTTTGGTAGAGCTTGTGCCCGAACAGTGGCAGACTTGTATCGACCTGGTCAAACGCAACCACCTTTACCGGAAGATGCCGGTGAAGAGTCCATAGCAAGACTGGACCAATATCGTCATGCAAATGGAAGCCTTAAGACTAGTGAAATTCGTCTTCATATGCAACGAACTATGCAAAATCATGCTTCCGTATTTCGTGTATCTCAAGTGTTACAAGAAGGTTGCAAGGCAATGAATGAATGTTATGAGTCTCTTCAGGACGTTAAGATTTCAGACCGTTCCATGATATTTAATACCGATTTGGTTGAGACCTTAGAATTGGAAAACTTGTTGCAAAATGCTTTGATCACAATATATGGAGCAGAAGCTCGTCATGAAAGTAGAGGTGCTCATTCTAGAGAAGATTATCCTAAGAGAGATGATAGCAATTGGATGAAACACACTCTCGGCTGGATTTCTTCACCTAAACAGCCTTTTATTGCTGCAGGACAAAAGTCATATGTAAGATTGGATTATCGTCCAGTCATATCAGAGACATTGGATGCCGCAGAACAAGAATCTTTCCCTCCTGCTCAGAGAGTCTATTAGAAAATGTGTAGAAGACAGCAATTTTTTTGATGTTTTTATAAAAACTTGGAAGGCTGTTACGATTTGAATAAAACAAGTAATACATCTGTTGAATGATTTTTCATTTGGATGTCATTTCCATGTCGACCATATTCCATAGCTATTCTGTTCTACATCGCTCTTCTGTGAAAGTTGTTCTTGCGTTATCGTTAAAGCGTTGGAAGAGTATTGCTCAAAATATACCGAAGAAAACTAGTTCAAGTGGCAGAGGAGTAAGGAGTCGTCTTCGTCGAACGCCTATTGATCCAAAGATCTTAGAGACCATCAACTCTTTGGAAGTTTGTAGTCCAAGACGCCGTCGAACTGAATATCCCGATCAAGATCGTTTTTCAGGTCGCGTTTTTCAAGTATGGTCCAGAGGTGGTGAATTGTACAAAAGAGCACGAGTTCCAGAAGAATTTCCTGAAGCACTTCTACCGGAGGTTGCTTTAATAGGAAGAAGCAACGTTGGCAAGTCTTGTCTCATCAATTCTTTGGTTGGTGGTACCAAGTCACGTTACTTGGCAGAGACAAAGGACTTTCCTGGCACCACTAGAGAACTTGGCTTTTATGTTCTACGTTCTGGTTTTTTGAGTGTGGTGGATTTACCAGGATATGGTTTTGCCATTGCAGAAGAACAGGAAAGGAAACAGTGGCAAGAAACAGTAAAAGAGTATTTACAACAAAGAAAGACGCTTAAAAGACTTTTAATTTTATTGGATGCGAGACATGGTATTATGAAAGCTGATAGAGATATGTTGCAATTTTTTCAAAGATGCAAAGTGAAGTACCAATTTGTGTTGAACAAGTGCGACTTGGTGAAAGATGATGAATTGGCAAGAAAAGTATATATGGTTCGCGAAGAAATATCGTCTGGTGTTTATAAACGAGTTTTAAAGAACATCATGATGACCAGTTCTCATACTCGAGCTGGTGCATTTACTTTACAAGCAGAACTGACAGGCTTAGCACTACGACCATCTCAAAGACATGCTCTCAAACTAGATTTAGCCACAAGAGGAAATGTTCCTGATGCTATTCGTCGAGCTCTCAAGTCATAAAATGTGTAAGGATCCAAAAGATAACTCCATATCAAAACTATCTGTGGCTAACTGCCTTTACTTGAACCATTTCGCAACAATTGAGTTTCTGACCAAGGTTGAGAAGCTGTAGCGTATTTTGAATGTTTCTAGTAGTTTTGGGTAACTGAAGAATGCTAAGAAGTTTAGGGTTTTCACCCAGACATTCAAATATTTTGTTCGTAAGAAGACAGGTAAATGAATGAGAAACGACTGACTTTTCCCTATTGGCTAATTGAGTCAGCAGCTGTAATAAGGAAACAAAATTCTTATCCGTTTCATATGTTGATAGAGTTTCATCGTTGAAAATATTCGGCGTTTGTAAATGAACGTAAGTTATACTATACGGCCTGTTGGAAGTTTGCGAGGCTTTGTCTTTGACGAATATCTTGAAAACGTAATGACCCGACTCAGACTCCAGTTTTTGAGAGTCTATGCGAGAGATTAGCCAATCTTGAAGTTGTGTCGCATTCGATATTTCTATTGCCATCAAAAAATTTCCATGGTTTGTATCATTTTGTTTGTTCTCTGTTTGCACTGTACTGTTGGTATCCTTACAAGATGAGCTCAAAATATCTTCAAGTTCGTCGTTCCAAATCCGGAAAAACTCGATTGCAAGAACATGTCTAGATTCGGAGCTGCCTTTGATGTTTTCTAACAAATACAGAATAGTCAAAAACGATAATCCCTGATTCAAATCAAAGAATAATTTGCGCTGATGATTATGTGTTGAGTAGCCAAAGATGCAAACGTTTCTTCCTTTCCAAAGTTGATCGACAAAAGCAACACAGTGTCGAAAAATCTGTTGATTGGAAATGTCTGTAGTGAAAACTTGGTCAAAAGGAAATTTGGAACTCGTGAGTTCCTCAGAATCGCGAACTTTTCTAGCAATAACTTGTGAATTTTGAATGTCCAGCACCAAATTTTGTTGAAATGAATCATTGAATGGTTCTTCACTTGAATCGGAATCATCTATTTTGCAAAAAACTTGCATATTGGGTCTCATTTGGTAAACTTTTCGTAGAAGATCCTCCTGAATTTGTGCATTTCTTAGCCTTTGTTCCTTCATTTCATCAACAATATTTTGTTGTCTATGCATTCTTTCTTGCAGAGCATATAATTTCTGTTGCTCGATCAGATGGACATTTCGTTCGTCTTCTAATCTAAGTTCTAGTGTAGACAATTTATTCCGAAGTGACACTAACAAAGTTTGTTGTTCTTCCACAGCAGAGTCAAAATATTCAGCATCGTCATATTTCTTTTTAATGGTTTGTTTCATTTGTTCGTTCCTTTCTTTCACTTCCTCCAACTGACTTTGAATCGTAGACAAATTTTTCCGTTCGGATGACAAGGCTCTTTCAGAAGAATTCCACAACTCTTCCAAAGCATCTTCTTTTGTTTTGTATTCATTCTCCTTTTGGGAAAGTTTGGCTCTGCACTGATGAATGCTTTCTTCTATCAAATTTATGTCTCTCTTTAGCTGTTCAATTTCCTGTTCCAAGTCTTGTTTTCGTTGTGGATAACTTTCTTCTTGAAGGTCCAATTCTGTGACTTCCTTCTCTATTCTCTTTTCTTCTTCTTCTTTTTCATGAATTTCTTTCTGTTGTCGACGACAATCTGCTTCAAGTTTATATATTTCTTGAACTATTTTCTCTCTTTCGCATTCTTGTTCTGACAGCAATACCAAATTTTCCTCTTTCTGCTTCTTCAAGTTTCTGATTTCCATTTGCAAGTTTTCTTCTTTGGCAGCCAATTCTTCCACTTTATACAGTTCATCTTGACTTTCACATTTCTCTAGTTCTATTTGCTTTTGTAATGAAAGCTGTTCTTCATAAATATTATTTAAAATAGCTTTTTGTTCCTCAATACGACTATGTACAGACTGTACTCTCGCCTCTTCTACCTGTATTTGACCTTGTACCACTGACTTTTCAACTTTGAGCTCATCTAATAGCTTTTCTTGTTCTTTTTTGTTTTGTTGGACAGCTTCCAATTCGCTAGTTGCCAGGAGCAACTCGGCTTCCAAGTTCTTTATCGTGCTCTCCATTCCTGAAATCTGCTCTTCTACATTCTTTATATTCTTAGTCAAAGTATCCATTTGTTGCTGGTATTGACGTTGTTGCTCTTCATGGGATTTGGTGGTTAGTTCAACTTGTTCAATCTTCCATTCTTGGCTTTCTAGTCGGTCTCGAACTTTCCTGAGTGGATAGTCTCTATCTTGACTAGCTTTTAAGGCTATATTTGGTTTTACTGTTTTCCATTTGGAAATAAATGAATTCTTTGAGGTTGTTTCCTCGTTGGTTTGTAAGGTTGCTTCATTCGATATTTCCTTTAGAGGGTTTCCCTTTTCTATACTACCAACCTCTCTAGATGTTGTGATGCGATGGCGTGTAACCAAAGTAGGTTTAGGTATTTTCGACTGGGTCGTACTGTCTCTCATGAATATGGAATTATGACCCAAACAAGAGATAGGCGCTTGTGAGGTGATTCAAGGCGGGTATTTTTGAAATTTAAAAAAAAGCGCAATTCTTTGTCATCAATGCACAGAACAACTCGAGTAGATCCATTTACAGAATACGACTTTATTATTTGGCCATTCGATCCTATTCGTCGTTATTATATGTACAAATTCTGTAAAAGTTAGCGCTTCTTCTGTTTTTCCAACAACTCCATACGTCTCTCCAGCTCGCTTAACTTGGAATATATATCCAGTTTCTGTTCTATTCCCTTCACCTTTTTTTCCAGCTCTTCCAATTTCGTAGCGTTTCGCTGTTTTTCTTCTAAACTCTCACTCTGTGAGGAGGAGTTGCTCTGTTGGGAGGAAATTGGTTGATTTCCTAAAGGGCTCGACCCAAAGGTATTAAAGTGTCCTCTACTTCCAAAGGACAATTTCCCCCCTGATCCATATTGTAGACCAATTCCAACCCCATATCCCAAACCGAAACCACAACCAATACCTGTTGAGCTTCCAGGGAATCTGCGAGCTATATTCTGCAAGAAACCAGAAAGGTAATGGCCAAAGGGCAAACCATACAAGAAATGTGTGGGAATACCGCTTGTGTTACCAATACCTTGACTAGACAAGTCCATTAACGCAAATCCACGACCAAAACCAAGTCCACAACCGATTCCTATTCCTAACCCATAGCCGCTCCTTAAACAAACAGGTCCTATACAGAAAAAAGTCTTTTGAAGTGACGATAAATCAAAATGCCTTGTTGGAGTTTCCACTAAAGGTTGGTTAGTATTGGCGAGTGCAAAATGTACCATTACAAGAATAAGCCAAGACCACAAATCTTGTCAAATTCCTTTGGCTTGAGTTGTCAAAAAGTACAAGATCTCCACTGACCTCCACATTTCTTCCTATCATGTGCTCTAGTGCGTGTTTCTTGTTTAGTTGTACGTTTATTCCACGAAGACTTTCATTGAATGATAGTTTTATTCACACAAATCCACGTTTACTATATGGTTGTACGGTATATGAGCGAAAGCTGAGGCATTGTTGGAATTACAGTAATAGAATTCGTGCTCAACAACAAACAGAAGACAAAAGAGACGAAGAAACCAAACAACTAAGCGATTATGAATTTGCCGAGCGTTGTGTAGATGGTGGTTGCCCTGTGGAAGATGTTCAAGAACTCTTGGTTCGTCTAGAGGTAAGCTTTTCGTGAATTATTTTTAAGAGTTGTCTACCTATTCCATTGCACGAAAGATAAATACAACGACACTATTATGAATAATAACATCGAGTATTTTAGGACCGAAGAAAAATTCTTCAGAAAGAAATTGAAAGAATATCTGATCTTATGTCAAAACTTGCGAGATACAATACTGCTGAAGATCGAGGTCTCTTAAGAGATGTTGTACTGGCAGCTCTAAGTATCTTTTCCAGGTCAGAAAATAACTATCCAGAAGTAGGAGAGTCACCTTGGTCTATGGATCCTTATAGACCCAAAAAATGGGAAGATTAGTGCAGTTGTGTATGATTTGTTTGAGGAGGGGGATTCAATGAAATGGGGAAATAAATGTTTTTGTATGTGTGTAAAATGATGCATTGAGAATGGATTGACTAAGCTTTCTGAATACTTTTGTAAATATGAAAGATGATAATGACTCAGCAGTTAGCTTACCTCCCGGATTGGATAGTGGAGACCTTGTGCTTTTCAATCGTCGTTGCTTATCCATGTCTCCTTATGGTGCCTTGATCTGTGGTTTGTCAAAGTTGTTTAGTAAAAGCCGCTGGGACCACGTTGGTCTTATTGTTCGAAAAGAAGACGGCAACTTATTTCTTTTAGAAGCAAACTTGAGCGGTGTAAAACTAAGGCCGTTGGAGGAACGTTTGAAGCGCAGTCATTCACACGAGATTGCCATCAGACGACTATCTATTGTTCGCACGGAAGTGTTTCGGGGAAAACTACTCGATTTTGTCAACCGTGTAAGTTTAGACAGAAATAGATATCATATTCTCTGAAAGATTGTTTGCTAAAATAGACTATCAACTTACCTTATGAAACCAGTACCAGTAGCCTTTTGAGTACCATCATCGACCCCGTAGATAAACAAGAGCGAGAGAGACTCCACGCATTACTTTTAGAAAAGAAGACACAGTTGAACGAGATTGATTTGGAACTAAAGGAAGGTGCACTAACTGCGTTTCAAAGACGTTCCTTGCAAGCTGAAAGAGCTAGAGTTGCAGGAAACTTGGAAGCTTTGGAGGCGCGTCTGAACCAAGTGATGAAAGGCAAGTCGCCTTTTGAAGGAAAGGAAGATCTCAATCGCGTTTTCTGTTCCGAACTTGTTGCAGCAGCTTATCAACATTTGGGACTATTAGATAAATATCCTCCTGCTGGTGGTTATGCACCTAAAGACTTTTCTTCAGAACAAGTCAATCCGGCTGCTTTACTTTTGTTAAAAGGAGCTCATTTGTCTGATGAAATATTCGTTCGTGGAAATGAAGACGCAACAAACAAGAAACCATATCCTCTTATTCAGTCATACTCCGACTTACCTCCTCCTCCTGATTCTAGACTATTGATTAGAGATGTATTGAAGCGAAGTCCTATAGATTCCATGATTGTGGATGAGTATCGTCGTTCGCATTTTATTTCGTCTTTCCGATCGAAAGTTGTGGAGGCTGGTGAAGTTATTTTTCATCAAGGAGACTATGGAGACGCATTTTATGTTGTAGAATCAGGCAGACTAGATAGGTTTGTATCGAAAGATGGTGGAGACTCTGTCTTAGTTTCGACCATTGGACCAGGAACTGCATTTGGTTTGTATGGTCTTATGTACAATACAACTAGAGCAGCTACAGTAAGCCACAATTTTGAATTTTTCAGCTTTTTTCAATTTTTGGAATTTTTAGATTCGAGCAAAAGAACGTTGTCTTTTGTGGAGAATGGATAGACCCACATATGAAAGATTTGCAGTAGATTTTGCCAATTCCAAGACGTTGAAAACATACATCGAAAGACGAAAGCTACAAAGATATGTTCGCAGTCATTTTCTTTTTCGTCATTTGGATAGAATTTCATCTCAAGAACTGGCTTCCTTTTTTAATGTGAAATTTATGCCTGGAGAAGTGATATTTGAACAGGTTGGTCATCCTTTAGAATATTTTGAATGAGCAATTCAAAAGGAAAGTAAGGGACAACCTGGTGATAATTTTTATATAATTAAGAGCGGTGAAGTGGAAAGACTCATCAAACACCCTGAGGATGAAAAGGAAAGTGTTGTTGGCACCTTAAGACCTGGACAATCATTTGGAGAACTTTCGTTGATGTTTGATTCACCTCGAGGGTCTACTACAAGAGCCAAAACGGAAGTGGAATGTTGGGCAATAAGTGCAGAAAACTTTCAAAGACTCCATTTAGGTAGTGGAGCAAATTATTTGCATCGCATTTTTGTTCAGTATGCAAGTGTCGATTTAAATCAGAATAGATATATGACAACAGATGATTTGATGCGTTTTGCACAAGTTCATCGCCTGGATCCAAAGGTAAGATGACCCAAGTTTATTTGTTTCTCAACTTTTTCATTGGAAATATAGGAAAGAGATCGCCTTACATTCCTTTTACTCGCTTTGGTTACGAACAATCGTAGAAGAGATTGGGACTCATCTTACAAGTCCAATGGCCTTTTACGAGCTGGTTCTCCTCCCATGACTAATGGACCCAATAGTTACTTACTTGGAGGAGTTTCTCTATTGGAGGGTCGTGATATTTTGATAGACTTTTGGGAATTTGTTCGATTTGACATTCTCATTAACCAACCAGAAGTGGAATTAGAAGCTGCCTTTCGCTTAGTAGATAGGAACAATAATGGTTCTATAGGTTTAGATGAATATCAAGATTTTATCATTCGTTACAGCCGATTTGATCCTGTAAGTTTATGCTTAGTTTCTATATAATAGAATGGTATTTAATTTGTTACTTCCAAGGATGCAATGAAACTATTAGAAGAAAGGCACGGGACTCTGAGAAAGTTATTTGGAAGGAACGGAAATCATGTCGCTAGTTTTGAAGAATTTTCTAGTGTTGCTTATGAGATTCTTCCTCAAAGTTTAGTTGAGGATATTCGAAAGTTATCACATTATATTCTACAAGAGTCAACAACTACTTCAAAAGATACATGGGAAGAGCAAAGTTCGGTAGAGTTTGTAAAGGAAAAATTCTTGAAACTATCGTCATTGGGTTCATTTCCGCAATTCAGTTGGAAAGGTGCGTGTGATGTGGTTTGTTTTTGGAGACTTTGGTAACTTTTTATGGTATTTGTAGAAAATATACTGATAGATCCCATACATTTCATAGCTGCAACTGTAGCCAGTGGACTTTCACGAACAGTCGTGGCTCCGTTTGAGCGTTTGAAGATTTTAATGCAGCTACAACGCGTATCAGGTTATACCAACGAAGATGCTTTTATTCGAAGTTTTTCAAAAACCTGTTCAAAGATGTTTGTAGAAGATGGTATCCGTGGTATGTTTCGTGGAAATGGTGCCAATGTGACAAGGATTATTCCTGTCACTCTCATTCAACTTTCGTCATTGACTGCATTAACAAAGTGGTATAATATGCTTAAAATGAATAAAGACGAGGAACACAATGCAACGCTTTCATCTTGGGAGACTTTGTTGCTCGCTGGAACAGCAGGTTCGATAGCCACTGTGGCGGTTTATCCTTTGGACTTGATGCACACATTGTTGTCCATTCAAAACAGACGATATCATCCTTATAACGGGATTTATGATGGTGTTTGCAAAATATATCATTCGCAAGGTAAATTGACATATAATTATTTTATAAAGTGGACTGCTGATTGGATTCAAGGAATTCGAGGCCTCTATCGTGGCATTTGGCCTTCTATCTTCGGAGTATTTCCTTATGTGGGTTTAAGCTTTGTAGTATATGAAACTTGTAGACCGTGGCTTCCATCTCAGAATGATGATTATGGTAAACCTTTAAAAAGTGCAACTATACTAATGGGTGGAGTAGCATCCTTTGCAGGACAAGTGGTTTCCTATCCTATGGATACTTGTAGAAGATATATTCAAGTAGAATGTACTTCAGGTAGTCCTTATTCTATTTGGAATGTTATGCGTAGTCTTTATCAGCAAGGTGGAATGAGAAGGTTCTATCGAGGTTTCCTACCCAATTCCTTGAAGATACTGCCAGGTGCTGCTGTCAGTTTCTTTGCATATGAATACTGTAGAAATTTTGTTTCTGAGATATCCAAAATTCACAGCATTGTTTCTCAATCTGGAAAGACAGGTGCAGGCTAGCTTTCAAAAAAGTGAAAAGAGTACTCCATATAAATAGGTAAACACGACAACATGCTCTTATACATTCAACACTATTTTCATCTTATACGGAATAAGAGGCAGCATAGTCGTGTTGTGTGTTATTTTGTAATAAATATTTTAAGGAGACACTATGAAGATATCTTAAAGGCATCTAAAATCAGACCAGTCATGACACCTATTTTAAACGCGTTGACGAGTCTTAAACTGAATGAAGGAGAGCTTTCTTGATAATAGTAACGGGTATATAACTCCGTACAAACAGCAAGAACTCCTATTTATAAAAAGTAAGAAACATAATTGAAGAGAAGTTCAAGAAGTTACCGGCAATCAAAGGGTCCAAAAAGGAGAGAGCTCCGAATATAAGCGTAAGACTACTAGCACAAGTAAAACCAAACAACATCGCCATGAGACCAGATAGTAATTGTTTTTTCGGTAAATTTCTATGAGAAAAATTCAAAACAATTTGATTGAAATATCAAACTAAAATCCAGCTACTGACCCTAACAAGTCTAGTTGATATCCAATTCTCCACCACACATAACGACTGAGAGAAAAGTCAGAGTCGGCCTTAAATTCTCGTTCAGAAGCATCTTTAAGGTCTTGGTCAGCTCGTGTGCTATTTGACAAAAGTCCAACCAGAAACCGAAGAAAAACAAGGCGAATACTGGATATGTCTGGTTCGTCTCGTCGATATGATGAAGTTAATATTATTTTACAAGGATAAAGTCTTTTGGTGATACTCAATCGTGGTTTCTTCAACGTATTCCAGTGTCTACATTCCTTGTGAAAAAGAAACCATGAGGAAGAATCAAAGTAAGTGACTGCCACAAATCCTGGAAGAACAAGCATTTTAGTCCTCAAGACAATTGACGCTGCTTCTCACAAACGGAGCAATAAAAGATAACGTACCCTCATGTTGCCGCCGATGTTCTAGTTTAGAAATTTCCATTGTTATCATTCAATATTTCAGATCGTTGGTTGGCGTCTGCGTGAGCTTGTGCATGTTTCTAAAGAAACTCCTGTTGCATTTGCTAGTTGTATCGTAATTTTATAGTAACATGAATAATTGTATGAAGCATAGTGGTTCCTCTCCTTTTATGTCGGAGACTTGTGTGGTGTGTATGGACCTTGCTGCCGACGTGGAGCTTCGACCTTGTTCGCATGCTGTGATTTGCAGAAAGTGTATTTCCCTCTTGGATGATGAAAAGTGTCCAGTTTGTAGAAGCAAAGTGGATAAAATTCGTATCAGAGGGTTTAGTGATGTGTACAGTCTGCACGGAATGAGGTCTCATCCTCTCAACTGTGAAGAAACCCTAGAGAAACAAGCAGAGTCGTTGCAAGTTGCTCAAGAAAAGGACAGTTTTCCTTTTGAGCTCAACTCAACGTGTAAAAAGAGTTCTTCGAAAGAAAAGTTTTTGGAGATTGCCAACGAAACCTATATATTTTCGCTTGAAGCTGTCTTGGAAAGAAGAAGATTTCATGAAGAATTCATCAGAAAGCACACTTATCAAGTTATCTTAACGGGTTCAAAGGATGTCAGTTTTCATTCTTTTGCATCCAGTCTTCGAGAACTATTTCCCGTGAAACATGAGCCCACCTTTCTATATGACAGCTTTCAGTGGATTCAGCAGTCGCTTGATTACTGTTTAGATGCTGGTATAAGAAGTGCCAAGGATGAAGAAACTTTGAAGAATTTGCTTACACTGGAAAAACTAATAGATACATATTCCTCTGCTGAGTCATTCCTGCCAAATGTGGAAGTAGGAGGATTCCCAGTTCATCTTGAAGATTTGTCCATATGGGAATTGCTTTATAACCTCAGGTGTCAAACCAATAATGGATTCGATGTTTTAGTTTTGTGTTGTGATGCACTTTCAAAGCGTTCTTTTGAGGAGCTTCTTTCCTTGGATGAGTTACTACGCAAACGATATGCTCCCCATGCAACTAGGATATGGGCAGTTCTCGGTTATGATGATGTTCAGATAGCACATTCATCGAATGGAGTACCAAGAGAAGTCATTGAAAGTGAATTAGTGCGTATTCCTGCAAAGCAAAGACCATCAGATTTGTTTTTCTTGAGAGAAAATGCTTTATTCAAGTTTTGGCATCGTGAGTTGATGTCACAAGTCATTCATCATGCACAGAAACATCGTCAACTTGTCATGGTTGATAATACGGAAGACATAAAGAAACAAGGCCTTTGCTCCTGTATGTAGTGTTAGTGATAGTCTTGATGTGATTGTGTAGATTTGTTTCAGTGGAAGGACTCCAATTTTTTTCTCATGATTGACATGAGAGACATAGATGTTTTGTTTCCTGTTGAACTCCAAAAACCTTGGAAACAAAGTCATGGTGTTTTCATGTCTATGAGAAAAAATTGTTCCTTTTCTACTTATGATAAATTTGTTGTTTTACTGTGTGTCAATTTGAGTCCGTTTCATATTTCTATAATAATGTCTCTGTATATATACTTGACTACCGATTCCATACATTAGAAGACATTAGACTTGGAGGAGGATGTCCAAATGCATTCATCCTTTGTCGCAGTCGAAAAATGACTGCAACTAACAAACAAAGCAAACACAACAGCATAATGATTATAATCCAATAATAATGGATAGGAGATAACAGCCATGATCCTTGACTTCGTATCACTTGAATCCTTTCATTCATCGTAGAAATTTTTATGTCCTCTTCCTTAGAAGAGGAGGTCATGGAAGCCTTCTCAAGTTAATAAGATGCAGAGTTGTTCAAATGATCTACAAACCTCGGACTTGTCAACAACGGTAGTTTGACTATCCCTTTCTTCGGTTTCTACAACAGCAGATGTTTCTATTTCATGCCATCTATTAAAAATGACTTGGAATAACACATGAAGACTATCTGTTACTTCTTCCTTGAGAAACGCTTCGAAGCGTGAACGAAACATTAGAAACCTTGATTTCCATTGTACTTTGCAAAAGACTTTTACAACACTATGAAGATTTCCATGTGATGAACTGTCCTCCATATTAATGACTTCCATTCTCGTTTGCAATTCAAAACAATGTTTACAAGCCACATCCAGAAATTGGATGTTACTTTCTATCTAAATAAAAAAAATCGACAAGTCCTTCCTAATCCCAATTTTAGAAAATGGACTAGCACTTACCACTAGTTTGTCTTTGTCTGGAGATAAACTAAACCTTTGCAACTCTGCCACTCTGCCATAATTGGTTCCAAGTAACCATGATATAAAGGTATGATTGATTGGCATGTGATAAGTAATAACACGAGAACAGCCAACAAGATCATTTCGTTGCCAGTCACCCAACTCTAATCCTTGATGAGACCTCAATTGATGATATTCTTCGAATATAGTACGACAATGCATCTCAACACTAGTCCTGTCATACTTTTTCGAATCTAAAGAACTTTCGCCACAATGAAATTTACTAGAAACACAGCTCTGAGTTTCACATTGTCCACTTGCTAATATTTCACCAAATTCTATAGCAGAAATAGGCAATTTCTGATAAGTTATCAAATGTTCATTATCTTCAAAACGGGATGGAAAAATACTATTAATAGTTAAATCTTCTTTTTCTTCCAAGGAAACTTCCTCTTCAAAGCTCATGAGTGGAAAAAAGTAGCTTGGAAAAATATTTCTATACATACCTGAACCCACCGAAGAAGAAACACTAAAAGAAATTTTGGGAGAGTTGATTCTGTTTTCCGAATAGACTCGTTTGAGAGTTTCAAAAGTGAGCTTATCACATTCCTTCAAATCATCTGATTTTCCTAAACGAAATAGATTCCACAATACAAACTATATGAGATCTTTTGTAAAAGTTACTCCAAATATTCTCTGCAATTCTTACTATTTGCTGATATGCATCACTCCTTGACGCTAAGGAGGAGAAAATCAACGGTCCCTCTCCTTCAATTGTAACTTTCACTGCCTTTTGAACGAAAATACCCACAGTGACAGGTTCTACTTGAGTAATGTATTGCAGAGGAATACAGAATCCTAGCTTGTGTTGCAATACTCTGGCATAAAAAACCAAAAAGTGATTCAGCAATATAAGAGTTCCTCTAGTAAACTTATTGCCGTGAAGGCCACAATTCAAGGTGCCAAGTATGTCTTCCGTTGAAGGAATATTAAAAAACAAGTAAATATTCAAATATCGTTGTTTCATAGGCGAAACACTACTTCGAGAACTAAGGGATAGCTGTCTTTCTTGACTTTGGGTCGAACTGAACGTGGTCTCGTATGGTTTATTGGTGGCATTGACAGCTGAAGTCACCATGTTATTATCTTTCAGTTCTTCGGTACTGTCACTAGTAATATGTTTACGTGGAGACTCTATTGTCTTGAGTTTCAACTTGCGAGTAAAGGGAGACATGTAACCAAAAACAATCGCGCACGTGCAAGAAGCATAAAAATATCTGCAATGGATTCGTAAATCCAATGGAATGCGCATTGGGGTTCGATAGTTTCTACTCGAAGGGATCTCTTTTTTCCAGTTCATACACTCTTCAATTAGTTTCTAAAAGAGAATTGGATTCTCTCTCATTTAGAAAAAGTGAAGACTTATCGTTAACAATCATCGTGTCTCTTACATTGGTTACAATAAATAGATGAAAATCCATATTAGGCCTCTTCTATTTTCTTATCCAGTTTCTCTCCAAACGAATTATTTAAACAAAAGCTTAATGAATGATCAGTTTATCCATTTCCCTTTGAAATGAATTTTTTAGTTTTCACGACATTCAAGACTGTTAATTATCCCAAGTTCATTTGTTAAGGACGAAAAGGAGAAAGCACAACGTTGAAAGCAAACTGGCAAAGTCTTTGTAGTGTTGATGAAGAGAGAAAATAGGCATTCGTGGTTCTATTTTGCTTGTGCTGCCTTTATTTTATTATTGGCTGTACTAGGAAACTTGCCAAGTGCCCAGAAAGCATACTTGACTGGGAATTCAAAAGGTGATACTTTTGCGTGCTTATTATTTTAGGAGTTCTCAAGACCTTTAGAATTGTATGAACAGCTTCGACAGTTGAGTAGATGGAAGGAAAGAAAGCCACCAGGTTCTTCCTTTGCAATCAAGTCAACCAGGATAGTGACTCCCAAAGGTTTGCTCTGAACTAGAAGCTATTGGGATTGTTTTGAATCAGACCATTTTTGGAATATAAGGAATAAGACCTGGGGCTATATTGGTAGGTGAAAATGGAGTCATAGAGGATGTAGTGGATATGGTGGCTGTACCTCCCAAGTGGGGACCTATTTTAGACTATGGAAGACTTTTAGTTATGCCCGGACTAATCGATATACAAACTTTAGATGAAAACATAGAGGAGTAAGTGCCACTAGTATAGTCAAAAGTACTTCGCATAAAGTTGTCATAGAGTCCACTCAACCTCTCAAGATGGAGTAACTTCGCGGCTCATTTATATTTCGGATGAAACTAGAGATGCACTGTTGTTGAACAGAAAGTCCATTTTGAAAGAAAGTTTTCAGTGGAGTCTGCCGAATGATTCTTTTACAGTTGGCTAAATATTCACAAGCCCCGATTCATTGGCTGGTTTCTTTGTGAATGTAAGACATACCTTTTATCATAGAAACGAGGTTTTTGAAGTTCAACTAGAAAGAATGCTTTGAAAAGGCAAAATGGTGTGCTAATCATTCTCCTGACCATTCTTCCTCTATGGCTTTTGATGTTTGTCAGAGCATTCCTTCCTTTGTAGAGCAACTTGATGTTGTTCTGGTAAGTATTTATTCTCTAGCCAAGGAACTGAACCAACTTGCATCTAAGAACAAATTGCATACTCCGAATATGATAAGAAAGATGGTTTCTAGTACCTATCAAATACCTCGAGTTTCCTCTTTCCAGTCGTTGAAGAAATTTTGTTTATCTCGACCTCATTCCATGCCATCCTTTCATTCAGTCTGCTTGTATCAAATCGCATTGGAAATGAATTTTACAAATTTAAACGCAGTTGATGGAGATATAGAAAGTTGCATGGATTATTTTTGGAACGATTATGACTGTTTTGAAAAAAGTAATACGAAAGAAGGAAGAAATATTTCAAGGTTTTCTAAGAATACGGTGAGGAGCATAGTTGAATCAACTCTCCAATCGAAACTGAATCAATTAAAGTATCGTCTACCTATTGCTTGGACTGTTGCCGAACTTGCAGGAATTTCACTCAACTCTTTTCATTCTATGGCCTGTATTTATCCAGCAAAGATATTTGGATTACTTCGTAAAGGAAAACTTGAAAAAGGTTATGATGCAGACATCGTAGTATGGAGTCCGGAACTGAACCAATCTTTTCCAACTGATGTTTGTCAAAAGTTCGAACCCCTTTGCCAAAGAACGAATCATACTTTGAAAGGAGTTGTAAGTTACTATTAACAGAGTTCATTTACTCCCTGTCATTGTTTTGGATTCATTTTAGGTATTTGAAACTTTTGTGGGTGGTAAACGCAAAATAGAAATTTTGTCTGAATAACTCTCATAATGGAGGCAGAAGAGAATACTCGATTAGAAGATGGACAAGAATATAAGGATATCAGTCCGAAAGCAGAAAAACAAAAACAACGCTGTGAAAGACTAAAGAATAGAGCGTTGCAGAGGTATTCGTGTTGCTTTGAAGCGTTCAAATAAATAATAAAAGAGACTGCTTGTCATAGAGATAAGAGAGTATTGTTTATGTTGGAACAGATAAGGAAAGCCGGTTGTTATCTTCGTATGTATTTCTTTGGTTTTATTTTCAAACTTCTTTTTGAAGTCTTGAAATAGCTGAGGAGCGTATTCTTTGTCAATATTGTGAAGCAGCTGTTGGTGGTGGCTTTCAAGACGACGGTAGCGTTGTTCTTTGTTCTAACCATTTGCTATCTCAGGTTGGTCTCCGTTTTTGATGAAATTCGCCACTTGCTACATATTACCTAACCTTATTCAGGATCACGCAAACATTACTCTTGTTCACGAGTTGGTACACGCTTTTGATCAATGCCGGGCGCACGTAAACTGGTCAGACTGTACACATCACGCCTGTAGTGAAATACGTGCTGCTCTGTTGAGTGGTAAGTAAACACTTAGTTTCTTGAAAGATGGGCAATATTTATGTCATATAAGGTGACTGTGATTGGAAAAGAGAATTCTGGAGAGGACATTTGGGACTCCGAGCACAGTTTCAAAAGTGCATCAGGAGAAGAGCTGAAATTTCAGTGAGAATGAATCCCAATTGTTCACCTTTGCAGGTACGAAAACTTGAGTGTCAACGTATTTCTTATTTATGTTTATGTAAAACTATGTAGGCTAAAGAAGCCGTCAATAGAGCTTGGGACATTTGTTTTGCTGATACGGCACCTTTTGATGGCATTCCTTGACAAGTCAATATATTTCACTTGAGAGTTTAAACGACTTCCCTGTATGACTCTTCACCACCTTGTATGAATGAGTCAATGACGATACTCGCTATAACAGACATCAACACCACATACCTTGCCGGCATTGTGAAGAATGTTCAAGTAAACCGTAGAATGAACACTAGACATATCGTTTCTGCTAGAAATTTCCTTGATAAACATATTCATGAGTCATTTCTATTTTCGAAAAGAAATGAACAACATTACCTGCGTTGTTAAGTATTTATCTTTGTGTAGATAGAGACAGCGTACTATCTTCTCCAGTTTCTCAATGTGTTCTTTTTTTGTGCGATACTGCTTCTATAAAAAAGGGCAATTTCTTGTCAATTACATATCTAAAAAAAAGAAATAATACTTGTACCGGTAAAGAGTCCAATATAACTTGAAAAGTTCGTTCCTATTATAGAGCATAATAAACATGACTAGCTAACGAATAGTAATTGAGTAATACTTACGAAAGTTGTATTTGTGGTTTTAGATTTAGTCTTTGGATGCCGAGACTTGAAACCCAGCTCCCTAACAAAGATGAAGGATAAATGCTTGCCTCATACAAAGAGCAAGAGAAATAAGAGTATTACGTTTTGGTTGTAACTTCATTATTATTATTATTATTATTATTAGCATCTTCAATAGACATATTCAGTTCATGGCACGAGAGATTCAAGGCGATAGCTCTGGTACAAGTCTAGTATTTTCACCAAACTATTCAAAATGAAATAACGAGCTTGTTAAGAAGATATGGTACCTCGTGGAATATCGAAAACTTTTCAATGGTGGCATCTATTTCGTCCAATTTCGGAATATATTGAGTTAGTCTAAATAGATTGCAAGTCATGTATCCTATCAAGAGTTGTTTTCTATGAAGAAAGACTCACTTGAAAATGGAGCTAGCAATTTGTTCGAACTTTCTATCATACAAAAGTTAATCAGGTAGTTATCACTCACAACTAAGGTATGCTTACAATTGAATATTTTCTAGTTCTTTATCTTGAGAATATAATTTTCTTGACGTTTTTTGAGGAGAAGAAATATCACTTGTGGAGTGTCTACACTGAGCCGCCATTTGTGGGGTTCAAATATATATGAACGGCGCCAAATTTTCTTCTCGACATTGTTTATTATTCATCGTTGGCCGTGGATATCCATTAGAGAAGCACTTTTTCTGTTCACAGAACAACAAGTAAGGTGAGAAACTGGAATAGTATGTTTAACGGGTTTGGAAGTTTTGGAGGGTTTGGAGCAACTGGGGCTTCCAGCTCCAGAAGAAAGGAAGTGGATAACAAAAAATATTACGAATTATTGGGAGTCTCTCAGGAAGCTTCTAAAGATGAAATTAAAAAGGCCTACAGGAAACTGGCTATTAAGTTGCATCCAGATAAGGGAGGTGATGAGGAGAAGTTCAAGGAAGTGACGAGAGCTTTTGAGGTTTTATCGGACGACGATAAAAGGAGAATTTATGACCAATATGGTGAAGAAGGCCTTTCACAGGAAGGAATGAGTAGTGGTATGAATGCAGAAGACATTTTTGAGGCTTTCTTTGGTGGAGGCTTGTTTGGAGGCTCAAGGTCACGTAGTCGAGGCCCACGAAAGGGAGAAGATGTTGTTCACGCTTTGAAAGTCACCTTGAACGACTTGTATAACGGAAAAACATCAAAGTTGGCGCTCAATCGGCATAGAATATGTCCAAGCTGTGATGGTAAAGGAACAACACATCCAAGTGGTGTTACTAGATGCAAAACTTGCAATGGTCAAGGAGTCCGAGTACAGATACGACAGATTGGACCAGGAATGGTACAACAAATGCAGTCCGTTTGTCCTGACTGTAGTGGAAGCGGAGAATCCATTAAAGAGAAAGACAAGTGTTCCAAGTGTAAGGGCCAGAAAGTTGTGAAAGAAAGAAAGGTACTGGAAGTTTATATTGAACCTGGAACAGAACATGGCCAGAAGTTGGTATTTTCTGGTGAAGCGGATGAAGAACCAGGTACAGTTCCTGGAGATGTTATTGTAGTAGTACAACAGAAAGAACACGATTTCTTCAAAAGAAAAGGAAGTAATTTGATAGTAGAAAAAGAAATTTCTCTTGTAGAAGCACTATGTGGTGTTGCCTTCACGGTTGAACATCTGGACGGACGAACATTATTGGTTAAGACAGAACCAGGTACAGTACTTGAACCTGATAGCGTAAAGACTGTTCCTGGAGAAGGAATGCCTTTATACGGAAATAGAACACTGAAAGGAAATTTATTTATCAAATTCCGTGTTCAGTTTCCAGAATATTTATCCGAAGAACAACGAGCGTTGCTTGATCGAGTCTTGGGTCCTCGTCCTAATCTGTCCTTGAATGGGAAGGATGATAACTTAGAACAAGTGTCCATGATTGATTATCGACCGGAACATGGCAAAGAAAGCCAAAGAAGTGAAAATGCTTATGATGAAGACGACGAAGAAGGTATGGAAAGTGGTCCACGTGTTCAGTGTGCACAACAATAGAAAAGCGTCAATATTTCATTTTGAGACTATAACGCATAAGAGCTTTTGCTCATTTTGTTGTTGGAATGAAATACTTGTAATAAACAATCTTCCTTTGGTTTTCATTCACTAATTATTTCGATGACTTTATGAAAACATATTCAGAGTGCTTCGGCACCAGAAATAATTTCAATCAATTCTCCGGTAATAACCGATTGACGCTGACGATTATAAGTCAAAGTCAACTTTTGATACATTTCACTGGCATTTCGGGTAGCATTGTCCATAGCAGACATTCGTGCGGCTTGTTCTGAAGTGGCATTTTCTAGAAGCGCATCAAACAGTTGAACTGCAAATTGGAATTCATACAAATCAGTCAAGGTTTGTGCAGAATCCATGTCAGACTCAAACTCATAACTATCAAAAGTTTCTGCATGTTTCAAGATGATATCCAAACCAGGAATGACCTTTCTAGTTACTACTTGACTGATAGCGTTCTTAAAGTGATTGTAAAAGATAGCCACAGAATCGAACTTTTGCTTGAAAATTTCTTCAGCTACAACACAAGTCTGAGCAAAATTCACGGGTGCACGAAAAACGTCTTTGATAGTCACAACAAATAGATTGCGATATAGTCTTTGCAAGCCATCTCTACCTTTGTCCCCACAAAGCAAAATAGCATATTGATTTTGTTTATCTTCGTGAAGCAACTTGCGAATTTCACGAACCACATTGCTGTTTACTCCTCCACATAAACCACGATCCGAAGTAACAGCGACGATAAGATGGTTACCCGAGGTTTCTTTTCCTTCTATCTCACTAAAAGTAGACTTTAAAAAACTTTTCAAGCCTGCAGTAAAAGGCTTCGAACTCTCTTGACGAGCTTGAACACCTCTCAATTTGGCAGCTGCAACCATCTTCATAGCTTTGGTAATCTTCGAGATAGAAGCAACAGAACGCATACGACTTCTTACAGCTTTCAAACTAGCAAAACGCACTTGAAAATCAACCCTATAAATAATAAGAAATAGGATGAGTTAAAATAACTTGAGCTTGCCCTGAAGAAGTGTTATTTTCAGTCGCAAGGAGTAGAGCCTGATCTGCTGTTCTGTTGCGGTTCAGACTCCAACTTGGAGTACGAGGGTTACTGCCAACAAGATTCCTACTTTTCGAAACAACGTTCTTCAACAAAATAAGTCTCTGTACATAATATTTTGAGACTTTATCCCTACCATAAAACTTCTTTGCATAGCTGCCATATTATATCGTTAGACGAATGTTGCGAGGCAAAGCAGCCAAAACGCAATTTCTTATGATGATGAATTGCTTTTCTATTTTTGGATAAAAGGAATAATGTTCAAGAGTAGTTTACTGACTTTTCCGGCTCTGAAAACTGTTGTAGGAGCTCAAGATCAATATACTGTGGTTTTTAGTTCAGCTTGGAGAAGATTGTTAGGAAAGTCAACTGTTCTCTATTACTTCTCTACTGATGAGAGTCGGGAACTTGATAGCTGCTCCGCAAAACAGGCATATGGTGAGAACAAGAGTGGAATAGACAAATTGAATTTTGCTGTAACGAATGAAGAAAGCAACAAATTGTCGTCAAAATATCTCAAGCAAATATTGAAACTTGTTAAAAGAGAGGATATCACGAAGGAATACTTTCAGTCTCGAGGAATACCAACCTCACTTTTGGAGGTTAGAAATGCTTGCAAAGATGAACAACTGCAAAGAAACTTAGCAAGTGTTGTAAATAAATATGCAACAGATTGTTCATCCACAAAGAATGATGATAGGATTCCAAAGAAGACAACAATACTTTCAGAAGGAGAAGGTGACAAAGTAACTATGGCTTGTTTACCTATAATTGCGAAATATTTGGAAGATAAATATCCCAAACAAGTTCATGCACATCATCGCATATTGAAAGTTGTGGATTTCAGTCATCCTGAAGATTGGTATCCTTTAGCAAGAGAGATAAAGAGGAGAATAATATTGCATATCGGCCCAACCAACTCTGGAAAGACACATGCAGCTTTGGAAGCTCTAAGAGCAGCTCAATCAGGCATTTATTGTGGTCCATTGAGATTGCTTGCTTGGGAAATTCATGAACGTCTCAATAAAGGAGATGAGAGTCACCAGTGTGTACCTTGTGATCTTTTGACCGGGCAAGAACAAACGGATATTCCTGATGCACAACATATATCTTGTACTATTGAAATGGCTCCCGTGCATAGAAGATTTCAGGTGGGAGTTATTGATGAGGTTTGTATCACTTGCATTTACAATTTGTTGGGGTTCGATAATAATCAACAAAAATATCTTAGATTCAATTATTAGGAGATAATGAAAGAGCTTGGGCATGGACTAGAGCGTTACTTGGTCTAGCAGTTGAAGAGTTACATTTATGTGGCGATCCAAGTTCAGAAAATATTGTTCGCAAGTTGATAAACAGAACCCAAGACAGCTTGTCCGTTCAGGTAATAATAAGAAGAAATCTCCTTCAGAATGGTTAGCGTGAAGAACTAAATGCATTTATCGAAACTTTGTTATAGTATTATGAAAGATTGTCTTCATTGACCGTCGAAGAAGACAGACTAACATCTCTTCAACAGTTGCAAGCTGGAGACTGTCTTGTTGCCTTTTCTAAAGCAGATTTATTCAAGTGGAAGGTATGAAAACTACTGGTTGAAAACGATATTCGTTGCGTTTTAGAAAGTTTTTTAGGTTGATATTGAAAGAGAAACTGGATTGAAATGTTCAGTTATATATGGAGGTCTTCCACCAGAAGTTCGTCGTCAACAAAGTATGTTATTCAATCATTCCAATCGTTCGGATCGCATTTTAGTGGCAACAGATGCCATTGGAATGGGTTTGAATTTGAATATAAGAAGAGTCATATTTTCTTCCTTATTAAAATTTGATGGAAAAGAAGTATGTTCGTTGAGCCCTTCACAAGTACGTAGACCGAGTGCAAATATTTGATTCTATTGTTTATATTGTTTGTATTTGATAGGTGAGACAAATTGGAGGTAGAGCTGGACGATTTGGTTCATTATTTCCTGATGGATTGATTACTGCAGTAAATCAGGAAGATTTAGAATATATTCGAGAAACTTTTTCTAAGAAACTTGCTCCAGTTCCTCAAGCGGGTTTATTTCCTTCTGCAGATAAAGTTCAACTTTTTGCAGAAGAGAAGGCAGCTAGTCGCTCCAGTTTCTCAATGATTTGGGATGAAATGGCTAATTTGGCTCGGGTGGATGGAACCTTTTTTTTGTGCTCTTTTGATGATGTCAAAGCAAGAGCTCAAGTGATTGAGGATTTGCCTCTCTCCATTGAAACCAAGTATACCTTATGTATGTGTCCTGTGGATATGGGTATTCCCAAACAGTCAGTGGCTTTTGCAGAGTTTTCAAGAGAGTTGGCTTTCGAAGGTTGTGTTCGACTTACTAAAGCAATGCGTCAGGTGTATCCTGCAGAGAATTGGAAAGATATGAACGATTTAGAAAGCACTTACAAAATTTTGGATATGTATTTATGGTTGGCACAACGTTTTAGAGATGCTTTTGTAGATATTGAGAATGGTAGGCATGATTGTATCTACTTGGTTTGTTTTGTTATTTACAGGATACTTTAAGCAACTATGTTACGAACCAAATGTTGCAGAGTTTTGCAGAATTGTTTGAATTCTAGAAACCTGACAAAATCATTTGACCTTAAGAAGTCTCAGTTGTCGAAAAGAAAGAAGAAATGGAAATAATGAATGGATTTCTTAAGCATTCAGAATTTGTAAAGGATGTGTTCGTTCGATGATGGGATGATAAGCGGGATTTAAATTTTGAATTGGGAAAGAATTATTGGCATATATGCAGAGTATTGTATTATTTCACAACTGAGTTAAAAGTCTATTATCATCCATTGTCTTATTCTGTTATATGAAAGCAGCATCCAGGACAACAACAACCCTATCATCTGGAAACTTGGGACAGACAAGGATTGACGAATTGCTTCAGTCATCGAATAAGTTGGCAAAGTTGTCCATTGCGTCGCAAGACCTTTCGCAATGTTCTCTACATAACAACGAAAACAATTATGATTCACAAGAAATACGCTCCATGGATAACTTATCTTCAGTTATGCCTTGTATAATAACACAGGATGAGGAGCCCAACTATTGTACACCCCAAGATCAGGCTATTTTGCACAATTCTAGCTGTAAGATATCTGATGTTTTCTATTCATGATCAACTTAATTGTAAAGTCTAGGTCCTCCTTCCTCTCCTGCACCAAGGAAAGTCCTCAAGTCATGCTTTTATTATTCACAGTCAACACAAGACTCAGCCACTCAGCATTCTCAGCTTTCGGATGTTCCTATTCGAAATATGTATCCAAGTCAAGATTCTGCATTTTCTTCTCAAACTGGAATGTTTTGGAACATCAATGGAAAATGTAACATAGGACAAGGCGACAAACAAATAGAAATGAGGAAGAAGAGAACACGTAAAGTTGAAAAGCAACAAGAGCCACTTACTTGCATATATAACCCCTATTTTGAAGTATTAAATGACAATACTTTGGAAAGAACTCGCACAAAGCAGCAACATTCTTTAAGAAACTCAGTAATTGAACGTGATAGTGATACGTCTTCCCGATATTGGCAAGACTTTGAAGAAATAGCTGTTTTAGGTAGAGGTGAAAGAGGAGTTGTGGTTAAAGCACGTCATCGAATAGATGGAGGAATTTATGCAATCAAGATGTCAAGGAAACCACTTGTAGGAAACAGTTGTCAACATGAAGCACTTCGAGAAGTTCAAATTTTAGTTGCTTTAGGAGGCCATCCAAATATTACGCAATACTTTAACTCTTGGTTAGAAAATGAAACTATCTATATACAGTTGGAATATTGTTCAGGTGGTTCCTTATCAACTCTTATGAACGATATTATTCCATCCATTGATGAACTGTTTCGAATAATGAGAAATATTACAAGCGCACTATGTTTTATTCATTCCAAAGGCATCGTCCATATGGATGTGAAGCCAGAGAATGTTCTCATCTCAAAAGGTGTGCACAAGTTGGGAGACTTTGGTTTAGCTTGCCTTTCTGATCGTTCTGATTTCATTGAACAAGAAGGTGATAAACGATATCTTTGTAGAAGCATGCTTGACCCAACTACAGCCGATTTCAAATCTGCAGATATATTTGCTTTAGGTGCTACTATGTTGGAAATAGCAACTGGTAAAAGTTTACCAACGAGTGGTGAAGAATGGCAAAAGATAAGAAATAATGATGTGGATCAAGGCTTCTTACAACAACGTTGTGGGTCACGGCTTTCAGCATTGATACGTTGGTGCTTAGCATCGGACCCAATGAAAAGACCAACTGCAGAAGAATTATTACAACGTTTTGAGCCTAAAATTGAACGAGTTTTCGAAATGGAACAATTGTGAGTTTGTAATCATTCTTCTGATCATGTTGTTTTTTGAAATGTTGTAATCCTTATTTTAGGTTGATACAACAGAAAGCTTTTCAAGAAACTCTTCAACAAAAACTTGCTCTAAAGGATGAACGAATACAAAGATTGGAAGCTGCACTAAAGGAAATTTGTGTTGAAGAAGAAGGGTAACCACAGAAATAATAGAGCCAACTTTTAAATATCTTAGCGAGCTCCTTGCACTTGTAGAATAGGCAAAGGGACAATCGATAGCTTTGGTTATAACAGATTTATCAGTGGAAAAACGAAAGAAACTTCGTCATCATATTGTCAAACGATGATGGAAACCTATTCAGTTTCTCATTGAGTCTTCTTGTTTTCCTTCGTGGTTGGTTGTACTTCAGGTGTAGATTTTATGAGAAAGAACGTCCCAACAATAAATATCAAACCCAAACAAAGCGTAACGGAGAACAACAGCCAAAAGTTCTCCATTTCCCAACGACGATAACTACTGTTGGGGTCTAAAATTTGCTGCCAGAAACCAGACTTTGAACTTCCCTGTTCAACCGTCTTCACAAATTCATCAGGTTCTGAAGTTGCTAAACCCATATTCACAAAGAACGTAACAGCAAGAGAAATGTATGAAATAAGTAGTGACCTAGTTGTGACCATTTTGGACTCCAATTGCATTGATATCCAATATTATTGTTTTGTTTTGGTAGGATGTATAATCCATTCAATGAGGAAGCTCATACTTCACAAAACACTTTGAAAAGAAAGAGGCTTCAAAGTAATAACGAAGAAGAAGAAGAAGAAGAAGAATGCCGTACTGATAGAACCAAAGCTTCCAATGATGCCACTTTTTATTACCAGAATATATTTCGGGTTCGAGTTCCAGACGATAGTGTCCTTTGCCTTGTTGAATTTTTAGGTCGTTGTGTAACCAATCCTAACACCGAAGTGGAATTTAAACTAGGCTTAGTCCTTGAGAAAGCAGAGAATAGAAGAGTTTATCTTCCTATTGCTGCAGAGACACCTTTAAGCCCAGAGTTCAATAATAAGGTTCGTTTCCAGTCCAAGGTGGATTTGGTAAGTGCTGAAGCTGAAAAAGGATGGATTGAGTGATCACGAGTTGTTTAGGCCACATTTAAGCTTCTCAATAGTGTCCTGAACAACAGGGTCGAGAACTCTGCAAAATTGGAGTTAGACGAGCAACGTATTGTTTATCGACGTATTCAAGAAATTGATAGAAGATATCGTGATAATATACGTCAAACCAGTAAACTTATCAAGGAAGATGATGGAAAAGTAAGAGAAGAGCAGGTTTGGTAGGTACTACAGTTGTACTCATGGGAGTAGTTCGTTTGATGATTATGATATATTTAGTTGCATATCAAAGCGTCGTATAGACGACCTGAATTTCCTTTCACCTCGTACAGCGTATGACTTTCGTTGTAGCTGTTCTGTTGAAGAGCCGTGCTCTCCTCTTCCCAATGTAAAACCCATTTCACAACGTAAAAAGAATAGGCTCTCTTATCGTTGCAAGTTTGTTCAAGTAGATATTACCACGGTAACTTACAAGGACATATTTCAGTCTGTTTTTGTGAAGTATGATATAGGTATTTTCATATGAAGATGGTCAGATTGATCTATCTGATACAGTTAATGATCCTTCCTCGCTTTCGTATGAAGTTGAACTGGAGGTTACACCAGAAGCTTGTCTCTATGAAGCTTGTGAGAAAATGCGGCTTGGACAACCACACCATGTTTTAGACATTGCGCAGTGTGAGAAAGTAGTTTTGTTACTATCTATTCAAGATTGAACTCAGTCTTGTTAGGTTTGTTGGATAATATTCGGTATCTCACCAGGTTGTTGTCCACAAAGGCAAACTCCTTGACTGAGGGGCCGAAGGAAGGGAGATATTCTTCATAGCCTGCAATCTTGTGCTCTACGGCGCTATATTTATACCTATTTACTTGTGCAAATTCTTAAAAAAAATTCACTCTGTTCAGTATAAACTCGATTCTAGATAAGCCATATTATTCATGTACAGGAAAGAAGAACCCGCTCAGTCCTGAAAAAAAATGTCTGCCCGCAATTTCTTTCGAAAATGGCGGTCAAACTCAATGGAAGCAGAAATTGCCAAGTGTCGGATGTATTAAAGGCGGGACAACGTTTGCGGATATCAATATAAGATTTTTATTAAATTTGTTTCTTTTTTGGGGAAGACTGCCGTTTTGGTTTTTTGGTCCCACTTTTCTTTATGATAACAGAAAAAGTTTAAAAACCAAGGACTTTGATCAAGTGGGGGAGAACTCTTGCAAGTATTTTAACAACCCGAGACACTACAGGCAGAGGGGTAAAGAGTATATACACTTTTCACTTGGTGTCTTGTTACTCTACTCTTTAAGCTTTGGTTAATATTGCAGTGCTATTTAAAAGTACATCTATGTCTTCAGAAAAATTCATGTCCATACAAAGTGCAGTTTCCACTCCTGAAAGTCTAATCTGTTGTGAAGATCTACAGGTAGAAGACGAAAGAGAAGTTTATCGAACATATGCTAGGCAAATAGATCAAAGTAGCTCTTGCTCTTCTCTTTCTTCAAGGAAGAGAAGCTATCCATTCTGTATGAATGCAGTACGCCATCCTAAAATACCTCAACCAACTCCCAAAGTAGCAAGACCCAACTGTGATATAGAACAACAGATAAAGAAAGTGAGAATACCAGAAGATTTAAGAGAAGATAATCTGACTGGTCCCAATGGAAAAGAGAAAAGATTACAAAATTTTCTAGATAGCATATTGGAGCTTGCTACCGACGAGATCGTATTGAAGGTGGACAAGTTTTTTTGTTCTTCTCCGTTTCGACTGTCGCAGGATGTGCGAATAGAAAAGGACATGGAGATATATTCAAATGACTATGACTATATTGAAAAGCTACAACAAGGTTCTATTGATGTTTCTGCTAGGGAACAAATAGTTATGTGGCTATTGGATTTGAGAGAACCACTTCATTTGAACGCTTCCACAGTCTATTTAGCCATTAATTGCTTTGATCGTTTTCTAGCTAGACAAAGAATTTCAAAGTATTATCTTCGTGCAGTCGCAGCTTCATCTTTGTGGATTGCAAGCAAATTTAATGAAATCGAGCCGTTATCTGCAAAAGCACTTGAATGGTTGACTCAGGTAGATCATAGGGCTTTACAGACATGTGAATTATTACAGTTATCAGTATTAGATTGGAAAGTTCATGACCTAACTCCACATGCTTATTTTACTTTTCTGAAGAACATTGCCGAAGGGTCATCGGTTCATTCTTTCCTCGGAAATGGACCTGAAGGGTTAACATATGAAGAACAGCAGCAATGCAACCTATTGGTTGAAATTTTTTTAGATCTCTGTTCTATTCATTATGAACAATTGCGGTTTTCGCGTTTGACTATAGTTTTATCTTGTGTTCTCTGCGCTTGTTCTGTCTTGGATTGTCATCTCAGTGAATATAATGGAACCGAGGAACGTCTTCGTAAATTGGAGCAACAATTGAACGTCAATACGTATGACGTCCGAGAATGCATGAAAGAGACGATGGCCTATTTCGAATGCAACTTTTATTTTCGTGAAAAACAGATGTCGATTTTTTCAAAAACGGAAGACACATCTTTTACACTAGACGGCTTTACTCCACTCCATAGAGAAGACAACCACACACCAACGTCCATTACTGAAATATCTTTTTGTGTTGCCGGACGTTGAAAGTCAGTAGAATGAATAGTCCGAAAATTTGCATATGATAGTATTTTAAGCTCTTGTACTTATGAAGAATGGAAAGCCATTTTTTCTATTTGTGTATCACTAATAATAAATTATCGTCGATACAGCTATTATTAGTGCCTTTTTGGATTGTGGATCGTATGAAAAGTCGCTTCCTTTTCTTTTGCAAAGCACCAAAACCAGGATATGCAAAGTCACGATTGGCTCCGTTTCTTGGAAACTCGACTGCTGCAGAACTTTCCGCAGCGTTGACGGAATATGTATTGGAGCAGTTGCTGCAGCACTTTTATAGTGTAAATACAGAATTGTGTTTCGTTGTTTGTTATACTGGAGAGGAAGATATTTCCTATTGGCACAGTTGGTTTCTTCCAATTTTTACTCAATATTTTGGAAAAGCAAGCCAAAACGACAGTGGAAACTTTTCCTTTGAAAAGAATTTTCAGTTATCGTTTGTAGAACAGTCGAATGGTTCTTTAGGTGATAGGCTGAGGCATGCTTTTTACAAAAGTTTTGAAACAGGAGCGAAAAAAGTCATTGTTGTTGGAATAGACTCTCCAGATCTTGACGGCTTTCTTGTTGAAACTGCATTGAAAGCTTTAGAAACTTTCGATGTTGTTGTTGGTCCTTGTTTGGACGGCGGTTACTATTTGCTTGGAATGCGTAGTTTTTGTGAAGAGGTTTTCACAGACATTCCTTGGAGTACCTCTAAAGTTTTGCACGCAACTCGAAACCAAGCACTGAATGCTGGCTACACGATGGACGTTCTACCAGCTTTGGAAGATATTGATGAAGTTGAAAATCTTTTTATTTTAGAACGACTAGCAGCTACGACTAACAAAGGGAAGAGATGGATAAAATTTTTGGCAAAGTGGTTGTTGGAATATCTGCATCCCTATCCAAGTTATTCTTATTGCAATGAAGCCTTGAATAGTAAGTCACAGGAAGAAACTTTGTTAGCAAGTGTGAGGCCACGATGGGTTGGGGAGTCTAGTTATAGCAAAAGTCATCCAATTGAAAAGTCAACTGAAAGTAAACCGATAAATAATGTTGGCAGTGAAGTGGATGCCATATTGGTATATGTATCTGTGGTTAAACCGCAATTGGTTGGAAAGCTACTTCGAGTACTTGGTAAAGTTCTTCCACTGGGAAAGGAACTGTCACATGTTAAGCGTGTGAAAAGAGACTTTAGTAGGTCAAGTTTGGATCAGGATGGGAAGCGTCATCGAAGTGAACCACTTATTACTGTTTTACTTTGTTTGAAGGAAGATTTTGAAAGTTTAGACTGTTCCGTATTGGAGAGTTTGAATGAATTTGGATTAGAGCCTTTTGTTATGTCCGTTCCTTCGAGAGCTGCAATTACAAGAGAAGAATATGTATCCTTATGTCCCATTTGGCCTGTATTATATCAACCTCTACCACCACCTCGTCCATTGCCATCCAACGAAGAGATGCTTTTCATTATGCATCATATGCGTATTTGTTTTGATATTGCTTGGCATCATCGGAAAAACAGTAACTATCTCGGTATTTGTGCTATGATGGTTCGACCAAGCAACAATGAAATAATTACAGTAACTTGTGATACTTCTTGTCGAAGCCATCTATCAGATAAACGTAAAGAAAAGAAATGTGAAAGATGCCAACCGTTTACACATGCAGTCATGAATTGTATCGAATCGGCATCATGGAAAGTGGGTTCTCACAAACGTCGACAGATCTTACAAAACAAAACTCTTTCTGACTGCTCCTATATTTGTGATGATTCCGAAATATCATTAACAGGTGATAGTGATTCACATTCTTTTGAAAGCGAAACAGATACGGAAACTACCGATAAATCTTTGTTACCAGATGATGCTTATATGTGCACTGGAATGGATGTATATACAACAAGAGAACCTTGCCTAATGTTGGTATTTCATAATTGTCTTTCATTTGTTATTTACTCATGTTCTGGATAGGTGTTGTATGGCACTTGTACATGCAAGAGTAAAACGAGTAATATTTGCTATTCCCAACAAATATTTTGGAGGTTTAGGAGGAGGTCCTAGTGGTACTCAGCTACATAAAGTAACAGCATTGAATCATCACTTCGATGTTCTTCATCTGGAAGGCTTTGAAAAAATATGGAAGCCAACAGAACGAGGAATAATACTAAACGGCCACTAGAATAAGGATTTGAAAATGAAGTTTCCGAGGTCGAGATTGATTTTGTTGTTCAATTGGATAAATAATGTTTCATATATGATAACACACGAAATTGTAAGCAACTATGTGTGGGATATGACTGATGACATTGGTCTGTATTCGCGTCCCATATTAGGATATTGGAAATGCGGACCGAAATTACAAGATATTTTGGCATTCTTATACAAAGCTATTGCAGGATACCATTTTGCTATTTCAATTTCTTAATAAATAGTCAGTACAAGTTTTGGATAGGACAAGAACAATACCTTGAGAGCCCATAAGTCTGCCATTCTTGAAAAATTCCATATAACCCATATCCTTTCCTTCGACTTGTGGTTCCTTTGGTCTCCATGTTTCTTGTTGATGCCAATTAGGCCTTCTTGGAGAACTATAGTATAAGAGCCACGCAATCCACTTTCTTTCAAAAGTTTCCCATACTTCTCTCATATTGTCCTTGACAGGAGGCAAATGTAAGAAGCACCCAATAGTATCGCCTTCTCCAAAAGCTTCACCGAAAGGAATTAAACGTTGCTCATGAAATAGTTCACCTGTTTTGTCTCGAATACTATAGCCGTATTTATCATATCCTATTGGAGCTTCCATATCTGCTTGAACGGTGCACCAACCGATACGGACGTTTCCATCCCCTTGAAGAACTTCAACTTCAAAATACCAGTCGCCTTCGAGTACACCATGTGAAGCACGAATAGAACGATAACCCTGAATGCACATTCAATAAAATAATAGGTAACTATAACTTTCAAATTACTTTTTCACCTCGAACTGTGACTCCGTCCTGTTCCAAATGTAGCAAAGGTGCCTTTGCAATAGTCGTACAGCTTAAAGTCACTTTTTCCGTCAACGGCTTCTTGTACACAGGAGGCAAAAGATCGATCACTTCTTCATATGTATAGTCTTCTTGAATGGGTGCCTCTTCTAGAGTACTTCGACTTCTCTTCTTTAGAATAGTCAAGTCATTTGCATCTTGTGCACGTTCAGGACCTTCTTCAGCGCTTTCTGTTACGTTTGAATCTAAAAGGCATAACTGGTCACTAACAGTGCAAATAAATTGCTGTATAGCTTGACTTATACCTTGACTATATTGAGTGCCTGTGACACGAGCTTTAGACACTGGGATCTCTGAAAAGTTTCTCAACATATACATTTCAGTATTAGACGAGGAAGTAGCAACTTTCCGCACAACTACTTCTTCATTCAAAGCTTCCACAAACTGCTGTTTCCACGAAGTGATGAACTTTCTATCAAAACGGAACTTGTCCCATAAAACTAAGACTGGAGAAAGCAACTGTTGCCGATTGAAACATGGTGGCTTGTCGTTCCCTCCAGATATCGAAGATAACAGTTGAAAAGAACGCACAATCACCTCGTGCCATGTATCTTTTAGTTCTTGTGGAAGTTGCAACCTCGAGTCGGTATTTGATGCATTGCTTTCAAATGTCTCTTCTGTACACATTTTCATTCGTAATTTGGAAGAGAAATTCAAAAAGTAGTATTCATGCTTCCGTTGACATTTGTGCCTCTATGCTTAACACCAAACTTGTTGAAACAAAACAGGAATATTATATCTCGTGCCATAAATTATTCTGAAAGCAAAAGAAGAACATATGGTATTCAATGTGAACTGAGAAACTCCAATTCTGGTTCCAACAACAGAAGAAATCAAAAGGAGGACTCTGATCGAGCAAGTTTTAGCACGCCGTCGAACAAGCAACCAAACGGTGGAGCAACTGGAGGTCTTGGAGGTGGCAGTGATGGTAAAGGTCGTTCCTATTCTTCTTCTGGTGAAGGAGATATTCCGAAATTGGATTTTACAGCAGCTTGTGCTCTAGCAAAGGAACTCAATCTAAACGTTCAGGATCTTCCCCAGCACTTGTGGTTCCTAAGTACAGAACAAGTTACAGCCTATCTTGCAGTTACTTCTGGCGGGGTTGTTCGCTTTCTTGCAAAGGCTTGGCCAGCTTGGCAACAAAAATTGCTAGCTGATCCCAACTTTCCTTTCAAACTTCTTATGGAAGAAACTTTAGGCTTGGGGTTGGGATTTTCAGGAATGATTGCTGCCAGAGGAAAACAAATTTTGAAGGAACTTGACTTTGCAATATGTGACTTGGTAGTAGGAGCAGCAATGAATTTTATATTAGTTTGGTTATTGACTCCCACTATCAATATTCAGCAGCATCTGAAGAGCCATGGTTCATGGCAACGATATCTATCCAATCTTCCCGCTCACTGCTTTGCTTCATCATCTTCTAATGTTGCTTTTTCCTTGAGTCAGAGAATCGTCGCTTTTCTTTACAAAGGACTTCTTTTTGCTTCATGTGGTTTTTTAGGAAGCATGGTTGGAACAACCGTTGCATATTCTCTTTTGTATATCCGTCGAAAGATGTTGAAAGACACTTCAAGTTCAAGGCAATTGCCTAATTTGTTTGTGAATAGTTTGGCATGGGCTGGTTTTATGTTTGTGTCTTCCAATCCACGCTATCAAATATTGAGCGGAATCGAACGTTTAATGTTCCATATAATGCCTATATCTGTTGCAAGAATTTCAACAGGTGTGTTGAGAACCGTGAATAACATTGCAGGAGGTGCTTCTTGGGTACTGTATGCTCGTGCAATTGGTTTGCAGAAACATGCTGATGAACGTTAAACAAAAAAAATGACTTCACATCCTTAATAAACTACCCTATTATACGTATTTTTCGCACACTTTTGTATAGAAACGAAATGTTCCTTCTATATAATATGAGAGACTTATACTACAACGGAAGACCATGGGACAAAAACGCTATGCTTCCTCAAAGCAATTTGTCCAATGGAACGACAACTTGACTCGGGGACTCTTCTTCAAGAGAATCAAAACGAGTGGAATAATCCCAATTTTTTTGATTGTGAAATTCGGCGTGCCAGTATATTCAGAAAGGAGTCACAAGATGACAGAACCTGTGACTGATATTGCTCCAGACGTGATTTACAGAACATCTCAAGAAGCAGATGATGTTGAGAGGGTGGAGATATCCAGTCAAGATGGAAAAAACAGTGTTTCACTGGCTAAAGGAGCAAACTCAAAGAAGAGCTCGCAAATGAGTTCCATCAAGTTTAACGCTCTTGGAACTGCCTTGGGTTTCCTTGTAAATGGTTATATGTACCAGGTGGGCTCGTTATTGCTGACATTGTATGAAGACGTCTATCCTACAGTATATAATAGCTCAACCTTGCAATCTGCTTTGAGCACTGCAGTGCTTTATGGTGTATTGTTTGGCTTGATTGCTTTTGGATTCATTGCAGACATGGTTGGTAGAAAAGCTGGCCTTATTATGTGTTCTAGTTTGGTTATTCTTGGTTCCGTATTGTCTGTAGCTGCTAATGGGACTTCAACTGACGGAATGATGTGGATGATCGTGGTTTCAAGAGCTATTGTAGGCTTGGGAATGGGTGGAGAGTATACTTGTAATGTGCCTAATGTTATGGAGGACAGTGAGGATGTTAGTGTCAATAATCGAGGCCGAAGGGTTTCCTTGCTGGTTATGTTTATGGAAGTTGTAGGAAATAATACTCCAACATTGATTCAGTTGATACTGATTGCAGCTGCTTGTCGAAATGTGACGCTAGATTCTAGGAGTTCTACCGGTGTCAGTCTACCAGGATGCCATCCGCAAGTGGTATGGAGGCTTTCTTATGGTTTAGGTTTGATACCTTGCGTTGTTGTTTTGCTGTTTAGAGTGCGGATGAGTGACTCTGCTATGTATCAAACGGATGCAAAATTGCGTAAAAAAGTTTATGATGGGCTTGATCTATTTGTAATTCTGAGACATTTTAGCTCTCGTGGTGTTGGAACCATTGTGATGTGGTTGATAGTAGACTGGATCAACTATAGTCAAGGTAACTTTTCTGGTGTCATATTGGAAAAGGTCACTGGAGTTTCTCTGTTCAAGACCGCTTGGATTGGACTGGTTCAAGGAGTTATATTTCAATCTGGTCCATTTATTGCTTCCTTAGTGGTCGATAAATTTGGAAGAAGGAACACCGAAATATTTGGTTGGATGTGGTTGGCTTCTACTCAACTAATCAACGCAGGAATATACATTATATTATCCCATCATCCTGTAGGCTTCATTGTTTGGCAAACCTTTGTATTCATCTTCCAATATTTTGTATTTATTCCAGTTTATCTGATTCCAGCTGAAGTATATCCAACTAGAATTCGTGCAACTATGTACGGCTGGTCTTCAGGTCTTGGAAAAGTGGGTGGTATTTTGGGTACTACTCTGTTTCCTTATATGTGGGAAGGATTCGGTCATGGAGTAGAAAGTTTGGATGCTTTGAGAGACATTCAATGGTTCTATGCAGGATTAGAATATCTCGGTCTCATTTTGGCTGTACTTTTTGTACCAGAGTATTCTAGAACTAGTTTAAGAGGTGAAGATCGTCGTTACAATGAATTGAGACGACGATATGCAGCAAGATTTGCCAAGTCTCTTGGAGTGACAAATTTGTCAGAAGCAGAGCTAAAGGAAGCTTCGAATAGTTCCCTAAACCTGTATACCCTACTAAAATACAAATTGCAGGCTTCACAGCAAACTTTTTTGCAAGCAAAACAAGAATATGCAAAAATGCTTCTTGCCCGTTGTTATTTTCAAAATAGCGAAGAGATTGAACGTTATGCAGAATTGCCCATTTATTACGATGATCGAACTTTGATTACCAAGTGGATTCGACAGTGGAGGATGGGTCGTGCAAGAGCTGCCGAGTACATTGAAAATGCGGAAAGGTTAGGATGGGAAGATAACAGTTCATGGCAAGTAGAACCAGAAAAGAATAGCAGAACTAAAGATGATGAAATTGGTATGGATAGTACAGAAGCTGTTTTCGATGGTGGAACTGCGAAAGCTAACTAAGGCTTTGAGACACTTCTATTATTTTTCTATATCATGATTGAGAACCTTTGTGATGAATAAAATGAGTGTGTTTGTCTAGCGTTGCTTCTTCCAAATTCCACTGGAAGTTTCGTTTATGTATTGTAAAGTAAATTCAGTCATCATTTTTCAGAGAAGAAGAGCATCCATTTATGGCATTTGGCCGAGTTTAGAATGACTGAAACGTTTGCAACATCTCTTGGAAGACTTACCATTGTACATATCTTAAGAGCGCAAGCAGAAGAAGAACTAAAGATTCGGCAAAAAGTGAAAAAAACAGAAGACGCCACGGGAGAAAACTCGAAAGCTGAACCAGTGACAGTTTTAGTTCAAAGTTCAGTTCTTGATATTCTCGAAGAAGCAACAGCTGCCTTTATATTTGAGGTTTTTTTGCTTTTATTTTGTATTTGGAAGTATTTAAACCAGCGGCCAATAGATTGGAAAGTGTGCGCAACACTATTCTTTGTTCTCGGGTTATTCGCAAAGTTCTGTCTTAGACGTTATGGATGCCTTGCGGGAATTTTCCGTGTTGTTTTATGTGACACCGCGTGATCTTTTGTTGTACATGAGTCTTGAAGAAATACTTATACCGCAAATGCCAAGCTTTTTTGCAAAAAGGAATAGGAAAACCACAATATCCAGCTCGAAATCAACCTTGCGGGACAGGGCTGAGGAGACTGTGACTGAGAATAGGCACCTTTGTTGCCTCGAAAGCTGGATGCCTCCCATACCGCATCCTTCAACTCTTGTCTTAAAACAAGGAAAAGTTGTAAGGCAGCCAATTTATTTTTTTATGGATCAATGATTAGCTAGACTGACAGGTCGAGGAAGGTGGACGAGGAGCGATGAAAAGCAAAGGTACTGGTCAGTTATATGCTGGAATACATTATGGACTTTTAGCACTGGCAAAGGGAGCTTCTTTACAGTAAGTTGTTGAGTTTTTTGTTGAGACATAATTGTTATTGTTTCTAACTATATTAAGGGAGAATCCTTTCTTAAGACTTCCACACAAAGCCAAAGACCACGAATGAACATGGACGTTTTTGAATTTGATTTTGGCGCAAAAGGCCTCTTTCAACTTTCCTATGGAACACTGTGACTGTTATAAGAAAGAACTCGTAGAACTGTTTATTCGGTTTTTGAAAAAAGAGGGTCTCACTTGTACATTATCTGTATTTAAGACAGAAATAATGTCTTTACGGAGTGTCCATTTATTCCCTTCGGACTCCTTACAACCTAACGAAATGTGCGGGGAAACAGTCCAAGCAGAAGATAATAGGTCGAAAAGACCAAGATCTCCGACGCTTCAGGAAAATATGCAGCCTAATACTGTTTTTGACCTGAAAGTGAACGGAATATCTAGTCCCGGAACTCATAATGTTTCCGATTCCCGTGCTATGGAGGGCATGAAAAAGCAAAAGTTTGAAATTCCTCCAAAGAACGAAGGTTAGTTATCATTGATATTGTGCAAAATCGAAACAAGTCAAATATCAAAAACATTGGGTTAGGACATCCAGAACAAGCCGATAGAAATTTAAGTAATGTTGCTATGTTCGCACAAAGTGGCACCAAGTTACTTTCCGTCAAACCTTCCTCTGATTTGATTCACAGCTCAAAACAGCATACCTTTCTGCCCGACCGAAGTCAGAGCTCTCGGATTGTTGCCTCTAATTTATCGCAAAAGGGCCGAGATACCAACAGCTCTGAAAAAGAGCAAAGAAAGAAAGTGGTATTTGATTCGAAATCTAGGAACAGTGGGAGTTTTGAGGAGTCTATTCGGAATGTTACAGAAAGCTTGAGATACGATCCTTCATTTCAAGAAAATTTGCGGAATATTTTACGCAATGATCATTTAAGTATGGGATGGCTGTCCTTACCACAGAATGAGTCCAAGTCTTTACAAGAAGAGTCTGATGTCTCAGTTCTAGAGAGCGAAACTTTCTCAGGTGATAGTTTGCAGAAACAAGGTGAGTAGCCATGATGCTTGTGGATACCATATATAATAGAAGACTTTATAGGTAATGAACTTGCGGGGAAGATTGACAAATCCCTAGATTCTTCTGTTGGTGGATTTCTGGAAACAATAGATTTGGATGCATTTCTTGGCTCTATTCATGCTGCATCTAATCACTAATGTACTGCTTATGAAATTATCCACATGGTATAGTTTTTCAAGCATCTACATGTAAATATAACTCTTGATGAAAACGTATAACTTTACTATAAAATGGCGCTACTCTTGTTATAGAAGTTGCATTCCATGGAACAACAGTTGTTTTCAAGAACGTTCAAGGTTTGATTGTTCAGGACATTTTGCGTCTTGCAGAGTACTTGTGAACAGACCTTTACTTTTGACAATGGTCAGCCTGCTATAAGGATAATTTCGAGATCCTGACATATCTTTTAATAGTTGTTGCCATTGAGATTATTATCTTAGCTTCCACTGTACCCATTCAAACACTCTCCAAGGCGCCCTCGGCTATAATTTACCCGCCGAAAGAGGATTCGATCAATGAGAGCATTAAAATTCGTTGAGCCCCTCTTTTGGGTTTTCGGCTGGTTCCGCCTCTCACCTCCGGTTTCTATTATTTTGCCCTATTTCGTTATTTGAAAAGTCTCAAATTTTTTGCCCCAAGTTCTATTCCATTATGTAAGTTTGGAAAAGTTTTAAAAAAAGGAGAAAATGAGAGATTAACAGTTTCTTGTTTTACCAGTAATTAGAACCATGAGTTCTTCGAGGTCTTCTCCTATAAAAATAGAAGACTTTGAAACTCCTGAAGCCATCCAAAGTTTTGAAGCTATGGCCTCTTGGATGAAGAACCAACCACGAGACCAGTTAGGTTTTGATGCTAGCGATATTACGGCTTCAACACTTGCACGTGTAACTGGAGAGCTTAGCGTCTTCCTTGAAACGAACTTGGGAAAGAACTCACAAACCGAGAATAGAATAATTACCAAGTTTCCACAACACGTTTTTAGACATACGCAACCTGATAGTGCATTATGTAAGATTCTCTGCTTGTGTTTTCAGTTCAAAGAACAACAAGCCTGGAGACGTTTAGACGCCCTCAATCCGGATAGAAAGGAGGCAGTTATGAACCTGCTGCTTGATGTGGAGAAGAATCTTCGAACTACGGGAATTCTTCCTCCGAAGAAGGTATTCTTTTCGAGAAGTGTGGCTCCAAGTCTTGTGCCGAAACTCAAATCTATTGTTCAACGGCACGGTGGCCTAGTTGTTTCTTCAGCAACCAGTGCTACTCATATAATTGAACCAGACGTGGATATTCCAACGGACTCAGAAGTAAGTTTTCCTTGTGTAACTAAATTTTTTTTTCTGAAGAGATATTTGTTTCAGGATGTTTCGTCGGAAGAGTATTGTAGAGTTTTGAAAAGAGAGGGCGATAAGGTTTTTGTCCACTGGTGGTATTATCCCGATAGCTACGACTCGTGGATACCTGCTAGTGAAGTTGATGGCTCAGAAATAGATGAACAATCTCCTCCAAAGGGTCCTTGGCACGTTCAAGCAAGGTTTATTATAGACTTGGAAAAGTTCAATGAGTGGCCGAATGAATTGGATTATGAAGTGCCAGATGATATGATTACCAGGACTATTGCAGATGGTAAAGGTAAATCTGTGGAAAGTGAACATGGTTCGCAAGAGAATCGAATTGATTCAAATCATGATCTTCACGAAGATAATATTCCAGACAGTAGAAGGAAGAGGAAACTGAATGAGGCTTCTTTAAATGTCAAGGATGAACCACAGGACTTGGAAAACTCTGACCCATCATTAGAGGAGAACTCTCACATCTTGGAGAAAGGAAGAGATGAAAATGTCAACAAGAACAGGAAAATAACACACGATGTAGAGATAGCTGACACTTCTCAACTTCAATCCAAGTTGAATTCGGAACAATTAGTGGTAAGTAGGAACGATATTTTTTACAAGTTCTTTATTCATATTGTATTTTATATGGAATAGGAACGCAACAAAGAAAATACTGACACACACGGCAGTGGAATTCAAGATTCACTAATGAAGACAAACGAACTTTTAAAACAGGAAGTGGAAAATGTTACCCAAACACTAGAGAAAGGAATGGAACAGAATAACTCAACCTCCATTGAACATCAAAAAGAAACAACACCTACAACTCTGAATCTTGACCCATCGAATATTGAAACTAATCATAATGAATTGGCTAGTTTTAATGATATTGGTGAGCTTACGGCTACTCTTCCTGAGGAACCTATTTTTATACCATCATATTCGAGATGGTTCAGAATGGATGCCATACATGATATAGAGAAGCGAGCACTCTCTGAATTTTTTACGGGTCAATATCCCTCGAAGACACCCGAGGTTTATATGCAGTATAGAAATTTCACTGTTCAGTCTTGGAGAGCAGATCCTAAGCATTACTTGACAGTAACTGCATTGAGAAGACACTTAGCTGGTGATGCATGTGCTATTATGAGAATTCATGCATTCCTTGAACACTGGGGCCTCATCAATTATAATATCGATGCAAGTAATCGACCATCTCCAACATCTTTTGGATCACCTCCTGTGATACCGTTGGCCTCACATGGTTCTGTGACAAGTGGAATTCCTCGTTTATTATTTTTTGATGATGGTTCTCATCCGGATATGTTGGATAGAAGTGTAGACTATAGATTACCAGAAGCACAAATGACACGTCGGGAACTTTATGCGACAGCTGCAGCAGCGACATATTATTGTGAGATTTGTGGAAAGGACTGTTCAGAGTTTCGTTATCATTGTATAAGCCAAGCTGATATGGATATTTGTCCTAGTTGTTTTTCACAAGGAAAGTTTCCGTCAGAATTTACGAATGATCAATTTGTTCCGATGAAAGCAGTATCGGAAGCTAGTGTTGGTGAAGAAACCTGGTCGGAGAATGAAACTTTACTTTTATTAGAAGGATTGGAAAAGTATGGAGAAAACTGGGACTCTGTAGCTGAACATGTGGGTACAAAGAGCAAGGAATCATGTGTTTTGCATTTTATTCGTCTTCCTATCGAAGACTCATTTCTGGAAGAACAGTTAGGAAAAGATTTCAGCTACATTTCGAGAGAGCAAAATAAGAAGGAAGATAATGATGTATTGAACTCGTTTGTAAGTGAACCATTTCCTTTTGCGGATACAGCCAATCCAATCATGGCACAAGTTGCTTTCCTTGCTTCTATGGTTTCTCCACAAGTAGCTTCAGCCGCGGCTAGAGCAGCTTTAGATGCGCTTACCAAGACTAGTTGTGACTCAGAGAATGAGAAAGTCAGTCAAGTACATTCCATGCAATCCACTTTGGAGTCACAAGTTGGTAGGCAAGCTACAGAAGTCATGTCTGAACAGCTTGTGAGTGGAGTGAATAATGAAGCAAATCAAGAGAATAAGAGTAATTTGGAAAGTGAAGAAGCTAAGATGGATAGTGTATCTGTACAGGCAGCAGCGGCAGTAGCTTTGTCAGCTGCTGGTGCTCGAGGAAGAATTCTTGCAGAAGAGGAATCAAGAGAAATAGAGAGACTGTTTGCAGTTGCATTAGAGTCCAAATTGAAAATGCTGCATATGAAAATGGACTATTTTGAACAGATGGAAACGATCACTCGTCGTGAGAGAGAAAAGCTCGAACGATATCGATTGCAAGTTGTTGCTGATCGACTATCTTTTGCATATTCACGAGTATCTGGCAAGCTATCAGAGTCTAATACTATATTTAAAGTTGCAGATGGACAAGTTACCAAAGAGCCATTAGAGAAGGAAGAGTTAATCCTATCCATAGATTCACCGACCGAAGCTATACCTTCACAATCCTTTAAAAAAGGACCACAGCCAATGATAGATCCATCCCAGTTTTACCCTAATGAAGATGTCTCTATGATGGAATACGTAGAACAACCCAACTCTACCAATTCATATCTTATGGAAGACCATCTTTTGAAATGGAATGATTTGCAATGAGTCGAACACTATAGGTAGTTATTCTGTTGATGTTTATAATCAATTTGGGTTTTGGACACAATGGACGTTTGGTAGAAAATAGAAAATATTCAAAAGAATTGATTATGCGAAGAATGCCAGAAACGAGTTCTTGTGATTCCTATTCAGAATGCCAAGATGATGGCACTCATGCCCTTGGAGACTAGTAACTTGATGATGACTTGTACAATCTATTAAAACGGAAAATGAAGAAAGTTTTATTTAGTAGATTGTTGCGAGAGGAATTCCAGCCTTCGTTTTATCGAAAGTTCTATTTGATGAAATGGCTTATCGAATGAAGTGTGTGCCTTCATAGTCCAAGGTCCATCAGCTGTTTTGTTGGTCCATTCAAAGGTATACTTTCTTGAACCCCAATCCGCAATCATATTCAAGTTATTGGCTGTATTTATTACACGCTTCCAGCCAATAGAACCACTTTGTCTATATTTTGAAAGATAGCTATATTCACCTTCTATGACGTTTTTCATATCCAACTTGTGAGAAATCTTGGCTTTGGTTGCTTTCATCTGCACATCATACTGTATGCGAATGGAATTATTCGAAGCCAATCGACTGAACAACTCAAGTCTATCAGAGTTTCTCTCCCAACTCTTTTTAGATACTTGCCGAAAACCAAAATAGCCTGTCAATTGGTTTCTTTTGTCTATATTCAAACTATACTTCAAGTTACACATATCTCGTTGAGGTAACCAACTGAAATCTAACAACTGTCTCTTTCCGAAAGAAGTAAAACTATGCTCTATACCGAAGTGTTTCACATGCGAGTGTTCCGCACTATACGAAGCATACGCTCTTGTCGCTCGATTAGGACCATATGTAAACTCCAAGTCAAGAGCAGGTTTGTGAGGCTCAAAGTGAACGGTAACTGCTGCCTTTCCTCTTCCCGTTGTGTGATCGGTAGCATAATGGGCATAAGCCAAAATATTTCTTCTCTATATTATGACCATTGACAAGTTTAGTATTCGCATTATGGAAACCCATAAAATGGAAAGTTGTCTTACATGAAGAGACGACATCGGCGATGAGTATACAAAAAATGGAGTAAACTGTTTAATGGATGATGGATCGTCGGTTGTAACGGAATTACTGAAGATTATTGGAGATCTTACTAGTTCCTGTTGAATGAAGACCAAAGTTGAAAGTTTTCCAGTCTCTTCTTGTCTTGCATTCCACACTGTTGAATTATCCTTATGGAGTCGTTATGGGAAAGGAACACTTTGTCGTTCACCTTTTGGAATGCCTTGCAATATTGAAAAGACTACCTGGCTCGATAGAAAGTGCTTTGGGGGAAAGAGAACCAATCATACAAGAATACTAAGATGTCTCAAGAAGTACAATCCAACTTGCTGTAGCAATAGTGAGCATACAGATTCGCAGTCAACGCCAATTGTTTTATCCTCATCTCACGAAGATGGTGTTGTATTGAAAACTTTTTGGGACTCGAATGAAGAAGAATGGGTTGAAGTGAATCCTTTTCCTTTTTTAGGAGACAAAGCTCCGAAAGAGAGATATCGTCGAATTAGGAAAAGAGCAGATTTGAAGAAGATATTAGTTATTGGGGCAGGACCTATTGTGATTGGTCAGGCTTGTGAGTTTGATTACTCAGGAACGCAAGCTTGTAAGGCTTTGAGAGCAGAAGGATATCAAGTAGTATTAGTCAACTCCAATCCTGCTACTATTATGACTGATCCTGAGACAGCTGATAGAATATACATTGAACCTTTAGTACCCGAAGTTTTGACCAAAATAATTGAAAAGGAAAGGCCTCAGGCTTTACTTCCTACAATGGGAGGACAAACGGCATTGAATTTGGCATTCATTTTGTCCAAAACGGGAGTTTTAGATCGTTTTCAAGTAGAATTGATTGGAGCCCGTTTAGATGCCATCGAAAAAGGAGAAGACCGGCGTCTATTTAAGGAAGCTATGGAAAGAATTGGACTCAAAACATGTCCTTCAGGTATTGCTAATAATTTAGAAGAGGCTAAACAAGTTTCCGAGAAGATTGGAAAATTTCCGTTGATTATTCGTCCTGCTTATACTTTGGGAGGCACTGGAGGAGGCATTGCTTATAATCAAGAAGAATATGAAGAGATGGCTAAAGCTGGTTTGGATGCTTCCCCAACCCATCAAATACTTGTCGATCTTTCACTTCTTGGTTGGAAAGAATACGAGTTGGAAGTTATGCGTGATGGAGTGGATAATGTAGTGATAGTATGTGGTATTGAGAATGTCGATCCTATGGGAGTTCATACTGGAGATTCTATTACTGTCGCTCCTTGTCAAACACTAACTGATAGAGAATATCAAAGACTTCGTGACTATGCCATTGCCGTAATTCGAGAAATTGGAGTTGATACAGGCGGTAGTAATATTCAATTTGCAGTTAATCCAGAAAATGGAGAAGTAGTTATTGTCGAAATGAATCCTCGAGTATCTCGTTCTTCCGCTTTAGCTTCCAAAGCCACTGGATTTCCAATTGCTAAAATAGCAGCCAAGTTGGCCATTGGATTATCCCTTCCAGAGATTCCGAATGATATCACTAGGAAAACTCCAGCATCATTTGAACCTTCATTGGATTATGTCGTTACAAAGATTCCTCGATTCGCCTTTGAAAAGTTTCCAGGCGCTTCCAATATCTTGACAACTCAAATGCGTTCTGTTGGAGAAGCAATGGCTTTGGGAAGAAGTTTTTGTGAAAGTTTTCAGAAAGCCATTCGAAGTTTAGAAGTTAGTGGACGATGGGGATTTGGTTGTGATGGAAAAGATGAACAGATTCTCAGTCGAATAGAGTTAGAATCTGCTCTTCGAACACCCACACCTGAACGTATCTTTGCAGTGAGACAAGCACTGATGGCTGGAATGAGTATAGATGAGATTTATCAATTATCCCGTTATGATCGCTGGTTTTTATATCAACTTTACGAAATCTATCAAACGGAACTTTCCATAAGGAATCGCTCTTTAGAAAGTATTTCTGCAGAAGAATTATTTGCTATCAAAGCAAAAGGATTTTCTGATTATCAGATTGCCTTTGCCACGAATACAACGGAAGAGAAAGTACGCTTATATCGGAAAAGTTTGTATATGAAACCGGTTTATAAAACGGTGGATACTTGTGCTGTAGAATTTGAGTCTTATACGCCGTATTTGTATTCAACTTATGAGAGTCGAGTTGTTTGGGGTACAGCGGAAGAAATAGCTGCTGGAATGGAGTCTGAAGTTCCTATTTCAAGTGGAAAGAAGAAAATACTTATTTTAGGAGGTGGACCTAATCGAATTGGTCAAGGAATAGAGTTTGATTATTGTTGTGTTCATGCATGCTTTGCTTTACGTGAAGCCAAGTTTGAAACTATTATGATGAATAGTAATCCTGAAACTGTATCTACTGATTATGATACTTCAGATCGACTTTATTTTGAACCTTTGACATTGGAAGATGTTATTCATGTGATTGAAGCAGAAAGAGTGGATGGAATTGTTATTCAATTTGGAGGTCAAACTCCATTGAAGTTAGCCATGTCTTTGCAAAAATATCTGACCTCGAAAGAAGCCAAGGATAGTGGAGTTGAGGCCATTATTTTAGGCACGAGTCCAGAATCCATTGATATTGCAGAAGATAGAGATCGATTTGTTCGCATATTAAATGAGTTGAAGATTCGACAACCATCCAATGGAATTGCTAGAAGTTTAGAAGAAGCTCAACGAGTGGCATCGGAAATTGGTTATCCAGTAGTAGTTAGGCCAAGTTATGTATTGGGTGGTAGAGGGATGGAAATAGTATACAATCAACAGCAATTGGCCAAATATATGACTGCTTCTGTAGTTGTTGAAAGTGAACATCCTGTGCTCATCGATCACTTTTTAGAGAATGCAGTAGAAGTTGATGTGGATGCGCTTGCAGATAAGACAGGAAAGGTAGTCATTGGTGGGATTATGGAACATATTGAACAAGCAGGAATTCATTCGGGTGACTCGGCATGCATACTTCCAACTCAAACCATTCCTTATTCTGCACTAGTCACTATAAGACAATGGACAATAGCATTGGCCAAGCGGTTACAAGTTGTTGGTTTGATGAATGTTCAATGGGCAGTACAGGGCGATAAAGTTTTCATATTGGAAGCCAATCCTAGAGCTTCCAGAACTGTTCCATTTATTTCGAAAGCCATTGGAATTCCATTGGCAAAGATTGCATCTCTCTTAATGATTGGAAAGACTTTGCAAGAACTTGGATTCACTACGGAAGTAATTCCTAAACATGCTGCTGTAAAAGAAGCAGTTTTACCTTTTAACAAATTTCCATTGAGTGACATGTTACTTTCTCCAGAAATGCGTTCCACTGGAGAAGTTATGGGAATTGATTTTTCTTATCCGGCAGCTTTTGTAAAAGCACAAATGGCAGCTGGAACTCCACTTCCATTGGAAGGGACGATATTGTTATCTTTGGCTGAAGAAGATAAAAAACAAGGAGTTGCTTTGGCACATGACTTTATAGACTTGGGGTTTCATATTCTAGCTACTCGAGGAACCTATGTGCATCTTATAGCAGAAGGATTGAATCCTTCTCAAGTAGAAATGGCATTCCAAATAGGAGAAGGACGTCCGAATATTGTTGATCGCATAAAGAATCGAGAAATTCAACTATTTATTATGACACCGGGAATAGATAAGGACACAGAAAGTGAGAAACAAGTACGAAGGACTAGTGTTCAATTTAAGTTGCCTATGATTACTACATTGGCTGCAGCAAAGGTAGCTGCTCAAGGAATAAGAATATTAAAGTCTCAAGAACCGAGTGTGATTTGTATGCAAGATTATCACGCAGAACGTTTGGTATCCAAAGGTGCGATGGTTTCTTAGAAAAATAGTCCATTTTTTCATAAAAATAGAATCGATCTTTGTCCATTCTCACTTTCGTCATGTTGGTAAAAGTAAAAACTTTAACTGGAAAAGAAATAGAAATAGATATCGAACCAGGAGATAAGATTGAAAGAATCAAAGAACGAGTTGAAGAAAAGGAAGGCATTCCTCCAGCACAACAAAGACTTATATTTGGAGGTAAACAGTTGGCTGATGAAAAGTCAGCAAGAGACTATCATATTGAAGGTGGTTCAGTATTGCACTTGGTACTCGCTTTGAGAGGTGGAAATAGAGTAAGTTGATGGTCTATTTGGAGTTTGATCGATATAGATTGTGAAGCTGTTCTACTTTGGTTGGTTTCTATAGAATACACGATGTTTTATTTTTGGGTTCCTAGCGAATCAACATAAAAGACTCCAAAACCTTTTCCCAATCATTCACTATGGAGTATTTTATTATGTGTTTTGGAAGCATAATCAACTGCTTCTTCAATAGCACTAGCCCATCCTTCCATACCTGGTTCCTTTGCTGAGAATATCAACTTGAATCCAAACTTATGACAAGCATCTGCAGTAGTTTTACCAATACAAGCACTTATAGTTTTATAAGCAACTCGTTCACTCCAAATACCAACTGCAGAAGGTGAACCCAAAGCCACAATAGAACAGGACTCTGCAAGTTTCTGCTGTTCCCAAGTCCATTCACAAGGAACTGTAGTATAAATATTCCATCTTACTACTCGGCAACCTCGTTCTCTCAATATCTGTTCCATCGATGGAGAAGCCAAAGCAGAAGTAGGATAATACACTTTGGTATTCTGTTTCAATATGGGCAACTGCTCAGCAAGTGACTTTCCTGTTGCTATAGTTGGAATAAATAGATCGTTGTTATTCTCAACCAAATGATATAAACGATGAGCAGTACTCTTTCCTACAGCAGCTAACAATGGTAAGGTTGGTTTTCCACTCAGTCTTATTCGAAACTAAAGATTGATGAAATACTAAAAATAAGAAACTCAACATACTTCCAGGCTTCTATCAACATATCTGCTGCTTCAGGTGATGTTATAACCAACCAATTGTGATGGTTGTCTTTCAATTTGGCAATAGACTGAACCAGATGGTCAAACTCCTCAGTCTTTTCCTGTTTGACACAAGGAATAGATACAAAACTTTTCTCCAAACGATGGCATCAATACACAAGGCATACAATGACAGTCACACTCACTTGATATTTTTACTTTTCAAAAGATTAGCAAGCTTTTCATCCTTTCTAGGTTCTCTAGTAAGTACTACCAAAGGTCGTTTTGGAATATTTACTGAAAATAATGATAACCTTTTACAAGTTCTTCTATGAAAGAATAACTTTTTCTTTCCTATAGCAAAAGCAACAAATGCCATCTTCTTCTATTTGGAATGGCCATATAAATGTTCGGTGGAATGAATTTCTTGTGATTTGTGATTCCTTTCGATGAGATGTAACGACTGAATTTCTTCTAAAAACTGTTCATATTCTTCTTTTGGCATATGATATGGACTATATGTTTCACTTGGAAATTCTCCGTTACGTACTTCATCACGATAGTTTTCCAACGCCTCTTGAATAGCTTCTCCTACTTGAGCATATTTCTTACAAAACTTGGGAGTTACTTTAGCATGATGTGGATGTTGTAACATTCCACACATATCGTGATATACTAAAACTTGTCCAGAAGTGTATTTTCCGGCTCCAATGCCAATCGTTGGAATATTTAAAAGCTCCGTAATATGTTTAGCAACCACTTCAGGTACACACTCTAATACAATAGCAAAAGCACCTGCTTCTTCTAAAGCAATGGCATCTTTCAATATATCTTTTGCTTCTTTACTATTCCTTCCAAAGGAACGAAAACCACCAATAGCACTCACACTTGCCGGAGTCAATCCAACATGTCCCATCACAGCAATTCCTCCTTGAACAATACGATGCACAGTTTCTGCTACTTTCTTACCTCCTTCCAACTTCACAGCATCTACAGATCCTTCCTTGACCAATCTATAAGCACTCGACATGGCTTGGTCTGAAGAAATTTCATAACTTCCAAAAGGCAAATCTCCAACGATAAGTGGACGCTTACAACCATTAACGACAGCACGACAATGATGAATCATATCGGTCAAAGTCACCTAAAGCTGTATTTGTTAAATATTTGGAATCATTGAGACTCCTATGCTCTACCTTTTGTGTCGTATCGTGACCCAGAACTACCATCGCAACCGAATCACCAACCAACACTACATCTATTTCTGCAAGATCTGCATGTACAGCTGAAGGATAATCATATGCAGTTATCATAACAATCTTTCTCCCTTCCTTCTTCCATTTCCTCAAGTCTTGAAGGTTCACTCTTCGAGGTGGTTCTGGAGCTTTTGGTACCACCTTGAAGTTCCTTTGAGTACCCATTCCTATTGTGTTATAGTTGACAAGTCCAGATAAAGCTGGCCAAAGTCTTTGTAGGCTTGATAAGTCACTAAAAGCTGATCTTCTTTGGAATAGACCAATAAAAGCCATTTTATTCCCAAACAAATAATAATAATACTAATGATCCATAGAGGAATCTTATCACCCTTTGGTAGTACAATATTCTCCTCCATACTACTGAATACTACAACTAGACTTTTTATCACCACCAGAAGATGACTTGGGTGAACGACTACCCTTTGCTTTAGGTGAAGTACGATGAATATTTCGAGATGGACTTGTCCTATTCGTTGTAGCATGAGATTGTTGTTTTCTTTGCTCTTCTTCTTGAAGTTTCTTGGCTAGCTGATAATCAGTATCTTCAACATGTGGAGATGATACATGCAAAGAAGATGGCTGTTTTTCTTGAGCTTGTAATTGTGCAGCTAATTGTTCATCTAAACTTGCAGTTCCAGCTGTTGTAGGTAAAGAACCTGAAGTTTTAGCTTCATGTTGGATGGACTGAAAATCTGCAGTTACAAATTCTGAATCTCCATAGATAGAACAAACCTTCTCCCAAATAACATCCTTCTCTTCTGCAAAACCGATATCCGATATGAGCAAATATAGATTGCCCATATGCTTAGTCACCGTAGAGAAATGATTATTTCTGAAAAATACACACAACTCATTCTCCTCAACCAATTTGTGCAACTCTTCTAAACCATAAATGGTGAGTTGATTGCTGGTTTCTGTAAGGAATTCTCTTATTATGGTTGCTTTGGTTCTTGGACTAGGTTGTGTTATCGACAAGTTTGTAAGTTCGCTTTCCATTTGTTCTTGTGAAGTGACTTCCTTATTAGAGATATTCTCCATTTCAGATGACTGTTCTCGTTCCTCAGAATTCTCCTTGTTGGTATCTTCTATTTCCATATGAACAGATAAGTTTCCTTGTTCTGTTGAATCATCTACATGTGTTTGAGTTACTTGCTCTGTACCCATAGGATTCTCTCTTTCTATACTTTCTAACAAAGATTCATTGAGAGGCTCTTTCAAAGTGTCTTGAGTTTTTTCTTGTTGTTGTTGAACACTTGAATGTACTTGTGTGAGTGATTCTCCATCTGAATGGGTTTCCAAAGAAGATTCTCTAGTTGAAGGTTTCAGTTCATCACTTGCGACCAGAAAATCAACCAATTGATTATAAGACAAGTTATCTATGGTGGAGACCAACACGTCGTTCTTTGGGTCAATTATCCAACCATGTAATAAACGCACTCGAAAGGCATCAAAAGCGGATAACTCGACAGTATATTCAAAAGACTCACAACTATGAAATCGTACATTGACGTCTATTCCTGTTCTCAACCTTGGGATGACGCCTACCACGTCCAATACTATTTGTTCCAAGTTTGCATCTTGTCCAACGTTAGTTTGAAAAAGATAGTCTGTCAACAATTCTGCCAACTGTTGATATGCTATATAAGAAATATCGGCGTGGATGTCTATACTACCTCTCAACAACAAACAATTGACTGAGACAAGTTTTAGTTTCAAACCCTTCAAGAACAACGACTATTACCTATTGCTAACAAGGGACAAGGACCGTTTTGGTTTTGTAAACAAATAGCCGTATTTCTATCTTTATATTTGACTCTCTTCACACGATAAAAGTCTTCCACTTGTGTCGACATCCTCTTCCAAAAATGACAATCCTTATTTGTAATTGCGATAAAGTGTCGAACGCAAAAACTCAAAAGATACAAAAAACAAGGCCGAAGAACATATCTTGTAAGAAACACGTGGTCCAGCACCTCGCCATAAACTCCTCCATCCTTCTTCTCTTAATAGACTATGAACAGTGCCTAACCAAAAACGATAGGAAGATATACCAACATCACCAGAGTGCGTCATAATTCGAGTTTTCATAACATCCAACGGAGTTGTTAGAAACGATGCAACACCTCCAGCCAATGCCCCGCGAAAGAAGTTGTCACGCACTCTCATTTGTCTTTTTTCTGAAAATAAAAGTTTTGCATTTTCATAAGTTAAGAATAAAAGAATGGCATAGGGAACATCGCGACTGACTTGAGCAAGATATCCACGATAGAAACCTTTCAAACCCTATATTATCATTAACTTTTGAATAATCCAAATGTCATACAACATACTTGAGTTTGATAGATACGTCTTATTGCTTTGCCGGTTGAAAGATCTAATCCTGTTTGTAGTCTTTGTTTTATAGTTTCAGGAGGTACTCTTATGAAACCTGCAACCAAATCACCTATAGCAGCAGATAACGCAATTCCCACGTTTTTTGGTAACAAGTGTGTCTTTTCTAAGAATAAATATTTGCAACTCTCATAAGTACTTATATAAAGTGACTAAGCAATCAGTTCAAAACCCAAAAAAAAAGACTAAGCAAGCATATATATATATATATATAAAGAGTATTACCTGAGCAGGTATGGAGCCTAACCAAGCAGCGGGTAAACCACGAAACAGTGCAATTGGCTTTTCTTTCTTCAAAGCGTCCACTAAAATATCCACAAAGCGAACTTTAAATCCTAAATTTCTTGAGCTTTGAGCTCTCGTTTTGCAAGTATCGACAGGTTGTAGAATGGCTTTTGTGATCATGGTTGCCAAAGCAGAAGACAGAAAATTCTCCGAAACTATGACAATATATTGAGTAACTATGCATCACGTATAAGTGTTTGGTTTTTGTACCTTTGAAAAATGGCATAGTGGTATTTGGTTTGCTGGTTTGAGTTGCTTTCGATAGAGTTGCCATGTGAGGGTCGACTGCATTGACAGTTTTCAAATGGATCGATATCCAAAATGAAAGAAGGTATAGACTTGAGAATCCATCTGCTCTATTAACAGGAGACTTATCATAATATTATGGCTATGTTAGGATGCTTTTGAATGATATTGTTCCTGGTCCTTGTAAACTGAATTGTGATTGTTGAGTGACTATCTATTTATTTACCAATAATGATTCTCCGTCGTCTTATTTGATTGCCAAGAAAAGAGAGAGAGATGGGCAAAATGAAGCGCAAGTTTGCTCAAGTTCGACGTAAACTCAACCCAAAAGACCAAAGACTGAAAATCAAACTATGGAGTAAGCAAGATGCTGCTCCCATCGTTCATCAAACAAAAGACGAAGAAAAACTTCGAAATCTGCCTGTTCCTACAAACCTGTTTTTCTCATACAACCTTTCACTCGGTCCACCTTTTCATATTTTGATGGACACCAACTTTATCAACTTTAGTGTTGTCAACAAACTGGATATATTAAAGGCTATGATGGATTGTTTGTATGCGCCTTGTGTGGCTTGTATAACCGACTGCGTGATGGCCGAACTTGAAAAACTGGGTACCAAATATCGACTTGCTTTAAAAGTAGCAAGAGACAAAAGGTTTCTTCGTTTGAAATGTACACACAAGGTTTGTCAGTTTTTGAGAACCATCCTTTGAGTTGAATAGAATTCCTTAGGGAACGTACGCTGATGACTGTTTGATAGAGAGAGTACAACAGAACCGAGTGTATATTGTGGGAACTTGTGATAAAGACTTGAAAAGAAGAATTAGAAAAGTACCGGGTGTGCCTATCATGTATATTAAGCAACATCGTTATACGATTGAAAGGCTACCTGATGCCATTTTGGCACCCAAAGTGTAAACTCTTCATACTACTAGAAAAATATTTTTGATAAGTGGAAAAATACAAAAGTGCATTCCAGTTCTGATAGAAAATTCTCACTACTTTTTATATTCCTAGTCTCGATACATCTCAAGTTTTGTACAAACAGCCTTTAGTCAAAAAAGAAAGGCGCATCCAGAACACTTTGAATATCTAAAGTTCCTCTTTCTGGAGGTGGACGAAAGTCTACTTGAGGATAACGACTTCGAAAGTATTCATAAAGCTGCCATAATAAATTATTCGAGTGAAGCCCAACAAAAGTTTCTCGTAGAATCCGATTCATACGATCGACATCAGCAGCACTTGTCCAAAAGGAATCATGAACAGCTGCAAAATACATTCCTTCCTTCACACAAGCTGAAGCAGTCATCAACATATGACTGGAATCTAACGAATGAATATAATTGGGAGGAAAAGCCGTCATTTGTTTCCTCTTTTCTATAGGAAGACTTTCATCGTATAATTGCATAGAAACTATTTGCATGGCTGTCTTCACATCTAATCTGACTTTGCTCCTATAAGGTTGATAAATGGGAAGTCCTAGAGGAGTAATCCAACTAACAGCTTGTTTGGTATGAGCTATCTTTTGTGCACATTCTGAAAGCCATTCCATGGTCCTATCAGCAACTTCAAACAAGTTTCCAATACTTTCCAAAGTACGACTTGCAAGATAAGAACTAACTTTGAATATCCATTCCTTCTCTATCAACTTTGCTTCTCTAAGACGGTTCTCAATTTGCAAGCGAGCTCCTATAAGAGTTACTCCATATACGGAAGTCATCACTGTTTGCTTCACAACTTTTCTTGATAAGCATTTTAATGCCAATTTAGCTTCTTCCAATCCTCTTTCTGCATCCTTCTCTACCATCACACGTACGCGATCACATACAGCAGAATACACATCTTGTGGCTTATCACAAGGTAATAGATTTACCTTGAATGCACCTTCACAATCTCTTGCCAATGCAGCATAATGTTGCAATCCATTACAAGAACCGTCCATTTGAATAGGAACTGAGGAACAGTAATGGGACATCGAATTGCCTTGACTTGCTGCATTTGCAAATTCTACACAAGCAGCCAGAAATTGAAATGGATCTTCTCGAGTACTCCACCATTCCAAGTTGTTCGGATCAAGTGGGTCTTGGGCAACTTGAATGATTTCAAGAGAATGATTCTCCGTCCAACGTACTCTATCTTCAAAAGTTGCCTTGTCTTGTCCAGCCAAATTGGCTATGTGAACCTTTAACCAATATACACCTCTTTCCCCTAAAGGCTTTCCAGGTGATGCAAACATAAGCAAACCACGATGTAAATCGGAAGACATATGATGCAAAGTAGAAGGAATGGGATAGGCACGACCTCGAAAATCCATATTATGTGGTAAATAAAAAACATCGTATTTAGCAAACTAAAGGGTTGAATCAATATCAAATCAACTGAAAAAGAATATTTTATAATAACTTACCTCTCTTGCTTCCTGAAGAATGATTTCCGTTTGACATGTCAACGCGTGTCTCTCAGCCACCGCCTTCTTCGCTTCTCTTATTTCACCACGTATTTGTGTCATTTCGTTCCGAGGAAGCAAACGAAAGTCATTAAAGTTGATCTTTGGAACATCAATTCTCTCTCTATTCACTAAACCGGCTATACCACCTCCTCTTCTCCAAAGTTCTTCTGCAACTTCAAGTATCTTAGTATTCACTTTCCAAGGAGTTGCTCCCAAAGCATTGAGTCCTTCATACACTTTCGATAAATTGGCTGTTCTCAAAGCATTCCATTGACTTCTATGCGAATGCTCACATCGCATCAAATCAGAACGAATTCTTAAATAACCACCTGTTTTGGGACCCGTCCATGGTTTAGGAACTACTACCATAGGCCTCAATCTTGGTAGAGGATTCAAAAAAGGGTTGGAAAGATCTCGAGAAAGTATATCATAAACAATATCTCTGCATCCAACCAAACCTTGTAGCTTATTTCCATTACCTCTTACAGTCTTGTGCCAAAATGCAGAAACAAACTGAGAATCTGAGGAAGCCTTTGTACGAACCAAAACTTGTTGGGTGGGAGCATTCTTCAATAACATGTCAACTAAATAACTACCTACTCGAAGAGTAGTTAACTTATCCCAAAATGCCGCATTTCCAGTCAATCGATACGCAAATAAATTGATATAAGGACGATGACCATTCTTATCATTCTCATTTCTTTTCAATAACTTTTTCAGTTGATGCAATCGAATTCTAAAAGAGTTGGAACTTTCCTTTGATTCTGAAGACTCTGTCAACGTCGTATTCGTATTATCGACTTGTTTGTTTTCCATAGTTTCTTGATGCACTTGTTCATATTGTAACTTCTTTCTTAGTCTTTCTAGTTCTTCTGCGTTACATTGAGTTTGAACTGCCTTTCCTACTTCAAGACACAGACTTAAATACGGGTAACCCTCTTTTCTAGGAACAGTCAAACGAAGTGTTTCTTGGATCGTTATAAGGGCAAGTTTGGCAGGTTCCAATCTCAGTAAGTGAGATTCATCTTTGGTCAATGATATTTTGACCTTCAAACGTTGTTGTTCTCTCTTGATGGCAAAAGCTAAAGGACTTAACCAACTCAAAATAAGTCTCTGAGCTGGGCTTAACCAACCAATATCTCCACGTTTCACAGCTGTTTCTAACAAATTTCTAAATCGATCTAATGACTCTTGAAGGCAAGCAAATTCCAATCTTAATTCTTCTGCATACTTTGGATCCTCTACTTGCCTCTTTCTAACACGAACGACTGCTCCAGAAGGTCTCGTTCGAACAGAAAAAGATGACGAATCATTCAGTTGGTATTCACGAAACAACGAAAGTTGAAATAAATCCGAAAGTGCAGCTTCCGGTTGGTTCCCACTTTCAACAGTATGATTCCACTGTTCTTCGAATATCTCATACGGATTCTCCAAGGCCTCATTAACTATGGTAGCGTTTGCCAAGTAGTTTTCAGTCGAATAGTACTTTGATTGCAAATAAGGGAGTTCTAAGTCTGCATCTGGACCATATAAATGGTCTTCCTCTTCTTCCTCTTCTTCTTCAAACATATCGTCGTGAAGAACTTCCCGAAGACTACTTTGTTCTGACACTGTTCCTACGTGAAACTTTTGTAAAACCGGCTTTCCGGTAGAATAATTACGAGAGTTATATATTCCATCGTTTGAAGAAGAAATTGAGAAAATCAGAAATCGCCCAGTGGCGCTCTTTTCTTTCAAGTGCGGTGCCTTTTGCCTTTTAGTTAATTGAGTCCCGTTCTTTCTAGAAGGGAAGGCCAACGACGAAGCGTTGACGGATGACCAACTGTCTTCCACATCTCTGACAAGTTTAGAGTCTTCACCTACTTTAAGCTCAGTTGGTTCTCCTATCACTTCCTTCTCTGACAGAGTTGTAACCCATGAGTGTGAGGTGGCTACACGCGTTTGCTGAAAACAACGACTTATAATACTACTACTAGTAGCCTTAATATTATCTATTTTATAAAAGCTACAAGTTTCCTTCCATAAGCATACTCGCATTGGATATTCTTATTAAACCAACGACGACATACTTACATCGTTCCTCATTGGAAACAACGTCGAATCCTTTATGGAGATCCATGTGAGTTTGCTTTTTTATTTTCAAGCAAGTAAACTCAAACGTTCCTCAAAACTTTCCAATTCCTTCAACCACTTGCAATCAGGACTAACTCTTTTCAGTTGTCTTCTATATGCGTCCATTTGTTCTTTAGTTTTACTCAAGTGACAACTGGTTACTAGGCAGTTTACAAGTGCAGGTGGATAGTTGGGATTCTTAGCTACCAACTCTTGCAAAATATTATCTGCCTCTTGATATTTACCTTCACCTATATATGCTGTGGCTAATCCGTTCAATAACATATCAGAAGAGCCATGACGTTCAGAGAGTTCTGCAAATATATATTCTGCCTCACGATAAGAACCTTCTGCTAGATAGACCCAAGCAGTTGTGAGATGAGTTAACACTGCGTCACCTTCAAGTTGATTGAGTCGTTCTGTTAATATTTTGGCCAAATCTAGTCGGTTCATTCTCAATAAAATCTCCACTTCCAACGCCGCAGTTTCTAAAGTGGGTTGACGCTGCAACAACTCAAGTGCTTGTTCATAGCGACCTTCGTGAACAAGAATATTTGCAGTTACTATCTGATTTCCTCCACTAAGGTTACTTTCTATCAAGTCGTTTACTTGTTCCAAGATGTTGGGACGTTCCGAGGCATCTTTCAAGTATATAGCGTACCACTTTAATACCTTTGAATCGTCTTTGTTGTCTTCTTCCAAACTTTGAATAGCCTATGAGCCATCTTATTATAACGCTGCCAAAACAAATATACCAAAAACAACGTTACCTCATCATAGTTTCCTTGTGCTATTTCAATTCTTGCCAACAAAGCTTGCTTCTCTTGAGCTAGTTCAGGACCGGGTTGGACTTGAAGAGCTTCTTCTTTTGCTCTCTCAAAGTTGTGTAAGTAGAAAAACGTGCGCGTCTCAAATAAGTCGTCTATCTTTTCTCCTATCATTTCCGTTGAAGAGATTGAATAAAACTTTCCAATTCTTGTTGTGCCGTCTCATCGACAACCAAAATGCCTTTCTGAGAATCACTCCATAAATGTACTCCAAGTTCCTTTGCAAAGTTACAAGTTTTCTCAAAGCATGTCATATTATCAAAGTGGTCCAATAGTAAAGCATGTTTGGTCGTAACTCGAAAGCGTTGAGCTTCCCATAACCGTATCTGATCTATAATGGTTATAGGAAGTTTTCCTTTCATATTCGGATGCATATGATTCTGTAAATAAGATATCATTTGTTGTGCAGTTATTCCATTATTAAGTGCTGTTCGAATGCTATCTCTGGTAATAACACCAACTGCCATATTGGGTAAGCGGTATAGGAATTGAATGAATAAGGAAAGCAACGAAATCTGAAAAGTACAATTGGTATATACATAAACACGAAAATTGGTCTGCACAATCATTCGACAGTCGTTGTCCACATTTGACCAGTCTTCCAATAAAAGGTAGTTGTTTTTGTCTCCCAACCAACATATCGAACGAGTCAATGTAACTCCAAGTGGAGTGACATAAAAGTAAGAGTCTTTCTCTAATGACGATGAAATATGTAAATAGATCAACCCTAAATCAGCCAAATAAGGAATATAAATTTGTTGCGTTTTAGATAACGTTTTCCAATGATAAGCAACTCCTGAAGCACAGAAACTCAATTCAAATAGAAACTCAACCATTTCTTCGTTCATAACTCTTTTTTGTAACTTTGTTCCTATCTTTAGATTCGTTTCATTGGAGAATAAAATATTCTCAAGAATAAACCAGACTTGCTCCCTTGTATCCTTTAATAGAAACTGAAATCCGACCGTAGTTATTCGAAAACCATCTTCAACTTGTTCTATCAAACCACTTTCCACTAAGGCTTCTATGATTCTCACGGAAGGTTCACTTTCCAAGGGTTCCAAACCCACAAGAAACTGCAGTATTTTGTTCCAACAGTGTCGTGAATACTGACTCAGAAAAGTCACATCATATGACAATTGCTGCTGACTTGTAGTATTATGATCCCCAATATCTGTTTCTTCTTTCCTAACAAAGGGAGAAACTACGTTACGTAATATCAAATCTTGTAAACTCTTTTGAAACTTGGGATTCATCTGAAACTGAACAGAGTTGGAGCCTTGCTTTCTATAAAGTATTCTTAAGTCTACCAAGTGATTCACAATAGTTTGAATTTGTGACTGTGACTGTTTTTGGAACCACTTCAATAGAGTACTGGCGTCAATTTCTTGTATAAATAATAAGCGTGTTAAAATGGCCTTTTGCAACGAGGAAAGTATTTCAAATATACAACTCGTAGCATAAGGACTTTTATAAAGTGTCTCTACTTCATCAGCCCACTCAGAGTCCATAAGATATTCTAATAAGCTTCCTCTGTTGGTTGCTTTCATCACAACAAGAATGCCCAGCGATTCTTCTGTTTCTTTTCAATGTTCTTTGAAAATTGTGTGATTGTGTTATTCTTTTATGAATGTCGGAAAAATTCTCCATGCAATGCTCTCACTGCTGCATCCGCATGAGTATCTTCCACAATAAAAGAAATATTAAATTTAGATGCTCCTTGAGATATCATTTCCACATCAATATTCTCTTTCCACAAAACTTGCATAGCACGTGCCAAAATCTCAGTAGAACGAGAAACATTCGAAACCAATGAAATGATTGCCTTTTCTCCTGAAAACTGAACCGAAGCAATTTTACTCAACTCTACTTCCAACTCCTCCTTATCTCTTGTATCGAAAGCTTTGGGATCCAAAGTTAAAGAAACCGAAACCTCGGATGTCGCAATCACATCGATGGAAACACGCCGTTCTCCAAACACCTTAAATAGTTCAGCCAAAAAACCATGTGCACCTAACATTCTGGTGGACTCAATGTCTACTAGATGACATTTTCGTTTCAAAGATATTGCAGTTACTGGATTCTCTGAAGGATGTTCTCTTCTACTCTTAATAACAGTTCCTGGATGCTCAGGATTGTAAGAATTCTTTACTCGAATCGGAATGTTGTGTCTCATAGCTGGTTGCATAGCAATAGGATGAAGCACCTTGGCTCCAAAATAGGCCATTTCAAAAGCTTCTTGAAATGTCACAAATGGCACAGGAATGGCATCCGACACAATTCGAGGATCAGTAGAAAGAATACCATCCACATCTTTCCACACTTGAACTTCACTACAACCTAAAGCTGCTCCTAAAGCTGCTGCAGTCAAATCACTACCACCTCGTCCCAAAGTGGTGATATTCCCTTGTTTGTCTTTAGCAATGAAACCAGTCACTACAGCTAACGTATGTTGTTGTACCAAGCGCTCAAAACAGTCTCTGATTCGTGAAAAACTCTCTTCTAAAAGGTCCGCATTCGTAAAATGGGAATTAGTAACAAAGCCTAGATCGAATGCATCAAAAGGCTCCGTTGGAAGTCCTTCAGATTGTCTCAAATATGCAGCAAATATGCGAACAGAAAGACGTTCACCAAAAGAAACCAAATAATCTTTAGTTCTAGGCGATAACTCTTTGATAAATTTGATACCTAATAGGAGTTGATCAAGTGTAGTCAACAAAGGATCCACTAGGTCTTCCTTCGATAAATGCAACTCTTCACAAGCCTGATAAGCTCTTTTTCGAATAGAAGATATATCTACAATTCCTTCCTTCAACGCTAATTCTCCAGCTTGAAGCAGCTCGTTAGTAGTCGTGCCCATGGCTGATAAGACAACTACGGGATACCTTTGAGTTTTCTCCAGTTGCATTCGAACAAGTTTGCCCACTTCCTTTAATCTTCCTGCATCAGCTAATGAACTTCCACCAAACTTGCACACAACTCGATCCAATTTCTGATAAGAAGGTTGCTTTGGTTCTGAAGAGAAGACTTCTCGAAGAGGAGATTGAGTATTCGATTTAGGTGTTACCGAACAAGCCCAGCGTCGGAAATGAGTTTTGGGAACTTGAAGAAAAGATTGTTTTGGAACCATCTTTAACTTGTGTGTTTTGACCTCAAATGGATGATGAGTTGTTAAGAAACCATATGTTGACATCTTCTGGCGGCCAACAATCTATCTATCTATCTTACTCCCAACAACAATCGTATAATGAGTTGACTTCTCTATCTCAACAAAAAACAAATATAGATAACATACATATATATATATATATATTTTTATATGAAAATCAACTTTATTGTGATCCAAAAATATCCACTTCTATAGTCTTCTACCACGTTTACCACCCTTTCTTCTGGTTCCATCGGTTGGAATGGGTGTCACATCTTCAATACGGCCAATCTTCAAACCAGAACGAGCCAAAGCTCTCATCGCAGACTGAGCACCAGGTCCTGGTGTTTTACTCAACTTGCCTCCGGTTGCTCGTACTTTAATGTGAAGTGCAGTAATACCTACTTCTTTGCATCTTTCCGCGACCTTTTGTGCAGCAGTCATCGCAGCATATGGGGAAGACTCATCTCGATCTGCTTTTACTTCCATTCCTCCCGTTCTACGTACAATGGTCTCACGACCAGAAAGATCTGTTACGTGAATGAACGTATCGTTGAAAGAAGCATAAATGTGAGCAACACCAAATAGGTGCTCACCTTCGCGAAGTGCCGGACCAAGTTTCACTTCTTCTGCAGCTTCTTGTGTACGCTTTTTAGGTGCCTAACAACATTTTCGTTCGATTACTAGGAAACAAATATCAACTTTACTAACCATTTTCGTTCAATACGACGTCGAGCAAAAACAATGCTGCGTTCGATCCACACCCCCAAACAACGATGTTCAATGTACAAGGAAAATCTTGCATGACGATGTCTTCATAAGAGCCTTGTTCTCCTGAAACACTTTCACGGGAACATTAAACAGAAAAATCAAGAAAACTCTCTTATCTGAACTTTTTCAGAGAAGAATAATATGCATGGTATTTTAAAAGGGCAATGAAACAAATGAACTAGAGACGATGTCATTAAAAAGTCAATTCGTAAATATTTATAAAATCATTGCATAAAGTTGCAAAAATTTTTCTCTTAATGACATGCCGCCGTAGCTTAGTTGGTAGAGCGTCGCACTAGTAATGCGGAGGTCATGAGTTCGAGTCTCATCGGTGGCTGATACTTTTTTGAAACAATTGCTTGTGAAGAAAAAAATAGGGATGGCGGTTTTCAAAGTTTTGTGGTATAGCAAAAGGCTATGAGTTTGAGTTGGTTGCGCTCTATTTTTGTTTCACCTTTACTTGAAAGTTTGAACTATTTTGCTACTCAAGAGCATTTTACTTTTGCTGGTGACACATCCATACTACTTCTGAAACAAACCCAGTCTCGCAAACATGCGTTTGTAGTAGAAGTAGATTTGAAAGCGCATACACTATGGATATCAGACGGGTCTTTTACTGTTAGCTCGGTCATAACGGAGGAGGCTGCACGACACTTGGAACAGGATTCGGAGTATGTCAGTGTGGCACAACTTCGTTTGGGTGAGATTATTTTACGCAAGTTTGACTTGGTGCTTGAGCATTTAAAGAACAACTGGAAACCTAAAATAGTTATTCATCAGTTTTATTACAAAGGGGAAATATTTGCTCCATTGGAAAATAGTTTGGACTTGGAACGCGATCCTACAGTTGGTCATCTGATAGAAACGTTTTCCAAAGTCATGTTAGAAGTGGGTAACTACAAAAGAGAAGCAGTGTTTCTTTTGTCTGGTTTATGGAAACAGGCATTCGAGTCGTCTAGAAGATGGAGACGGTTTGCTACTTGCAATGATATTTTAAAACTGGGCAAATTCGTGGAGGAAACGGCCTTTCACCAAGTTGAAAACGGAGTGGAAAACAGTATACCGTCATTCTCACCATGTTATGATGGAAAACCAGTTTCGTCCACAACGATAAAACAAGAATGCTATGAACTGAACAAGGATGATGATGAATGGGTGACAATGATGGCAACAGCTCAACCCAATTCTCAGTCATTCTTTTCTCCAGAGTCTCCACCACCATCATCCTTTGAAATTCAAGAAACCAATGAAAATGACGACACTCAAAGAGTTCAATCTGCAAACGAATCATGGACCCACGATGGTATCGACCAATTAGAGGAATATGAACATCTCGCAAACATTTCGACCAACTTGAGCCATTTTCCCGATGGTAAAGAATATCTTACACAACGTTTACAAGAACGTCAACTTTCACAACCATTTTCTGCTTTTCGTTCAGAGGTAGATATCTCACCTGTGGACGATATCTTGTCGAAACAACATCATTCTCAAAACCTAGAGATAGTAAAGGTATTTTCTATGCATATCCATGACTCGACTGATCCAAACCAAAGCGAGTTCAAAGAACAGAAAAAGATTTCTTCGATAGAAGAGTTGCTTGAAGAAAGGGAAAAGTGGCTTCGTTGTTCTTCTATCTACTCATTATTGAATCCTAAAAAGAGAAAAACCATTGCATAGTTCATAGTCTTCTATGAGTTTTATTCACATATATCATTTGAAATGGATATTATCTTTCATAAATGCTTCTAAACTGGCAATACATTCTTGACTCCAACCAGCGACTGGATTTCTCAGTAACTGTTGGAAATACTCGGGGAACGTAGCAATCAGTTTGTACAATGATAACTCAAGAGTATCCTTTATAGCGGAAGCACTTTTGTATTCTTCAGAAGACCAACGTCGGACCAGGCTAACTCTTAAATAAGAAGATAATGCCATGTGACATTGCAACATACTAGAAATAAGAACTGGTAATGAAACTTGTGCTTGGCCATACTTGTCGTGATCTCGACTTTCCGCTGTTATAAAGGCTATGGCTTGAATAGCCCATCTAATCTTTCGTTGTGCACCAAAGAGAGGCAACTCTAGCGAAGATTTTTTCGTATCCTTCTTGGCAACTTTGCTATCTTGACTTGTTTGGTATGTTGATATGGGCACTTTCTTAACTTCATTTACGCGCTTCCTTACCACAGAGCCCATACCAAAACTGCGAAGTTCTTCCAATTTCTGACGATCCGAAGTTGCTTCATTTACCTGTTTCCCACTATCGGGAATATCTGTTTTCAAAACATCATTCAATTCTTTCGTTAAACTATCCATACATTCTATGCAACTCATACAAACGATTTTCCATGTTTCCCCAGTAACATCCAAAAACAAGGCATGACAACGTTTCGAAAACCGAAGAGCTACTTGATACAAATCCAAAAATGCCAACCAGTTCACAATGGGTTGCCTTTTGCTAATTAATCCTTGGATTAGCCATTCATTGGTGCCTACAATATGACGAAGATGTTGAGGAGGCTCAAAGTCGATTCTTTGGGATGCAAATACTTTGAACATTTCTAATCCTATGAAACAATGGAAAAATAGTATCGATACAAGAATAACGATAGCAACCAAACTTGTTCCATCCGAAATGAAAACCAAATTCTTACACATGAACTGTCGATAGAAAGCATACACTAAAAGGATAAAGACAAAATAACCAACGGACTTGAAAGTTGTAGACAGAGCTGGATAAAAACGTTCTTTACAACGACGCACCCAAGGCAATAGACAATGAGGAAAATATATAAGAAATCTTTCATATTGAACTTGGAAGCTGTAGATCAGTCCAAAGAGTATTCCTATAAACCCTAAACGCAAAAGATTGTCTCCTACAATGATTTGACCTTTTTTAGAAAATACAACAGTGCTGAAAGCAGGAACGAGAAGAAATCCTGCAAAGGAACATGCGATAGCATGAATCCAACAAGCAGAACATTTTATGCCTCGGAAAAATCTTAAACGCAAGTTTCCACGTGCCGTAACTGGAGATAATACCAAGCAATCTGAATAAGACAACGCCAAAAATCCTGCAAGGCAAACAAGACAACCAAGTCCTTGCGTAGTATAAACTGTACTCGAGGCAAAAGGCTCTCCATCTTGAAGGGTTGAAAGTGGCAAGCCCAACACCGACGGCAACCACAGTTGAGTAAGGAAACAGTACAATCCAAACGATAGTAACTCCAAAGAGACTGCCCTTACGAGTGCTCTTCCATAAACCAATTCTTCTGTAATTGGACTTATATGAGCTGCAAGTGTTGCCTCAACTTGACTGGTTTCAGCTACCGACATGCATCAACCAAACAACGAACCACTAAAATTTGTCATCAACTTGGTTTACTGAATTGGAATGCTTTTGCTTTATTATTCTTACAAAATACTTTTAAGATTCGAACTAATAGAAATGAATACTTTTTCTATTTTGAAACCGAATGTCATCGAATTTCTAAGGAAATATTTTTGGCGGGAACTTTCTGCATTGATATTGGAGTTATTCGTCATTATCTCTCTTCGTGGATAATGAACCAACTTTATCAGGAAAACAACCAAAACCAAGTAAAAGATATTGTGGCTGAAGAAGTTTCACTCTTGTTTTTCAAGTTTCTAGAAACATTTGAAGATGAAAATATAGGAGAAGAGACCCATTCATTTGTATATTACAGACAGCTAGAGGAACTACGTCAAAATGAAAGGACTACTTTATACATCGACTATATGCATATCATTCAGTTTGACGAGACTCTTGCTAATGCAATCGAATCCAATTATTACAGGTAAAACTTACAAAATATCCTCGAAAAACTACTGATTTGATCAACTAAGATTCGAACCTTATCTACGTTCAAGTGCTACCGAGTTTGGTAAAAAACACTTTGCAGAGTATATGAAGACAGAACAGGGTCAAACAAAACAACTTTGGGTTTCTATCTACAACTTTCCTCAAGTTCACAAGCTTCGGGACTTGAGAAGTAACAAAGTAGGTTCGCTGATGGCAATCAGTGGAACTGTTACAAGAACTTCGGATGTACGCCCAGAGCTTTTAAAAGGCTGTTTCGTATGCAAGAATTGTGGACATCAATCAGAAAATATTGAACAACAGTTTCGATACACGGAACCTCCTATCTGTACAGCTTGTAACAGCAAACATAATTGGACTTTAGATGTGACCAAGTCTCTGTTTGTAGATTGGCAGCGCATCCGCTTACAAGAAAATTCCAATGAAATTCCTGCTGGTTCCATGCCACGTACAATAGATGTGATTATACGAAATGATGATGTCGAAGTTGCCAAAGCAGGTGATAGATGTATATTTGTTGGCAGCTTGATTGTTATTCCAGAGCCTACCAGTTTGGCCGCAGCTGGAGAAAGGATTGAATTGACAGGGCCTAAAGACTTCCGAACGGAAGGTGTTACCGGTGCAAAGGAATTTGGTTCTCGAGAACTCAACTATCGAATATCTTTCTTAGCCTGTTATGTTTGTCATTTAGAATTGTATTCAAAACCTAGAAGTCTTCATCGCACTTCTGAGATAGAAGATGATGCCGAGCTTGTTATGGAATCCTTTTCAGCTGAGGAGCGACAAGAAATCTTTTCGATGCGTTCAACTCCCAATTTATATCAAGCATTGGTAGATTCTGTTGCACCCACAATATATGGACACGACGAAATCAAAAGAGGAATCTTACTGATGCTCTTTGGTGGAGTTCATAAAGTTACTGATGAAGGAATGAACTTACGAGGTGACATCAACATTTGTATCGTTGGAGATCCAAGTTGTGCGAAAAGCCAGTTTTTGAAATACGTTTGTAACTTTTTGCCTAGAAGCGTTTACACATCAGGAAAGGCTTCTTCAGCTGCTGGCCTGACTGCCTCTGTTGTGAAAGATGCAGAGACAAATGAGTTTTGTATGGAAGCTGGAGCTCTCATGTTGGCAGACAATGGCATTTGTTGCATTGATGAATTTGATAAGATGGACTTGAAAGACCAAGTGGCCATTCATGAGGCAATGGAACAACAAGTAAGTAGCCTTGCTTGCTCTAGAGCAAAACTCATATATCTAAATTACCTTTGTAGACAATATCCATTGCAAAAGCAGGTATTCAGGCAACCTTGAATGCGCGAACTGCAATCCTAGCTGCTGCCAATCCTGTTGGAGGAAGATACGATCGATCGAAAACTTTAAAGCAAAATCTGGCCATGAGTGCTCCAATTATGTCACGTTTTGATTTATTCTTTGTGATTCTTGACGAATGTGAAGAAGTTTCTGACTATCATATCGCAGAATATATTCTAAAAATTCATCAGCACACTCAAACTACTACTACAACTCCATTTTCGCAGGTACTTACAATATTTTCATTTTTATATATACATATATGCAAATAATCCTATTAGGAACAACTTAAACGGTATATCAAATACGCAAGAACTTTACATCCTAAATTAACAGAAGAAGCCAACCAATTGCTCGTTCATTACTATCAGAGAATACGACAAAGTGATTCACAAGGTGGCAAGACTTCCTACAGAATAACTGTACGACAGTTAGAAAGCATGATTCGACTATCCGAGGCATTGGCTCGTTTACATTTAGATGATCAAGTGCATCCTAAATATGTGAGAGAGGCGGCAAGGCTTCTTAAAAATAGCATTATTCACATAGAATGTGAGGATATTTCTTTAGAAGATGAGAATGTACTTTCATCGACTACTCCTAACACACAAATACCATACGAGTCAGTGGCCAATAGAGAGAACAGGGAGCCTAATAATCTATCTTCCGAACAGTCAAATAGTGCCAATGAAAAGAAAGATAAATTACGAATCAGTTTTCAAGAGTTTCAGATATTGACGAATCGAATAGCTCTATTTCTAAGAAGAAAAGAGGCAGAGGGAATTGCTGCTGTTCCTCAACGTGAAATTGTAGATTATCTATTGGAAGTAGAAGATGAAGAATCCGAAATTCAAACGGAACAAGCATTATTAGAGCAAGCAAAGAAAATGAAACTCGTAGTCAATCGCTTGGTAAAGAAGGAACGAATTTTGATTGACATATCACAAAACGATGATGAGACAACTTCTAAAGAAGAACGACTTTTAGCTCTTCACCCTAATTTTGTGTTGGAATAAATGTCTACCAACAACTCATGTTTCTAACAGATATATTACAAGTTGGTTGAATCTTCAAAGAAGCCAACGACTGCAGTCCAATCACCGGAACAAAATACTTTTTCCACATGAAAGTGATCTAAGCCTTTTACCAACCGAGGAATGGCGCTGGGTTGTAGAGTACCAATACCTAATTGACCAGCAAAATTGGCACCCAAACTATATAATTTTCCATCGGTTGTCACTAAACAAGAATGATTAGAGCCTGCAGCAATATCTCGAATTCTTCCATTTCTAAGACCATCTAACCAACTTATACGAGACAAGTACGAAAGCTGAGCATAATTATGATGTCCCAATTGTCCCCATCGTCCAAAGCCACAAGAATAAACTGTTCCATCTTTAATAAGAATAAGTGTATGATGAGCACCACAAGCAATATCTGTTGCAACTCGTTGTCCAATTCCTTGCACTCTTTGAGGAGTTGGACGATAATCATTTCCATCCTTCCAAGGTTCCTCTTTATTTCCCAATTGTAGCCACTGATTACTACCACAAGTCCAAACACTGCCATCTTCCATTAAGAATGCTGAATGTGCATCACCACAACAAACCTTTTGTACTCGAATGTCTTTGGGTACAACAACAACTCCTGGAGTTTCACAATTATCTTCAGATGTAACTTGACCTCTTCCTAGTTGTCCAAAGGAATCCGATAATCCCCATGAAAGTACAACACCCTGTTTGGTCAAAGCCAAACTATATCTAATTAGTCAAAACATAAGCTCTCATTCTCCATTACAACTTACCAATGACTCTTTCCACAATGAATATGATCTACTTTATGTTCTCCAATCCAATTTCGAGATACCTTATTCAACACAGCAGACTCTGAAAACTCAGCTCCAAACAATTCACCTTGTTGGCTCCAAGCCAAAAGTTTCTGACCTATTGGTGATAAAGCTATACCTCTAAAAGCAACATTTCCTGATTCCAATTGGTGAGGTTCGCTATCTCCAAAAGCATCATCGACATGAAATAAAGATACAACTCCTTTCTTTGAAAGAAAAGCGAAGGACGACTTCCAATACAAGACACTTTGAATATCCGGACATTTTACTTGTGCAATACGTGGCAAAGTGGATTTCCTACTAACTGATGTCTTAGAAATATGGGTGGAAGCAACTTCTTCATCTAGATGCTTTGTTGTTGACGATGGATCGTTTAGACTTCCCCAGAATAACAGTCGAGTAGCTTTCACCGCTTCGTTTTCATCTTTCGACTGAAAGGAAAACCAGGAAAATAGGTTCCAAGGTTCTTTCTTTTTAACTTCATCAACAACTGTTTCTGCATAAGAAACTTTGTAAGAACACGAGATAGCTATTGTAGCGGCTACAAGTTTTATTTTCCAAGACATTGTGGATTGCAGTTTGGATCATTCATTTTGTTGGGTCTCATGAAGAGAATGGCTGTTCCCAGCGACTCTAAAAGTCTTCAAAAACTTCACGAATCACCCAAAGATGAAGAAACTTTAAAAACCTTTACAGAATCAGCTAGTAATACTGGTGCTTCACTTGGAGACAAAAAGTGTTGGAATTGGAGACAAGTTTTCTTTTCAAAGGCTTATTGGGGACTCGTGTTGCTTCGGTTGATTTTGTTATGGTCTCCAGGTTATATTTCCAGCGATGAGTATTATGTAAGTAATATGATGTATCTTTCAAAATCTCAACTAAACAACTTATAGTATACGGACTGGGCTAGTAGAGATGTATTGGGTTTGCCCGTTGTTGTTCCTGAGGAAATGGATCTCAGTCCTCCTTGTCATTCAGCACTGGCAATGTTTCTCATATCAGGTTACCCTTTGTATCTATTCAAGTTACTTAAACAGTCTCTCAAAATAGAACACTATTTGGTTAGTCTCTGTGGAAGCAACTTTGCGAATATTATCTTTCGATCGGGTTTAGCAATATTTTTGCTTCCCCGTATTGTTTCATTTCTTCTATCCCTGTTTCAAGATATTTTAATCCTAAAGCTTTGTGAGAGGAAAAAGTCTTTTGCAAGGAATGCATTGTTTGCCTTTGGTCTTTCTTGGCCAGCATTGTGTCTATTTCCAAGACCGACCACTGCAATATGGCAGTCGATCTGTCTCTTAATGATACTCTTATCTCTTTTACGTGTAGAGAAGATAAGAAATGTTTTTTCTCTTTATGCTTTTGCCACAGCTTTGGGAATATCCATCGACCCAACTTTTATTATATATGCTGCAGGTCTATTACCTCTTCTTCTATTCGGCTCCAATGCTTCCCTTAAGAAGTATATGATCGCTGTTTTCATCGGCTTGGTTACATTTCTATTCACGTGTTTCATCTTTATTCTATTTGACTCTTTCTACTTTGGTACTTTGTACATTTCCCTAGCAGGAAAGGTTATCCACGATCCACTGGAATTGTGGAACCAATCAACAGATTTTCTTTCTCATCATCATTCATCTTTGAAAGAGTTGTTGTTTGCTATTTCTCTACGAGGCAAATTATTGGTAACTAGTTTCAATTATTATGCGACAGTGGTTCCTTGGAAGTCTTGGTTACGTTTTCAGTTTCAAACTGATTTTACGCATATTTTGTATCATTTACCGGTGTTGATGGGTCCCTGTTTGTTTCTTTTATTCGGATATATGGCAAGCAATTCAACCAGCATGTACAAAGAGTTGATGGACGAATACAAAAAGATGACCGCCACAGAGTCCAAAAAAAAGAAAAGGAAAAGGGCATCCAAGTCGTCTCAATCCAAGAAACAACAAGAAGAAGCCTTTTTTGAACCCATCGAGTTGGCCATCATGTTGGCATTCTTTGCCTTGTCGTTTTCGCATCCACAAGAAATCACTCAACTAGCACCCATCATGATATGTTTATCCATGATGACTGCAAATGACGTGTTCGGTGCGAAGAAGAAAAGTTGGATGCAGCATTTGTTTATCGCTTACAGCGTTACCGGTATCGTGGTTTTTGGAATATTGCATCAAAGTGGAGTGGTGTCTTGGTTATTACGTGAAAGTATTCAACCCACAGTGAATGCTTCCCATTTGGTATACTATCGAACGTTTCGCCCACCTCCAAGTTTACTCGGTGAAAAACTTGGACAGTTTCAGTTGTATCATTTTGGAGAAAATGTGACGTCGGAACAACTCTTATCCTTTTTGTCCGACCTAGAAACGATGAGTAACGACCAGCCCATCTTTGTGGGTACATCAGCTTCTGTGCCTTTACATTATGACGAATTGCAAGCGCAGAAAACATTACCATTTCATTTAACTGTCACAGACTTGCCTTCAACTTCTTATGGTCTATTGACTGAAAGCAAATTTGTGATATATCGCTATTGGTCAAGAATATCAGCAGCAGTACATGATACTACAGTACATGAATAAAGCATTTAAAAACACAAATATGACAAGGCTGTATTGGAATAATAAACCTTCTCATAACAACAAAGAGTTGAACAATATCAATTTCAACTCAAAAAGAAATTTTTAGGTCCCACCGAGAATTGAACTCGGATCTACAGATTCAAAGTCTGTCGTGTGGGTCAACAACGTTTCTAACCATTACACCATGGGACCAAACAATAAAAAAGAAGAGTTTTGAATTTCTTTGAAGAAAACGACGTGTTAACCCTTTATCCAATCAATAGCTTGTTGCACAATGCAAGTCATATTAGAGTCAGGACCATAAACTTCAATAGGTATATCTAATTCATCTCCAAGTTCTTCCATTAAGCGTAGTCCCGTTTCGTAATTGGGGCCACCACGTCGAACAAAAACTTTCAGCTTTGCCACTTGAAGTTTTCCATGAAAGTCCTTGAGAGCTTGAATAATGCCAGCAAACGTTGCAGCAATATCTGTAAAGTTCGCAACGCCACCTCCAACCAATAACGCACGCTTCTTTCCATCGGGATATCTGGTTGCTAAATCAAGAATGGTTCTAGCAAACAAATAGGTCTGCACAGGTAATAAGTTAACCAAATTGAAAGGATACAATATCAATAAACTCTTCATCTTACCTCTTCTTCTTTTGGATTACCACTGTATTCTGCATAATTTGCCAATTCATCTCCCATACCTAAATCAACTACAGTATCAGCGTAAATCACACTCGCCCCACCACCAGCGACCATGGTCCAAATATGGCCTTTTGGATGAATCAGAGTGAGTTTCAAAGATGCACCAGACTTTTCGTCCAAAGAACGAATAAACTGCTCTTCATCTGTAAACTGGGAACCCCAAGACTATCAATAGGAAATGAAAAAATGTCAACAAAGACCAACTCATACTATAGATAAAAGCTACCTCTGGAAATTCAATCTTCAACCATTTCTTTTGATTTTTAAACACTGCATAGGTATCCAACTCACATCTCATATCTAAAGGTATCACATGATTTCTATCATTCAGCGTCAATGGATTCATTTCCAGGAAAGTCATGTCTAAATCCTCAAAGACCAAATAACAGCCTTTTATAAACTGCTCCAATTGCTCACGAATTTGGCGGCTTATGTCTTGGTTGGCCAATAAGGTATCCAAAACTATAGGCGATTCACCTGCTGGAATGACGACCTTGAGTTCATGTCGTCGTTAATAATGCTAAACTAACGTATAGAGATAAATTCATTGCAAATACCTGTTTGACTTTATCCCAGTGTTTTTCAATATCGATACCTCCACAACAACCAAAAGACACCAGATTACCCTCTCGACAAGACTGGATAGAAAAATAATACTCAGCGTCATGCTCGACAAAGGGTTCTACGATAAAGTGAGTTATCCGACCTCTTATTCCTTCGACCTAAAGCAAGTCAGTGATAGCTGCTCACTCAAAAAAAGCAACGCCAAACCTCCAAACTAGAACCAATTAAGTTTTCGATAGCTTTGGAAGCCTCTTCCAAACTTAGATTCAACTTTACAAGATTACTCTTTCCGCGCTTGCCAAATAACATATCTGGTTTCACCACCAGTTTATTTTCCAACAGCCAACTCTTGTCCTTGCTCCAGACGTCCAAGTGCTGATCGCCAAAACCATTTTCTTGCAAGGTAGTTTCACCGTCAACTTGAGTCTGGTTGTTTTCAAAGTCAGAAGACATATCCGCCAACTCTGTCAGAGAAGGACCTCCATATGTTACTTGAATAACTTGAACAGGAATATGAATCCCTTGCAAACGTTTCAAGTGCCATGTGAGCAAGCGCTTTGCGTCGTATTCTCTTATCTTCTTTCTTGCCATATCCCAATTCACCACGAAAGAAAAATGTATAAAATTGGCGCCATCTTTAAGATTTCAATCAGTCGAGAAATCTAATCAGGAAATCCACATATGTGATATATTTATATATATGTGTGTTTGTGTGTTTGGGTGTAATGATTACTTTTAGATTTCCTTTCTTTTTGTTACAGGATTGAAATGCTCTTGAAAAAACACACTTCCAACAGCTCCATTTTGACATCCTAGGAAATTTGGTACAACATGTCACTTTTATGACTAAGATGGGACTTCCATAATAATGAGGCCGTATTCAAATTTTGGCGTTCAGGATTGAGAGACCGATATATTTATTATTTATTTCCAAAACGATGAACGTTCCTTCCAAATCCCCTGTACAACTTTTTTCGAAAGAGACTCAAGCTATATTCTTTAACTATAAGCCGCAACCCATACAACGTATGCTAGACTTTGACTATGTCTGTAAACGGAAGAATCCTTCTGTTGCTGCAATCGTAAACCCTCAAAGTGCAAGTGGCGGTTTTCAAAAGGCGTTTTTTGGACGATGCGAAATAGCCATTCCAGTATATGACTCGATAGAAGAAGCCTCCTCGAAACATCCGAAAGCAGCCGTGTTTATCAACTACGCTTCCTTCCGTTCCGCGTTTGAATCTTCTTTGACAGCCTTGCAGCAGCCAACGATACAAACTGTGGTTATCATAGCAGAAGGAGTTCCCGAACGAAATACCAAAGTGTTGATTGCTCGAGCGAAACAATATAACAAGATTGTCATAGGACCCGCCACAGTTGGTGGAATTCAAGCTGGATCATTTAAAATAGGAGATACTGCTGGTACGATAGAGAATATATATCGTTGTAAACTGTATCGTCCAGGTTCTGTTGGTTTCGTATCCAAGTCAGGTGGACTATCAAATGAAATGTATAATGTGCTTGCACGAACGACAGATGGAATATTTGAAGGTATTGCTATTGGAGGAGACACGTATCCAGGTTCCACATTAGCTGATCATGTTTGGAGGTTTGAGCAGATACCTAATATAAAGATGATTGTTGTTCTAGGTGAATTGGGTGGCAGAGATGAATATCAAGTTGCGGAAATGGTAAAGAAGGGACTCATAAAAAAGCCCATTGTTGCTTGGGTTTCAGGTACATGTGCCAGTTGTTTTCATGCTTCTGAGGTTCAGTTTGGACATGCTGGTGCTAAATCTGGTGAAAGTGATACTAGTGCCTTATCTAAGAATGCTGCTCTAAAAAGTGCAGGCGTACATGTTCCTGATTCTTTTGAAGCATTTGCGGAACACATTCAACTTGTATATGAACGTCTGGTAAAAGATGGAGTTATCATTCCTGCTGTTGAGATTGCACCAGAAATTCTTCCAAAGGACTTGCATACTGCTTTAAAAGAAGGTCACATTCGAAAAGCAACTCATATTGTTAGTACGATAAGTGATGATAGAGGAGAGGAGCCACTTTATTTAGGGATACCTATTTCGGAAGTGATTCAACAACAAATGGGTATAGGAGATGTTATTTCTCTGCTTTGGTTTAAGAAAAAGTTGCCAAGATGGGCATCGAAATTCATTGAAATGTGCTTGATAGTTGCAGCAGATCACGGACCTTGTGTTTCTGGCGCTCATAATACTATTGTTACAGCCAGAGCAGGCAAGGTATGAGGACTTACATGATTCAACTGTACTATTCTAACTTTATTGTTGATGATAGGATTTGATCTCTTGTTTGTGTTCAGGGTTATTAACTATTGGACCTCGTTTTGGTGGTGCTATTGATGATGCAGCAATCAACTTTAAGAAAGCCTTGGACAATAGTGTACCACCAGATGTATTTGTAGAAGATTTGAAGCGTCAAGGCCGCCGTGTGGAAGGAATTGGTCATCGTATAAAGACAGCAGAAAATCAAGATAAACGAGTTGAGTTACTTTGCCAATATGCAAAACAGCATTTTCCAGCCATGAAGTATTTCAATTACGCTCGAGCCGTAGAGTCTTATACTTTACAAAAGGCTAACAATTTAGTATTGAACATTGATGGCTGTATTGGCTCACTTTTAGTTGATTTACTTTCTTCTTGTGGTTGTTTTCATGAACAAGAAGTGAAAGAAATATTAGAATTGGGTGCCTTGAATGGTCTTTTTGTATTAAGTCGTTCCATGGGTCTTATTGGACATGCTTTAGATCAAAAGAGAATGAAACAGCCTTTATATAGACATCCTACAGACGATGTTTTATATGCTACCGAATGAAGAAGTAATGACATTTTCCTCGTCTTCTCTTTTTTTTTTGGAAAATAAAAGTTGGGTGGAAAATTTTTTTCGTATATGGAATGGAAGAACATAATGCTTCCAGTTCTATGCCTCGTTTAAAGTATTCAGGGTCTGAAATATCAACCAGTTCTTTGGGTAATCTTTCTAGGACTTCCAGTGAGCAGGATGTGATACAAATAGACTCTCTTCAATGGAAAGAAGATTGGCAACACTTGGAGAACTTGTGTCGTTCTTATCAAGAACGTATTGCTTCCTTGGAAGATGAGATTCAAGCACTAGTCACAGCTGAAACTTCACAGTCTTCTATTTTGAGTCAATATAAAGCAAGAAATGCGGATTGGAAGGGGCGCGGTTGTATGCAACGTGAACACAAACTCCCTCGCCTATTGGAAGAAAGACTTTTCACTATAGCCATTCATCTATTTGAAGGTGAGGTCCTAAGACTACGGCAAGAACTTGAAAGGACTGTGCACCATTTGGAACAATTGCCTCAGACTGTGGAAGCAGCTGATCGTTTGATTACTCAAGAGTTGCAAAGGATACGCTTATTGGATACAGTTATGCCCACTTTTCAGTTTCCGGGAAATGCAGTAGCCTTTGAAGCCATTATCAAAGGATATTCCACTGTTGAGGATGTCGAATATGTCAAAGAGTTGTGTCTTATTCTACAAACCGGAAACTGGGAACAACTGTTTACAAAGTTTTTTCGTGCAGTTGTTCTTTTTCGGGATCATCAGTCCATCGAGTTGCAGAGAAGAGATAGAGAGTTGGATCCCAGTTGGTATAAAGAACCTTGGTATTATACTTATGTTCAATATTTTGGTACAAAAGACAACAATCGAAGTACCTTTGATGATCTTATCGAAATGTTACCGTATTTGGAAAGTTTAGGGTTTCGTAATTTATATTTGTTACCACATTATGAGTCACCTCTTGCAGATGGAGGTTACGATGTGAGGTATAGTTGTCTTTTGAATTCAAAGCACGAGTATATAAAAGTATTGTGGATATAGTTCTTATCGAGCTAGAAAGAATCTGGGTGGTCAGGAAGCTTATTTAAGGTTTATGAAAGTGGCAATTTTGAAAGGTTTTCGAGTAGCTACGGATGCAATATTGAATCATACTTCAGTTGAGCACAGTTGGTTTCGACGAGCTAGAAGAGGAGATAAGAGATATCTTGATTATTACTTGATAAGGAATGGTAGAAAGAAGATTGGAGAAGTGGAACGAAATGGCGATATTATTTGTCGTTATGAGGATCCTGATAAGACCATTAGTGAGAGAGTTTGTATATTTCCGGATGTGGATCGCACACATGGCCTTTTAGTAACCCAAAACAAAGACACAGTTGTACAATTTTATCGAAGTTTTTATCCTTTTCAAGTAGATTTAGATCTCCGAAATGTTTCTGTGTTGGATGAAATATTTCATATTTTAGGTGAAGAAGTCAATCAAGGCATATTAGGAAAGAGAATGGATGCCATACCTTATTGGATAAAGAAACCAGGAACAAGTGGGGATTCTTTAAAGGAGACTCATGTTTTACATTCTCTTTTGAAGACTTATTTAAAGCATCTTTCATCTCGAGTTGTTATTATTCCAGAAGTAGTGAAAAGTGCTTCATCTGCTGCATCGTTTATTGGAAAAGAAATGCAACTTTTGGGACAACCATGTAGTTCAGAAGGTGACTTGTTATTGGCTTTTGAAATGCAGGTAAGAAATAGAACAAGTTGAGATAAGGAATCCATTGTATGAAATGTTTCTTATTAGGCCCAATTGCGAGAAATGAATTACTTACAAACTGTTGTTCCATTTTGGAAACTATTTTTTCAGTTGCCTCGATTACCTTCCAATGCAGAATGGCTCAATTTGTTAGAACATCATGATGAAACCTATCTTAGTTTCTTCTCAGATCAAGTAGGAAACTCTTTTTAGAATGAAAATGGCTTACTTATTGTTATAGGTGAGACCTTTCATAGCTTCCTATATTGAAGAACATGGAGGTGTAGTTTATAAGAATCAAACGAGTGCTGGTTGCAGATATGCCGATTGTTTGAATCATCATGTTGAGAGATTAGCAACAGCTATTTTTACTCTTTATATGTGTCCAGGAGTTCCCTTAATCTACTATGGCTTAGAGATTGGATGGGGAAACAATCCTTCACATGCAACTTTTGCACAGCATTGGCAACAAGAAATATTCAAGAAATTTGAGTTGCATATGTCAGAAGAGAAATGTTTTGATCCGCGAGAGTTGCAAAGAGGTCCTATTCCAAAGACTAAGTTTGAGGAAGCTATGAATGAGAAGATCCCAACCATTGAGTTGATACGCCGATTGAATTATTTGAGAAGGCAAAGGAATAGCCTTTCAGCAACTGCTCAGGTAAGTGAAAAGGCTATTTTTTGTATTTATTACTCATCTTGATAAGATACATCCTGTTGATTCCGGTCATATTTGTTTGTTCAGCATGATTCGAGTTGCCATCGATGATGAGCCGTTGTTATGTGTTGCCAATCTTTCCAACAATCAGATGTGTTTGACTATTCCTAATTGGCAACTTAAGCAATATCTTTCAGTAAGTGAGAAACAAAATGAATAGGGATACAATTGATTCTCTTTGTATAGATTGACGAAATGACGCATATTGCTATGACTGATTTACTAACCGAACAAAACGTTGTCTTAATCAAACAGAAGGAAGACCCTCATTATTTATTAGACTTGCCTCCCTTTTCAAGAGCCATTCTAAACAAGTACATCAGATGAAGCTGCAAGCCTAGAGGGAATGAAAAGCTTATTCTTCGAAGATGAACAGCACAAGAAGAGTTCAAAACATGGTTGGAAGTCTAATTGATTGTCAAAAGTATATAAGATAGCTGTCATTATACTTTAAATGATATTTGGAGAATGGCATTACTACTTGAATATGTCTTGCTTTTGTTTGATAACCTAGACACTAGTGAAAACCTGCACAAATACCACAGTATATATGAAGTTGGACTGAGCTTTGTAAGTCTTCTCTGTTTCGTAAACTATCTTCGACACCCAAAACATGATTTGCAAATTTCATTGATAAAATGTCTTCCATAGCTTAGATGCTTTCTCAGGCTGTAGGAATAGTTTTAGGTGTGCACGCATGCTTCTTACCTTTTCTTTGGTATTTACTGTTGCCGAGCATTTCTTTCGATTTCACTAAACTTGCATAGGTGCTTTAAGAGCGCACCTTTTTGTCCTTCTACCAGCACCACAGTTTCTACTTTCATAAAAATCTGCAATGATTTCGTTGCAAGTCAAAGAATTTCACCTGATCGAGTGAAAGTTGTTGACCTTGGAAGTGGAAGTGGAACTGTTCTATTTGCAGCAGCCAAGCAGGTATACTGAGTTATTTGAGTGTCTAACTGATGGTAACACTGAAAGTAAGGGGTTTTGTTCTGTTGGTTACGAAAGAAATCCTTGGCTTGTTGCTTGGACCAGGGCAAAAATAAAAACTCAAGGTAAGACTTTGTTGACTTTTGTGTCCATCCGATTACTTGTCTCACACTTCGTTCTCATTCATGAAGGACTATCTTCCCTTGTGAGGATCTATCGACAATCTTTGTTTTCCGCTGACCTATCTGACGTGAACATTGTTTATTTCTTTGCAGTACCTTCCATGCTTTCTGATTTAGTTAGTATCTTTATTATATTGAGTTGCTTTATAGACATTCTTTAGGAAAGAAAGTTAGATGATGATTTGCCTATCAATCGTCCTGTTCTTGTAGTGTCCAATGGCTTCTCATTGCCAAATTGGAAATATCAACAACTGAAGAAAGGTTTATATATTTATTTGCGCGAACCGAAAACAACAAAAGTGGAATCAGAAAAGAATATGAAAGATATATTTCAATAATCTTTGGACGAATACAGTTTATAGAACATGGACATCATTCTCGCAAATATCGCTACCGTTGTTCTATATAAGTGAAGCCATCAAAATAGTTTCTGCTCTTCTCCTGAGGAAACATATCTTTCATTCCCTTCTTATTCTTCAACTTTGCTTCCATCTCAGACATGTCAAAGTCGGCTTTCTCTCCAGTAAAAGTATCATCAAAGTTGCCTGCGTAGAAGAAGAATGTGAAGATGTCTCATGATATATGTGATCTTGCCTACCAATATAGTCATCTGAAAGCATTTGTGGCTTCCAGGGTGCCGAAATTTCTCTTCTGTACAATTTTTCGAAATCTATTGAGCGAAAGAAAGAATGTTCTTTAATTTCATCGGCTCCCTCTGATAACATAATGAGATAAGCATAACATGAAATAAGAAAATACTTACTTGGTCCACTTCCCAACCGCTTATGAGGGTCGCGTTGCAACAATGCCTGTATCAAATTTCTCGCGTCTCTATTTCATGCCAATAAGAAATGACAACTTAGCTACAGGATAAACCTTACGTAGAGAGAATGCTGGGATCATTGGTGAGCTTAAGCTCTGCTTTAAGTATCTTTTCATACATCGAATTCAAATTTTGTGAATAAAATGGTGGCAACCCTGTTAACATTTCACAAATCAAGGTACCAAGAGACCACCAGTCAACTGGAATCCCATGACCCGAGCCATTCAGGATCTAAAAGTTACTTGAGTGCTAAAAAACAAATGAAATTATCCAAAATCTACCTCTGGGGCTAAATATTCGGGTGTACCACAAAAAGTGCTTGCCTGCGCTTCTGGATCGTTCAGAATCTTGCTCAAACCAAAGTCGGCAAGTCTGATGTGACCTTCTGCATCTAACAAAATATTTTCGGGCTTGAGATCCCTATGACAAGGATTCAAAGAAACAACTGAGCTACGAATCTTAAAACTTACCTGTATATAATATTTAATGAATGAAGATGTTCCAGTGCAAGAAGTATTTCAGCTGCATAAAGCCTTACGCGCTCTTCTGAGAAACGTCCTTCCTTCTTCAAATGGTAAAACAGTTCACCTCCACCGCAAAAGTCCATCTAAACTAACTCAAAACTCAACACATTTTTGGAACAAGTTGGTTCTTACCACTAAGTACAATTTGTCTTCTGTTTGAAAGGCATATTTCAACGATACTATATAAGGATGCTTGATGTGCTGCAAAATGCTTCTTTCTGCCCGAGTATGTTCAACCTGATTTCTAGCAATTATAGTACTCTTTAACAGAATTTTCATAGCAAAAATCTTCAAAAACTTTTAAGCAAAAATAGAATAATTTCAAATATATCTACCTCCCCAGTATTCTTCTTGCGAACTTGAAGCACCTTAGCAAAACTACCCTTGCCGATGGTCGCGATGGGTTCAAAGTCATCGACACTAACTTTTGCTCCAAAAAGCGTCGAAGTACTATGTCTGTTTGCTACTGACATTTTCCAAGAATTGCTTTCTGAACGCCTTGAAAGAGAGGGTGCTTCTCCCTCAACACTCCTAGTGACTTCTTTCTTTGGATATCTGCCTTGGGATGAGTCGGAAGAAGGACCTCTCCACTCGTAAGAACTCACATCTGCCTCTTTTAAGTCATATGCGTGGGGTGGTCGACTTGGATGTTTCACGTTTCCATAATCATCTTCGGTTACTGCGGCAGCATAAGCGCCTGCGTATCTTTGCTGTTTCTTGCTGTGTTTCACACTCAGTTTCTCGGGAACTGGAACCTTATTTCCCATGCAAATAACTTCTTTGGCCACTTCTTACAAAATACGAGCGGGAGTTCCCTAGAAGGAGTAAATAGGTTGAACACATACAAGGCATCTACAACTCATGCCACGAACTCCAATTTTTCAAAGAAAATGACATAAGAGCGGAAATGAGTGCTTCCAGCAACAACAGGGAATGCTAAGAGTCATGATCTTTGACTTGCAAAGAAAACAGTTGTTGTATAATATTGCAAATGTCTTTCCATCATTTTGCACCAACGAAAAATACTTGAAATGAGTTTGAGGGCTAACAGATTCCAAGGTCTAACTAAAAGCCAAAATTGATAACTTTGTATTCTGTAAAAGAATAGTACAAATAACTCATTTCAAAACTTTAGAAATATGATAATTTTAGATAGATACTTTAAGGACCTTTGTAAATGGCCATTCCATTTGTCTCTACAAGTGAATGTCACCTTATTACAATTTTGCCATTTTATATCTTAAACACAGATATTTGATATTCCGGGAAGCCCTAGAAATAAAACTACCTATTCACAGCTTTATCATGATTCTAAAGAAACTCTGAGAATGAACATGGACAATACCAATGCCAGGAGCAACTAAACTATCCTGTATTACAAGTTCCCTTTCAACTCTCAGTCCATGATTTTTTGAAGAAGTCTCTTCTAAAAAAGGCAGTAAAGTGTCCAAGACCATTGCTATAAGATACGGAAGATAACCATCGCAGAATACTGCATAGAAGATTATTCAAGCTGTAGAGACAAAAAGAAATGTAAAAGAAAGTACTTTTTTGACATACGTATTATACGGAGTGTCTCCGAAATCGATTGACTGAAAATTTTTGTCGAGCAAGGTCTACAGAGACAGAAGAATGGTAGTGAAGGAACTGACGTCGAAAACAGACTTTGATCACGCTATCCAAGCAGATAAGTTGGTACGAGAAGGAAACTTTCTTTTTAAAGTCATTAAAAATTTATCTAGGTCGTCATAGACTTCTATGCAACTTGGTGTGGACCTTGTAGAATGATTTCTCCCTACCTCGAAGAACTTTCTTCGGACGCTACTTTGAACGAAAAGGGTGTCCTTTTCTACAAAGTCGACGTTGACAAGTTAGCCGATGTTGCACAAGAAGTTGGTATCACGGCGATGCCCACTTTTATTTGTTATAGGAAAGGGAAGAAGGTGGAAGAGCTGGTTGGGGCCTCAAAGGACCGACTAAAGCATATGATAGAAAAAAACGCCTAGTTCGTTTTTACTTTTGAAGTATTCAAATCGTTTAGTATTTGTTTCTTTTTGAAATATGTGGTACTTTTGTTGTTATTTTGTTTTGGCGTGAATATGGGTTGATAAAGGTAACATTTCAACCACTCAATATGCGTTACAGCACTCGTCAGTATTTACCAAAAAGTTCCTGTGGTGGTCTCCTAATACTTTGAAAATTACCTAGAAAACTACTTTCCTGTCTCGAAGTCAGGATTTATCTCCCAAGTGGTAAAATGTGTGATATGTCTAAAACGAAAACAAGTATTCATATGTATTCCTGATCACAACAACGACTCAACAATATCTGTTGAAGCTCCTTATGTCGAAGGTAGTGGAGAATAATGTGACAAGTCTATCTTTACCAACTCACTTGTAAGCATTGTCTCAAGAAACAGAAACCGAAGAAATGTAAATGTTCTCCTTTCGGAAAGATTGAAAGTTTCATAGAATGTCATACGAAACGGCCCAAGTAAAGAGAAGAGAACCTCAACTTTACAACATGAATGTAAATTCTCTGTATAATATTTTAAACTTGACTGAGTGTAACTCTGCTTCGATACAAAGAAAATTGAAAGACTGCATAATTATTTGGAGCTCCGGGTCCATATTTTAAAAAGAATTCTTAGATTGTTTCATCACATCTCAGTGTGGTGTCTACTCAAACAGCTGTTTATTAACTCACTCTCTTCTGACTCCAGTTTTATATCTTTCTGAGACTATTATTTTACAACAATACATATGCTTCTCCTATGACTGGGTTGATGACTTTGGTTCTCAGTCCAGAAACTTGAATCGACTGTGCGAAAGCTTCCAAACTGCCCTTTGAGAATATTGCTCTGGAAAGCAATCCAAAAGTATTCAAGTCATTATTCATCAAAGGCACAAGCTGATATGGTTGTAGATGTCTTACGATGTTCAAAACACTTCCTGGATCGTTTATTAGGTCGAATTTAAAGCCCATCCATTTGACTGCAGCATTTACTACCGGAACAACCAAAGTATCTAATGATTTCATTCGCAACTCATTTAAGACCTTTTCAGGAACATTTCCGTGAGGTTCATAAAACAAACGGAAATTCTGAAAAGTCTCAAAGAGATATCCATTTTCTGGTACTTCATATGGAGGTCCTACTCTTGAACCCTATTCAGTATTTAATAACAATCGACTCTAAAAGTGCAGCTCATTTCCAAAAAACAAACCTCGTAAGCTGTAATTTGAACTAAATTACGAAAGCAGAATTGGTCACCATGCCTTAAAAGCTGTACATTCTTGAAACCGAGTTTTTTGCATATTTCAGCTGCCTTCCTGGAAGCTGCCACTGGAATAGTCTTGTCTATTTGCTCCAAAGTTGGCACATGAGTATGATCAGGAAGACCTTGCGAAAGAACAATCAGGTCGATTCTTCCAAAATCTTCCAACTTCTTGTCCTTGAGAGACTTTTTAGCTCCTGAAAACAGAAATTGGGGACCAAAATGCAAGTTGCCAACGAGCCAAGGGTCTACGAAGACTCTCAAACTGCCAACCTATCCTAAATAAGAACTTTGTGTATTCTATATAATAATACGTACTTGTAGACACCAACTGTTGCCTTCAAAGTGAGTGTAAGAGACACGTGTGTTACAAGACACATAACGACAACCAAGTAAGGTACCTTTGAAACGACGTCTTTTTAGTCTGTTCACAAAATCATAGTATTCTGAAAAATTCTGTCTATTTTCTTGAGGTAAACATAGAGTAGTTACAAATGAGCTTCGATCACTGCAAGTAGTCGAGTAGAATCTCATTCTTTCTTTCTTGAAGGAGATGGCAAAGCTGATTGATGGCAAAGCTATTGCTGCAACTATTCGAGAAGAAATAAGGGTATTTGTTTCCGTTATTGCTTTGCTAGTCTAGTTTTCAAGGATGACTCCAGGTAGAAGTTAGAAAGATAGAAGCGTCCGTTGGTAAAGTCCCGGGACTTGCCACGGTACTAGTAGGGAATAGAACAGACTCTACCACTTATGTTCGAATGAAACGAAAGGCTTGTGAAGAAGTCGGTATTGAATCGTTTCACGTAGAACTTCCAGAATCCGTCTCCGAAGTAAGACTGCATAGAGTAACTAGTATCCAACTCACTTATTTTTCATAAAGGAAGAGCTTTTGAACTGTGTCGAGAGGTTCAACGCAGATCCAGCTGTTCACGGAATATTGGTTCAACTTCCACTTCCGAAGCATATCGACGAGGAGAGAGTATGTTTTGCAAAATGAGTCACTTTTGGATTTCTTATTTTTTCAAGATTCTTTCAGCCATATCTGTTGAAAAGGATGTGGATGGTTTCCACCCGTTGAATATTGGAAGACTGGCCATGAAGTCAAGAACTCCCCGGTTTGTGCCTTGCACTCCGAGAGGTTGCATTGAGTTATTGGTTCGAAGTAACGTCAACATCGAAGGGAAGTGTGCCGTTGTGTTGGGAAGAAGTAACATAGTAGGGTTGCCGGTCTCCTTGTTACTTTTGCACCGTAACGCTACAGTCATTATTTGTCATTCCAAGACCCAGGAATTGCCATCTGTCTGCCGTCAAGGCGATATTCTGATTGCTGCAGTAGGACGTGCCAATATGGTGAAGAGAGACTGGATAAAGCCCGGTGCCGTAGTTATCGATGTCGGTATTAACTCGATTCCCGATGCTTCCAAGAAAAGTGGGTATCGACTGGTAAGCCCAAGGAGGTTGTTTGTGTATTGACAACTAATTAGAGTCTATATAGGTTGGTGATGTTGATTTTGATGATTGTAAGGATGTTTGTGGCATGATAACACCGGTAAACAACTTACTTGACCATATCGTCTCCAAAATAAACTTTATTAGGTTCCTGGTGGGACTGGTCCAATGACTATTGCCATGTTGTTGAGAAATTGTTGTGATAGTGCCAAAGAGGCATTCGGTCTCTCGTAAATGAAATGAGACTTCACCCTTGTCTCGGAAACTTGATTGCGATGCATTATATACGAAATGCAATAAAACAATCTTATTTGTTAGAAAGGAAGTTGCTGCCATACCGAAATCCATTGTTGACTATGAAGTATTAGATAAGCTGCCACACCAGCACTATACCCTATAAAAGAATTTCAATCTCACTTTTCAGTCATTTTTTTGTACTGATTATTACCTGCAAAGGCTCCTAATGTTGCCTTCTTCAGATACCAAAAGAAGTCCACTTTTTCAAGACCCATCAATGCAACTCCTGCAGCTGAGCCTATAATGAATATACTTCCTCCCGTTCCAGCACAAAAAGCGATAAGTTGCCATAAAGTACTGTCTTGTGGAAATGTGACAGAATCGTACATTCCCATACATGCAGCCACTATTGGGACATTATCAATGATTGAACTAGCCAGTCCTATAATAAATGCAACGAGTTCTAGCGAAGGAACTTTTTCACTAATATAACCTGCCCAGTCTTTCAAAATTCCTGCACTATCTAAACAAGCGACACATAACAATATTCCAAGAAAAAATAAAATACTGGCCACATCTATTCTATTCAAGGCCGAAGTAGTCTTGAGATGCTCTCTAGTAACTGAAAGATTGGAGTCTTCTGTAGATTGTCCTACATGTAAGACATCTGTAAGAAGCCACATTGTTCCTAATCCAGCCAACATGCCTAAATATGGAGGAAGACCTGTTATTGCTTTAAAAACTGGGACAAATAAGAGACTTGCAACACCTGTTCCCAAGACAAGGCGTCCTCGCTTGTGATCAACTGGAGAAGAAGAATGTTCAGGTTGAATGAAATGCACTTTCTCCTTGTCTTCTATTTGCCTCGTATATATTGCCAATGAGATAAGCAAAGCTGTCAATGAAGGTATAAATAGACTATCCATGACACCAAAAGTTGATATATGCCCCTGAATCCATAACATTGTAGTAGTAACGTCGCCTATTGGAGTCCAGGCTCCTCCAGCATTGGCAGCAACAACAATTGCTGCACCAAAAAGACGCCTTTCTTCATCTGAAAGATTTGCTTTGCGCAACAATGAAACCATGACAATAGTACTAGTAAGGTTATCCAAAACAGATGAGAGTATAAATGATATCGTTCCAGTAATCCAAAGTAACACGGACTTTTTGGAAGTCTTTATCCAATCAGTCACCAGTTGAAAGCCACGATGTGCATCAACAACTTCTACTATAGTCATTGCTCCAATAAGAAAGAAAATAACTTCCGCAATCGAAGACAAATGGGAAGATAGCGAGTTCTGAATGGCGTCCAACTCGTACCCTTCTTTCGTCGTACTATAAGTAGACCATAATATCACCGCTGCTAACAGCGATATAGCAGTCTTGTTTAAAAGTAATATTTCCTCAAAAATAATACCACAATATGCAACAAAAAATGTAATAGAAAGTGCAAGACTTTGATGCTCTGCCAACCACGAATGCTGCAGTAAAAAGGCACCTGTGGTCAGTAGAAATAACAATGCAAGAGTTCTAGGAACATCTTGTTTTGTCTGATCCTCGGTTGAAACCTTTTCACCTTCGTTCTTTACAGGTTTTCTCCATTGCTCACTATGTTGGTTCTCTTGCAATATAGATATGTTACTGTCTTCCACTTCTTTATCATCTGAGTAGTTTCCAACTTTCTTGCAACAAATCTGTATCAAAGATACCCTCGCAAGTGAAAGTTTTTTTGGTTTACGAAAAATATCAACAAAAGTCCTATTACAGACAGAAGTTCGGAAATATCGTGCTTGCTGGCAACATTGAATGAACATCGGTGATAGTATTGCCAATAGCCAATTTTGTTTCTACTCGCAAGCTTTTTCACAGTACAACTCAACAAGTGCTTTATTCACAAAAAAACATAACACAACAACAAGTTTCCAACTTGAAAGTTGGGGTTGTTCTTACTCTGCGTGTATTTCTATCGTCTTTGCGTCTTGTTTTTCTACATGTCTCTTAGGCATAGTCACAGTAAGTACACCGTCTTTACACACCGCTTTGATTTTGTCCTTCTCTACTTGCGGTGGAATGCGCAAAGACCTCTGAAAGCTTCCGTATGAACGCTCCATCCTATGATACACGACTCCATTCTTTTCACTTTCCGACTTGGCTTCGTCCTTCTTTTCTCCAGAGATAGTAATAACTTCCCCTCGGACTTCAACTTTCACGTTTTCTCGGCTAAGTCCTGGAAGTTCAACATATGCATAGAAGCCATCTTCCTTTTCTACCAAATCAACCCGAGGCATCCACTGGTCTACTGCCATATTTCTCGGTGTCATACTCCACGGTGAGCGAAACATGGCCCAAGGATCCTGAGCAAAAGCTAAAAGTTCATCAAAAGCCGAGTCCAAAGTACGCATAGGGCGCGAAAGCTCTCTTCTTTCAGGATCACCTGCCCTCATTCTCGTCGAACTCGATAATAGTCTTGCGGGTCTTCTATAGTTGAACACTTTCACCATTCTGGAGCAATCATCTCTTAAGATTTCTTGAACGACAAACATTAGAAAAGTTACGAGCCAAGGCTTGTAAGTTTCTCGCAGGTACACAGTGATACACAAACATTATTGCAGAAGCTAGTTCTTGCCACAGATGAGGCAAGAATGAAGCAACTTACATACTTAAAAATCTGATGAGGAAGAATCCAGAAGAGTCATGTGAGATTTGGAATCTTCCAGAACACAGCAAACATTTAGACAAAGATCTTGTATATCGAAACAAATTTCTTGCAAAGATTTTTTCAGTTTCTGTCTGGACGCTGGAAAACTTGCAATTTTTTGTGAGTATAGTTATGAATTGTCTATTCTTCCAAGGAGCTTTGAAAAATTGGTTAGTTACTCAGGGGACAGAATCATGACAAAGTATCAACGCGTGTTGAAACTACTTGAAGAGAGGAAACAAACGAGAGAAGTTATTTACAAAAAAATTGCTCGCTGAGGTTACTTTTACAACGTGAAGTATTGGAAGATAATCGAATTATGGAATAGAATAAAAATGGACGATTTCTGGATTCGCTTGCGAAGGGAAACAAGAAGAGAACATAATGTGAGCAATACCCTGGTAAACCTAACCCTACCTTTTGCACTATCAGACCGTCGCGTATACGTTAAGGTAGAAAATCTGCACCTTAATTGGAAATATTTTTAAAGTTATTAAGGCGTTAGAGTCCTTTTATTATGTCTACTCCACCGTTGAAGAGGAGTTTGACCGCCAGAGAAGAAATTTTCCTAAAATAGGGGCTCTTTACTTTGAAGAGTTGAGAAGGAAAAAGGTACCTTTGTCAACATAATATGCAGTGGTTTTATTTTACTGAGTCTAGTTTGTTGCAGTCTTTTGAAAGGGACCTTCAGTTTTTCCTAGGAGACAACTGGCGCCAATTGTTACAGGAACCCAGTCCGACAGTGACGCGATATATTGATCATATTAGGCAGGTTTCTTCCGCAAAACCTTGGCTTATACTGTCTTATGTGATAACTTTGTAAGTGCTTCGTTCTAAAACCTCTCTGTTCTTATTTTGCAACAGGTATATGGCGCTTTTCAGGGGAGGTTCTGTTCTCCGTAAAATTTTGGTAGTTTCCATGGCTCTCGATAAAAATTCTGGAGAGGGCCTCGCAATTTATGACTTTTCAAATGTTAGTGATACAGATGCTTTCTTTAAGAAGTATGTTGAAACAGTTAATGCTCTAACTCTGTCGGAAGAACAAAAAGATGAAGTTATTGAAGAGAAAAGAGCTATTTTCTTGTGGAACGATGAGATATTCAATGAAGTGAGGAATGGTCCATATTATAAGGCTATTTTATGGAGGTTCTTTTGGTCCGTGGTTTTCGTTGTTGTTGTTGTTATCTTCTTTTTGAAGAAAAGAAACTACTGGTAGCCTATAAAATGAAAAGAGGACTATGTGGAACAAGAAGAGTGTTTGTAGAATTCATTGCAGGACGTAGTCTTCAACGTTCACCGCTTTTCAGAAAGGAGGCATTCCAGTACATGTTTGGTTGTTTCAAGCAGAACATTAAAGAATTATGTTTCGTATAACTATTAACTTGCAAAACGTTGTTTCGTGGTATATCTGTGGTCACACTATATTATTATGAAGATGATGATGATTCTGATCCCTCTTAGTCACCCCAATGGAAGCGGCAAGCAAAGAGGGAGTGGACGACATAGGAAAAGAGTCTTTCTGTTGCTTTCTATCAGGAACAACTTCAAACATTTATACAGATTCAGAGAAGAACATTTTCGTCTTGATTGGTTATCGTAGAATTTTATTGTTCAGTCATTCTCCGCATTTCGACAATACTCTTGACGAAATAATTAGGCTCCAATAGTCTTATTTCACTCATTCATTGTTATTGAAACACGTTCATTTCACTGTTTACAAAATTTCATTAATGTTGGTTCTAATTGACTGTTGCAAAAGTTATTCGTGGTACAAAGGAGGCCATACTTCCTATTGAGTTCTCCTTGATGCTCTTTCTGATTGGCAATAGGGGCACGACGATCTCAGGAACCACCGATGTCTTCCAAGTTCATTGCGGTGTGCACACTTTTTTTTATGCTCGACAGCTCGAGATATGTACCAGTAAAGAGCAAGCATAGACATGGACAGGGGTATCAGTAACTTCACTTGTTGTATATATTTCCATACAAAACGAAAAATAGCTATCTTAGTTCTATTTCCTTTGCTTATACTTTTTGTTGACTGCAGCTCTTCTTCAACAGACACAGAGTTGGTATCAAGGACACCTCCTTCCTTAGATTCGTAGTTCCTTGTTGTTCCCTGTTCTATCAGGTTTGCAACAGAAGGGAAAGTTTGAGTTTCCTTGGATATGAGAGTTTCCACCGAAAACAAAGTTTCGTCTTCAGGAATTAAAACGACGGCTCTACTCGATTCTTTGAAAGGTCTCAACAACATGTAGAAGGCAATAATACAGAAGCAAGAAATAAAAAACATAAAAAAGTTGCTTGTGCAGAGTCTTTGAATCTTCGTCTTGATTCTTGAAAGTCTGCCTGGTACTGGAAGTCTCCGTAGCTGAACGTTTAGTAATGATATTTCTAATTGTTGTTCTTCCTGTGCTCTCGTACTAAGGCCTGTAGTTTCACGAGAGTGCTCGAGGTATTGCAGAGACTCTAACAAAAGACGACTCTTCATTAGTCGTAGGAAGTCTTTTGGATAAGTCATGAGGAGATGAAACAAATATTGAGTTCTCTGCTTGTATGTAGAACTTTCAAACATCTGTTTTGCTATCAAACATTCCATTTCATGCTCTGATGATGTTTCTTGTCTAAATGGAACCATTTCTCTTTGACGCAAATGACCGATTTCATAGTAGTTTGGCCTTCTAAGCTGTATAATATGTGCATGTAGTTCTTCAAACTGATCTGGAGGAAATAATTCATATAGACAGGATTCAGATCGAGCTTCGTCGATCAGGAACAACAAAAAAAGTTTCCAATGATGCGAATTGGTTTCTTTAGATGAAATGAAATCGACTATTTTCTTGCAAAGGTCGAGAAAAGATTGTGAGGCCGTAACATTTTGCTTGCGAAACATGCGAATAGAAGAGATGATCCTTCGAATGAGCTGCTTTTGCTCAACTTGTATTTCATTTAGTTGATGTATTCTCGGATCTATCAAATAGAGACCAGTTTGAAAGTCCACTGGGGTCTGAACCAAAGAGAGCTGTGAGAATATAGTATTTCTAAAACCTGCTCTTAAGTCTCCCATAGTTGCTCTTCAAATCAAGAGAATTTAAAATGGACATTCTCTGGAGAGCGGGCTGCCGCCAAATGGGAACTCCTCGATTTCAAAATTTTTGAGCTCTGCACCATTATCTTTGGAGAAGTTCACAATGGTAAAACTAAGGTTAATGTTTTTGCACATTTTGAATGTTACATTTGGCAAGTTCTCCGGGAACAAAGTAATATGAACATGTTTCATATGAGATAGTGTCGCTTTCTGATATTAGAGAACAAATGTTTAGATGTTCCCTAGTTTCGAAGTTTGTCAAACTATAAAGTTTCATTCTGAAAATATAAGACGCTATCTCAGTGATGCTCACAAATCAGTAAATTTGCAACTTTAGAGATGTACACCTCAATTTAGCTGTATTATGATTCGTCAGTATCGTCGTCAAAAGTCCATATCAGAAATCCATAAATCTTCATTCAATATGATTGCTTAGGCTAACCCGTCTTTATTTTTTCAAACTTTAGCCTCTGAGTGAATCCTGCACACCTCCAAAACTATTAACCCAAAGATTCCCAATTCGTTTGTCGAACATAGAAGAATGGATAGATTCATATGAATAGAGAAAAGATTTACGAGTTCATAAAACTATTAGAGTTGTGCCATCTTTGATCCAACTTTTCTTTCCGAAGCATTATTCGGGAATGTTTCTCCTCACAAGTCCATTTTTCAAGCATTTGTTGAATTATTTATTGTAGCCACGAGTTACCGACTTCGTCTCTAAACTCATAAGACCATTGTTCAACTTGACATGGAGAAGAATACAGAGAGCATATTAAACTAACGCAAAGCTAAAGTTGAAAAGAGTAGTACATTTAGTAGTCTACAAAAGAATGGAGAAGGTTTATCCTTGATGAGCCAAATTAACTTGATTCGAGGCAAAGGGCAAAAAAAAAGGGACTTAGCGGGCGGTTGACTAAAGGATTCACGACAATGACAAGCGTCTACTTCCTTTTTAAACGAAGTAACTGCTGATAAAATCGCTTCTTTGATGTAGTGTAGTGGCTTCATAAAAGTCCGACCATTGGTGCACCAGTAAATCGAGTAAGTGGTTATCTTCCCAACTATGAAAAGCTGGATGCTATCAATGAAGCAGTTATGAAAGAACCTGAACCAACGACGTCATCTCTTTTTGATAATAAACGGTTTCTGTGTTATGTATCACTGTTGTAGATGCCAAACGAGAGGAGGGCAAATGAGATGTACGAAGCCCGCGAAACAAAATTTAAAAATTCAAAGGCGCCAAGACGTTGCGGGAACTTGTTTGTTTGATGAGTGTCAAGATTCGTAAGAGACTGGTGATTTCTTCTGAGAGTGAAAGCTCTCCTTTGAAAGATATCCAAAATAGTGACAGCTCTGAACAAGAATGTGAACTTCCCTCCCTTTTAGAACGCTTACATAGGAGACAGAATTTTAAGTCGTCAACTCCGGTACTTCCCAAAAAACTATCCCCGTTCAACGGCAAGGTTGTGAATTCTGCTGGAAAAGAAAACACACCCTCCTGCTCTATTTGCTTTACTTCGCCTGCTGAAACTCCTTCTTATCCGGACTGTTGCAATCACACTTTTTGTTATGAGTGTTTGATTAAGTGGAGTGATATGCTCAATATTTGTCCTCTTTGCAAAAGAAAGTTTCATTTTATATGCGACTTATTCGAAGCAGGAAAGAAGATTAAAATAACGGACAGAAACCAGCCCAAGTATTTAGAGGACGAAACTTACTTCAACCAAATGGAAGAGGCCGTTTATTGTGCCTTCTGTGGGAGTGACACGAACGAACAAGTGTTGCTCCTTTGTGACGGTTGCAATGTTGGGATGCATACATACTGTCTAACTCCACCTCTCGACGAAGTTCCTCCAGGAGAATGGTTTTGTCCAGAGTGTCAGGAATCACGACAGGCAGAACAAATCTCCAATATATCTCGGTCAAGAGTGGCACTCAGAAACAGGAGAACACGTAGAAGAACGACCCGTGTGAGTGGTTCCACACGTTCTCGACGACAAAGGGGTCGAGGATCTCGAGGAAGGCAACAAAATCAGCTTTCCGTGTCCGCAACAAGGACGGTGAGGAACTCGGAACGCGCACTATCTCAAGTTGCTGCTGTTAACAACATTAGTATTCCCTATCCACATATCATAAGTGACGAATCTGATGAACGTTCATCTGGATATGCTTCAGACGACAGTTTCCTACAAGGACTTTGGATTCATCCAGAATCGAATTGTGAACATTCCTCTTTCAACAGAGAATATTCTGAAACTCAATATACTTTTCTCACGAATCGATTGAATTCTAATTGTTTACCCCGTGACATCATGTACAGATATGGCATTGGTGGTGCCAGGGCCACTGGTTGCAGACAAATTCTTGGTGACATTAGCCCAAACTTTGTTCCAGAAACACCTGAAAATAAAACCTGAGAATTTTAAGACTTCACTAGCTGAAAATTGAAATATTTTTACGTAGTCTAATGCTATATTGTGAAAAGCGAGATTTCACTTTTCGATGTTGTAAAGCATTCCTGGAATTTCTTGTTCTTCCTATTTCATAATTGCACTGTATGAAGCATAAAATTGGCAAAAGAATTAAATCTAAAAGAAAAATACTATATACACAACTTTGACAAAATGTAGGAATAGCAATGTTATTGCGTAAGTAGAACGAGAACTGAACTTCAAGAAGCTGCTAGCAAACTAACCAATCGTATGTAGCTGAGTATTGGCGACGACATTTTCATCATTGACAATATCGTCAGCAAAATCAAACATTGCTCCTTTCCAAGGTGAATTGTCTTTCATATTTGTATGAAGTGAACCTTCTAGATTTGAGTTTGAACGAAATGAACTGGCAACGAGAGGACCACTGTCATCCGATACGGTCAAATTTTTTCTCTTATTTGTTTCAGTAGTCGCTGTCATTCTGTACATTGATGCAGGAAGAATGAGCATTCCTGTGTACTCCGAAAGATCCCATTTCTTTCCTTCCTACGAGAAAACTTTGAATAGACAGGAAAGATATCATGAAGGCACTTACTTGTTTTTTCTTCATTATTGTCAATGCAACTTGAGCAACTTCTCTTATTGCCTCAGTTCCTGAAGAGACAGACGACTCTGTGGCATCTTCCGACAACAAAATAGCTCGAAGAATTTGCTGCAAAAACATGGCATGATCCTGACGAGTCTCCAGTATACGTTCAAAAAAGAAATCAAGACATTTCGAAGTATCTGCAAAGTTATCCTGAACTTTGTCTGTTTGGAAATCAGGGTGATGTGCCAAGATCCATACTAAATGCATCAGATTGCATTCAGGCAGTAACGAGAAAAATGAATGGCCAAAGTCATTTTCATTAGAAACTTGTTGATTCTTCACCTGGTTGACATAGAGGTGCCGTATTTGCACGACCTTGGATGCTAACCGTACAGCAGAAGTATAATTTGTTTTGTCCGGATCAACCGCCGTAAGTGCGAAAAAAGAAAACCATTTAAAACTCAATCGATGATGCAAAAGTTCTTTACAGAGACGCTGCATAAATTTCAGGCGAACTTCTGGAATAGGATCTTGAATAGTTAATCCTACTTCTAAAAATTCAAAAGGACCAAAGAATTCTTTTATAAAGGATTTCCTCTGCATTTTGAGTAATACCTTCGCGCATGAGAGGCGAACGTCTCCAAAAGAATCAGTCGCTTCTTGTTGATTTGAGTTGTTTAATGTACCTTTCACGTTGCCTCTTCTTCTTAATATGTCAAAAAGAATATCCAATATTAACTTTGGAGAGAATGGTATTGTAGATAAATCTTCACTATTAATAACTAAGTTCCCTATCAGTTTAATAGCGAGAACGTAAATTTGGTGAGACTTGAAAGTCTTTCCAGCCGGATTCAAGATTTCCTCAAGAGAGAAACAAACAATTTCTTCCAATGACTCGACACTCTTCACGGGGCCATGCTTTACAAGCTGCGAAAATATACACAGTATTCGCGAAATTCTATCTTCGTCCAAGTTCAATTTCCAATTTGGCTGACTTAAGACTCGTTCAATGAATTTTCTCCAAGAAATGTCGCTATATGAATGCCCAAACATCTGAGCCAGTGAGCCAATAGCGTATTTAACTCCTTCCTGTGGCAAAGTATCTTTTAAGGAAATTTCTGAAAGCAACTGCCATAGATTAGACTCTGCAGTTGATTGTAGATCCTTTGCAACATAAAAGAGAAGCTCAAGTACTCTTAAAAGGTAAGCCAAGTCGTATCCTTCCTTCTCACAGGCAGCTCTAGCTGTTTTGTTTCTTTTTGAACGTCTCTTTGTCTTTCCTTCGTTGGAGAATGTTCTTAGCAGCTCTTCTATACATCTTATTTGATCATCGAAAAATTCTGGGAAATGCCTGGCGAAAATTAAACTGAAGTCAAACTGCAATTTCGTTTTTCCGAGGCAAGAACTTGTTTTCGAGCTATTTGAACGGATAGAATCTAAAAGTCTTGCTGCAAGTTTAGAAATTGAGATATTAAGGAACGGAAATGACTTACTCTACGGCGGAGACCTTATTGAATAGCAAGCAGCTGCAGCGACAAAGAAAGCAGCTTTCTATAAAGCTCCACAACTCCGTTCTTGTGTGAAAAACTCTGCGAAGCGATTCAATACTGGCCAGCTTATCGCTAGTAGATGAATAGAGACTACAAATGGAACGCAAATGTTTCACTATAGATCGATTCTTTGTTCGAAACACTGAATGAAGAAGTTCCTCAGCTCTTTTGTGTTCAAGAGCTTTTGCAAGAACTTGAATGGCTTCATTAAAAGAGACGTCAGCTGCATTTCCTTCATTGCTGTCTGCAGCATTAGCTTTGACCGCTTCATTATTTTTGTCAATGATGGAGAGCAAGTAAGATAGACATTTGTTTGCTTTGCGATGCTTTGCTATGAGAGATTCGAAAACTTTTTTCCCGTTTTTCAGAGTCCAAAAGACGTTCTCAACGTAGAACATCAAATTGGCTTGTCCCTCAAAAGTTTTCGCTTCTTCAAAGAAGATGAACCTTTCTATCATAAAACAAGATTCATCATCATTCTCACGGTGGAGCCGCTCATAAGCAATCAAAAGTTCTTCAGGTACCCAACTCAGCTTTCTAGACAGTTCCTTTCGTTGTTCTTTGTTTTTGTTCCAATTTTTTTCCACCATTGCTAACTCTTGAAGAAACGCTTTCGTTATTTGCTGAATTGTTTCCTTCCGAATTCTCGCTTTCTTATCATAAAGTCTACTGACTACTGACTTGAGAGTTTCTACAGAAAATGCATTCCAATTGGAACAAATTTTTTGAATAGCGGTTTCTCGGACCTTCTCATCGGTATCCAAAACTCTTTCCTGAAGATACTTTTGAATTTTCGTGGAAACATTTGGATGAACTCTTAGTATTGACTCAGCCAATATACATAATTCAACTCTAATGGAAGGCTCAACGTCGTAAAAACGCCCGAGGAGCTCATCAAACAAAGTTGCATACTTCTCAAACAGATTGGAATCAGAAGAAGAAAAAAGTTTCCCAAGTAGGCGAATGCTTTTAGTGCGAACATTGACATCTTCAACTTTCAATTCTGCTTCTAACCCAGGGAAAACATAGAGAAGCAGATCAGGGGCTACGTAGAATAATTGTTGAACGAGATCATGAACTCTGTCTCGCAGATCACTATCGACAGTCCTTTTATCTACAAAAACTGCATTTAGAAACGAGGAGACCGGCAATTGTAAGCTATCTTTGCATCTCAATACAAGCATCTTTGCAAGTTTGTATGACTCAGGAGACTGCTGCGAAAAAGGAGGAATGAGCCTCATAAGGGCAGCATCAAGAACAGATTGAGAAATTTGATCTGCTTCCTCGACGACATTTGCCATCAACTCGGTCAGATATAGATGTACTTTATAAGAATGATTCTCAGATATTATTGTGAAGCATTTCTCCAGAAGGTCAACGCTTATTTCTTCGTCGTTTGCAACGAGAGCAAATGCTTTTGTGGTTGCCAATCTTTCCAAAAGATAGAAATACCATGGAAACAAGGAACCTTCAAAATTTTCAAGACCACTTAGTTGCCTAATAAAAAATGGAAATATTCTCTGTGAAAAGAATTTTAGCTATTTTCGTTCCAGAACTTCCTGTAATGTATATCTATATTCTTACCTTCAGTTCGTCTTTACTAAAAGGAGTTTCGGGGGCAAACAGCCTAAGAATATCTGCAAGGCAGCAAGCAGATAATATTCGTATATTCTGATTTTTGCTTTCAAGGAAACAAGATGCACAGAGAGATTTTGCTGCAATAGCTAAGTTTTCTGATTCTTCCGTTGACAAAGATTCTTGAGGAACTGCCATAAGTTGTTCACAGAGTATCTGAGACAAAAGTCAAAGCTTCTAGGAATAAGATGATCTTTCTATCTTACTCGTATTTGTTTCGTTAGTGCTTCGGGTCCAAGATCACGCCAAGAATCAAGACTTGATAGATACTTGTTTAACTCAGAACTGTTCCTTTCAACCGTTGGAAAGTTGTTTTCAAGAGTTTGGTTGGTATTGTTGGGCTCGTTTTCTTTCTTTGAAATAAGAGGTTCGGCACTACTTGATTGCGACACTTCGATATTCGAAATATAGGAGTCTATTGCGTTGTTTCGTGGACCAGATACTTGGAACATTTGGGAGATTGGCCTTGAGTCAGAACTCATCTTCCTTTTGCGAACATTTTTTGTATGTAAACTCTTTTTCGGATGACTTTTCTTGGTTTTACTTCGCTTCATTGAAATAGGCAATCGGTTTGGCGCCAAAAATTTTGGGCTGCATTTGAAATGATTTAATCCTTGTGAAGAAATCGCTTGAAAGCTTCATTATTTTGGAACAAAGTATTTCCACAATACTTTCAAATATTGTGTGTATTACTTTGCAAGGCAGATATTCTTACCAGTAAACTGAAATATTTCTCATTTTAATAGGATATTCTTTGAAGCCACGCTCTGGAATAACAAAGAAATTTTTCTCAAACCATCTTCTTATCTATTCAAAGATGTTCAACAAGTGGAAGACTATCTGTCCCAATCGGCATAAAAAGTACTGGATTCTAGAAACTAAGGGTAGTTTAGAAACTGTAGTGCATTGAAGAAGTTCTCAAGTTAGAAAAAAATCTATCATGGCTGTTGTAACAATTATTCTTCGAAATTGATCATTTGTTTTACCGAATTTCTTAACATTTGGAAGCAATTTCTTCCAAATAGGAAACTTGGAAGGTTTTCACATTCTTTGTACCCATATGACAAGTGAACAGCTGTTGTCGATTTCAGTCAAAGAGAGGCATCCTCCTTCCAGGAGAAACAAACCCTTTGTAAGCTTATTGGGACAAGAAGAGGAAAGTTCTAGGTCCCGGTCAGAATCCAACAGTGAACTGCTGGCACGCGCGAGTCTATCTTCTGAAGTTGGAGATTCACCTGAAGGAATTGAAGCCTCTACAGAACAAGCTCAACGTTTTGCTTATTTTACTGAGAACTATTCTGCTTCAGTGAATCAGCGTTTCCAATCCAGTGGCGAGAATAACGCAACTTTTAGTGCAGAAAAGCCCTTGAACACAGAAGATTCGCAACCTGTTGAAACTGACGAACTTTGTGTTTTGTTTGACGTCTCAGGTTCTTTGATTAGAGAACCTACCGTGGACAAGCCTTTTCGAATTGAAGACGTAGACTCAATTCAAGGAATCGAAAAATATACCTTTTCTTTATGTGACCTACTAACTCTTACAAGAAGCTCCCTGCCCCAGCAAAGAATTGCTGCGTTAAAAGCAATATGCAATGTTTTTCGTTCTACTACAGATGGAACTCTTACTGACGACGAAGCTTGTTCCGTTTTAGAACAGTTTCAGCGCTGCAATGGTCCTTCAACGCTGATTGACTTACTTGAAATTCCCAACTATATGGTGTTTTACTACCTTCTTAGCATCGTTTCTTCTTTGATATTGGAAGTCGAAGGATACCTAAATCACTTCGAGGAAAGATGGAACACTGTGGGTTTGCTAGAGGAAGATTTGCAGAAGTTAAAATGGTCAAGTAATGGAACTGTTTCCGAAAACTCTGATAGTTTAAAGAATGTTCGCAGCTGGAAAAAACCGCTTATCGCAGCTCGTCTTGTAGAATGTTTTTTTCTGTCAAAGTTCTTGGACAAGTTACAGAGATTCGAGAATCTAAGTGCTTTGAGAAACAGAGCTTACTATATTCTTGCACTGCTCTTCGTGAGTTATATTGTGTATTATTGGCTTCAACAAGAAGGATTGCGTTGCAAGGTTGCCTTTGAAATTGGAAAGGTGCTTGTCAAGAACAGAAAAAGCTATGATGACAATTTTCTAGCCAAGATGATGACCTGGTGTTTGATAGTCTTGCCGACTTCGGGAGAATGCCTGAGCGTAGTCCTAAAACTAGAGTCGGAGAAGACTTTGTATTACAGAATTCAAAGTTTACGTATAGTGATGCATTTAACTGACGGGAATTTGGTGCAGTTTGATGTCTGGTGTTATTTAAAGACCATGATTGAGAATTGGAAAAGCACAGATTATTTGATAGAAGCATTGCCAACGAGAGAATGCTTATTACTTTGTATTGAATACTGCAAGCTTGCAAAGATACAAAACATTTTACTCGATGATGACGCAAGTAATATATGTCCTGAAATTTTTTCTTTATTGAATTTCTTGATGGATTATTTGAATGGAAACGATGATGAAGCAATAAGATTTTATATTTTACTTGTTGCTGAGCTCTTCGTGAGATTGTTCTTGGGTTCAACTCCTTCGATCCGGTGTAGCCTGGAGAAGAGGATGGAGTCTTTGTATAGTTACCTAGTTTCTATGCTGAACCATCTTCAGAGTTCTTGTTACGCTGGAATGGAAAGTGTCGAGTTTGTATATTCACAAGATACTGAGAAACGAGCTTTCATTTTTATGGCTTTGAGGATTCTTTGCTTACTTGACAGGAATATTCATCTGTATTTTCCAGATATCGAAAAACTTATCAATCATGCTTGGACGACAATTGCGAAGTATAAAGACACAAATAAGGACATTTTTGCAGTCTCGTTGGGCATTGAATCTTCAAAGCATGTATATTACATGGTGATGTTCCTTGCCGATTTTCACTTGAAATGTTTTATTGATAGACATGCCGTATCTGAATTGGAAAGTTGTTTACGACTCGTTTCCATCGTTCAGTCGCTAGGATTATTCAACATTTGCAAGAATTATTATTCTTATGTTTTTGCCCCCGACTCGTTGTCTATTGCCTTCAGTAGCTTGGATGAAGTCAACATTTTATCGTCGTTTTTGGAAGCACAAATTGGGAATATCTTAGAAAAATATCGAGAGTTTTGGTGGTGGAGTGTTCTTTCTTATTTTGTTCATTTAGAAACCTTTAATTACGATGATAGACGACGATTGGTTTTGGTGCTAAGATATTTTCTTTTTCTAGTGAAGCAAACAGATGTGTTTGAACCCATGTACCCGATTTTATTTTACAAGATTATGAGACAAATTTTGAATGGCACTGAAAGTTGGCATCTTTTGGTTGAGCAAGAACTTGAGGAACTTATTTTTTATCTATTAAGTTATGACAGTTATCATTCATGTGTCCTATATCTTGAAACTGCAGATCTTGGAAGCGGTTTGGTTGATTCTTTGGTAGATATGGCCTACCGTCATCTTTTCTCCAATGACATAATGGCTTCGAAAATGACGGAAGTATTTCAGACGACTATCTTCCATTTTCTTTTGAATTCATCATATAAAGAAGAGTTTCGTCTTGGTTTATGGAGGAAGTGCGTGAAATGCAATTTTCAACTGTGCGACCCTCTATGGATAACTGGGCCACTATGCCAGTATATGAAATCTTGCACTTACGATCTCTGTTTTATAATGGAAGCGCTAGGAGATATCTGCCAAGGTTTAGTAAACAGAGAAGTTTGCTATTTTACCTACAAATCCTTATGCATAAGAGTGGCTAAAACTGTGTTTCAGAAACCTCATTATTGGCATTTACTCAATACAGTGTTGTCTTATTCTTCTTTATATGATATCACAGATATAACAACAGAAGTTTTCATAAGCGACATTAACCTGAATGAAAAGGAATATAACCAAAAACCAGGTGTGCATTCACAAATGGAAGTTTTCCAACTGTTTCAAAATGCAAACGTGTCGGAAGAAAAACTCAAACAAAGATTAAAACTAGCGGCACAATACTTAGGGTCGTTCGACCAGCTACTACAAAATTGTCCATTTCTTCATTCTTTGTATGCTTCTATTGCTAATTCATGAAGTGATCATCATATCCATAAATTGAATGATATCCTTTTTCGATATGACACCCGAAATCTTTCCGCCGTTGAATAACCAACCTACACGAGCTCCTGTATTTTGGAATATCTCTATAACCTATTTGACAGGTGCTCAACCATAAAATACAATTTCTCAGAATGATTGGTACCTTTACTACTGGTGTGTTATCGGGAATGGTTAACGTGAAGAAGTCCATAATGGATCCCAACTCCAGTACAAGCTCTTCTGAGGAAGAAGAGTTATCATTCAATACAGTAAAAGCTTCATGCAGATTCGAAAGATGACTCGGTGGAGAGAAATGAACTCTTGGATCTCTTGGAGCAAGATTTTCTTTATGACAGAGTCCTAGAACGAATGCAATCGCCTCCCTAGAAACCGAACCAATGATAGCATTTTCTTCGGAAGACGTAATGATAGGGAAATTCCAGTATTTGTATTCTGTAAGCAGTCGCTCCAAATCTGAAAGATGAAATGAAGTTGATGTTATGCAAACTACCGGAGTATGCATGATGTTGCGGACACTGAACCATTCAGTACGTGAGTTTTCATTCGGGGGATTGCTTCGAAGATATGGATATCTTTTGATTTTGATGTAAAGCTCATAGATGCTATCCACGTGCAAGACGTCACCAACCCATTTGGAGACAAGGACAGCAATCATAACTGGAAGTAGATAGTGTAAACCATTTGTCAATTCTATCATAATCACAACCAGTGAAACAGACACTCTAGTAACTCCACCTAACATCTAGATACCCATTAGATGGTCGGCATTCTACCAAGTCGAATTCTACTCACTGCAGCGGCACCGGTAACGGCATAGATGGCTGGACTTACACAAGATGTTGATAAAAGGCATTCGCGGAACAAGGGGAACTTCGGATATTTGGTCACAGAACCTTTCACTAAAACTCCAATCAATCTTCCACACAAACCTCCAACAGTCAATGAAGGAATAAAAATCCCTGTTGGAAGTTTAATACCAAATGTTATAACCGCAGTAAACAACTTTAGAAAGGTTCCTACAAGTAATGCTAGAGCAACTTGTTTTGAGTTTTTAACGGAGCAAAGGTACGCTTCGTTTTTCTTTGCTATATCATCCAATTCCTGACTGTCATCTGAACATTCATTGAAGAGACTACCCAAGTGACAATTTGAACAGTTCCATAAGAACAAAAGAATACTAACCTGGTAAGAATTTCAGAATTGCTGCCACTTAAGAAATCACTGAAATAAAATAGAAAGCAAGTCATCAACGTTACCAATAGTATTTCTCTCATGGGATGCCGTTTAAAGTAGCCGTGTTTTTCTTTCAGTTTCATCCACAGCAGATTGGTTTTGATAAAAACAGTTCCTAATATTCCCCCTACTGCTCCCGTCAATGCGAAGAAAACGATTTCGAACCAATTCCAAGGAAGATTGGAAGGAATTTCAAAAATGACTGTTTTCCCATTATAATAAGGATTCATAACTTTTAGCGTCATTGCGGCCACAAATGCACAATAAAAGGCATGCCATAAAACCTGACTCGAAAAGTATGTGGAAACTTCCTCCAAACTGAATAGAACACCTCCGACAGGTGCACCAAAAGCGACTGCAACACCTGCTGCTGAGGCACAAGCTAATAATTCTCTATATAATCTGCCATCATGTCGAATGAGAGGGAAAAGTGAACAAAGCAATGCACATAGACAACATCCCAAATGCACATAGGGTCCTTCCTTACCAGCAGATAAGCCAGCAGCAACTGCTAAAGAAACACCCAACATTTTGACTATAAAAGTAAGACTCGATAGAAACCCCTTCATAACGACGCCATTGAGAATAGCCTTTACTTCTGGAATACCGCTTCCTGCTGCATATGGAGCCAGCGTAATCACTAAAATAGCTCCCATACAAGTATAAAGTAAAAGAAATACTACAATATGATAAAAAATCGATGGATGAAGACCAACTAGAGAAAACGTTTGGCAGTTGAAGAACAGTGGACCATCTTGAAAACACCGAACAAGTGTCAAGCGAATTTGTTCCTTCACAGCACGTTGCCCAATTGAGATAAGGAGCCATACTACATACTCCAAACTTAAGATCGGACAACCACTCCACAGCTATGTCTAGATAAGCTGCCAGAAAGCCCATTAGCAAACCGACGGCTGTTAATAACAGGGCCACCACAAAGCTCTTTCTGGTATTACTCGAGTTCTCTCCATAGCCGTTTCTTATCTTAATTTTACTTGATTCGTTTGGCCAGTCTATGACTCTAAAGTCACCCTGACAGTCAGGTCCTCTGTCTCTAGAAACGGAGCGTAATCTCTTCGTAGATGTCCTTTTATACTCTCTCATATATTTTGACCTTATCGGCAGTTTGTCAAAGAGAGGAGAAACTGTGCTTCTACCGGCAAAGTTTTCACTCTTCCTTGTATCGTTCTCTGATAAAGGTACAAAATTTGAGCTGCTACTGAGACAAGAATCATAGGACTTTTTATTACTCCAAAGGTTCCAAACAGGAACTTTGACCTCCGACATGTGAGCACAAAACAATGAAACCAGCTATGATACAATATTCATAACCTAACCATACTTTTGAGATAACGACAATGCTAATCCATTTTGGCGCAAATTACAACTCCAAGAGATTCCAAACTTTGTTAATTTGTTTTGTACAAACTTGTCAACGAGCCCTATTAGCTCCACCACTTCTACAATCAGGACACCTCCAAACACCTTCAGGAGCTGATGTCAATCCAACACACTGGAAGTGAAACCATTCGTATGGACACTATGGGACGAAGTCATCTTAACATACGAATAACAATACCCTTCTTACGTTAGTATTATCACAAGCAATCATTTCACCATATGAGACTTGATTACAATAACAGTAACGAGGTTCATTTGGGTCTACTGGCATATCCTCAATTACAGCAAGGTTTGAAAGCTTTCTCTCGCTTCGTTCTCTTGAAGACTTTAGAGTGGAACCAGAGCCAATAGAAACTCTTCGGTCTTGCACATTTAAAGGCCATTTTCCTTCTGCTCTCAAATGCGCTTCAAATTCCCGAAGCTTCTCGTCCAATTGTCTCACATTACGGTCTACCGAGTCGTATGCTTTTTCTGCAAGCTTCACTTTTTGATCCGTCAAGGCAATCATCTCTCTCTGTGTCTCCTCCAGTTCTTTCCATATATTCTTTAAACTCTCTGTACTTCTACTTTTACTTTGACCTCTTTCCTGACACTCTTCATTCAGTCTTTCTGCCTCAGCTTGCAGTGCTACTTGAACTTGGTAAAAAATAAGAAATGCAACACTTGAGAAACATACCCACACATCTTGCGTCTAACTCTCGTATTTTTGAAAAATGCTGCTTCAAGTCATTCGGTAACGAAGACACCTTACCTAAAACTTCGTCCAAATAAGAAGGCACGCGAGTTTCAAGTTTTCGATAAGCCATCGTTATTGATTGGAGGGAATTGAGAAGAAGAATGGGACAGAAAAAGCATGCTCAAGGCGCCGCAAAGGCCTACATATCCGCTGCGAAGGCTAGAAGAAAGCTTCAAGTGAGCCTGGAAACGTTTCAAAAGCTATGCATTTTGAAGGGTATTCATCCTCGAGTTCCCAAAAAGAAGCTTCGAGGTTCCCAAAGGACAGTTTACCTAAAGAAAGACATCCAATTCCTTGCACACGACCCTCTCATCCAGAAGACACGGGAAATGAGAGCACAAAGAAAAAAAGATAAAGAAGGCACAGTCGAAGAATGAAAATCTGAAAGTCATGTCTTTGTTGAAAAATTTCCCGTCATACAGGTTGGAGAGAATCGTACTGGAACGATACGGTACTTTCCGTGATGCTTTGTCAGACCTGGACGATGCGTTGAATATATTGTTTATGGTATCTAATCTCACTTGTACCTCGGTGATAGACAGTGATAGAGTTATCCATTGTAGGAGGTTGTGTAGAGAGTTTCAGAAATATGTTACGATGACTTGTGCTTTACGAAAAGTATTTGCTTCAATCAAAGGTCTTTATGTTCAAGTAGAAATCGACGGTGTTTTTCCGGTATTTATTATACCTTATAGGCCTTTTCAAAGTGTACCTAGAGACGTTGACCAAAGAGTTATCAAAAGCTTCTTAGAGTTTTACGAATGCCTACTGAGTTGTGTGAATCGTCACTTGTTTCATTGGAAAGGCTACTCATATCCACCTCAATATGAAGAGTCTCTAGAAGAAAAGGGATTTTCAGTCTTTGACGCCTTCAGGCTGGAGTGCAAGAACAATGTGTCACAACTAACAGTGTGTGGAACCGAAGACTCAGATTTCGGTGTCTCCGATAGTGCAGAGGGAGACAAGAAAGTTGACCATCCCAATAGACTTTTGGAGGGTATGACATTTTTCCTAGGTCGAGAAGTTCCTTTAGATCTTTTTGATTTCTTGATAAGATCTTGTGGCGGTAATGCATGTTGGGAACTTCCAGGAACGCAGTTTACGGATCCAAAGGCGATAACTCACTATGTATATGATAGGCCAAATATTCCTGGAGATAGAAGATTAGATGCAGAATATGTACAACCACAGTGGATTCTTGATTCTATCAATGCCGGTGTATTACTCCCAATCTCTCTCTATTTGCCAGGAGTATCACTACCACCACATCTAAGTCCTTTTGTGAATCACGAGAATTCAATATATCGACCTCATTACCAAGACTTCATTTCAGAGTTTAAGACATCTGAAGTTACTGCGTACACAGAGAAAGTGATTGGACAAGAAAATACGAAAAAGGACAAGTTAGATACAACTAGCCAAGTCGCTTCTGGTGATGATGGTGAAGAAGAAGAAGAAGAAGACAAAAGACAACGAGCTTTAGTGCCTAATGATAAACTGGAACCTTGTAATGAAACTCAAAATCGAAAATTGGCAAAGATGATGATGAGATCGAAAGACAGGTATCGTTACGAAAGAATTACGAGAACTCAGAAGAAGGCAATGAAGACAGCCAATCGACTCCTTCGTCGCCAGGAGGAGTTGATGCACTCTTCGGATTAAATAAATAAAGTATTATGTCTCGTCATCAAAACTCTTAGAACACTTTCTTTGTGTTCTGCAATGACCACAACTAGACATACTTTTTTAGATTGGGCTATGAAAGATATATTGCTTTTAAATAAAAAAGTAAAACAGAAAAAAAGACTCCTAACAGATATTTCATTTCATGATTCAAGTCTTCGGTTGACGTTGCGACTTGCGTCTGTGGTACACTCTTCTCTGTCTCTTTAGACGTTTCTCCAATCTTCGAACTCCTTTCTTTACAAGAATATGATGTCTCTCATACAAGTCCTGCAAATCATCTAATACCGCATCTGCCAGCACCAAACCAAGGTTTTTAAATCCATCGAAAACATAGGAAGAGACAAAAAAGGCAGACAGAAACAGAATGTGATCGTCAGCCTAATTATCAATAAAGTTACTATATCAATCTCCATCAAAGTCACGAGCCATGTACTTACGGAACGAATATACGGAGCATCATATAATGTGGAAGGGGCCACAGTGGTCTGATCTTCAAAAGGTCCGGGAGCTTCAAAACTCACAAAAGTATCGGAATCATCAAATGTTCTTTGATACTCAGCGTGTTCTAATTGCAGGTATCTGGCATAAAAACGAGCCTGAGCTAGTCTCACTTGCTTTGAGCCTTCCAAGAGGTTCTCGATGATAGGAGGAACAGTCTTTTTAGACTCGTTCGAGGCGTGAAAAACTGCCTCCAACAGGCCATGACTAAAATCACCGAAATGTGCCGAACTAGTATTCAGTTTCGATATAGTCTTCCAAAAAATACCTGAGCGTCGTTTGTTTTGTTGGATACTGTTGCTATTGACAGAAGAGCTAGGATTTGTTTTCCGAGTATTAGAACGTGTTAAACCTAAACTGGTCACTGAGGTCGAGGGAAATTCTACTTGAACCTCCTCAGAGATGGATTGAAGGTTGGTGTTGTTTGTATCGAGTATCTGTGATTGCTTCTCCAAAGGTTCTTGTTGTATATTGTCAAATGTATCAGCCAATTCAACAATTTCGGTATCCAATTTTTCTTCATCATCGTTTTTAGCTGCTGAAGCAGTTTCATCGGTTGGTGACGATATCATAATCGCGTCTCTTTCCGAATCAGAGCCATCTCTACCACCGGGAAGCTTTTCAGATAGTCCTATTGATGCTGTACGTTGAATATCATTCTCTTCCATTGATGGATTCAACGATTGTTGAATGTTGTCTTTTGCTGTTGGCACAAGTCCTTGTTCCATCAATTGGTTTGATAGGTTTTCACACTCTAAAATACTCTGAGACAAGTCTTGCTGTTTTGGATTCTGTTCTCTTGAGAATGTCTCAGAAATACTAAATGGTCTCGAGTGCAAGTGCTTCCACATGCCAAAATAATCCTTAGTGAAGTGGAGAGAATTGAAGAGCGCTGTACCAGTATTTCTCATATAATCACCAACAATCCATGCAGCTTTGGTTGTCTCTCTCGCAGATGCATATCCAAATTCTCTTACAAAAGCAATTGAATTGAAGGGCTTCCCTTCCATTATACAACTGATTATTACATGCACAAAGCTTTTTCTACTTTCCTGAAGAACGAGTAAATCCTCCATTAGTGGTTTGATAAATAGGTCATAATGAGTATGTGCCAAATGTCCAGTTACAAAAGGTTCATAATCCAATAAAGTTGAGAACGCTGACAAACGCGGAATAATTTTACGCTCATATTCGACGGCTGTGGTAATGACTTGAGGAATGGCATGTAGTTTCGCACTGACACCATTCTGAACACTTCCAAGCCAGTAAAGAGCCTTATTAAAATCACTCTGAATTTCTTGTTTCCAATTTACGGGATTCCTAGAATCTTTCCCGGCAGAACCTGATGGTTGACTTTCAATATGCCCATTTACACCCAAAGATCCTTGGTCTATGACGCCATTCATTTCAATATCTGAGGAATTCTGGACTCCCCAGATCGTTGCCATATGACTATCTGGTTTGCCGTTCGTTCTCGAGTCAATCGGTTCCACCTTAATTGTTCCATAAACTAATTGTCTATCACCATGTCGTCCCATCAACTCAAAGTATTCAGAAAGCAACCATCGGTGCCACCTACTCATTTTACGAACAGCCAACGCAAGACACTGCCGAGTTTCCTTCAACGCTGAATGAGGAAGAACAAATTCACTCAGGAACACAGCGATAATAACACCCAAAGAAATATTTACGAAGCGTGCGAGAGGATAGTGCCATGTAGCTTTGTATTCATACGGAGAATACTGATAAAGAATCATCACATACAGTGTGGTGCAAGTGGTAAGAAGTGATGAATAAAACGGTCCGTTCATAAAGTAAACTGCAAATGTTGTAACAAAGACAATGACTGCCCCTAAGCCATAAGGTTCCATTGCAGACTGTTTCCAGTTCATCAATAAGAAGCCCATTAAGACTCCAGAACCACATCCAATGATAGTGACCAGTCCTCCTATTAGAGTGCCTTCTACTGTAGGAGTCATGTAAATCATATAGGCCATCCACAACCAAAGTCCATCAAAATTTTCAACATATTTATACAATGGCGTGACTAAAAAGACAATGATTATCAAAAGCTCTCCAATCCATTTCTTGATAAAATAATGAAACTCCGTCGCTCCAAACAGAGTATATAATTCTGTTTTGTTACGAGGAATATTTCCGATCGCGTGATACCAAACTTCAAATGACCAAAAGAGACTTCTTGTCCACCCAAAGAGATTGTGATAGCCTAGATAACGAATGAGAGATCATATTTTTGATGAAAGCTGAGTAAACGTGCCTCGACGAAAAGATTTCTCTTTTCTCGCTACCATAAGATTGTAAAATTCTTCATGAATATTGCATAGTGACTCCAACATTGACTTTGACATCACTAAAACAAACATAAGTGGACCTAATTCTAATGCAGTAGATTCTGCACGCAAAGTTCTCGTGCTATCCCAATATGAAATATATGATGATCGAACTGATACCTTTAACTTCCGTTCCAGCTCTTCCATTTGCAATATTTCATCCTTAATATGTCTCATAGAGGAAATACGACCATCATCCAAAGGTTCACTTATACAAGTACCTAAAACAGAACATGTAGTGGCCATTCTGGCATAAAGTTCTTTCATCACAGGAATCATAGACTTCCATCTTTGCAATGTTTCAGCTTTATATCGTCTTCTTCCTCCTTCAAGAACAGAGCGTATAGCGTCCACACGTGAAATAAGATCTTCGACAGCATCGATTACTCTCAACCATAATCGGATAGGCTCTTTCCGCATGAATTGAATCAGGTTCGGTTCAAAGATACTGTAATTTGCGAGGGTCTTGGCACGCTTTATGTTACCTTGTGCAGAAATGAGAGTATCTCCCTCTAAAATGCTTTCGAGTACATGAAGGTTGTGCGAAGAACTTCTTAGCCAAGAAGCTGTTCCAGGATCCACAGCAATCTGTCTTGTCGGGGCATCACTGCTAGAGAGCGTATCTTGAAAAGTGTCGTCGTCATCAAAACTAGAGTCTGAACTAGTTGATGACGAGCTCTTGATTTTCGAGCCACTATGTATTGATCCACCTATACGGTCTGTAGAGCCTCTTAAAGAGGAATTGCTATCTATGATAGTAATAGCAAGATATGGTGAAAAGAGAACGGATGAAATAGATGACATGGAAGAACCAAGTTTGTTCAAAGCATCTCTAATGCTTAGTTTCATATCCTGAACGGAAAATTTTGGAAAAATGAGAATGGCTGGAACAAGTGAAAATACGATTGACAATGCAGATGCCACAAGTGTGATCCTCATCGTATACAAAATACTAGAGTTTCCCAAGGTTCTTGTGTCCAAAAGGTTGAAAACAAAGTTGCTTTCTCCAGTGTAGTAAACCATGCCGGAAACACGGGTATCTGAGTGAAGAATTGTAAATAAGCCTGTGCCTATTGCTGCCAAGACTATGGTGATTCCAATGCTGGCACGAGCAGCCAAAGCTGCAACAGCTCCAAAACAAGCTCCAAAAATCAGAGCAATTGCTGTAAGACAGGAGGCCTGCATAACAATACCAAAGTGAAGCTCCTGAACAAAAAAAGTGAGGTTGATAATATAATAAATTAGTGCCAGTGGTGCGTCGGGGAAAGCACTGTACAGTGTTGGCACGAAAACAAATAGAATACCAATAAGTGTGCCTAGACAAGCTCTTGCCGCCATTCGAAAAGCATTGGACAAGTAAAGCTTCTTTAGGCGCCACAACAGCCTAACATATCTCGTCCCCTTCACCTGTAACCAATAATCTGTGGCGTTGAGTTTAGAAGAAGGTTTGGTTGTTGTACTTGAGTTCCAGCTTAGAAGGAAATCTTCTATAGACTGGTTTACTGGGCGTCTTTTAGCTTCCATTTCTACCAGGACCCTTGCAGCTCTCGAGGGACGTTCTCTGTCGAAATGGAATGGCTTACTCTGCCTCTCTTCTGGACACAGAGGGAACGAGGGACAACTGTTTTGTGTCATTGGTTTTGACAATTGTGTGTATTGATACACTGTAAATCATCTCGATAAGGACTTGAGTCTATATAAACAGAGAATAGCACTTTCCTACAGTATAGGAACAAATTGCTTCATTAAACCATCATAAGTAATGTATTCTTGTTGAAAACAGAATAAAAAGTTATAGGGAAAGGTTCTTCAGGCCTTTACTGGATTCAGAAACTTTCAAACTGTTTCCAAACAGAGTTCTTGTCAACAAGTTTCTACTCGTAATGCAACCGAGAAGAAGGCTAGTGAAAGAAACGAACGAGGTCTTCGATCAAACTTTGATTGGGCTGAACACCATGTTTTTGCAAGATCTCTGCCACTCCTCTTCTTTGTTGGGCGAGAATTTCTTCAGAGGGCTATAACAGATATAAGCATCGACGGGAAACAACTAGAAAACACAAACGAACCTCAATTTGTTGACGAAGTTTCGCAGCTAATCTTTGAACGGCCTGTTCATCTTCACGATTAAAATACTTTGATATCACTAAGTAGTGTCCCTAGAGAACTCCAAACTTGTCACTCACCGCACTTTCTTGGGCGCTTTCCCTTTCCTTCCATCTGCTCCCCATAGTTCCTTCAGCAACAGACTTTTTCTCTGTATAGAACATTTTCTGACCTCTTTGCCAAACTTTGGTGACAGAAGTTTTTGTCACACTTAGTAACTTTGCCTTGTTCATTTTGTATCCTGAGAACACACAAACGACACAACAAATGATACAGTCCAATTACAATCGTGCACACTCGAGTTTTCAGTTCATCGACCCAATGTACATACAGTTTCTAAAACTACGATTCAAAACTCACATCCTATTTTATCTTTACAAGGATTGGCTATTTAGACTGACTTTCTGTGATGCTACTGATTCTTATTCATTGAAAGCTCTTTACATCAATGTTATGATACGCGAAAAAGCTTTTGAGGACATGTTGGATGGAAGTTTTGTTACCAAGAAACAAGTTTTTGTCAGAAACATAAAGAAATAAACTTAAATATTTGTTTTTCAAGCTTGCTAAGAGGATAATGAAAGCAATTCACAAGTACCTGTCCAGGTTTTAGAACTATACAGATATAAGAAATTCTCTTAGAAGGCCGATGATTAGATATTCTTACTATTGTTTTTTCGGGTCATAGTCACATCCGCATTCCATTTCATAGAATAAAAGGTTGAAATAGACAAATTGGTTCTTCTGATCTTGACTTGGTGGAAAAGAATTTCCTGCAGTTATCAAAAACAAAATCTTTCTGCAACAACGGTATCAGAATGCATCATCACTCGCCAAAGAAAGTATCCTGCTGATAATGGAGAACCTGATGGTTTCTCGAATAGTTAGTTTTGAAGAATCATTGTGATCTTCCTAGGGTTAGCACTACGACAGGTATTTCTATCCTATTCATTAAACTATGGAGATAAAATCACCCCTTCTTTCAGTGTAAAAAAGGATAAAACACGAAGCTGTGGCAAAGTGTGGCAGTTCTTGTTTACACAATCCCTAATATATATATATATATATAAGAGATATCCTTCTATCTCGAGGCAACGTTACTGAGTATCTTGATACAACAAGAGAAAAGAATATCAGCAACTGAAAGCACTTTATTGATCTTCATCAACTGGAACCTGTTATGGGTTCAAATATTGCGTCGCCACTCAAAGTTGGGAGCGCATATAAAACTTGTTTCAACACGGGCACTCTTTACTACATAACAACCCTCGACTACAAACTTGGCAACCCGCTCAGCTACCTTTCCGAAACTTGAGCATATATTGGCATACAACGTAACTTTTAAAGAGGCTTCCAAAGCTCCTTCTCTGTGGTCGTCCACAGTTTCATTCCAAAAGACATAAAAAGTCTCAGAAGAAACTGCAACCACCAGCAAAGAGGAGAGTTTGAACAACTCCTCAAAAACTACGCTATGCTCGTTTCACTCAACAGTTGGTCGTCTCATCCTCACGGGATAACATACACCGAAGTCAATGCAGTCTTAGGTTAGAATAAAGACGTGAAAAGTGGGGACGGCGGTGATTTGCTTTGCTTTTAAAGCAACAGGAATGGTTGTCTAATAGACAAACAAAAGAACAGACATCATTTTATGACAAAAGCGGACTCAACCTTTCCTTCCATTCATGAACTGACCAAGAACTTGAAGCTACAGGATCTTTCATTCTGTTGATCATGAAAGTAGGTGATACATGAATATCTAATTGACGAGCATATCGAATACTCAACTTTAAATCCTAGCAAAAGTGACATCGCCTTGAACTATATGAAAAGCTCCAACTTACTGCCGTTACATCATTGCCTTCCTTAGTATCCAGGATTTCCAACTTTTTTAAAACTTGCTCCGGTTCAATTCCAACTTCCTATCAAGACCACAACACAAAGTCAAACGAAACTCGATGAGAATATTCTCTTCAAAAAGACACATAGTATACCTTTGCTAACTTTGCCAATTGTTCATACATCTCTTTGCTATATACAGCAAACCATTGGCAGTCAAATATTCTACATCTCTCCTTTTTGTGCACTTACCGACTCTTCTGATACACTTTTTGATCAATAAAATTGTCCAAGTTTTCAAATAATACGCGAGAATACGGATAAAACTTGTCAGGATCGATTTGTTTCACTGCCAATGCTGCTTCGTGCAAGAGAGTGGATTGGGGGTGCCAAGGCTGTATTTGATGCTGGAAATAAAAGCATATCTTCTCTTCCATTGCAGGAAGCACTTGATCCATCAGTATGAAAAACGCTTTTTTGGAAAATGGGCACTAGGAGACCGAGTAGTGTTTAGAGAAGCTATTTCCAATTCATAAAGTTGCTTACACAGTAGTCCAAAAACACTTCCATTTGAATGGGAGCTCCTCGAGGACCCCATGCAGTACCGATCGGCTTATTTGTTTGTTGTCATATTTAATAAAACAGAAACTTTGGCATACTTACCTGTCTAGGAAGAGGAGGCCAGTTGGAAGCCATTATCCGTTCAATTCCAATTTTCACAATCTTTATAATTATTTTTTCTCGTGTCTTTAAAGTATGGAACAAGAAGAAGCTTTAAATATTCTACGAAACTTACAAAGATTAGATGAAAATATGTACGTCTATTACTGGGTATTCTTTTCCTCTATTAAGTTTCCTTAGGTACTGTGTGGACTGTGGAGCACATAATCCACAGTGGGCTACTGTAACTTATGGTACTTTTATTTGTTTGGAGTGTTCAGGTCAGTTGATGGAAATAAGCAGAGTATAGTAGAATACAAAAGTTGAATGATAGGAAAACATCGCTCCCTTGGTGTGCATATTTCTTTTGTACGTAGCATTGGAATGGATAGATGGAAAGTACACGAGATAAAGAAGATGCAGCTCGGAGGCAATAAAGCGTTCAAGAAGTTTTTGAAAAGCCAAGGCGTGTCGCTTTCTTTATCTACTACTGAAAAGTATCAAACGCCTGCAGCCAAGTTGTACGCCGAAAAACTTCAGAACCAAGTGATGAGTACAGAAGAATGGGGAACTAGTGGAAAGAATAGTGACCTTCCCAACAGAGATTCTTCTTCGCTTAAAATAACTACAGAACATAATGAAAAACAAGGAAAGAGTGAAGTAACGACTAATATGATTAGCGTTGGTGGTCTTTCTGATGGTGAATATTCGGTTGCGTCGAAACGTGAGAAACGAGTGAATCCTTTGAGATCAAATAATAGGAGAATTATCAACTTGCAGCAGCAGGTGCACAACACAACAGACTTTAGTTCAGGACATTCTTATGCTTCCACTGAATACCAGGAGTGGGAACCTTCAGTATCCATGGCTTCCCAACGGGATGATGGCTTTCAGACGAAATCTAAGCAGCCTACTATGCCAAACAGAAATAACTGGATGGATTCAAGTGCTGCTTATGAGACAGAGTCAAAACGTCCTCCTGACATAGACCAGGTAACCAGTTTATTGAAGAACCAAGTGTCACTACTCTCAGAACGAGCAAAGAAAAGTGAATTGATAATGCAAGCCAGGGAGAAGACGGCTCAGACAGCATCCAAGCTGCACTCTTGGTTGCAGTCTTTCTCAAACAGAGTGTCAGGTGAAATAGAAAGGCTGCACGATTCTGATTCTTCGGGTCAAAGAAGCGAGTTGTTGCAAGGAATATCGCACTTAAAGGTACTGTCCTAGTAACTGGTGTATATTTTTTTGGAATTTATGGACTCATCGTGTGAACAATAGCGAAATGAACTTCATTATAGAGAAGATGTTGCAGAATACCAGTCATCCGATCGGGAAAGAGAGAGTAGTTTTGATGTCTCTGCAGCGTCCTATTTGTCAGCTTCTAAACAACAACAAGAACCAAATATATGGGAAAATAGAACGAGAGAGTTAACAACAAAGAAATCCCACAGCGAATGGGAGTGGCCAGAAGAAGAAGAAGAAGACCGAAGTAATCCTTATTTTGTGAAAATCAAAGAGAAATAGAATGGATACGAGACCAACTCAAGTTTAACATCCAATAAACAATGGATCGTCTAACGGAACTTAGAAATATAGCTTCACCTTCCAGTGAAAGGGAAGATGACGACGTTATACAAGCAGCTTCACGTGTACTGCATGGAGACTATCAGCAAGGCAAGAAAAACACTACTTCATTCACCTTTTCCAATGAACCTAGTAACTACAACTAGAACAAGGAAACGAGCAACCTCAGGAAGAAGAAAAGAAGAATATTCTAGACGAGATGGAAAATGGTCTTGCAAAGCTACAACGCAAGTTCTTTTCACCCTTTTCCAGCAAGACACACGGCAACGAGGTAAAGTTGTGCAACGGTTTGTGTTGCTGTCCTAACGCTCTTGTTGACCCATCTTATGAAGGACCTTGAAAGTAGTCGTCAGCAATCTGGACAGACAAACCAAAGTGCTGGAGCTGTAGAAGATAATGTCTTATCTAGCTTTTATGAAGACGTCGACTCAGTGAAGGCTCTCATTGAAAAACTAAAACTTCAAACGAAAGCTGTTGCACAAAAACACCGGTTTGTATTATTTTAAAACAGAGTTACCTTTCTATAGTAATCCTGGTAATGTAGTGCGTTACTTGAAAACCCAACTAACGCTTCGAAGTTCGAGGAAGAACTGATGACAGAGACTTCGTTGGCAAGAGAACTTGCCGTTGGGATTAAGAGACGTTTGGATAGAATGAAAGTAGGTTTTCAACCCTTTTTTTTTATGAAGTTTTGAATAAAAAACTTTCAAGGAGTTACAAAACAAAGTCGAGAGAGAAAAAGGGCAAGGATCTAGTGAGTCTCGCATTATTGTTGGTACGACAGGGATAGATTATGAGAAACTTTAGAAATAATATGTCGACAGGGACACAAGGTGCTTTAGCCAAGCGTTTTATGAATGCTATGCGTGAATTTCAAAATGTACAGGAAGAATGTGAAAATGACATGAGAGATCAGGTAGGATAAAGGTGGATATGATAATCAATTCTAAAGAAATATTGTGATCAGGCGGAAAGACAACTGAAAATCATCAACCCGAAGATAACCAAGACAGAAGTGGATACAGTCTTAGATGCTACTGGTTCAGGTGGTAATGCAAGTTCAGAAATTTTACGACAGCAGGTCCTGAGGACTGGATTTTTATGAAAAGATCGGTTAACTTGTGACTTTAGATGTTGATGGCTCGAGACGGTGATTATAATTCCATTCGACTAGTTATGGAGGATGTGGAAGAACGCACTCGTGCTATGCGTCAGTTGGAAGAGAATATTCAAGAATTAAGACAAATGTTTCTGGACATGAGTGTATTAGTGGAGGCTCAGGGAGAGACCATTGACCAAATTGAAAGCAATATAAGTAGTGCAAAGGCCAGTACCAAAACGGCTGCTTCTCAGTTGAGAGGTGCTCGTAAGCATCAGAAAAGGTAGTGAATATGCTTTTGAAGTGCAACTCATTTTATATGAAATACTTTAGATACTATCGTCTACTATTCTGTCTCTTTTGTTGCTTGATTATTTTACTTATAGCCATTCTGGTCCCTATTGGAGTGGCAGTTATTCGTCCAAATAATGGAGGATAGATAGAAAAATTCTAAATATTCTGCTTTTGTAGAGCAATCTATATATGAAGTTATTGGAAATAAGTGTAGCAAAAGATTTGCAATGAAAAAGAATGATCGGGAAACTAACAAATGGAACTGCTCAAAACCGATAAAGTCTTATTGCCAACCAACTTCTGTACATTTTATTGGCTACTTACTGGAAAATATCCCAAAAATTTGTTAGTATTTCTATTCATCTTGACGCAATTGGACTTTACTGGCTTGAAAGATATGTCTCTGTCTCATCATATCATCAAATGACTTGCCTTGATTGAGTTTCTTTATAATTGTACGTAAATGAGATAGTCGCAAGTGTAGTAGAAATATTTGTTTACCTTCCACCAGGAGTCTCCAAATACTATCGCTATACTTGTGGATGCCACTAGAGTAAAGACAAGAATCTGTAAACCAGGAATATCCAACAAACGGGGTGGCCTTTGACCCTGTTAAGTTCCCAGTAAAGATAAAGCTTCCCATCATACCTTGTATAACGATTAGAAGCTTTGCTAAAACCTGAATAACGTTGTCCAGTATAAGGGTTACGATTTTGGGTCTTAGTAGAACCCTGGCGGAAATCAGCACGAGCAGAGTTTCCGGTACGAGGTTCTGCTCTTTCAAACTGTTTCCTTCGTTGTTGCTTTAGTACATCATAGGCATCTTTAATCTAATAACAAGCCACTTGAAATAAAACATAGTTGCTTTCCAAGGCTTGTTTCTCACTCTTTTAAAGTTTCTTTCAGCTTCTTCCCGTTGACCAGGATTTCTATCTGGGTGAAACCTAATAAAGAATAAGGATTCACATATATATATATATTATTGACAAATAAGAATCTACTTGAATGCTAGCTTTCTGTATCGTGTTTGTATTTCCTTGTCTGTTGCTAAGCTGGATAGACCCAAAACATGATACGGATTTTCCATCACAAGAAGCCTCTATTGCCCATCCTTTTTTTCTTTCTTTGGTGAAGGTTGTATCGTCAAATGTCTTTCATGCTCAACTAGGCAAAAAATGGTTCCTCTTTGGTAAAAATGATAAATATTTTCTATACACAAAAAGATGTCACTCTTATCAAAAAGATATCTACAAGAATGAAGCTTCACAACGATGAAATATTAGGGATACCTTTTTCTTTATGAATGGTGTACGATATACAAGTGTAAGTTTAAACTGAGGGCCTGCTCTAAGAATATATGAAACATCAACAAAAAGTCTTCTCGCACATCAAAAAAGTTTGAATGAGTAGTATCATATTTTCGTTTTGGGATGCGTTCTGCTTCAACTTGAATTTCACAAGCAGTAAATCTCACGAAAGATGTTGCATTAGGTTCCATATGGAAGTATGTTTCCATAAAGGCTAACAACAACTTGTTAGAAAGAATAAAGTGACTTCAAAATACAAGAAAGGATATACATGTAGACATGAATAGATATTGATCTTGAACTTTCTATTTTCGAGTCCAGCTGTCTCTTTCTTAATGAAAATGAAGAAAGATAGAAACATATTTTCTCGTTATTCCGTAGTGTCGAGACGCATAATTGTACAGAAGCATCAAGAAAGTAAATATCCTATTGGAAACTTTGTCTTTCATCAATTACCCGTACAGTAGGAAAAGATATAGAAAATAACAACAATCAAAACTCATGGTTAAATTTCGATCGGGCAAGCGAAGAAAAGAACATTCATGTTATTGATGCTTTAGATTTGAATGAATGACGTTGTAGAAAGATAAAATGACTTTATGAGGCTAACAGAATAAGTTACGAATAGAACTTTATTCGTCTCAGTTGGCTAAAACTCTACAACAGCACCAGACGCATTTTATAGTCAATGAAGATTTCAAAAGAGACAAATATGTAACCAAAGCACTATAAAACGAAGAATACAACTGCAAATAGAGCTTCTGGTAAGCAAAAAAAGAGTAAAATTGTCTGTTTCTTTAGGACCAAATGTTCTCTTTTTATGTATAATACATTGCTATGGAATAGGTACAATATCCAAAGCACATGAAAGAGCTCAGTTTCACATGCAAAGAAATAATGAGACTAAAAGAAAATGGATCTATGCCTCTTTTCATTTTCTACAGCCTCTCTTGTATTGAAGAAACCCATATACTCGAACAGGATAATACTCCAAGTGAAAACAAAAGGGACCCATTCTTCCAAGAACCAGAATAAAATAATAAGTTGCGGGGATATATCTTGATTCGTTGAAGTCAAAAGCATGCTTGTTAATCATAGAGTTTAAGATAATATATTCCCAAGATTTTTGAAACTGCCCAAGCAGCAGACGCTAAAAGGATCCAAAAGCGATAAATCGTCAAAAGTTGTTTTTTCTTTTGTTTTCTACTTGTTGTATTGCCTTCATTAGCTATTTCTATCCATTTGGGGGATTTGGATTGACAATTGAAAGAGGGAAGATGCGACATTTTCATTAGACAGCGATGATGGCAATCGGCGCTTGAGGAGCAAATTCAATTTGTTAGCGCGCCACATTCAAATTGGGACGTGTCTAGCATCATTTGTTTTTCTCATTCGACTTGGCTGGTTGAACACGACTAATTCTTTTTCACTTATTTTTCGAACAAGTCTTTTCGTTTAGTAGTTCATTTAAACAAGGTATGATAGTATAAAGTAGTTTAAAAGTATCTCTAAACTGAGTATCTGTTTCTTCGTTAGAAAATGCGTGAGATTGTACATGTGCAAGCTGGGCAGTGTGGAAACCAAATAGGAACCAAGTTTTGGGAAGTAATATGTGACGAACACGGCCTCTCACCTGACGGTTTTTATGCAGGAAACACCCCCTCTCAACTGGACCGTATCAACGTCTATTACACTGAGGCCTCGGACAAACGTTATGTTCCACGTGCAGTTCTTGTGGACTTGGAACCAGGCACTATGGATGCTATCAAAAGTGGTAAACTTGGAAAAATGTTTCGCCCAGACAACTTCATCTATGGTCAAAGTGGTGCTGGAAACAACTGGGCTAAAGGTCACTATACAGAAGGAGCAGAGTTAGTTGATGCAGTTTTAGATGTAGTGCGTAAGGAAGCAGAAGCATGTGACTGTTTACAAGGATTCCAAGTAACTCACTCACTGGGTGGAGGTACAGGTTCTGGAATGGGTACTTTGCTAATTTCTAAGATAAGGGAAGAATATCCTGATCGAATGATGGGAACCTATTCAGTATTGCCCTCTCCAAAAGTGTCTGATACAGTTGTTGAACCTTACAACTGTATTCTTTCAGTCCACCAGTTGGTAGAAAATGGAGATGAAGTGTTTTGCATAGACAACGAAGCACTCTATAACATTTGTCACAACACCTTAAAGATGAATAATCCATCATATAGCGACCTCAATCAACTAGTAACTGCAGTCATGTCAGGTATTACGTGCTCACTTCGTTTTCCGGGACAACTAAACGCAGACTTGCGTAAATTGGCAACTAATCTTATTCCCTTTCCCCGATTACATTTCTTCATGATTGGATTCGCTCCCCTTGCAGCTCCTGGGACTCAGCAATACAAATCCAGTTCAGTGGCCGATCTCTGCCAGCAAATGTTCGATTCACGTAACATGATGGCAGCTTGTGATCCTCGACATGGTCGTTACCTCACTGCAGCTGCATATTTCCGAGGCAAAGTTCCAACAAACGAAATCGACGATCAATTGATGACAGTTCAGAACAAAAATGCTGCTTCATTTGTGGAGTGGATACCTAACAATATCAAAAGCTCTCTCTGTGATATTCCTCCCAAGGGTATGCAACGTTCGGCAACCTTTATTGGAAATTCCACTGCTATTCAAGAGCTGTTCAAGAGAGTCGGTGAACAATTTGCAGCAATGTTTCGTCGCAAAGCTTTTCTTCATTGGTATACTGGAGAAGGTATGGACGAAATGGAATTCACCGAAGCCGAAAGCAACATGAGCGATTTGGTTTCTGAATACCAACAGTATCAGGAAGCCACAATAGATGACGACTTTGGAGATGACGGTGAGGAAGGCGAAGAATATTAAGTAGAATACCCAACTTAATCAGCAGTTGTTAATGAACGTCAAAAATAAACGTGGTTTGCTTGTCTCAAGAAATACAATAATTGAAATAACAGAGCAATATGTTGGACACTTAAGAGCAAAAGTCAAGCTAACAACACGAGGGGCAATTTCTACATGCTTTATAAGCTGTCATTGATCCGTTATACCTTTTCTCAGATTTTGGATTTGTGACTGATTGGTTGCTTGGTTCCACGTGCTTGTCAACTTGTTTGGCTGTTTAGGTATTAAAAAATGCAAATATTTGTGAAGACTCTCACTGGGAAGACTATTACTCTTGAAGTTGAACCCTCAGATACTATTGAAAACGTCAAGTCTAAGATTCAAGACAAGGAAGGCATTCCCCCAGACCAACAACGTTTGATTTTTGCTGGTAAACAGTTGGAAGATGGCCGTACTTTGTCAGACTACAATATTCAAAAAGAGTCTACCCTTCACTTGGTGTTGCGTTTGAGGGGAGGCATGCAAATATTTGTGAAGACTCTCACTGGGAAGACTATTACTCTTGAAGTTGAACCCTCAGATACTATTGAAAACGTCAAGTCTAAGATTCAAGACAAGGAAGGTATTCCCCCAGACCAACAACGTTTGATTTTTGCTGGTAAACAGTTGGAAGATGGTCGTACTTTGTCAGACTATAATATTCAAAAAGAGTCTACCCTTCACTTGGTGTTGCGTTTGAGGGGAGGCATGCAGATATTTGTGAAGACTCTCACTGGGAAGACTATTACTCTTGAAGTTGAACCCTCAGATACTATTGAAAATGTCAAGTCCAAGATTCAAGACAAGGAAGGTATTCCCCCAGACCAACAACGTTTGATTTTTGCTGGTAAACAGTTGGAAGATGGTCGTACTTTGTCAGACTATAATATTCAAAAAGAGTCTACCCTTCACTTGGTGTTGCGTTTGAGGGGAGGACTCTAAGTGTGTTTGCTTTTTGCGAAACTTTTAGTATTGAGTGCTTTGCTTGAGTGAATAAATGTTTGTTTGTGGTTATTGCAAGTTTTTCTATTTTTATGTCAATAATAATATTTCAACGGGTCAATAGCTTTATTTTGGCAACAGCATGCAGAAGGCTCTCCGTGGTGCTTGTCATTTTTGAATGACGTTCTTGTGACATTGACCACAATTAGGCACGAGATATACGAGACAATATGTAGCGGAAAAGAATGGGATGAAAACTTTCAAATGGAATTGTTTATCCAAAACAACTTTAGTGCTGTTCACCAAATTATGAATGACTACATATATGAAACACCAGTGAGGAGAATCAAATGAACTTGGACGCCATAAAGGCACAATTGTTTAAAATGTTTCCTCTTCTATGTCGACATCAAAGTCATCTTCGACAGTAGCTTCTTGATACTGTTGATATTCTGACACCAAGTCATTCATGTTACTTTCTGCTTCCGTGAACTCCATTTCATCCATTCCCTCTCCAGTATACCAATGAAGAAAAGCTTTGCGACGAAACATTGCGGTAAATTGCTCACCAACTCGTTGAAATAGTTCTTGTATGGAGGTAGAATTGCCCACAAACGTTGCTGATTTTTTCATACCTAAAGGAGGAATATCACACAGAGAGCTTTTGATGTTGTTTGGAATCCATTCAACAAAGTAGGAGGAATTCTTGTTCTGAATGTTAAACATTTGATCATCAATATCTTGTGTTGACATGTTTCCACGGAAGTATGCTGCAGCAGTTAAATAGCGACCATGGCGGGGATCACATGCAGCCATCATGTTCTTGGCATCGAACATTTGTTGAGTCAACTCAGAAACACTAGCAGAACGATACTGTTGTGAGCCTGGTGAACTTAAGGGTGCAAATCCAATCATGAAGAAATGAAGGCGTGGAAAGGGAATCAAATTGGTAGCCAACTTTCGTAGATCTGCATTCAACTGTCCTGGGAAACGCAATGAACAAGTAATACCTGACATCACTGCTGAAACCAAATGATTCAAGTCTCCGTAACTAGGATTGCTGAGCTTCAATGTTCGGAAGCAGATGTCATAAAGTGCTTCATTGTCAATGCAGAATACTTCATCTGCGTTTTCAACCAACTGATGAACGGAAAGAGTACAATTATAAGGTTCCACCACAGTATCGGACACCTTTGGGGATGGAACTACAGAATAGGTACCCATCATTCGATCGGGATATTCTTCCCGTATTTTAGAGATTAAAAGGGTTCCTAAACCAGAACCTGTTCCACCTCCAAGTGAATGTGTGATTTGAAAGCCTTGCAAGCAGTCACACGACTCTGCTTCTCGCCGGACTACATCTAAGACATTATCTATGAGCTCTGCACCTTCAGTGTAGTGACCTTTTGCCCAGTTGTTTCCGGCACTACTCTGACCATACACAAAGTTGTCTGGGCGAAAGAGTTTTCCGTATGGACTGGCTTTTACAGCGTCCATTGTCCCTGGTTCCAAGTCTATCAACACAGCACGGGGAACATATCTTCCTCCTGTCGCTTCACTGTAGTATACATTGATTCTGTCCAGTTGTGACGGAGAATTTCCTTCGTAAAGTCCGGAGGGGTTGATACCATGTTCCCCGGAGATTACTTCCCAAAACTTTGAACCTATTTGGTTGCCGCATTGTCCTGCTTGGATATGAACAATTTCCCTCATTTTATATTCTAAAACAGGTCAAATAATTTAGCAAATACTTGAAAGCATCGTATGACTTACCAAAGTATTAAGAAAGGGGTACGGAATTGCACAAGCAAACAAAGAAATTTGAAAAGGCATTCTTCTTTCGGATGTTATTAAATTTGGCGGGCTTTTGCGGTCGAACCATGAGAAGAAGAAGAAGAAGGGGAGCGGAATTCTGAACCTATGATGGACATTGACCATTATTACAGGCTCACCAGAATAAACTTGTACCTTCAAAGTATTATAAGTGTCTATAGTTTATTCCTTATATGACATATATTTGGAACATTGATTTTATCCATCACTATTGTCTATTGCAATCATGATTCCATGAAATTCTATCCGTACTATATGGTTCCGTATTTCAATTATGCTTTCCACCATTCAGCCTTGTTGCCATTTTGAACTTTTCGAAATTCCAATTTGACAATTGTGTGCCATGCAGTTTCCTGAGAGCAATATAACTTCACCTCTGTCAGAAAAGACAAACAACAAGAGACATTTTCTAGCTAACAAACCTCAGTTCTATTTACACTGTCCTTCAACCGAGGCACCCATAGAGTCTCTTTGGGAAATAGCCGCTCAACGATTACAGCTTTTGCAAGAGATTGATAAACTTCGTTCCAGAGGAGCGTCATTTCAGGAGTTGACTAGTGCTATTGAAAAGTTTTTGTTTCTTCGGCGACAGCAAAATGAGTACTATTCATACGAAAATATTATAACTGACCGACTATATGATACGGAATCACGAGATGTATTGTCTCATTACTTGTTAAGACTTGCTTTCTGTAAACAACAAAATGCCCAAGCATGGTTTCTCCAAAACGAAACTGTGCTCTTTCAGTGGAGACTAGAAAACTCGCCGCCAACTCAGATAGACACTTTGATAGATCAACTCCAAGCTGTGTGGAGTGATGAAGAGATTTCGTTGAGAAAGGTGGTGAAGAATTTGGATCAAGATCCTGAGTTTGCTCAGCTGTATCATCGTCTCTATCAAAAGCTGCCGAGTAGCATGACGCTTTTGTTATATCAAGTTCCTTTTGAACAAGTTCCTGAGCTATTGAGACATCGTTCGGTGATTATTCGTTCAGGTTATGCCTATTTATTTTCAGAACAGTTGACTAGTTTTTTGGTTTCTCGTTTTAGGAGTGTTTTATCTAAGGGTCTTGGAGTTTTACGCAAAATGGAGCACTTTGCTGAAGAACAAGAACAGTTAAACTTGTTGTTGGAAAGTCTACGAGAGTCTCAAAAGTTCTTTGTGAATCAGTTTTCTTCATATTCATTGAAAGATGCGGAAAATCTTGAGAAAGCCATTCACTTGGAAGATCTTCCTCAAGCAATGTTTCACATGCCGCTTTGTATGTTTCGTTTGATGAAACGATTGGAACAGAATCATCATTTGAAACATGGTGCTCGTCTTCAGCTGGGTTTATTTTTAAAAGACTGTGGTTTATCTATGGACGAATCTCTCCATTTTTGGAAGACAGAATTTTCCAAAGGTGGCATTTCTTCTGACAAGTTTGACAAAGAATATGCTTATGCCATTCGTCATCATTATGGGAGGGAAGGAAAACGTGCCTCATATACTCCTTTCTCGTGTATGAAAATTATTCAGCAACGTCCTTCGGCTCATGAAGAACACGGTTGTCCTTTCAGAGAACTCAATAGTGCCTCTCTTGATACCCTATTGCAAACATATGGAGTTGAAGAAGCTGGATGTAGAGCATCCATCGTACAAAAGGCTCAAGAAGGACATTTTCAAGTAGCTTGTGGGATGACTATGCAAATGAAGAAAACAGGACAACAAATAGCAACATCCTCGGAAGAATTCAGTCCGACAACAACGCATCCAAATCATTACTTTTTTGACTCTCTTGCAACGAAAGAAAACCTTTCCCATAGCTAAGACTATTTTTCAACACAACACACACACACACACAAAGAGAAAGAGAGAGAGAGAGATATATCACATGATTCCTCTATGGACTGTTTTGTTTATACGAAACTCAAGACAAATGCTTTCTCAAAGGCATGCTTTTTAAATGATTGTTGGTTATGACATCTCATGATTCTTCTTTTGTCACTTTAGATACAAAGGTGGTTAGGAATGGACAACTTTTGGACCATGGAACATCTCAAAACAATAAATAATCCAGAACTATCGCTCCTCCTTCTTTCTAAGTGTCCATAATCACCTGTCTTTTGAAAAATTCTCAGCAAATCCAATCTTTGTATGGGCTCTCCAATAAGTGTGCTTCGACAGTTGATCGGTCGGATTGTGGTGGTGTGCTCAATTACTCAAAGCCATGCTCCATGGAATAATGCCGTTTCATTGGTTTCCAACAACTGTCTTGTTTATTATTCATCTTAATATCATATCCTTTTCCATGAATAACACTACATATCTTCCATTTTCACATAATGCGGATTCTTCACAAGTACTACCAATCCTTCCAAACTGGGGGCAACGGGTATATATTCCTCAGTAGCAAGTTCTGCCCTTTCACCTCCTGCAATAAGAACAGGAGTAGTATGTGTTTGGAAACCAGTAATACTTTTAGGTCTTCCCGCTTGCCCAACAATATCCACGGCTTGTCCAACACGTACAGGAACTAATAAAGGCTTCATTTCTTCATCTACTGTATACAACATTCGAGGGCGAGCTGCCAACAATAACAAATATAACAAGTAGTGATGCTTATTCAAAAGAGTATGTTGTGAAACACAACACAAATAGATAATCGTAAACAAACCACAAAAAGCATTAGGATATATAGAAAAGCGTTCATTGTCCATTGGTGATAGCGTTATCTAAGTAAGTAGAAATCAAAATAGTTTCATATGCTTTTTGACGACGACGACTTACCAGTCCCTTTCCCATATGAAGAATGCCTTGGGCTATACGAACAGCAAACAAACCAGAAGAGTCTTTAACGTAGAAAGCAGAAAGTTGTCTCAACAAAGAAGCTATTCTAGCGTGATTGGTTCCTGCTCCAATAAAACCCAATGCCATTATAGCTGCATAAGCAACTTCTCTATCGTTATCATGGGTTAACTTGGATAGTAGGTCCATAACCTATATAAATAGAGAAATAGAAGATGATAAAGGATGCTCATATTATCTCGTACCTGTAAACGTGGATAAGAAACCGATAAAAGACCCAAAGATAAAGGTACAATTCTTCGAACAGCTGCATCTCCATATTGCAACAAATGACCATAGAGACGGAACGCCATTTCTGTTCCAATATCTTCCCTCATAGCAATTGCTGCGATGCCTAAACAAGCTGCTGTTTGCTCATCTACCAACTCTTTTTCGTCTTTTTTATCTTTTGGTAGGCGTTCTGACTGAGTTTCGGGAGACGAAGATGTATGGTCTTCATGATTGGTTGATGATGCAATATTCCCAGAAGACATCTCTTCCGTTGTGGTTGCTTCTTCATCTGCACCTTCCAAATGAGAAGGATGCAGTCCACACATATTAAGATATTCTTGCACCTTTAACACATCTCCACTTCCAGCTGAACTGAAAATTGAAACAAGCCTAGCAGCAACTCTTCCAGGTGCACCAGGAATTTGTGCTTGAATGGCTTCAATGACTGCATCCGTACCATTTCTTCTTCCGGTGTATAACATTGCAAGTGACAAGGGAAGTAAGCGAATCATTGATTCATTTTCCCAACTTGCCAAGTCCCTAAAGGAATTGAGTATTGGAGAAAGAAAACTCTCGATAGTAATTCACTACCTATCTAAAAGTGCCTGAATCAAAGTGGATACCAATTCTTCATCCGCTGAACCTTGAAAGACCAGACCTAAGCTAAGTGCGGCAAAACATAACGTATCCAATGGAGCAGATGCATCCGCAACAATCTAACGTATGACGACATTCAGTACAACTATCACATTCAATGATAAGCAATATATAAAGACTCACAGGGATAAGAAGTTCTTGGATTTCCATTCGACATGTCCCCGCATAGGCAAATCCTAAACCCAAAATAGCACCAATTCGAATGGAAGAGGAACGAGGATTCTCTACATGTTCGCTCAAAAGAGCAAGTGCTGGATCAACTTCACTTCGAATACCGGAAGATACAATTCCGATTCCCAAAAGAGCGCCAGCTTGAACATACTCTTCTGAGGCGTACATGTACTTGTCCAACTCTGCCAAACCACTATCAATATCCCATAGCATAAGGGCACCATAGGAAGCTGTAGCGCTCATCATTCCGTGGTCTTTGTTCCTAAATACCCAACGACTCTCTTCATCCATTAGTAACTTGTCCCTATTCAACTAAGACTTTCGTTTCTTCTAAAAGCGAGAAAATTGAACATACTTTCCAAAGCCAAGATTTGCGAAAGCGTTGACAAACGTTGCTGCCAAGTTCTGCCGAGCGGAATCCAAATTGCTATTCAAACCCAATCGGCCTATACCGTCCGTCAAGTGACTTTTATAGATATCTTCAGGAGTCTTTGGTTCCATAACGTCCAAGTCCTTTGCCAAAGATAAATAAAACTCATACAGACGAGTATTTCCCATCCAATTCTTCAAATCTTCGTTGGTTTCTTCTTCGAGGAATATATTTCGACTAGCCAAATCCAAGGCCAACTGAGTTCTTACTGCAACAACGTTTCCTAACGCATCCTTTTCAGGATCACTTTGGTATATATTACTCATCAACTCCATATCTCCGAGTCGAATTGCAACCCTCATTGCTTGCGTCGATCTTCCCAGTTTACGATATATCGAGCAAGCGACTTGCAAGATATCAAAGACATCGGGTTCTGGAACATAATCGGCTGAAGAAAGGAGATAAAGACAGATTCTCTCAAAATTGGCTTCTTCAGCGTAATCAACCAAACTTTTCAAATGGTCCACTTCATACAACAAATCGCAAGCTTCTGGTTCTGCATTCGAAGAAAGCAAAAAGGGAACAATTTGCTTAACCATTGACATAATATCTTCCATTCCACTATCTTGTCCTTCAGCTAGAATCCTCTTCTCGTACTCTTGGCTTATTTCCCCTGCCAAATGTCGTACGTACTCGTGACCCCACGATTCGGGGTTTTCCTGAGTTCCTAAAAGTTTATAATGAAGACAATCTAAAGAGTCTTCAGGGGCCATAGTCATGGAAAGCACTGAGAGAATATCTGCTAACGCTCTCTTATTTTCCCCGTCGACCATAGTTTGGAAAAAGGTCTTGAGTGGCTCATAGTGTTCACTCATAAACTTCAAAGGCTTCGGAAGTGAAGTCATGGAAGAAGTAGACGATCGAATTTCTGACTTTAAGGTCTCCAAGGCAAGTTTTTGCACAGCAAGGTCGGGATCTTGTACTCTTTCCGCCAAGAGGTCAAACTCCTCCTTCATTTGACGATCTTCCTCCGAAAGTTCTTCTGTCTCGTTGGTGTTGGGTTCTTTTGTCACGTTATTCTCCATTTTTTTATCACCACGTGAGTTTGACAAACTATGGTTTGTGTTGTTTTGATTTTGTACCATTTCAATTGGAAGTGAAAATTATAATATTTCTTGAATCGCAGAGTCACGGCAATTAATCAATGGGTTCTTTAGTTTGTGGTCATATCATGCTACATACAAAAAACTATTACTACTGATGCGGCATTTTGTCTAATATCTTCTTTTGAAACTAAAGAGTTGCTGGTTCTCTTGTTGTCACATTGAAATGGGTTTGCATAGCTCACAACAAAGAGCCCAGTTTGGATCAATTTAGTTTCTTGTTAAAATGGTTTCAAAAAATATTGTTGTACGCTAAGTTCCTTTTGTAAAAAAGTTGAAAGCTCATACAAACATTTTCCCATCCTTTGAATAGAAGGAATGAGTATTTCAAGATAACTTTCCGTAGAGCAACTCAGGCTCTTAAAATGTATCTTTGAGAAAAGTATCAGAAAAAACAAACAAATTTCAAAATGCGACTTGTAAGTAGTTGGGTATGACAGCCATAATGATGAAGTGGGACATACTTTTGAGAACATCTCACAACATGCTCTACGATTGAATACTGTGTTCATTCAGCTTTGATATCAAATGGTAAAACCAACCTTTTCACTGTTCCTAGTCAAAAGAATGTCATTCGTATTGAAAACTCAAGGATGACCTTTTCTTAAATGAATACTTCATTTGCTAAATTGTATTAGAAGCTGCATGATTCTGTAAACACCACCTTTTTGGAAAATACAATATCTCAATGAGAGTAAAATTTTGAATGTACACAAAATGTTGACAGTCGGAACCAATAAAAAAAAGAAAGATGGAGGTTTTTCTTCCCTTCAAATGCACATAAGGACTGATTGGAGTAACAAATAAAAGCTTAAAATCCTCAAAATGCTCCCTCCCATCAGCTGCCGATTTAGCTCAGTTGGCTAGAGCGCCAGGCTTTTAACCTGGTGGTCGTGGGTTCGAGTTGTTCAATCCACGATTATCCCACAGTCGGCGAGTTTTTTTTCTGTAGACCTTTCCTTTCGGGTACTATCAAACTTTGATTTTTCATCATCATTCTGAACTGAAGTTATGCAACTGGATATTGCATTGGTTATTATCAAGGTTTTTTTTCTGGGCTGTTTATGAGGAAGACCCCAAAACTTCATGACCGGCCCGTTGTTTAATTTTCAGTGTGCAATTTTCGGCAAGTAGGTGGCATGTCGGAGGATAACCGTGTGTTTGTTGGTGGTCTTCCCTGGTCAATAAGTGAGGAAGACTTGAAACAAGTATTTTCCAAGTATGGAGAAGTCGTAGACGCAAGGGTGAATATTTTCGTTCCTTTAGTTTTGGGATAAACACGGCATCCGCAAGTTCGTACATAGTGTCTCAGGTCGTGGGAAGTCCCATAGTGTGTATCTTTGTGTTTCATACAATCTTGGGCACCAAAAGGTTTCCCTTGAAAGACCTGTGGCCTTTGGGGAACTATTGATTGTGAATGACTTGTGTATATACCAAAATTTTTCCACGGAAACCTTCTCAACGTTTATTTTTTCCTGTATTTTCCAAGGTGGTCATAGACAGAGAAACTGGACGGTCTCGAGGTTTTGGATTTATTTCATACGCCGAAAGTTCTTCAGTCGACGAGTGCATAGCAGCTCTGGACGGTCAGGTTAGTCTCAATTGTAGTGATTTTTCGGGGAAAGTGAAGTGTAGGGTTAGGACCTGCAAGGAAGAACCATTCGAGTAAACAAGGCAATGACTCGTGAACAACGAGATGACGAGTTTGCTTCCGGTAGAGGAGGAGGTGGACGCGGTCGTTATGGAGGTGGTTTTCGTTCGGGCGGTGGATTCGAGCGTCGTGACTACGATAACCGTAGAAACTATGACCGTGGAGATGGCGGTCGTTACAATCGAGAACGCCGTGATGGCGGTTTTCGCAGACGCGAAGATTTCGATTGATCTTCCCCTTAGTCAAAGATTGTTATAGGTTCTAGTGTTTCTTTTGTGTTGGTTGTTGTCGTTGTTGCTTTGGAGTATGCAGGTTAATTACTTGGTATCTAGTATTGTCTCGTGAGATGTAGTGTTACTCATTCATATCGTGGGCATAAACAGGTAGTTCCTTCATTCATTAGTATTGGTAGTTGGTATGCTTCTTTTGTCTCACAAGTTATCGCACCATGAAAGCAAAGAAAGATTCTATGTCCAAGGAGTGTACCACTTTTTCTGAGTAGCAAGTGGCTTTTCATTCAGTTTGCTATGCATCGCAGCGTGGATTGTCGAACGTTCCACACCGACCAACTTTTCCATTTTCGCTCCATCAAAACTACAGCCAATAAAATTGGCATGTTCCACTTGACATCCACACAAGTCAGCTCCAACCAGAATAGTATCACGAAAATCAGCCTAACCATTGAAAATAGTTTGGAATTCTACTCGTGAAAACATTGACAGCTATGGACCCACCTTTCTCAAGTCTGCATTACGAAGACAAGCATAAGACAAGTCAGCTCCACGAAAATTGGCTCCATAAAGTCTACAGTTGCTAAAGTTTGCTTTGCGAAAGTTCGATCGATTCATACCAGTAAAAGCTTCTCCAGGTGCCTATAGTATTTTGGATACCTTACACATTTTATCACCGCGCGCAACTTACCTGAACAAAACTTAAATCTAGTCCACTAAAATCCACCTCTGAAGCCTGAACTGGACGACAATTATAGTTGACCTCCTTCAACGTTTCCGCGTGCAACCATCCTGTAAAGTTAAACATGTTTAAAAGTTGCCGACGTCTCACGTCTTCGGCTGACTTTCTATTATCCTAGAAACATTAAAGACACGGAGAACGAAGGACTTTGAGAAATCTATACCTCCCTTTTCTTTTCTATAACTCGAACCAAGTCGAACAACTTTAGCTGTTTTGCGGTAAGCAAAACGCCATCAAGATTCTCTTCTTCACTGCAAACCAAGCACTGATACCGAACAAAATTCAAACATACCTACCAAAAGCACACACACATTTGTTAAAAAAGCAACTGTGTAGACACCAGAAACAATATCATACTCGAAAAAACTCGGGGTCCAAGTCCAATCCAAGTTGATTGAGACACACGCGGACTGGAGTATTTGAAGCTTCATCCTCTCTCGTGACAAACTCGTTGGATACCAAAGTAGAAGCAGTTTTAGGGTTCAGTAGCCAACTACTTTTCTCAAGTACAGTGTTGGTTGTACAAAACTCTTGACCTGAGACGATCAACACTACTTGTCGATTTGTCGTAGTCATTCACTCTTTGCATAACATTCATGATTGGCGCCTTTTATTTTGCTGAGACGATGGCATTTTTCTCTTCACGACTAGCAAATTTTCAACATTTCTGAACAATCAAATGAAAAGGTACAAAAACTTTCAAGTGTTTATGTTTTCCATGATCATTGAGAAGAAAGAATAGAATTCAGTTTTCCACTTGGCTTTTGGAAGAATTTCAGAGGTAAAGGAACAACAGAGAATTGGGATTTTCAAGAGTTTGGTTAGGCTCATGAGTATCAACGGCAGCTTCAAGGAGTCGTTTAACAACAGGGAAAGATATTTCTATCCTATTGGCTGGCTATTACAGAACAGAAATGTCCACGTGCTTCCTGGTTATGAAAGGGAGCTAGAAGAGTGCAAGTTGCTGCACAAAACGGTAACCTCTGTACTAGAAACGCTTACAGGAAAGGGGGAACGGCAGAAGAGAACAACAAATGACGAACCTATTGAAGAACGTCCTGATGGAAAGCTCCGAGAATCCGTAGAAACTGACAGATTCATAGGGAACGACAAGTTTGTAGGTACCAAAGCTAGTGATGGAACGACCCAAGATCGAAGTGTGGAAAGAAAACCGAAACAAGAGGTTGCTACAAATACAACACGTTCCCATAACGAAAGAAATAAGCGCAGAGGTTCTTCTGGAAGAGCAGAAACTTTTTCTAGTGCGGCTCCTCAACTACAGAAGATTCCTCCGGGCTTTGAGAAGCTGGGCCTGAGAACAGAAGAGAAGTTAGATAGACATGCAGAAAAAGCACATTTTGCTGGTCACTTGTCAGAGAGGACAAAGGAAGGTGTTTTTCAATCTACTTTTCTAGAAAAAGGTGGAAGATTTGCGAAGGGTCCAGATGAAAACGTTTCTTTTCAACGACCTCACAGTCTTCTTTTAAAGGAATGGAACCAAACTGAGGTCCCAGAGTCCATGAGTTTTTTAGTTGATCTATCCCGGACTTATTTTATTCGAGAAAATGTACGCAAAGTTATGGAGAACGTACTTGCTGTTGTTCAAAGAAACTCTGCTTGCTCGGACTCTACAAAAGAAAGGAACGGCAATATATCAGAAACTGAAACTCCAAAGTTGAAAACGACAGCAAATAATGTTACTTTTGAGTTGAGTACTGAGCCATTGATTTCCAATAGCAGCGAAGTAACCGTTGAAGATGAAGACATCGAAAGAATAGTCTTGACACCAGGCTTGCTCATGAACTTGCCTTACGATCACTCTATAAGTACCTCAAGTTCAGTGAAACAGAGTCGGGTCACAAAATGGACAGAAGAGTTGGATGAACCAGCTTCACAAGAACAAACTATTCTTCCAAACTCACAGCATAGTCAAAGAACTGCTCCAGTTGAGTTGGAGAAAAACATAGATTCTTTCTTGGCTTCCGTCCGCAAAAGGACGCTTTCCAAAAAGACTAACATGCATCATGCAACAGGAGGGCGTGTACTTCATTGTGACAATGAAGCTCAACCACATACTTATTCAGAGTCTTCCGATGCACTTTTGAGTCAAAGCAGCCCAGTGATGGAAGGAAACTTTCAACAGCAGAATGGATGGAATGACAGGTCAGTGAGCCTTGTTTCGCTCAAGGACTTGTCCTGTTCATCTCCCGATAGAAATAATGATTTCAGCAAGACCTGGAAACGTGCCATAGCTCCTCCCATAGCTTTAATTGATCCCGCTATTTGTGATGCAAAGATAAAGACTCCATCTAACTCTATTGGGGTAGAATCTGCTGGGTCGACTCAGGATGCGAAATATCATAGTCCTGTATGGAATCGACCTATTGGCACAAATAATGGTGTTCACCAACACACGGACTCTAGTCATTTGCTACTGAATCTTCTTGGTGGAGGACAAGGACATTCGAATAGCATTTCTCGCTGTCAGAAAGATTCGAGTTTAGAGCAGAATATGAAAATGTATCCTTCATCCTTGGTCCATACTACTTCGCAAATAGCTCATCGTAAAAAGGCGGTTTATGCGGAAGACTTGGAGCAAGCTCTGATTGCGCAAACTTTAAAGTCATCTCAGAAAGACGGAGATTCATCCATGTCTTTATTGAAAGATGGTATTGAGCATTTGGAAGGATCGTTCATGTAACTAAATGAACAATTTGATCGGAACCTTGTATAAACGAAGCAATAAATGAAGAATTCTTATTGAAAGAAATTGGAGTTGCTCATGGACAAAAGAATTTTTTCGATAATCATTTCAACTGATATATTTTTATTTGTTTTTTGGCTTCATTACTCCGAAACATACTGATTGTGCAATTGCCAAAGCACATCCTACAAAATCCAATGCAACCAAAGCTTCGATGGAAGTAAAACCAAGTTGTTTCCCTTGATAACTTACGGCACTCAACAAACTTTTGATATCCAAACCTGCAACAATCAAATAAAAGATGCCAAGAATTGCACAGTTAACCATGAATGCTATTCGAAATCCTACGGCACGGGAGTCATGAGAAAACATTTGAAAGACCATCAATGACTCGATGATCAAAGCAACGATAACAGCCAGAACCGTAGTCATGATTCCCACTACACTATTTGCAAATGGCTCAGGGCTATAGGATAGTCCTTGTTGGTTATTTGGATAAGTGCCTGGTATACTGGTACCGTTGAAATGTAGAGGATTTTCCAAGGATACAAAAGGTGCCCGAACAGACATGGACACGTCCGCTAAGAAATAACTCGCAATAGCAAGTAATAAATAAGTTATTTCTGCCTTTGTGAGTGTTCTTCTTCTAGCGTTTCCACGTTGCAGCCATAAAAGTACATAAGAAAGAATGGCATTCGCAATTGCATCTAACAATCCTAAGACATCACATATCAACAAGCCAATGATATAAAAGCTCAATTTGTGATATTGTTCTATATACAGTTTTGTTGTATATCCATCCAACGCGGCACCCGTTATGGAAAATATCATTGTGACTCCAAAAGAAATGGTTGCAACGAGACCTGGAATTCCGTAGTCTTCTGTCATTAAAACAAAGAGTAATAGTGTGCAACTTAATTGTAAGTATAAAGAAGCTACCAGAGCAACTGCTGAGTTTCTTGTTGGCAAAGGAGTTTCAAACAGCTGTCCACTTGTAGGTACTGTTCGGTTACTCAATGTATTGTAGTCTGCAGTTCTTGCAGCATGAATAACTCCCAAAGCAATTCCAATAGCGCAACCCAAACATGCTGCAAAGACCAGCCATAAACAGCCTCTTGGAGAGAGTCTTTGCACAGTTCTACCATCATTGGTAGATGAGCTTATTCTTCTCATTCCTCTCGGAGGCGGAGGCTTTTCTATTACAATCACCATATATGGACTTTCAAGGACATTTTCATTTCCCCCAGTGACGTGACTATATTGCCATCCATATTGTAGATACTGTCTTGTTTGCTCTTCATTGTTTCCGAGATCAGCTACAAACTTATAAATATGTGTCCCAACAGGAACGTCAATGATCACTCCATTTACTCCAGTGTTTTCTTCTCTCTGTAAGTGAATTGTTTTCCAATCAGTCCAGTCTCCAGCAATAGCTACTGCCATTGCGTCTGCATGATAGAAAAATAAACAAGGCACTCTATCCGTTCTCAAGGCCTATTTTATTTCTTTCAAACCCAACGTATATGGATACATGCGAATATCTATTTACCTCCAAATAGGCAGCCAAGCCCATCTTTTTTGGACTCAATTGCTTGGCTCCCATAGTTCGTTTCTCTTGCTTTATAGCATCATTTATGAGAGCAGTAGTGACCGGAATTTCCTGGCTATTTCTTATTGTGGAACTGCCTGAGCTGCTCATTTCTCTCTCTCTCTCTCTCTCTCTCTTTGTGTGTGTGTGTGTGTGTGTCTGTTCCAGTCACTGCGAATGATCAATTCAACATGAACAAGTCACGAGAAATGCGGATCATTAAACACGTCATTTCCTCCCCTTTACCAGACAAGGACCACGGGACATTCCTTCATCGATCTATTCAAGAAGACAAAGAAAAGCTTTGTATATAAAGAGACAAAAAGAAATAAGCATTTGAATAAATTTTTATGCTCTGTATTTTCATCTTGAGAAAACAAAGAAATCCAACAAATCCTATCACAAAGTTTATTTAAGAAGCAGACTTGCAAAACGACTCCAAGTCACAAACATCTTCATAACTACCCATGAAAACGGGAGTTCTTTGATGTATAGAGTGTGGTTGAATATCAAGAATATTTTCGGTTCCAGTAGATGCCTTTCCCCCAGCTTGCTCCATTAAGAAGGCCATAGGAGCTCCTTCATATAGCAAACGAAGTTTCCCATTAGGATTCTTTTTATCTGCGGGATAGCAAAATATTCCTCCATACAGCAAAGTACGATGGACATCTGCTACCATGGAACCAATGTATCTCAAAGAATAAGGAGATTTACCTTCAGAAGGAAACTTCAACGAATGAATATACTGAGTCACCGATTTGTCCCAATTTTTACAGTTTCCCTCATTCACGGAATATATTTTACCACGACGAGGAATTCTAATATTGGGATGAGTCAACACAAATTCTCCAAGAGACGGATCCAACGTAAAACCATGAACTCCATTACCGAAAGACAGTACGAGGTTGGTTGCACTTCCATACATTGCATATCCAGCAGCTACTATCTTTCTACCTGGTTGCATGATTTGTCTTGCTGCATCTTCTGTCGTTTGAATATTTTCAGCGTCTGGGAGGTGGAATATGCTAAAAATACTTCCGATGGTAACATTGGAGTCGATATTAGAAGAGCCATCGAGAGGATCAAAAGCGATTCCATATTTTCCACGATTATGCTTTTCCACGACAATAGGCAGTTCCTCCTCTTCTGAGACCATCACTGCTACCTTTTGACTACTTTCAATATTAACTTTGAAAGTTTCGTTGGAGATAACATCCAGCTTTTGTTGCAAGTCCCCAGAGACGTTACCTCCTCCAGCCAAACCATAAAGTTTAGCAATACCTGCTTTTCTCACACAAGAGTCTGTTACCTTACAAGCCAGTTGGACGGAAGTCAACAACAAGGTTAAATCTCCTTGTGACTCTGGGTGTTTGCGTTGTTCGTGTAGAACAAAGCGTGTGAGTGTTACAGAGTCTGTTTCCTCTAAACCTGTTGGTGGAGCAACTTTTGTATGTTGCGACATAATCTCGCTGCTTCTTTTGCTTTGTGGTAGAAAATGTTTGGAAACCCAAAATCGATGGGTGGATGAGGTGGTTCAAAGACGATACTAAGCCAAGTTGGTTGTCTCTTCCACAAGAAGAAGTCCACTATACTTGTTATCCATCTCTCTTATCGCTTCCTTTAGACACTTTGCTTCGTATATGTTCCTATCTTCCTGGATATGAACTTGCCAAATTACAAATTGCCGTCTCCTCCAAAGCTTTTGTTCAAGCAACAAGGTACCTACCCAATCTTCACCTCTTTTTTATTTACTCTCGGAATAGTGATGCTCACTTATGGAGGAATGCTTTCTATAGAGATTTTGGTAGAAAAATGCCCCCAGAAATCTATATTCATGAAGGTAAGTAGAGGTTGGTGTTAGGGATAGTTCTTGTAAAGGCACGCTCGATATAGGCCGAATAGACTGGAAATATGCTTATGCAACAAGGTTTGTGAAGAACAGGACAAACCAAAAAGTGCTGAGAGAAAATTTTATTCGAGAAGGAAACATTTGGCGCTTTCCTCGAACCTTGGAAGAGAAACAGCGGTTGGCTAGTAAAATTTAGTCACCCTGTATAGAGAATCGATAACGAGATACTTTGAAATGGCAACAATTGTTACAGCATGTCGTCTAATTGGTTCAATAAGCCAACCATATCTGGTTGGGATAAGTCGTAGCCTGCACAGGAAGCCAATTTTCTTAAAGCAAACAGCTTAAAGCTGTTTTCCACCATAGGACAAGCAGCAATTTCTTTAGCGGCAGGTAAATAACCAACTTCACCCAAGTCTCTAATCAACACTCTTTGGGTGTAGTGATGTTCCTCACCAAAGCCTAAAGCACTTAATAAAGGTTGTAAATAGGAAATCTCGCCTGTGCATTGATAGAGTGCTTTATATGCTGCATATTTCACCAAGGGAATAGGATGTTCTGTGTATGACTTGATCAATGACAGATGCTCATTGGCATGTAAAAAGCCCAAGGCTTTCAAACACCATTCCAAAGGATATTCTAAATACTCAGGTCCAACACCCAAGTTGGGAGTATGTGTCATTCTTCTTTGTCTCATTTCGTTACGTTTCCTTTGTTGAAATATATTCTCCAATTTCTCACGAACGTCCTGCGAAAGATGTTCCAATTGAAACATTTGGTTGTGTGTACCATCTCTTGATAATATATCATCTTGTTGAAAGCTTTTCCACTCTTTTGTCAATATATCCACAAGCACATTCACTACACAACTAGGGAAATATTGAGAACCCTGAATTCTAGCAATCGTTGCCAAAGCTTCTGCACAACGATACCTTAAAAAGGAATCAGAGGTTTGGGATAATATATTGGACAATGGAACGATGGCCTTGACAGACCCAATGTTGCCTAAAGCAATTGCTGCCCTTCTTTTCAATGGATAACCTCCTAAAGCAGTTTGTTCTTGAGAAGTTTGTAAAACAAGTACTAGGGCTTCCTCTGCTTCTACAACTCTATTTTTGGATATCCACCAAAGTGCATAGTAACGATAACCACTGTTCTCATGATATAGAATATTGTAAACTGCCTCTTCCACACTACGAGGACAGGCGTCTGTAGAAACTCCGACGGAATTTGCCATTGCTTCTTCCAACAGAGGAGTATCTGTAGTTATTTCACCAGCTATATAATCAGCCCAAGCTGAGTCTTCCACTGCAACGAAATTGTCATCTTGATCACTGTCCTGTGAAGATGGTCTGGTTTGTTTCCTGCGAACTGCATAAATGCCTTCCCAACCCAAAGAGTCATATATCTTTCGAAGTCTTGGTTCCTTCAATATGTCGTACGCCTCTTTTAAGGAATGGAAGGTTGGCTTACTATCTACTTGTACTTCCCCTTTCCTATGGACATCTGGATGCGCAGTCTTTGAGAGTTCTACATATGCCTTTCGAATATCGTCTGCAGAAGCCGTAGAATCCACTCCCAACACAGAATATGGGTCTTTGTTTTCTTCTTGTGTCTGACTGACCATAACAAGGGGAACTTTGAGGCGAAAATAGGGTTCTGTTACAAAAGACCTCTTTGAACAACAACATTGACGACGAGGAATCACTTGTGCCCATCGACTAGGAGGAGTATTCTTACGTAACTTTATAACAGGTATTTCATAGTTGCTCTTTTTCATACACAGCTTTCCAAAGATCAGGAAACTCAATGGGCTGTTCATTTCTCTTTCCTGATCTTCAATAGTATCTCATTATTCAATCTCCTTTACTATTCTATCTTCATGAAACTCAATCATTCCCATCCATTTCACGTTTATATGTTATGGCAATTTTTTAAGTAAATCAACATACCTATTTATATTCTTTTCCACACTTCAACTCATCTCGTTCTTCCCTCTTTTAGAGAAATATTTGGGAGGGGGAAAATGACGATGAGTGGTCAAAGTCATGAAAACGACTCTGCAAAAGTTATCTTCCTTTGTTGTCCTTCTTTACCCAAGTTTATGGGTGCTTTACATCCTGCAGGTGCTTTATATGCTCAACCAGTCAATTTGAAACAAGCCATTGACCAACATCAGGCGTTTCGTGCTTTGTTGAAAAGACAAGGAATAAAGACTCTGGAAGTATCCGAAGTGCTTGCCCACGATACAGGTAACTATCTTATCCCCTAAACACTTGTGAACTTATCTTTGTTCCCCTCCTTAAAGAAACCAGTGTGAACGCGCGCATGGATTTGGAAGAATTAGCAGCCAAGTCACTCATCTATCGAGCGGAACCCGAGTGTTTGGAAAGGTTTAAAGCGTTGGGCGGTGAATATTACATAAGTGAAGAGTACAAGCGCTTAGTTTTGGAAGCCATGTCTTCGGACCAATTGACAGATATCGTGAAAACTTTTCCAACGGTGACTATCACCCACTCCACTAGAGACACCGGTGTATCTGCTTCCTATTCGTTTCAACCACTTACCAATTTGGTATTCACCAGAGACCAACAAGTGACAACTAGAAAAGGTATCGTATTAGGAAGACCCAGTAGCGTTCAACGCGAACACGAGGTCAACGTGATGGAGTTTTGTTTCAGAAAAATGGGGTTTCCAACCATCGACCGCATACCTGCACCTGCACATTTAGAAGGCGGGGACTTTTTTCCAGCTGGAGATGACCTTTGTTTTATTGGTGTAGGATTGAGAACCGATATGAATGCTGTTGAATATATGTTGAAAAAAGATTTGTTTGGTACACGACGAGTAGCGGTGGTGCGCGATGATTATGATAGAAACCAAGATAGAATGCATTTGGATTGCGTATTCAATATACTAAGTCCAGACTGTGTGTTGTTGTATGAAGATATGGTTGGAAAGAATAACCCCATTTTGAGACAAGTCGATGAGTATGTGAAGAAGGAAAATGGACAATATGCACTTGTAAGTATAAAGGCTCGAAAAGAGAGTTTCACAAGCTGATGAGAGTCCTGTTATCAATCATAGGAAAGAAGCAATATTGAATTTTCAGAATATTTGAGAGGTGAAGGCCTTTCTATCATTTTTATACCTGCCAAAGAACAACTACAGTATGGATGTAATGTATTGAATTTGGGAAATAAGAATATAGTTGCCGTTCATCCTACAACTGCACGTAGAATTGCAAAGGCTCCTTGTTTCGATGGTAATGTGGAATTTATAAACATGTCTGCTATCACAGCCATGTATGGTGCAGCACACTGTGCATCTCAAGTAGTGTATCGCGATGTAACTGGTTCGTGTGAAAAATGGGATGGCTTCCATAATGAACTTGATTCTTCTCCTCGAAGACAAGTACCTACTGCATGGGGTGATTACATAGGAAACAATGCCTAGAAATAGATTGGAACTGGAAGAGAAGCACTAGCATGGATAGAATTGTGAAAATATTTTTGTGTGAATCTATATTCTCCTGACTTTGGAATTTCAAGGACCCAAAACCAATCTAAACTATGCAGCAGTAAAAGAACAAACAGACCACGTACTACTTTATAGACACAAAAAAGAATTCTTAAAACCAAATTAAGTGTCAGTTGAAAAAGAATATACGGACTCCTAAAAGATGGAGTATACTATCTAAGGCAATTCTGTCCTTCTCCAGAAAAAAAAGTGACTGGCAAAACTTACTAGGCAACAGTCAAATTAAGCTTTCTGCACCATTCAAGAAAAGGTAGACTTTCCTGTTTATCTCTCAGTCTGTCCTTAGTTTCCTGTACACATTTGTGTGCAGCCTGTTTTATCTCAAGGCAAGTTTCGCGTTGAAGAGCATTCAAGATAGCAGGTTTGAGACGCTCAATTTGTTCTTGTTGAGATGCAGTTATCGACTCCCATGGTTGTTCAAGAACTTTTAGAGCATGTTCAATTCCTTGAAACAACATTTTCATTTCAAACGCTTTGCTCGGACCTTGCAAGAAGGAATCAAATCTGCTCAGATTGCTAGAAGGATCATCCACTTGCCAACAAAACAAGTCCAAAGCTTCCAAACAATCCGCTGGAGCACTTCTTTTCCACAAGTCGCGAAAGTTCATTTGCCAAAGGAACTCCATATCCAACAGATAATTGGTCTCATTAGACGAAATCTTTTCTCTCGAAAATAATAAAAACATGATCAGGAGATCATATATTTCAGATACTCCTAAAATATTTTCTTCAATTTGGAGTTGTTCTCTTATTTCCGTCAAAGTCATTGAGCACTCCTTTTCATCCTCTCTGTTTATCGTACTTAATCTATGAGCAATGTTCTTAATAAAGAGTTGACTACTAAGGAGATTGGGAAGGTTGACAGGGTCAACAGCCTGTGAAATCATGTCAATTTCAGTTGCCTGATCCATGCAACTAGTCGAGTTCACCTTGTCAGTTTCGCCATTTTGTGTTTCATTTTCATTAACGTGTACTTGTTCTTCTTCCGTCAGATTCGATGAACTGGTAGTCAAGTGGGTATTCAATGCCTCTCCATTGGTATCAATATCAGAAACTTGGGTAGTTTGCAGACTTTCCAAGTCATTCGAGGCAGAGATAACCTCGTTGTGTTGTTCCAATGCTCTGTTGCTTTCTATTGCCTCCGACTCCTCCTTCCCTTCATTATCATTGTGCTCTTTGTTTCGCATCCATTTTTCTTTTAGAGCTTCAAACTGGGAGTGAAAAGTATCTTCCAATGGAATTGCTGGCTTCATACTTTTGGACGTTTTCGCTGTAAGGTTTGTTGTACCTTGATCATTTTCGGTTTTCATAACTTCTTCATTTTTTGTCTTTGGCCAGTCAGAAGTGTCTGAATTCATTTCACAACTTTCTTTACGTGGCGGAAAACTGCCATAAAGATTTTGGTTTTGCGGTTCATCCTTTTGTTTATCATAATGATTATTTGCAAAATTTGGAGTCTCCAAATCTAACTTCTCTTGCGCTGTATTTACTGAACTCGCAATCAAACCTAGCCTCTGTAACAAATGAAGATGCTTGCCTTCATCTCTTTCAATGGCCACTTGTTCCAGTAAGACAGTTGGCACTTCTTCCAATTCCATGAAAACATCACAAGCTGCTCTGCGCAACTCGGCTGATTTACCTCCAGCATGGGGACCAACATCTTTCACTAACAATTCTATTATCGATGCAACATCAGAGTTTTCAGCAGCATTCTCTCGAAAATAACTATTCAGCTGCTTCCGATTTTTCTGTATAGCTGCTTTTATATATATTAAAGCTTGTAAAATAACTTTCACCGATAGGTCGCGATTGTAACACTGTCGTAAGCAAGATTGGCTTATCAACTCCAACAACAATGGAAAGAATGGAATAGCAAGTTCCATTTCTTCCAACACTGTTGTCGCAGTGCTTGCTATGAAACCATTGGAATCCCCAGATTTCTCAAATATCTTTTGTAATAAAACAGAATTTTCACGAAGAGTTTGTTCCAAGGAACAATAGCCCTTTTCAAGTTTACGATTATGCTGTCGAAGTTCTTGAAATGAAAATATTTGGAAAAGTTTTGTCAGCGCCTTCATCGCGGGAACCAACAACTTTTCGTTTTCGTCTTGAAGATACTTGGCAATAATATTAACGACTAGCGGAACGAAATGCAGGATATCGACTGTTCCTTCATCATCCTCATCTTTCTTGATCCAACAAGAATCATTTTGATTGTTCGTGACAATGTTAACCTTTTCTTTCTCCATATCCTTTGTCGCAGTATCTAGAAAACTCTCGATTGCTTGGATAATTTGGACCTTGGTATTTACGTCGATCAAAGTATGTAACTTGTCTAAGACTTCAGTTAAAGCGTGTTCCGATATTTGTTGCTCTGAGAGCAACAATATTGGAGGCTCAGTAACCTCTCGTTCCTTTGGAATTTCTATAATGTCCTCTTTCACATCCGAAACTTCTTCATTCTCGTCTATCTTAGGCTCTTCTATGGTTTCAGCATTCTCTTCTTTCTGCTGCTGCTCTTTTTCCTGTTTGCGTCGAAGTGAAAGTTTCTGTGGAATGTTATCCGACTCCTTTCGTCTGTCGTTTGAAATTCTTTTTGCAGATGAAGAAACTGTATGAACTGTGGTTCGTGATGCTCTTGTATTAGTTTTGTCCACTATTCTACTGTTAGTCTTGGTCTTACCAGGCTCCGACATTCTCTCTTTTGCACCTGTACCAGAGTTAGATGTGTGTCGCACTGAAGCCTTTGAAGCTGTTGTGTTTGTAGGTTGACTACGTTCAATTTTTCCTTTTCTCCCACTACTTCCTTCTCGCTCATCTACATTCTTGACAGGAGTGGTTTTCCTTGTGGCTGTTTTCCTAGCTCCAGCAGTATTAACTGCTCCCTGTGATTGATCATTTGCTTTCCCCTGCTTCTGTAAAGTGCTGCAACCAAATGCAAGCGAAGGAGCTTCTGCAGGTCGTGCCTCTTGCACTGATCTCCAGTCTACCGTATCCACTTTGTGAACCCACTCTTGCACTTGTTCGGGCATTATTTTTGCCAACAACCAAAAGTTCTTTCGGTAAGTTGTCTTTATCGTAGAGGAACTGTCCTTCAAACCTATCGCAATAATCTTCTCAATCTCTTCCAAATGTGGTTGAACATCGGTAACTTTTTGATAGATGAGAATGTTTCCGACAAACTCTGCTGCTAAGTTGCGAGACATTGGTAAAGTCATGGGTTGATTTGTAAAGAGACTCAGCACTGCTTTCACCAATCTTCTATGTTGAACATATTGAATAAAAGTCCTCAAAGCCTTGACAGCAACTTCTGAAACGCCGGAGACGTTACTATTGGAAGCTTTCCATAGAGATCCAACCAAGTGTTCTGCCAAAGGCTCCGCAAGTTCATCCTTTATAAGCGTTGCTAGAGTGACCATTGTTTCGCAGGCTTCTCTTGCCACAATAGCCACTTTGTCGTCAGTAACAGCAAAGTTTATTGCACTTCTCAATATCTTTGCGTTATTTAAGAAGGCACTCCATAACTGTTCTCCGTCAAGATTATCCTTTGCATCTTCTTCGAGAGTTTCTTCCGAATTCTGTTCATTGTTGGTTGGCGACCGTTGTCTCCACGAATGATTTTGCTGATGCAACTGCACAAGCAGGTAAACCAGGTCACACAGCTTTCGTAGAGCTTGTACTCTTGACTCTGTGTCCTTTTGCACTGCCATCTCTTGAGCCAACTTTTCCAAGAAGTGAACCATTTCATTTTGACTCTTTGGAAGATTCGCTATATTGTAGTTCGGTTGAGGTGTTACTGTATTAATTTTCTTAGTTCTGTTTCTAAATTTGTCCAAGTTTCTTAAAGCTGTTCCACCGTTAGCTGCCATTTTCTTTCAGCTTGTAACGATGCCTAGAGTATTTCCGAAAATACTAGAGTACGAAAATTTTACAAAACGACAGTCTGCAAAAAGCGCGCAGATTTGAAAAGTATTTAGTTTCAGAGCTCTCATGTCCCTTATCGGTACACAACGTGGCTAATTGTCTTCCCCACCTCAAAGAAAGGATCTTCCATGCTGTCCATTTCGTCAAGCCAAGAAGTAGTTACCCAAAATAGCAATTTGAAAATCCGATGGGAATCATAGACAACTCACCATCGATCCATGATCAAGTTCCTTTTCCACGTGGCTGAGTTTGGCATTTTTCTTTCCAAACATAAGAGTATTGTGAATTCCGAAGAACAACTTATTAGTTTAATCTATTTAGTGGCTTGTTTCTTGAGACAACTGTATTGTGGACTTTTCGTTCTCTAAAGTGTCTTTAAACAACTCTTGCAAAACTCTAGTGACCAGTTGAAGTATATATTTATATATTCACTTCTATTTGGACAATACCTTCTTATCTCCTACGAACAATACAGCAAAATTGTTGAAAACTGTAGATATTATAAAAGAGTTATTGTACAAAGATTCTACAGTACTGAAGACTGCTTAGAATGCTCTCTTACTTAAACAACAGTGATCAATCCAAAAACTATCAAACAAGATGGAAATGGTTGTGGTCTAACCAAAGTATTGCTTCGTGGTTCCAAAGTCATAAAATTTTCAGTTCTCAAAATGAAATGAATAGTACAATACATCCGAAGAACCCAAGTGAAGAAAAGGTGTGGAAGGAATTTGAAGAGAGCTCTTTGGAAGAATATGAGTACTCCGGCACCTTTTCAAAGGGTACACCAGCAAATGTCAAAATGTCTGTTCCTACAAGGTATGTTTGTCGGAAAACATTAGTCTCAATTCATTATTCGTAACAAATATCCAGTCCAATGACTCCCGACAATTGCAACGAATCCTCAAGTTATACTTCATTCAGAAAGCTCGCATTGTACAAAGAATATTGTGAAAATGAAAAATGGGTATGCAAATATAGAAACTTGGAAAAATTTGCTTACAACAAACTTCTCTTTAGACAACAGACTTGGAAAGAACACCGAGCCAATTGGCAAGTTTGAACCTTCCAAGCTCTCCATCTGATTATCGCATTCGACAAATTTCCTATCATGTCGAGGTCATTCAAACTTTGTTGATTCCCTCCATACGAAGTATGTAATATTTTTTCTTTCCATCTTAAAAAGCTGACTTTGCAGATGCTGACTCTTCTCACCTTACATGGGTTGCACCACTGGGGTCCGGTGCTGTAGGTATGGTGTTATGCCCCAACGCTGTGGACATTGCTGTGAAGGTAACTATAGAATAACTTGGCAAATAATAGACTCAATTGGTATTGCTGTAGGTATCGATCTATGAAACTGGTTTTGATCCAAAACACCTTCATCCAAGCAAAGCAGAAGCACAAATCATGCGAAGATTATTTACCGTTCTAAGACTTGCAGAAAAAGATCCTGTTAGTCCTCACGTAGCTATCATACTTGACGATATTTATGGAGTTTCTCTCTCTTCTCTACAAATTCCCAAACATTTCTGGGAATCTTCTCGAAGTGCAAAAGAGCTTCAGAAGTGGATAGGTCGCAATCGAAACTGCGATCTTTCCAATTGCTCTCTTCTATTCTCAGAACGACTGGAAGGAGGAACTCTTTTTCGTTCGTTGTGCAGGTCGTCTCCTGATGTGAAACGTCAGAGAAGTGTAGATTTGGAAGAACTTTCCCAGGGACACTTGAAGACGCCAAAAGCCTTTTCACAAGTGCTTCAAGAGCTGGGCGTTTCTCCTGTCGACGGAATAAGGACAGTAGCCTTTCAGGTTCTTTTCACTCTTGCAGTTATAAAGGAGTTGGTAAGCAGAGACATTATCCCATCAGTTGTTGTCTTAAATCTCTTCTTCAGATACCTGATTTTAAGCATAATGACTTGAGTTTGGCAAATATTATGCTGCGAGCAACTCACGACTTTCCAGTGGACTTATGGGAAAGTTCCATAACCCAAGGAAGAGAAACCAGAAGCCATTCAGAACATAATGCCAAGTTCTACACTGCACCTCTTCGAGTCTATTTATACAAATATCGTAATGAAAAATTCCTTGTGCCTGATTTAGGGTTTCAACCTGCCATTGCTGACTTTGACTTTGCTTGCATTGGTAAGCTCAACAAATAAATGGTATGGAGTGACTAATATTGCTTGTCAAATAGGAAACGGCACCAGCCCAGAAGATATAACCAATGCAAAAGTAGCCTTTTTTGAGTCAAGAAAGGTTTACGAAGATTATAACATACATTCTAAAAGAGATGATATTTCGGATGCACAAATGTTCCTCAGCAACTTGAAAGATGTTGCTTTGCATAACTTGCAACGAGAATTGAAATCCAGATCGTTGTTTTTGAAGGCTTCTCCAAACAAAGAAGAATCTCTTATGGTAAGATTGGTCTCAGTTATGATGAGTAAGATATTAAACTATCCAAGCTTGACTTTTTCCAGAGAAGAGTGCATCCACAATGCAACGACTCTCAAAATAGGTCGTTGAGAGGGCGACTACCGCCCGGTCTTCACGAAACTTCTGATTACTATAGTCCAAAGGGCATCTTGAAGGATACTTTTTTCGACAACTTTCGAAATATGGCTGTTGAATACGAAAAAAACCCTACAAAGTTCAAATTGTTGGAGTCCTACGGAATAGAAGTCCCTTGAGTTGTCTTGATTGCTCTGGAAACCAAGAAAACTGATTCTTTATTATTTCCAATTGTGAAATGATTGCAGTTAATATTACATAAAGAAGCAAATGTTCATCTTTCCAAAGGAACGTTTTGGGTTCATTTATTTCGAGTGAAGGCTCGGTTGATGTGCTATCGAAATCCATCCATTGCGATGATATCCGGCTTCACACCACAGCTCTAATAAAAGCAGCTTCTCAAGACCGTCAGGTAACAACGTCTCAATGATATGATACACAAATGTTGGTTTACGATATTGTCTCGGAAGACTCTCCGAAAGACTTTTTTTCCAACAAGGAAAATCATAAACAACATCAGGATTACGTTGATGTTGCAATTGGATCGTTTCAGCACTCGTTTTACCCAACCTAGCATAAAAATGTGAGTTGTTTCTACGGACACTCTTTCAACAATTACTTTCTCAACACCAATAAAGTAGAATGGCAGATCCGAAAATAACGATAGTCACTCTCACGAATCTTGTTATTCACATTTTTGTGAATCCAACAGACATTTTCCACATAGTTAAATCCCTTGGCTTCAAAAACTTGGATAACTTCGGGGATCATCCATTTCTCTACCCATACAAAGACAAATCCAAAAGGCAGAATGTGATGGAGTCCTTTCAACGATGCCACATCGCAAGGGCGCAAGTTCCTCGTATTCTAAGATGATTCAGATTATCGGGGTCGGTAGTTTCACTTACTCTGACCAAGGAGGATCCATGTAGACACATTGAAAACTTTTGCCTAATTCCCTTAGATCGAAACAACAAATATCCTTTTCTAAATAGAGACCTTTTTTCTCGGATATCGTAAGCGATGATAACGGTAAGATAGGAATAGCCCAAGAGCGTGGTAACGGATCAGGAGGCATAGCTTCACGAACGACCACATTCATCAACTAAGAATAACCAAACATGTTCGTTATTTTGTATATAGTCAGTCTTTACAAAACACACCTGTCGTCTTCGTCTTCTCCAAGCAATCAGAGCATTGAAAGCAGAAGATCGCACAGCAAGAGGCCTCGATGCGTGGACGAGACTAGCACTATTCCGCATGCCCTTTGGTTTTGACTTCGAACGATGGCCATGTTCTAACCACAGTTCGTCCTATCATAATCTTCAGTTTCTTATCTCTTTTCATCCAATCTCAACTTACCTCATCGGAATCTGACCAGACTTCCTCATCCTCCGAATCACTAACCTCAATCAGTTCCGAAAATGCAGCAGCTGGGTCATCATAATATTCATCTTGTAACGCAGCAATCGTTTCACCACCGTCTTTTAACATATTTACAGTGAAGAAACTCGTCTGCTTGAAAAGTTCAGCTTGTTCTTCCGCAGTCAGTTGTATCGACACGTCATAACCGTCCGTAACCTCGGGCTCATTGCTGTTGTGACACTCATTTACTACTCCTTCCAACGTCTCGGATAAAAGATCGGTATTTTCCCCTCGTGACTCCTCCCATTCTTGCTGCCTTTGATTCGCTTTGTTCTGTTGAAGGCGTTCCAACGCTTCAAACTTTTTCATGATCATTTCGGGAGTCTCTTCATCATCAACGTAACCTAGGTAGTATGAAGGATCTGGAGTTTTAGTTTGTTTCTGGCATCTTCTGCGTGGTCTCGAATAAGTTTCCGCTGAAGGATCCTCTGACATCACGAGACAAGAAAGCGGTTTAAAAATCGATGGCCAAAACCGGATTTGTATCGTTTCCCGCTCAAATTACACTGCCCATGATATTTCTACCCGTCATAATTGCCAACTTCCATAATATGAAATGTCCAGTGTGGTCAGTAATATGAATAACATATAAAGTATCAGATTCCTCTGCAATATGCAAAGGAGGGACATCTTTACTATTTTGGAAAATACTACTCATGACGAGGAAAGTGATAAAATGGCTAAAGACAGTTCATTTAAGAAATGGGAAAACACCTCAATGTATTTATTAATTCAAAAGAACAAAAATTGGAGCATTTCAAAACTTCCAACTAGCTTTCGTAAGAAAAGAAGTTAAAATAATACAAGTCGTCATATTTTTCAGCCTCAAAGCCATTTGCCATTCAGTTTAAAGTTGACAAATTTTTCAGTTGTTCTCGAAACGACACAAAACCATAGAGAGAACTGATCTTTGACAAAAGCAGATAATCGAAAACAATAACAATGGTTTTATCTCAAAGGAAAGCTTTGAAATGGCTGAAATATAACTAAATGAATTTAAAAAGATTTAATTGATTTAAACTGTGGCATAAGTAATAAGGACTACAATTAATTTTCAAGAATTTAAATTGTTACTTATGCAGGACTCAATCCTAAAGAATTGAGTTTTAAAAAAATTATTTAAAATATTAATTCAGGCAACTAGCGAATTGAAGTCAGTTGGATGATTAGGCTCAAAAATTATGAACGTAGAAGATTTTGGCAAACCTTGGTATTTAAAAAGCCATTAAAATTTTTAAGTAAATTATTTTATTTATTAAATGCTTTTTATTTTGTGAATTTGTTTGCAAATGGACAATCAAACATCCGAACATCTTCTGTTTACGTTTGTAAAAATTTCTATGCTATTCTATGTGTTTGTTACAAGCTATTGGTTGTTTATGTTAAATTTCCAGAAACTTACGAACATATCCTCTAGAATATACTATTGTGGTTGTACTTGCATCTCCATGCAAATTTTCAATTGACAGTTACCAGAGAGAAAAGGGGACGGGAAAAATTGCTTGCTGCAAAGAATTTCCCGCTTGAAGCATTCTTTCTGTTACCTCAACAATCGGAAGTGATGGGTAGAAACAAAGTGAATATTAAGCGTATTGAAGACAGTCGTTCGCGACAGGTAATTCTAAAGTGTCGTTGATACGTTTATAAAGTTAATTTAGAAGCAGGTTACGTTTACTAAGAGGAAAGCTGGTCTGATAAAGAAAGCCTTCGAACTTTCTGTGCTTTGTGATTGCGACGTAAGTTTAGTGATCTTCAGTCCTAGCGGAAAGATGTTTGAGTATCAGTCTGAAAAATGGGTCACACTTTTTGAAAAAATGTTCGCATACGAGGGTATGGTTGAAAGAAAAACGAAAGACCAGGTTTGTGTAACCTCTTTTTTCCTTTTGCTGACTCACTTGTTTCAAGTCTAATTTAGTTGAAATGAAGGCAAGAAAGAGGTCTATACCAGTTCCACAAAATATAATTGAATTTGTAGCTAACTTTGAAAATTCTTTCAGCAAAGAACACAAACTGACCCATCCTATTTACTCGAAATCATCTTCTATTATTGATAATGGTATTGAGAAAGGAGACCTTGCAGGTTGTTCTTCGCTAGCAATGAATGACATATCTCACTTAAACAAAGAAACAAGTCGATACGATCAATTTGTCATGCGAAACTTTTCAGGTAGCAGTTTATCTTGCAACCAAAATATGGAAAAGAATACCACGCATTCTTCATGGGAAGAAGAGTATCTTTTTGAAAGTGGAGAATATTTATCTTCTAAAATGGCTGGAAAAATCCCAGAATCACAACTTTTGAAAACTTCTTCTCCAAGAAGCACGCATTATCACCACTCAGGAAGCCAAGATTATCAAACGAACCCACATTTTTCTAATGTTGTAGTTCAAATGTCCTCATCTGATGAAAATAAGGCACAGGTGGAAGAAAAACAACCATTTTATCATCAACAGGACTGGAATGAAGATAGAGAAAATGACAAAGAAGCATCCATTGATGTTCATTCTCATGAAGATTCGAGTTCGTTTCGGTCAAGAAAGCGTCTCAAAGTTGAAATTCCTCACCCAAGTGAGTTTTCAAGCGACGCGCTGAGAACTTCAGATTGGTTAGCCAACGTTTCTTATTTGCAGACCAGTAGAAGATACTTTGGAGATCAAGACTATTTTTCAACAATGAATTGTTTTACAAACCACAGTAGTGGATGGTTTTGGAATCGATATATGGACAACATTCCCCCAGTACCTCGTTCTCCATTCCTTTGGAGCACTCCTAGAGGACCTCTTGGATTTTTTAGTCAAGAACATTTGTTCACACCAACTTCCATTTCTGGAGTCATCCCTAGTCCTGGAACTGAATTCATTCGCAATCCGGATATTTGAGAACGATTTTGTTTATTTCAAGATAATTTCGTAACGTCGCTTTCCAAGTGCAACATACGATCCTATTTTGTGAAGTATATTATCTATTGTCCCATAAAGTAGCTAATGCCTTGTTCAATTGGTTGGCCGCTTCTTTTGTCTCATGTAATGATAATGAACCATAGGATATTCGTAAGTAGTTTGGCATTCCAAATAATTGTCCAGGAAATACCAAAATGCCATATTTGTGTATTAAATATGACACAGCATCATATGATGAGATAGACTTTGGTATAGGAACGAAGAAGAAGAATCCTCCATTGGCTCTATATGTATTGTATTTACTCACGACTTGCCAAAATATTTCTCTTCTGGGCACCATTTCTTTCAAAGCCATTCAAAGATGTTCTTTTGGGACACAGTTATAAGGACGACGTACCTTGTACTTGATTCTGAATACATTCTTTCGAAGAATCACGTAATGCCGCCAATGCTGCATGCTGTGCAAGATGACAAGCATGCGTTGCTATAGTGTCTTGTATTTCTAACATGGATTTTCGAAGATAGTTGGGATAACAAAAATAGCCCACTCTTAGCCCTGCCAAAGAATAAGACTAGCACAAAGTCCATTAGGAGTGCAATGAAAGTAAGAATATGCATACTACCTTGGAAAAAGTATACAGGTTGATAACGCCATCTGTAGCACTAAAACAACTATTTTCCATTCCATCAAACGTGAAATGTTCGTATGCCTCATCGATTACCAACCAAACACCTCTCTGAAAACACAACTGATACAAGGAACGCAACAAATCTGTACTTATAACTCTTCCTGAAGGATTTCCTGGACTGACGACGACTACCAACTTTGTATTGACACTTATTCGTAACCCTTGTGGTTGAGGGAGAAATTCTGAATCTGTATCGACAACCACTGGTTTGACTCCAGCCAATAAACAAGCAGTGTAATGTGAAAAGTAATAAGGTCGGAATAAGATTACCTCATCACCTGGACTACATAAACATAAGAGAATGTTGAGAAAGCCCTGATTGGAACCCGAACATATCATCACTTCGTTGCCACAAGACGATGCAAACTTTAGGTCTAAAAGTTTTCCAATTTCTTTCTCCAGTTGTGATAATCCACAAGTTGCTCCATAACGATATGTCTCTGTTAGGCCACATGATTGGATAATTGCCTGTTGAACACTAGTAGGTGGTGACCAAAAGGGCGTTCCCTAAGAGAGGTTGGTAAGACTATATCAGTAAATTGGAACAGTTTCTATCACTACTTCACCATCGTCAAGTTATAGATAACGTTTTCTTGTCCATATGTTTCTAAAAACTGAGTCACCCACGAAGTTTCTTCCAGACTTAATCTATTACTTGACGATAAGTTGGAAGTAGACATGGCCCTTGTTGGAAACAATGCCATTGAGCATTTTCACTTGAAGATTCTCTCATCCAAACCTATAAAAAAAGCCATTCAACTATAAAATGCATTGTAGTTTATTGGCAAATGCAATGGAATATTTATTTACTCGGAGAGTCACTCAAATAGGTATATTTAGAAACAACAGATAATCAAAGACTAGTGTAAAGAATGTCAAGTCTTTTGTACATCATTCCATATTTTGTGAACAGAATAACCCAATTGCTATCTTATCGAGATGCATCTTTATCTCAATACAATTCTTTGGGTGTGTGATCGACAAGAGATGTTGCTGTTCTTTCTCTCAACATGTTTGGTCTCCAACCCCAAGAAAACCTGTCACTCTTGTAAAAACAGAAGAATAATAACATATAAGTCTTATCTTCGCAAGCCTATTTTGTATTCCCAGATAAAGACTGATCCAGCTAGAGAAACATTGAAGCAAACATTCTACAGACAAGTCAAGGTAATCAAAGAGACTTTAAGGTAAGATTGGAAAAGAAAAATATGCAATCCAAAAACTGGTTACAGATATTCAGGTGACCGACCTCTTACCAACAGAGGAATGGACAAACAAACCGAACAAAAGATAATGGAAACCATCGAAGTATTGGAAGCAAGTAACCCTGTTCCAAACCCTCTCACTAGTCAAGCCATCGAATTGCTTCAAGGAAATTGGAAACTGATCTTTTCTACTGCCAGAGAAATAACAACATTGAGCTCTCTTCCTCCCATCTTTCAATTACAATCAGTATACCAAATAATTGATCTAAAGAATAGGAGGCTCGAGAATAGAGCTGAACTTGATGTTGCTGGTGCAATAAAAGCGTCTGTACGGGTAACTGGAAAGTTTTATCCTGTATCCGAATCAACCTCAACTCCACCAGAGCTACAAGAAACTAGTCTCGATAGCAAGACCCGAGAAAGAATACGTAAACTTTTGGAAGGTCGTCGTGTCAATGTCAAGTTTCAGAAGAGGTCTTTTGGGATAGAAAGTATTTTTGGTGTTCCCGTGAAAAGTTTCTTGGAAACATTGCGACAAGTAAATGTGGCTCCACTCACTCGACGTGAACCTTCCTTGGATATTACCTATTTAGAAGAGAGCTTTCGAATAGGTAGAGGAGGTGATGGAGGGATCTTCGTATTAGAAAGAGTTGCTCCTATTGACATTCGTCAGAAATAGAGTGTCATTTCAAAATGAGAACAATGCAGAATATTGTAAAAGGAGTGAAAGTTTCCAAGGTGTTCTCATATCTTTTCGTTTGTAAAAGGCAAACCAAATAATATTTCATTGATGGACAATATTCAATTTTCTCCATTTGAAAGGTAGTTGTAGTGGGACCTGAGTCATAAATGTTACACAAGTATTGTAGTTGAGGATGGGCAGTTGATCTTGAAAGCTCTCAGTTCTCCTCTCAAACCAAGAAACTTGTTCAATAGATTCAAGTTTTCGCAATTCAGGAATCTAAACAGAGTCCATTTCATGTCTCTTTCTTTGTTCTATCAGGACACCATAGACGGATTCAATTGATTCTTCTACTTTCCACATATAGCTAGTTAAGAAGAATTGCCTCGTAGGAAATATGCCTATCCGAGACTTGTTGTTGAATGAGAATTATCGAGCACCCAATTCTACCCAATGGACAAATGTCAGGTCCATATCTCCTCCCCCTTTCTGTTTATTGCTATTTAGTCACATGCTCGCTTCTGAAGTGGAAGGTAGAAGGGCAGACGTACACCTGTTGTTGACTTTAGTTCGTTTATACAAGTCAGGTGTTGAAAACCCTCTACAGAACGAAGTATTTGTGACTGGTGGGTCTTTGCTGAGAGAGAAAGCACTGAAATACCTTGAGTCTCCTCCAACACCTAAGAACATATTGGATAACCTTGTTACAGTACACGTAAGGTGCTTTTTTTGAAAGTTAACTCCATTCCTAAAGACTATTTAGTTTGCTCAAGTAGGAGGTGGCGAAAGATGTCCAGTATGTGGAGAGGAATATGAACAAGGCGGACCCGTCAAAAAACTTCCGTGAGTATCACTACTTGTGAAATACTGTGCTCTCATTTGGACTCAAAGTTGTGGAGACATATTTCATCTCAAGTGTATTTATCCGTGGCTAGAATTTGTAAGATAGCTGTGTTTTTTCCTCTCTCAACTTGCTCACGCTAAGCTGCTTTTCCGTAGCATAATACCTGTCCCCTTTGTCTGGAGGTATTTATTGACAGGGAACGATAGTAGTATGATAGAGTCTAACTTGCGAAGGTCACTTGAGTAAACAGGGTAATATAAAAAACTCTTTAGAACCAACTGCGCTACGAATGATCAGAATAAAGGGATCGTTAAAATCCATTTGATGTATTTTTTCTCTCCAGAAAAAGCGCTTAGTGAAAGGGTTGCGCATTTTCCCCCTAAGGATTGTTTTGAGTTTTTTGTGACTTAAATGGCAGAAACTTGTCTTTTTGTGGAAAATTCTGAAAGTAGTTCTACAAAACAAGAAGACCCTAGTGCTTTGACAAGAAGACTTACTCCTAAAAAGCTGAGAACTCCAGAAGAACTGGAGGCTGGTCAGTTAAAGGCAGACGAAAACAGGGCAAAGTTATTTTCAGACCAAAGGTAGGTTTGATTGAAGTTGAAAAGCTCCTATTTGTTAAAGGAAAGAAAATATAGTCGTCGTTGCGCAGAAAAAGTGAAGAAAGCACTAGAAGTTGCAAAGACTGCCAGGGAAGAACTGGAAGCCACCGTGAAAGCAAAGAAGGAATTGTTGGAGAGAAAATTGAAAGATGCTGAATTGCGGAGAAAACAGTATCTTGAGGTCGTTCATTTTTGCCCTTTTAGTACTTTTCTGACTTTTCTTACGAATAGGCTTCTCGCCAAAGTGCGAGACAACATTCAGCAAAGGTCAGCGATGTTGCCTCAGAAATGAACAGAATGAAGAGGACGGACATGTTACGTCTTTGTGCACACATTCAAACGCAATTGTGGAATGCAGACGCTCGTCGTTCTAGAAGGCTTGCAATGAGGGCTAGGAGAGCTTCTAATTTTTCTTTATCAAAGTGCAGTCCGCCTCTATCGAGAAATCGGAGTTCAGATCACGAAGAAACTATAGTGCAACTTGAAAGAGAGCAAAATGCAGCTAGCATCATTCAATTTTTTTGGAGATTTCTTCATGTTCAAAGGAAATTTCGCGAGTTGGGTCTGTCCGTGAACGATTGTCTTGTAGACGGATTTGAATCAACAAAGCTGAAGATTCAACGCTATGAAGCAGTTCAAGCTGCTGGAATGACTCTTAGGCTTTTACATTCGCACGCATATCTCTTGTCAAATGACGAAGCTCGTCGACTAGCCAAACTATTTTTGACAAGTTTTGTCATAGCAGCTCATCCTGAGCACGTTTTGGATAGTCCTGTGAGTATTTCCTTGTAAACACAAGATAATATAATGACAGTGTATAGGACACTGGTTTAGAAAGGTCTATCGCTGATTCAGCAAAGTCGTTATTGAAATGTCTGACGAACAATAAGGAAGATCCTTTTTCATGTGCTGTGAAAGCTCGCGCGTTGTGGACCAAATATCGTGTACAGTTTGATGAATGGGAAAGAAATGACCGAGAGCGGTTAATTAATGGTATGATAACCGATTATGTAGGATTGGAGCGTTTGAAAGTTGGTGTGGTGGAGAGAGATTCAAGGACATATGGCTCCAACAAATCACATAGAGATTCTGCTCTTTTAGCTCATTCCCAAACGAAGTCTTTCTCTATATGGTCAGCTCAAATCGAAAAACGACAAAACAAGTTGAAAAAAGCGCTCAGAAGAATTGGAGGATTAGAAGTGCTTCAAAGACTTGAAGAAAAATTGAGAATTTCTTTTTCACTAGAAAGTGAGGAAACGAATGGCTCAGTGGTGCCAATAGAAGATTCATCTTTGAGAAGAGAGAATAAAACGCAAGTCCAAGACAGTGATAATGCGTTGGCACAGAGCCTTTTAAATGAAGTTTATGCTCATGAAATGATGGTGGACCTCGATATGTTTTTGAGAAAGCTTAGGACACCTAGAAGTTATCAGCAGATGTTGGAAATAGCCAAGAGAGCATTTCGTGACCATTTTCACAACTTGCTTAGCAGTGCAATTGAAGAAGATGCCTCGAACCAGCAAGCATTGGTTAGGGAACGGTTTGGCGACCTTGTTCAAAGTCTCAAAATGAAACTAGTTTCACTTCTCCCCCAAAAATCGAATGCCAACATAGACGTCATCCGTTCTAGTCTGGATTCTTCATTTGACTTGGAGTTGATCGAACAAATGCTGAAGCACGATGCATTTTCAGCAAGGGACTTTCAAGGACTGCTACAGTTGGTCGCAAACGTTTTAAAAAATGTACAAGCTCCTCATCAAGATCAATACGTGGAAAGAAGTGTGCAAGTTTGGCTAAAGGAGGTGGAAGAGGTTGAGAAGAAGAATAGAAAAGATTCTTTATCTTCAACGGTGCGAACAATGAACCTGATTTCTTCGATGTTTTCAATTATGTGCGAAATTTTTGATTTGCTCGAAGAAACAGAGCGCTCGATTATTATAGCGAAAATGAAAATTTTGGCTCCTATCGTACAGAAACATGGACCAGAATGGGAGCGTGCTCATTTTGAACAAAAGATCGAACAGTCTATTTTTGATGAGAAACTTCCAGTAACACGCACTTGGTTGGAGAACTCTATAGGGTTTATTAGGGAACAATTCACAACTTTGAATCTACAGGCAGTCACGACTGGTAGTCAAACAGCTCTCCAAAACGTAGTTGGTGCCGCACTAGTATATCTTATCGAAAAACCGTACAGTTTACCAGTTGAAGAAGTTCCAGAAGTTTTGAGGTTGGATCATGAGCGAATTTTTAATCTTCAGAATGACGTGCAGCGTCTTTCCCTCTTATCTGCTTTAGATTTAATCCTCAGAAGGTTCACGAATGATAAAGTGGGAGTCCCTGTTGCATGTGATTTGAAGAGTATGAATATATGTTTGAAGGACAGTAATGCTTCCTTGAAAGATATTGAGAAGCAATTACTTTTATGTGTTCACGAATGTCTAGATGATCCCGAATCGGAAGGCTCTTCTGACCCTTCAAGTCCTCTAACGGATGATGATGAGAATTTTTTGCGTCGTATGCTTAAGAAGGCTGCTCGTTTGGAAGATCCTGTTTTTAGCATTTTGAAGCGTCGTATTTTGGACTCTCTTCGAAAGCAGTTTCTACTAAGTCCTAACATTGTTACCGATGATTATCATTTGCGCTCTCTTGGTTTGTCAGCCATTGTGCAAGATTTTCATGATATGATGAATGAGTTGCACAAAATAAGTTCTCATCTTGTTAAGGTGCATAACCAAAGATTGTTGAAAATCGTGTTAGATATTGTTAGCTATGATTAAGGTATCTCTTGTTGCAATAAAATATGTTTTTTATTGTGTTTAAGGACTAGACGAGTTTTACAGTGACCCTCTAAATGATTTTGTTATATCGTAAACGACTAGCTAGCTTGCGATAGTACAAATAGAGCATACATGCGTAAAACTGTAACAACACTACCAAAGCGATTGCAAATATCATAGTAATGGAAGTGGACCTTTTCATCGTCTCCCACTCGACTAAGAGTTGTGTCAATTTTGCTGACAAATCCTGTTGCTTCTCATGAGTGTCATCCCAAATCTATAAAAAACCTTTGAACTCTTCTCAATCCATTACATGGGGTTTTATACTTACGCTTTTTAGATATTCCATATTAGGATTGGAGTTCATTGAGTCTTGTGGACCCTCATGATTCATTTGCATTTGTTGATTTCCCTCTTGTTGAGCAGTTGAATCAGTTTTGACTCCTTGAACATTTGCTGGAGTTTGAGGATCTCGTTGAGATGGCACCGCATTCAGCATGCTATTGGATTGAGTGGCAGGTTTAGGTTTACTTGAGGATGCAACAGGTTTTGGTGGCGATAAGACTGAAGAAGTTTTCTGACCATCTACTACAGATTTTTTGGATGCTTTGTCAAAAGGGTCAGGTTGTTTCTTATTTCTGTCGGCTGTATTTTTGGCTGCTGTAGTAACAGCACCAGTTGCGACGGTTACCTGAATGATACTATGCTCCGTAGCATAATTTCCACTTTTTGCTGTGAACCCAAAATAACCAGAATCAAGTTGTGCTGATGGAGGTAACTGAACGTCGAAGCAAAACTCTGGGTTTGGTAATGTATTTTTTTGTATCGGCAGCTGGTACACGGATAGTTTGCCTTGTTGATAGGAGACATAAATTTTTCCAGTTAAAGAACCCAAAGCACATCCAGGAGACAACACTTTAACTTGCCAATCGCTACCCTTGGTTGTTCTTTCGTTGACCACTGGAAATAGACTGGGTCTGTGCCATTGATTGTCGAATAGTTGAATGACTATCCCTAATCCTTGGAACGCAGCTTCGTTACCATACACTGTACCATAAGTAGGAGGATGTTTGGTATACCAAAATGCCAAGCTATCTACACGAGGTTGAATTTCCTTGGTTCCAATCCAGTACACAAAGCTTAGATTGAAGTGTTGTTGTTTCAGTGGAGTAATATGATACAGTGTTCCAAAGGCATCTTGTTCCATATCAGTCAATCGTACTATGTCAACTCCATCTTTCTGGGCCAACTTGGTTTGTCCAACACCAAACCAGTTGCGTAGTACTTCACCTGGAATGACAGGAGGAGACAGTGGACTACGGAAAGAATAGAGTGGGTCAGCGGGTAATAGATAAGGTAGTTGAAGTTGAGCAGCGACTATCCAACACAGTGTATTCAACACTATCCATAAAGTCCATATTTTAGTCATTTGTTATTTCTCAAAACAATCCTCCGAGTTGTAAAAGATGAGAGCTGCGCAACCAATCGAATGTGAAAAAGGGAAATCCTCCATCTTGGGACATTCTCTCTCTCTCTCTCTCTCTCTCTTGCAACACAAATGATTGGGAATGACTTATAATAAAAAAGATTTATCTTCGCAGTACTTTTTACTCATACTTCCAAACTGCATGGCCCTTTTCTTCCTTGACACAAAATCATTTGAAAATCCCAGTTGCTTAGCTGCTTGACGAAGTATTCGTTTGTCGCCTATACCATCAGGCAACTCCATATCACAAATTACCCTAGACAAAAATATCAAACGTGAAACAAGTCCTTCCACAAATACCTACTGTAGAGGCAATGAAGTAATGAAATCGATCACTTGTTCATCCAAAAAAGGCAATCGAAGTTCTTTGCCATGGTCTCCAACGATACGATCATCTCTACCCAAATTCCGCCACCAAAGTCGTGATAAATCCATATTCAATTCATATGCCAACGTTGAATATCCTCCTCGCTGAAATACGGATCGATGCCTCCCTTTGTAACCACCTAATAACTCATCTGCTCCTAAACCACTCAACAGCACTTTACTTGACGAGGTATAAGGATTACTGTGGACATCATTGCTTTCTTTCACATGACCTTGGGCTCTAGCTCCAAACCACAAGGTGGAACCAATCGAAATATCCATCGGTGTACAACAAGGAAATAATAAATATTTCAAATGCTGGCGATATTTTTGATATTCTTCCTTATCAACGTCCACAAACAGCAATCGAAAAGGCATCTTGAGCTTGTGATTGGAACAAATTCGATTGAGTTCTTCTATTCCTTCCATAGCTGTCTTTCTATCTGGACTTTTGGAAGGAGGACCAAAACAAACATTGATCAACTCCAATGTTTTATATTGATAAATTTCATGCGATTGACAAACTTTCCATATCAAATAGGCCAAAACTAAAGAATCGATTCCACCGGAGAATAACAAGGCAAACGGTAACGACCCACAACGATTTGAAGAAGATTGCGATGGCAATTGTAGCATTTCGATTCTACGACCAACAGCTCTTAATAATACATTGATCCACGCAAGGACAAAGTTGGACGTATCATCAAGTGAATGAACTGAAATCTCTTGTGTTCTCCACCATTTGTCAGGTAAGTAAGAATCTAAGAAAAGTGCATGTTGAGGAGCTCCACGAGGTAACCTGCAGGATAATAATGATGAGGTTGAAATATTCCTTTTTCTAACATCACGAAAATGACAATCCAACCTGCCAAAAGGATTATCTTCTTCCCATTCTATGCAATATAATCCAAGTGGTGCCAATTCTATCAAACAACCACTACAAGCTGCTTCTTGAGGTGAAACTGAACTAATGAAAATGGATTGATCATCTCCCGTTTTACCCAATAATAAAGAACGACGTCCGATGACATCGCGACCGAATATTAGGCACCGCAACGACGAAATGTAATAAATAATACTCCATGGACCAGGTAAAGAATCCAACAACTCTAGTATATCAGAATATAAAGGTTTCCAATTATTATCTCTTCCACTATTTCTATGTCGAAACACTAGTTGACCTAACAACTTGGATAATACAAGAGTATCGTTCTCTTCTTGGTTCATATTGTCATCGTATATTTCACCATTGAACAGTAAGACATTACCAAAGGAGTCTTCCAATGGTTGCTCTACTACCCGATTACCACGAAGACTTAAAACAGCGGCTTGTAACTCCAAACTCCTTTGAAAATATAACGAATAGCACTTTATGCGAAAGCTATCGGGTCCTCGTCGTTGTAAGAAATCTCTTGTTGCATCTTTCCACTGCTGTTTGACTTGCGTGAAATGAGTACAATTGCAAGTAAACGGTTGAAAAGAGTCAAATAAGCCTTGTACTCCTGATAAGATAGCAAATATACCACACATCTCATTCAGGAATCATAAGAATCCATCTTTCCTCGCTTCTTTAAGAAAATTTTTTATTTTCATGGATGATAGTTCAAGTCAAAAGGTGGTAAGCATGGTTGAGTTCATACAGTATATACTTCTATTATACTCAACTCGAGGAACGAATTAGAAAAAAGTTCTTGCGCCCATGGTAAGAGTGGGTACTTTACCTATGCGTTTGCTGGCTTTGGAATATGGTGCTGATCTCGTATACAGCGAAGAAATCATCGACAGGAATTTTCTGGACTGTTATATTCACAATAATGAAAAATATTCTATCAAAGAGTGGATATCCAACAAAGTATATGAATAGATTGGAAACTCAAAGGAGAACATTAACTTGTTTTGTGTAGACCCAACTTTGTTTCTTCAGTACTTGTAATCAAGAAAGAGATCATCTGATAGTCCAGTTGGGAACGAGTAACGGGAATTGTGCTTGGAAGGCTGCAGAAAAGGTATTCTATTTCCTTTGATATTTCAGTAGACTTTAAAAGTTTCAAGATTATTCCCTTTTGTAGAGGAATCGATGTGAACATGGGTTGTCCTTTATTGTATTCTACCAAAGGAGGTATGGGATCTGCTCTATTGAAGACTCCAGAAATAGCTTCGGATATTATCAAGACATTGAGAAGAAATTTACCTGTACGTTGTTGGCTTCTATTATTGCAACGTTTTCATGGATGTCATATTTAGAATGAATATTCGGTAACTGCCAAAATTCGTCTCTTTCCTGTTTTACAGGATACCATCGATTTTGTTCATATGTTAGCAAATAGTGGTGTGGATGCGGTAGCTATTCACGCTCGCCAAGTTCACGAAAGAGCCAAAGACAAAGCAAACTGGAGTCAACTTGCACAAGTAAGCTTATTTGTTGGGATTATTTAATGTGAAGAATGAGAATAGAGTAGATTGCAAGTCATGTGGTGAATGTTCCTTTATTGGGTAATGGAGATATTTTTTCTTTACAAGATATGCAACGGATGAAAGATCAAACGGGAATATCTCAGTGGATGATTGCGAGAATGGCCCAGTGGAATGTTTCTGTTTTCCAAGGAGTAGGTGAAGGTATCTTTTCTTTGTCACAGTTGGGTTGACTGTACTATGAGACATTGGATTGTATAAACAATGTCATTCTGAGATATGCAAAACTGGCAGAAGAGACCAACACGTACTATGGATTGGCAAAATATTGTATACAACAAATGATCAAATATCAAAAATGGACAAGAACAGAATTCGCTTCCAAAGTAAGCATAAGCAAGTAATCCATAGTCTTCTCATTTTTTGTGGTAAAAGGTGAATTACGCCCGATGTTGGAAAGACTTGAAAGATTCGTTGGTTCTTATGCCGCCCGCTCTTTCTCTTTATGAATGAAAAAGGAAGTTGTGTTAGGCCTAAAAGGACACTTATAAGAGAAACGAATAATAGAATGGAATGTTTTGTAAATATGCCTTGTACACCGAATAACAAACGTCGTTCTGTTATTTACAAGTTGCAGAGAAAGTGTTTATCTTGTCCCTATCCAAAAGTATCCAAACCTCGTTGGTGTTGCTTTCATAAAAAGGGTAGCCAAGACCACGCAAAGAAAGATAACGATACAGGACTTTTTGCCTTTTGGAAACAAGCCTGGAAATCTCCTTTTTATGTAAAAGCAGAAAATGTAACGGCACCTCAAGTCGTGCGTAGAAGTAAGGTCAATCGACTGTTGACGCTATTTTGGCAAGTAGCAAAGCCTTATTGGTTGGAAGAAACAAAGGCAAGATGGGAATTGGGATCAGTTGTTGCTCTCACTTTGTTACAAAGTGGCGTATCGGTTGCCTTCTCTTACATTGGAAGAGACTTTTGGAATGCCCTATCCGAAAAGAACCTAGAGAAGTGATGCTGCTTCTTGTTTCTATTGAACACTGCTTACTCAGAATTAATTTAGTTTTCAGCATGAAATTATTTTGTTTTTTACTGCGATGGTTGTAGGGGTTCCCATATTTGTCTTGTACAGTTATTTTCGTGAGATATTGAGTATTCACTGGAGAGAATGGCTATCTGATAGGATTCTCAACAAATATTTTGAAAAGCGTGGATTTTATTACTTGGAATCCAATAGTCAAGTGGATAATCCTGATCAACGAATAGCCGTAAGTGATATAATGTGTTGTGATCATTTGACAAACGGGGAAAAGATAGGATGATATTCGCGCATTCACGAATACTTCATTGCAATTTATTTTAACGTTTATTATCTCAGCTGTTGATTTGATCTCCTTTTCGGTTATTCTGTTTTCTATCTATCCAGAATTATTTCTGGTGCTGATCGGTTATGCAAGTGTGGGCACCTATTTGACATACTATATCGGTAACCGTTTGATTTTATTGCACTTTGATAGATTGCAAAAGTAAGTGTTGTGACTTTTGCTTGTAGAATGTAAATATGTGTTTATGGACTCTTCAGGGAAGCAGACTTTCGTTATGTTTTGGTGAGAATTCGTGAAAATGCAGAAAGCATTGCGTTTTATGGAGGTGAAAATAGGGAACAAGAATTGGCCAAAAGCAGATTGAATAAAGCACTATCGAGAACTATTGATATTGCTAAGTTGCAAAGGAACTTGGAATTCTTTACCAATAGTTATCGGTACAACGTTATTCTATAGGACTCTCTTATGTTATTTATTTCGTTTTATAGGTACTTGATTCAAGTATTGCCTGCTTGGGTGGTTTCTCCTCTCTATTTTCAAGGTGCGATAGGTTTGGGAGTGATATCACAAAGTATTTCAGCATTCAACCATATTTTGAGCGACCTCAGTATTATTGTGAATCGTTTTGAACAACTAAGCCAATTTTCTGCTGGAATTGACCGTCTTGGGGAGTTTTTAGAAGTACTTGAAGCAAATGAAAGCATAGGAATTGAAAAAGATGCGCTCATCCAACGTCGGGAGACAGAAGATATCGTTCTTCAATTGTGCAATATATCGATCATGATTCCAAGTGAAGAACCTCGATACCTCATTCGAGATGTCAATCTGAAGGTGGAACGTGGACAAAGACTATTGATCGTTGGAGCATCAGGCAAAGGGAAGTCGTCTTTGTTGCGTGTAATTGCTGGACTCTGGAAATGTGGTAGTGGCACTGTTCGTTGTCCTTCTTTAAAGGATACTTGTTTCCTACCCCAACGTCCGTATTGTACACTTGGAAGTCTGAGAGAACAACTGATATACCCCAAGACGAGACAACAAGTGAACTACACGGACCAAGAATTGATACAAGTTTTAGAAAAAGTAGACTTGTTGGACTTGTTTGAACGTTACAATGACTTGGATGTGGTGAGAGATTGGTCGGATACATTGTCTTTGGGTGAACAACAAAGGTTAGCTTTTGGTCGTTTGTTATTGAGTCGACCGAAATTTGTATTGATGGATGAAGCTTCTTCCGCTTTGGACCTCAAAAGTGAGAAAAAACTTTATTCTTTTTTACAAGAAAGCGATACTATTTATGTCAGTGTTGGACACCGGCCTAGCTTGTTACAGTAAGTATTTTGAATAGTTTGCTTTAAGTTGATGTGGAATTCGTTACAAAGGTATCATAACCTGTTGTTGAGGTTGACGGGTAGGGCGGAATGGGAAATGGAAGAAATTAGGGATTCCATTCGAGAAACAAGTTATATATAAATTTCATCTTTGGGAGGTTTGTTGCTGCAAAAAGTTGTATTGTTTGTCACAAAGTCTGAAAACTTGTTCCCAACTTTTCCCGGAATCCATATGAAATTTCCAATATTCATAAGCAAGTCGATAGAGTGCTCTATTCATTTCTAAGTGATATTCCAATCGAAACCTTCGCAGTTCAGAATCCTAAATAGATCAGGAAATGCTAAAGAGTGAATTGCTAAAAATAGCAACTCACTGTTCTATAAGCTGCCTGTTCATAAAAATGACGACACTGGTCCAATTGATCTTCACAAGTTGTGAGACCACTAGAAGAATCGTGATTATGAACATTTGATGAAACTTGAGATAAGTTCTCAAGCTTTCGAATCTTTTCATTGTACTTGGATAGAGCTCTTTCATATGATTCCTATTCCAAATGAGTTCACATGCTCGGAGAATATTCTCACAACACATACATATGCATTCAAGCGTTCACGAAGGACACGACGAGCATCACGAGCAAGAAACGAATAATCTCGCAACACAGTAACCAACATTTCTTCACCTTGTGACCTAAAAATATTTTTCCTATCCATCACACATGATAAATAGAACTGTCTTCATACTTTGGATGGATATCCTTTGCAAAAGATTCTGCGACGCTAGAGAAAATCTCTCCCATCTTTGTTCCTTCTTGGCTACTTCGCTCATGAAAACAGTTTTCCAAGGATTTAACAAGATTTGATAAACCGCTACGACGTTCAACAAACTGTTCTAAAGATTTGTTAGCTGAAACAAGTGCATTCTCCAAGGACTTGAGATATCTAATTTGACATTAATAGATGAATGAGAAGAATATCCGTCATGTACCTATCAATTTTCTCCATTCTTGCCAATACCGATTCCTGGGTATCAATTTCTTTCGTAGGATGAACTTCAAATATTAAAGATAGACCTTTGCGCAATTCCTTCGTAGCCTACATGCAAACAATGACTTTTATCAATACGAAACTAATAAATCGTACTTCCGATGCTTGCAAACGAGCCCATTCTGCCCAATTCTTTCCAAATCTATACCTCATGTCATCCTTTAGAATCTGATCATCGTCTTGGAGAAACTCATTGCGTCTCTCGGACCACGATTTACCATCTTTACTACCTCCGAGAAACGCAAGATACTAAAAGAGGTTATTTCACCACAAACTTTTAGGAAACACTACCAACCTCATCCGAGTAACCCAACTCAGGATGTCCATTGATTCTCCCCAAATATCGTTCATAGTCCTTTCGTAAATGGTAGATAGAATCACCGCGATAGCGAAAGCGATCTGGGAAGAACTATGAGCCTGCGACAAACCAAGTCACTATCTATCTTACCCGTCAAACTTTCCCAAGGTAAAGAAGGAAATATACAAAAACGATACTTTCTTCTTAACATGGCATCTAACGCAGTAAAATCATTCTTGCTTCGTTCCACCGATATGACGATGAAACCTTCCTCTGTTTCTTCCCTATTTGCATTGCTTTCTAACACTGACTTGAATGCCTCTCTCTTTTTATCCATTCCTCTTTGCACTTCTTCTCCATCGACTTGTTTTGCTGATACGAAAACATCAATAAGAAACAAGTTTTTCGTTTCTGATGGAGACTTCAACTGAATATCACTGATAAAGCTAGGTGCTAATACAAACATAAAAAGTTGAGGTATCATATTTCTTCAGCTTCTCGTACCTTGATCGTTCTCACCTTGCAAATATTTCGAAATGGAGCCATCGTCATCAACAATCTGTTTCTGTGCTTCGTCTACACCATCGTTTGGTGGACTAAAAGACACGTCCAACTGTAGTGGATCTTCAAGACCGATGTTTTGGTTCTAGTCGACACAAATCGATATCAATACACTCCTCATCAGAAGCACTTCTATTCCTACCGTTTGCCTCACAACAGACGAAGACAAAGACTTCGTCATCGGTCGCTCGAACAAAGCAGGTGCCTCATCGGAAACTATGCTTCCCGAATATGCAGGCGTTTCTTCCTCGTCAACAGAAATACTTGGTATGCCTTCAGGAGAAGTAGTTGGAGCGACATCCAGCAGAAAATCCAAACTCTGCGCCTCTGTTAGTGAGTAAAATGTACTCCCTTGCTTAATGTTGGTAAAGTTTAGAGGATGTTTCTGCAACGGGTGTTCAAATTCGGGCAATTCTGTACTAGAGTCAGTCATAAGCTAAGAAAAAGAAACACATTGTTGGCGCCCAAATGGAACGGCATTTTTTCTTCATAAAAAGACTCGATGACAAATGGGTGCGATTCTTAATTCTCTCTTGTGAGAATCAATCCATATATTTCCATTTATTTTATCAAATCAACACTTAAGAAATTTGCATCACATTGTTTTGAAAAATTCCTTCAGAGACAACCGCCTGTAAACAACTCACCTGCCATTCGTCTTGAACCAAGAACTTGAAAGTATACGAACCTGGTACTAGCTTTAATAACAACTGTCGACAAGGTTTTTTCTGTTTAGGTGAAATAGCACATTCAATAGTGACATCAGGTTTCACCAGAGGAGGTTTGTATTCTTCAAAACACCAACGATTGGACCAGCCATCAAATGAACCTTTAAGAAAGACGGGTCTATCTCCACCATCATCATCCAACCAATAAAACAAAACATAGCGACAGTTGTCGGAGAGATATGAACAGGAAGCTGACATGCAATCAACGTATTCTTTCTGCAACAAAGCTTCCCTTCTAAAGATGACGTTCCGCAACCGATGAAATTCCTTGTACCAAGCAAATGCAACTTGGCTTACATCAATTACAGACTCATAAGCAGATTTACGAAGCTCTTGATATTCATCTTGTCTAGAAAATACTCTCAAAGCACGTTTCGTAGCATCCACAAATGCTGGTAAAGCATAATCTTCGAAAGTAAATCCATTACCTTCCAATGCATCTCCATCCCATTCATGAACCGTATCCTTCAAACCACCAGTACGATATGCAATTACAGGCGTTCCAGCCACAAAGAATTCATGTTGCACAATACCACCAGGTTCAAACATGGACGGCATCATACCAAAATCTGCTCCCAGATTGACAAGTGGGCCGTCCGTGAAAAACTCATCAGGTGCTGCCCAAAACTGCCAAGGATAACGTGAGCGAAGATATTCCATTTGTACTGCACAGCTTGCTGCATAGGGATCTGCTCGGTTCGCTGGGCCACCAATAAGAAACTGTATTTTGCCTCCAGTGAATTGTATTAATTGTTCCACTGACTGAAGAATGAGATGTACTCCTTTCTGTGACGTTACTCGACCAATAAAACAAAATAAGGGAATAGAAGCATCCAAAGTCTGGAATTGGAAAAAACGTTGTTGAATGATAGTCTTTGCTTGGAGATGTGAACCGCCACCACGAGTCTTCAATAGCGCTTCTCTCTCCTTTTTTCTAATGCCGTTGGGATATCCAAAAGGACAGCGTGCCAAACGAAGAATGTGTTTCAAAGGATGAAAAGTAACCAGTTCTTCCAAATAGGAATTACTAACAGTTCCCCAAGTGTCGGAACACAATAAAGCACATCGAGATGGATTAACGATAGGTTGAGACCAGGACGGGTCAAATACCAACGACACAGGTAGACGGTGTACATCTTCGAACAAACCTTCACTTTCATTTGGATATACTCTTCCTTCATAAACAGCATCTCCCAAGTTATGAATAATGTGGAAGAATGTAGTGTTCTCAAAAAAACTTCCAAAAAAGCCTTGCTTTGCATAACCAGCCGATAATGCAGCTATCCAATCATTCGTAATAAATAGAGCAGGTGGCAAGGATTTTTGACAAAGCACCTCTAAAGAAGCTAGAGAAGTTAAAACAATGAGTTCCAATTGACGTCTCTGGTTTGCCATATCAGCATAAACTTTAGGATAATATTCTCCTTGCTCTAAAAAGATGAGATGAACTCCTTCTTCCACACCTTCATAGACGCCCACTGTTACATCACGAGAACCAACACGTACTTGAATATTTCGAGTCCAAATAATACCGTCCGGTTCTAAATACTTCCACTGTCCCTTTCTATTCACACTGTAGTAAGGACTTATCACATAAACTTCCGAACCTAAGGCAGCTAAGCCTTTTGTTAGCTCATCTACCATAACGCCAAGTCCACCAGCAGTTGAAAATCGTCCCAACTCTGGAGCAACAAAAACTAAAGGTCCGATTTCACTAATATTCTTCAAAATCTTCTGACAAGTTTTGCGAAACTGGAAATCTTTTGCACAACAGGATAAATGTATCAATAAGCTCAGTACCCTTTCACCACGAGGAGGGATGAGATTCTTAGGAGCATAGAATGCCTCATATCTTGGAACCGTAGCTCTCTGCAAGCAAACAGAACAAAGATGAACAATTGTTGATTCTAACATACCAGAAGCTGACATTAGAGAATATATATCATAAAAGACATTGGAAAACTGTTGAAGTGAGTCTGCAGCGGCACGTGTCAATTTCCAAGCCAGTGCATTTTCTCTCGGGTCTTTCATATCTACACCATCCATCTGAAGTCTTGCCAAGCATTGTTCCAAGTGAAGATGTTCATTTTCTCTGGACTGAGTCGAACGTTCGGGAGATAAAACAATAGTACCTAACGGCTTTAGTTTTACTGGATACTTGCGGAATAACAACTCGTGAAATGTCAGCAACTCTGGATAACTCTCCTTGGTAAAACATTCCAAAAAATAAAACAGCTTGTCTTCATTCTTCTGATAAATTTCATTCCTCAAAGTCTCCGATAGAGGTTTGAAATCTAGCTCTACCTCACAAGGCTCTCGAAACTCATTGCCATCCAAGTCACACTTCATGTTCATCGCAACTACGATTAAACTATCATCCGTAGAACGCACAAATGCGAAAACTTGTTCTTTGAGATGCAATGATACATCCAGAATAGTAAGACTACCATGGCGGAATGCGGGATGAAACATGCGAATACTAAGTCGATGCTCATAATGTCCACGAATCATTCGTATATCGTATCCTACTCCTGGACCGATCTTCAGCCTCGTATCTTCTTCCAGTCGAGATAGGCTTCCAATGTCATCGACACTAACACTTCGAATGCTCATTCCACGTACATCATCGATGGACTGACTTCGAACCAATGACTGTGAGGAACCCGAGGAGCGTTTCAACTCTAAAGAGAACAGCGATGACTTTTTCTTCTTCTTTTTTGCAGAGGATGGAGTCGTCAGTGCTTTGGAGGGAGGAGAATCGGTGTCTAAATGACTTAACTCATCCAATACTAAAGTAGAAATTCCATCAGCTGGACTCGAAGAATCGGTGCTACGAGGAGATTTGGGCAATACATTTTCATAATTGACATCATAAAAAGGATGTGTCTCAATACTTTGACTAACAGTGGCCATATTAAAACGGTACATCCTTCCATTCTCTTCACCATAAAACAATATGGGAACCTCTGGTAAAAAGTATAACAAGTCAACAGCTAACCAAGCTCTTCTTCCATATAACACTCCTGGGTAAGGTGAATTGTGGGTACACGTGCAACCAAGCTGAATTGCTCCTTTAGGCATAGTATACTTGCAAGAACGATACAAACGTGAAAGCGTTCTTGCTGTAGACTTTCTTGATTCTGGAAGCTTAGAAACACTCCCATCTCTTCGAAGTGACTGTCCACAAATGGAAGCCAATATCTGTGCAACCCGAATGGTATGCGGAATGACACCTGAAAAAGCAAGTTGAGGTTCCCGTTGAAAATGAGCTTCTGCTAAAATAATAAAATTAGGGAAGTCTAATAATACCAAGTCAGCTCAAATCAAATAGATAAAGCTTCATACAAAATTACCATTCCAAATACGCTTTGTCAGGCGAACAAGAAATGGATTTGGATAACCAAAATCTAAAGCAGCTTCCGTTAACCAATAACCACAGTCTTCGTTTGTTTTCACAACTTTGGCGTGTAAAATGTCATCAAGAGAATAATGCAACTCCCCATCGACATCTACTCGAAAGAGTTCCTCCAAATCTGCCTTCATTATAAGAGGGTAGCTTTGTGCATTATCTAAACGTACACCTTGAATTCCAAACTCATGTATTAAGCGATATATGTCTTGATAGAAAAGTTCCCAAGCTTCAAACTTTCTATAATTAAGCAAACATGTATTGTCCCATTGCAATTCTCGTCCATCGGTACCAGCATGTGGAATCAGAAGTCCTTCTGAGTTCTTCGTATAAACTACCAACGGATTATACTTCCGGTGGTGAGCATTTCTAGAAACACGACAAAAGCCATCCACGATGGTTCCAACTCCTAAACGATTAGCTTCCGATACAAGATTCTTAAAAGCGATGGCACCTCCTAGAATGGCAGCAGGCTGAGAACGATCAGCAATTTCACCTGGAGGTGCCTCGGGATCATCAGTGGGCCTTGCAAGTGCTCCCATTAAATATACATGAGTTATGCCATCGAGGCGTAAATCAGGTAGTCTCTGAGCAACCAAATCAAATGAACCTCGTTTCTTTAGTTCTCCCGTCTTAGAATCCCAAGTAGCATCCACTTGGTCAACCGGCAACTCATAAAGCAAACTATCACGAATATTCGATGGATGCACAATGATTCTCCCTTTCTGTAGTCGAGCCTCACAAAAGGGCAAACTAACGGGAGGAAGAAACACAAAACTACTCTCCGGTTTCACGTCTTTGGGTTTCTCCGCAAAATACCAGTCATAAAAACCACTTCTTGAAAATCCTGGTAAACCTTTTACTTTCAAATAACCATTTTTGTAAAGAATTGAATAACGTAGCCAACGACAAGGAGCCAAATAACTCTCTCGATTAGTTTCAGACAAGCATAAAACATAGTTGTCAATTTCTCTAATGTCAGTTAAACCGTGGACTGGAATTTCCAAGTCTGCTGTTTCACCTACACACTGAACAGACACGTTCAGTGACTCTGTCAGTTGCAACTCATGACCATCGTACAAGACATTCAATAATATCACCGTACGTTCACGAACTTCAGGCACTGGATGACCCAACAGTGGTATCAACACTCGTTCTAAGGTCTTAAAGGCTCCAAGAATACCAGCAACATCCCCAGGGCTTGTTTTCTGTGCACAGACTGTTCTGTAATCTTCTTGGAGTCGAATCAACAAGGTTTGCAACTCATTGAAAGCAACAACCACTGGCTGCTCATCCATACTTGCAAACTGCTTTAAAAAATATTCATATAACACTTCACAACTACGTTCCCAGCCTCCAGGCGCCATGGTCAATGTTTCTGAAGATCTGCCTAGAGAAGGAATACCAAGATCTTTGCCACTGAAAAAGCTCAGTACGGCATTTTGATAATCTTGCTTTTGGGTGGTTTGTTTCCTGAGTTTGGATGATGCTATACCTTCCAGATCTGAGCTAGAAGAAGAATTCTCCCAGTCCTCATCGGCTCCAGAGGCCCCCCAAGTTGCACTACTTTCCAGCTCTGAGGGTGAAGAACTCATGCCAAGCCCTGAAGACACCCATCTCCTGGAAAACCTTGGCGACGACATAGAGAACGCTTGAACCAAGTTGTGTGCAAACTTGATGCGTAACAAATTCTGAAGAGTTGACAACCAAAAGAAATTTGAGGGGAAATGGGAGATTAAAAAACTATGGGTGGCTTTACTTGAGGGTGCGCAGGCTTTTCCCCTTATTTCATTTTTTTTGTTGCCAAATTCGAATGAATTCATCATCGCCTGCTGTTACTAGTAAAGCCCTTGTGGGATGAAACAGTATTGTACGTATTGTTTTACGTGGATCAAAACCTCTCAGCTTTGCCGTAAGATTCCCACTAGATAAATGCCACACGAAAGTCTCTCCAGTAATCGATCCAGATACCACATATCTTCCCTGAGTAGCCAGTCGACATGGCCATATGTTGGAATAATATTCTTCACTACTAAAGTCTCGAATGGATTCCAAAGACCAAAGAGATTCAGATAGAGAAATGCAACTTAGACGGCGAAGGGTGCAACAGTTTTCTCGTGGAAGATTTCCTTGGCTATCCATCCATTCTACTCCTCTAGTGACTAAATACCAGGAATAGATATTCTCTTCACTCTGACTCACAGTTGAATTTTCTACAAGAGCATAAGAAACAGGAAGAATGGAAATAGAGTCTGCATAGGCAGTGTACAAATTGGGAAACTTCGCAATACAAATCTCTCGATCAAAGTCGAAAAGTTGCAAACCCGAATCCACTGCTACCAAGAATAGGCGATTGTTCGTGCGAGGCAGAAATTCTAAGTCGATTGCAATAAATGATTCACACTCCAGTGGATCCATCTCGCTATCGTTTATCATGGCTTCCACTGAAATAGTAGAAATTTTGCAAGCAGTAGAAAAATTAAACTGCTCATGAGACTCATCTTGATGATGAAAAAGGAATTTACAAATTCGTCCGTCTTCGCCGCAGCTTATGAGGTAAAAATTCTCACCTCTCTTAATTACTTTGAGACAAAATATTTCTTCTAGATGTCCTTCTAATCTTGCAGTCACTCTACCACTAGTCACATCAAATATTCTTATTGTACCCGGTACAACAGAATTCTCGTCTTCTTCATCATTCCAAGAAAACCTGTCTCGTGTTACACCAGCAGCAATAATATATCGACTATCAGGAGAAAAGCAACAAGTCAAGTATTCTACCAACTCTTTGTCAAAAGTTTCCCAATCGCAAAATTCACCAATTCTTTCCCAGCTACTGGTATCCCACACACATAACGTCCCTGTACTTGAGCCACTTACCAGCAATGAGCCATCATAATTAAAATTCAAAGAGTATAAATTTCCATAATGATGCAAAGGCTTCTCATAAAGTTCCAATGGATGACTTTCATCAATCCACTCTATGGCAGCTGTACTGTACTCGAGTTGTCCTTGCTCAGAAATTAAGTCTTCTTCTAAAGACTTGTGAAATTCTTCAACAGCATGTTTTCTTGAATCAGTTGACTGACCACTGCCACCATACTTGCCACTCCCTTTTTGTTCTGCTTTACGTTTGCCTTTCTTTTCTGTTTTTCGACTGTTGTTTACTTTTTTCAATGTCTTTGTCGTGCTTCTTTTCAACACTTCTTTGGTTCGAACGTTATTTGAATTTGCGCTACCATTCGATATGCTTTGAAGAGATTCTGGAATGTAAGTATCATCACTGGTCAAAGAAGGGGGCTTGCTATCGGATTCAATAGTTCCAACATTCTCCATACTTGCTTCATTGATTTCATTATGGTTGGTGCTTGGAGTGGACGAACTGTTTTGTGAATGTACAGGCTCCCTTTTTAACTTGTGATCTTTTACAGACAACGAAGTCTGTGTTTGTTCACCTTCCAAAAGAGATATCAAACCGGAATGTGTTTCATTGCTAAGCAATCCATGGGCTTCTAGACCATTTATCGGTGTGCTTTGTTTGTTATTCAGCTTTTTGCCAATCCTATTCCATAGTTCGTGTATATTGTATCCTTGTTCATTAATGAGTGACCTTGATTGGGGACAATTTGTTTCCTTCACTTGGAACTTGGGTCTTCCAGAGTTATCTTGTTGCACAGTGCAAAGTAATTTTCTTCCATGTACCTCTCTGAAAAACTCGTACCCGGGTGTATAAGTGACAGTTGTTCCGGTGAAGGGACAAGTATCCTGAAACGCCAACAAGTCCACGTTTTCAGGCATCCTACCAATATTGACCAGTTTCCCGTTGCCTAAAAACGAACTAGGCTCTTGAGCATTTGAATTGGACACGTTTCTATTTTCTTTTTGTGGGTTGTCTTCATGTAAAAGTCTTTTGGGTTTAGCAGCAGGCATCTACTTCAATAGACGAGGAGACTGGATCCAGTTTTTTTTGTCAACAATAAAAATTTACCCGCCAATCAAAACTGGCGATGGGATGGCCAATTCAAAATGTTGATATCACATCTTTTGTTGTGGATTGAGCACTTTTCAGTGAGATGTGTTCATTTTGATACATAGTTACTTTCATAGCCCAAGGAATGGTATTAAATAAACATCTGTAAGCTACTATTCGTTGTTGTATTGGGTTATCTAAACATTTGAGACAAAAGTACATGTACATATTGTGACTTTTTCTGGTTTTTATACAATACTATCCCAATGAGCTGTTTTAGTATTGCTCACAATGTTGCTTTTGCTAGAGATACAAATGAATGATGGTTCGATAGCACACTATGAAAGAGAATTATCAAAGACAACCAGAAACTATTTTGACAAATTCCACACATGCATTCCATTGGAGAGAATTTCCTCAACGAGAGCCATTATGCCATCCAACAAAGTGAACAGTGAAAGCACAACCAACTCACAAAATGTATCTACTGTAACCAAACTAGACGTTAATAGCAAACTTCCCAAGGTTGGTTATCTTAGTTGTACAGTTATTGTATGGGTTTTTAAGCTGCAAAGGACTTTTTTGACCCAGTTGAAACACCCAAGCAAGATAAGTGGCAAAACAAGGACGACGATGATGAATATCAGAAATTTGAGGAAGAAATTGCGCAGGATTTGAGCAACTTGAAAAAGAGTTATGCACAGGTGTGAATGAGTGACTCTGATTTTCAGACCTTGACGGTTTTCTAGGAGGAAGATGACTTTGACGAACGAGAATCCAAGTTACAAGAACACGAACAAAGTGAGATGAAAGAGAGGATACAACACCTCAAGGAACTTTTAACTGAAAGAAAACGTGCAAAGAAAGATGGACAAGTAGAACAGAGAGTTGTGAATATTTCCGATACAAAGAAGAAGAATGTGCCAGAAAAGGAAGGCAGTTCCTCAGAGGAAGCAGACGATAACGATTGGTTGTTAAACTGGAAAAGAAAGAGACGAGTGGATAATGGAAAGAAAAGATGAGCAAAGTTAGTTTCCAGCCTTGATGAGTCTTTTGATCATCAGAAGATGGTTTGTTCCATCTTTTGGTGGGAGATGTTGGCATTATGATTGGCAACATGAACTGGAAGGGTTCGTTCCCATCTACCACATGTAAAACTAAAGTGGACACAAATAAAACTCGTAGAAAGTCTCACACTGTAATAGAAGATGCAGTTACTCATTTGTCTTATGCAGACGCTGCAAAAAACACAAAGTACGTTGCTACAGTTTTATGTTGGTGACAATGTCAAAGTTTTGTTCCTACTGTAGGAAATATGGAGGTCATAGAGACTCGGGCAATAAAAAAAGAGTTATTTTAGTTAGTACGGCAACTAACTTTAGTTTTAGGAGAGAAACAACTAGAGATATTTGGCCCAACGCGAAAGCTCAGCCTTTTCCGAAGACGGAGAAGCCTTGTGATAGAAACAAAAAGTTTCGCTTGGTTCCAAACCCCAATACGTTAGATAGTCGTGCTCCTCAACTCATAAGACGAGGAAAAGAGAGAACGAAAGATAGAAAGAAGAAAGAAAGCAAACTAAAAAGAACTATCTTGGAAGCCCGCTCCAGAGAAACTAAGTGTATCACGCCAACAGCAGAAATACACGAAGAAGCAAGTGGAGACTCTCAAGTCAAACCGACACAGTTGGAGTCCTCCACAAAGGACAACAAAGTGTGCGTCAACCTGAAACAACAAGGGCAGTCAATGAAAAGGGTCAAGTATAGAGAATACTGTGATATGTACGTTACAAAAAGTGTCAATACGATGACAGAGACACTTTTGAGTGAATTAATGCGCTTTCAAGAGAGAGTACGAAAGACGAAACCTGCAAAGGCGAAAGCAAAAAGAAGATTAGTTATTGGTCTCAAAGAGACGACTCAATGCTTGCAGGTGAACAAAATCAAGTGTGTAATAATACCTCCAGATATTGAACCGTGTCCTTTGCAAGGTGGTCTTGACGATCGATTAGCACTCATTCGAGATCTCTGTACAGATAAACAAGTACCCATCATCTACGCTTTAGGCGTACACAAAATACCAAAAGCTTTAGGTCTACCTAGTAGACGACACAAAACTTCAGCTGTTGGTATCTACAGTTACCAAGGAGCATTTGAGCTCTTTAAACAACTCCTTGAAGAAGCAAAAAAAGAACGGGAAAGATGGCGACAAGATCATGAAATTCCGTTGCAGAATGTTGTGAAATCTGATGAAATAGGAGTCAAGGAGGTTAATATACTAAAAGATCAACCATTGCATTCTCATCTGTCAGCAAATGCGGAACCCTTCATTCCTCGCATGTTTCAAGAATTGCGAACAGTTGGATAAAGGCCAATTAGGAGAAGCTGAGGAATAAACGTCTTGACCATAAACAATTCTGTCAGGAAGATTATGGAACTTGTGAAACCAAGCTTGCCAGAACAGCGCCTCTAGATTCCTTGTCCATCTGAGAGTGTCGAAGAGAGGCAATCTATCCCTATTCTCTATTAAATATTTTCGAATGGCAAGACGCTTCTCGTAGTTATAAGCCAAATATATTGCTATATCTTGATATTCATTCATATCTCTTGCGATGAGTTCATCTAACCCTGCAGCATGTAAAACACTAGCAGCTACTCGAGAAGCTAGACGAACAGTTGGTCCCGTTACTACAGGTAAACCAGACCAAAGCGCATCAGTAGCGGTCGTATGGGCATTGCAAACAGGAGTATCTAAAAATATATCAGCTAAACCACATCTTGCTATATGTTCTTCCTTTGGAGCAACATCGGTGAAAATAATTCTGTCTGTAGAGATATGTCTTTTGCTCACTTGAGCTAGAAGACGAGCTTCTGCAGCCGGTGGGAACCGTAATAACCATATTTTGCTACCTGGTACTCTTTTAAGGATATTACACCAAATATTGAGAGTTGAAGGATCTAATTTGTAAAGTTGGTTGAAATTAGCGAATAAAACAGTACAGTCTCCTCCTTCATATACAGATTTTGGAAGACCATAACTTTCCCTTGTCAATATGATCTCTCCAGAAATGCCACTGTTGGACTTTGAGATGATTCTGGGCTCGCGGGGACTGGATTGTTTATGATCAGAAACAAAATAAGTATGTGGATGATACAACATTACTTCCGTATGACATTCTGGAACAAACTCTGGTGGTGATGCTACTATATCACTTATCATATACTCAATATAGGATGCTCCTAGAGAACCTGCAAACCCCATAAATGCAACTTGAACTGGTGCAGGTCTCAAAGCAAATATTTCAGTCTTGGCTCCTTTTGTATAGCCATTTGCATTGATCAATATATGAATTCCATCATTTGCGATGATGGAAGCCGCTTCATGTACTGTCAAATGGGAAATATCACGAAAATGTTCTGCTTCATTCTCAATCTTTTTACGGTAGTGAGATCCGTCACTAGGTGAAAGACTATAACAAAAACATTCAACACTCTTCCCCGACCTGTGGAAGCCATAGATAGACTGTGTAAGATGTCCATATGGATGATTTTGAAAATCGGACGAGACATAACCAACTTTCAAACGACCGCCACCAAAGTAATTCAACTGGGGCTCTATCCATTCAAGTTTAGGCACTTTACAGAATGCGACATTAGCAGCTGCTCGAGCTGCATAAACTGAACCAAGTAGACGGAATTGTTCATTGGTTACTGGGTAAATGAGACAATGAAATGGTTGAACACTTGGTAATGGAAGCTGTAGCAGATTCTGTACAAGTTGCATAGCTAACATATCTATAGTTTCCTTGTTAGAGGCACTAATTACTGAGGACAGTAGTTGTTGTTCTTCACAGCCATATAACAGACCACCTACAATATTATAGACTACTTTGGATGACTGAAAATCATCGCATTCTGGTCTCACTTTTATGTTCATTTTCAAATTCCCATCAAATACATTTCTCAATAATTGTATACAAGTTGTACGATATAACTGTAGGATTCGATCCAGATAACTTCTGATTGTCTTCAATATTTCATTACGATCTGTCCAATCGCAAAGCATGGCCATGGAATGTGCAAGCTGACTAAAAGCATCTTCCAAATGTGGCGCCAAATGGATTGCTGTACGATGGCATTTCACTGACTCTTCCAGACGGCCAAGATCCTTTAAAGTATTCCCCAAATTAGCAAAGTGTTCCGCAGCGTATGGCTGCAAAGAGGCTGCAAGAGAAAATGCTTTCAGTGCTTCATCATTTTGGTTCAACTCTCGGTAAGTCACTCCGAGACCATTTGCTGCTGCTGCCAGATGGGGATCATAAGTCAATGCTGTTAGAAAGTGCAAAACTGCTTCTTTCAAAAGATGCTTCTCTCGACAAATACCACCCAAATTGCAATGAGCTGCAGCAAGTGTTGGACAAACTTGGAGACATTTAGAATAAAGTGCTGCAGCATGATCAAGATCTCCCTTATCTCGATAGATATTTCCCAAGTTATTTAGGGCATGTGGATGTCTCTCATTCCAAGCCAATGCAGCCTCATAACATCTACTTGCTTCCGTTGTTCTCTGTAAGGCCTTCCAAGCATTTCCCATGTTGTTATACGCATCTGCGAAACTAGGTTGTAATTCAGTTGCTAAACAATACTGTTCCACAGCCAACGAATAAAAGCCTAGTTGATAGCATACGGAAGCCAATATTGCTCTGTCATAGGGATTTTGTGGACATGTGTTGATAGCAAGCCTTAGTTCTTCTTCAACTTTGTTCATTGTGGAAGTTGTACCAGCCAGTCTACTAGCAGCTTCCAGATGAGTTTTATAATCTGGAACTCGTGATGTCGAAAGAACAGGTTGCATTTTCCAGTTTCCAGCAAAGTATTCTGCGTTCATATCGGCACCGAAATGTAGTTGGGCTTTGTTTGCTAAAATATTAGGTTGATATACAAAACCAAAACTTTGCTTTGTTTCATTCCAAATAAAGCTCGAATAAGGATGAGGAGCTTTTACTGCAGTCAAGTTAGGAAGCGAAGAGGATTGCCCAAAGGGACTGTGCCAAGTATCCACATATGTCATACTGTTTATACTAGGCAAGATACAAGCGTTCCAACCAACAGAAAGCATAGAGTCGTACAATTTAGGTTCACTCCATCTTTGCGACGTCCAACTGCTGTTTTGCCTTACAACCCTGTTTGTCCTGTTCAAAGTAGAGGGTTCTTGAGGATGAAAAAAGTCTGATCTTCTAGTTGGCAGGTTATTAGAGAGTTTCTGGTTTATATTCTTTCTTGAATCTTCATTGTATAGTGCTGTTACTGGAATAGGGTTGGTTCCATATCTACAACTTTCCCTTGTGTTGTAAAGGGCTGTGTTGTGTGAGAGCAACGCCATGAAAAGAACGACTTTTGTATAACAGCAATTGTGTTCGTCGCTCGTAATATACAAAAGTTGAATAAAGTAAAAATAATTTTTCCAGTTTGTGGTAACTCTATCTCCTACTCGTTGGAAAAATGGCCGAGTAGAATAGGCAATCGGACAATGTTGTCGAAAAATGGTTTATTGTCTCCATTGTTTTTCAACAACAAAAGAAACACATCATCACTTATGAGCAAACACTTTTCATTTGTCTCCTCGTAAAATGACGCATTTGAAACGTTCATTATTCTATTTCCTCTTTGATGAAATTCTAAACATTTCTATTTCTAATACGACTAGAAATCTTTCAAGATGACGACTACAAGAATATCACTGCAACAGTCCTCCTTTAGATACTGGAATACAAGTGTCACATCTTATTCCATCAGTTGCAAACTTATCCATCCGTTTCCTTTGGGAAGATTGTCACCGGCCATTATCACAACTTTTACCAATTTTCTTAGACATGGTGAAAGCCTATTACAAGTTCTCACCTTATTCATTATGGGGTGTTGTTGCCAGTAGAAGAGTTCCTTCTGTAACTATAGATAAAGAAATGGCTTCTCGGTTCTTTCAGGTGAATTCTGTAGTGGTTGCCACAGCAGCAGTGAACCTGATTAACTTGTGGAACATCAGGAAAGTAAGCAAAACCCGAACGACCTCAGTGTTGAGTTAACTTAGTGATTAGATTGAGAAAGTTGCCCAGTTAGGTAATCTACTCGACGAGGAAATTTCCTCTTTACACTATGCCATCGGCAGTAGTTGGATTCTTGCAGGATACAACAACGGTAGAATCCGGGTTTTCAGTCTCGAAACCCGAAAACTTGAAGTTTTGATCCACTCTCATACTTCTCCAACTACGACTATTGTGGTTGATGAGTCTGGATTCCAACTCGCTTCAGGTTCAGGTGCTGGAGACATAGTGCTTTGGGACTTGAGTGCAGAAAAGGGAATTTGTCGTTTGAGAGGCCATACTAATGAAGTTACAAAATTAAAGTTTTGTTACTTTCATAGCAAACAATATCTGGTTAGTATTTCCAAGGATTCCTTATTAAAGATATGGGACCTTGTTGGATATTCTTGTGTGCAGACAGTAGTGGTAAGTTTGTTTGCCATTCTCGAAACACTTATTCTGAAACAATATTTGAAAGAGTACTCGAGGTGAATTGTGGGATTTTTGTATAATCCCAAAGTTGAATATACTTGTTATTGCTGCATCACAACCTGAACTAGAAGTATTTGGTATTCTCAAACCAGAAACGCGTTCTTTGTTTACAAGACAAGAAAATGATCTCGAAGAAGAAAGTCATTTCATCGTCACTTTGGGAAATATTTCACTCAAGTCTTCCAAATGCACAGCGTTATGTGTTGATGAAGCGGGTTGTCATTTGATTGTTTATGGGAATGACAAAAGTTTACAAGCGTTTCAACTGAGGAATTGGGAACATGCAATAAGGCATTTGAAGCGTAGAAGAAAGAGGCATCCGGAAACATCTTCTGGAACGCTTGATTTAGTTGAACATACCGCGTTGTCAACTTTGCAGGCAGTTGACTTTCTTATTTACCGGCAGACATTGCAAGTTCCTCACCGCATTCGATCCATCCATTTGCTTCATTCAATATCCGAACAACAGAAGCATTCGGAAGGGTTCCATCAATCCATTGTCATGCAATTTGCCGATAATGGATTGAGTTTGTATGACCTATTGTATGAAAAAGAGTCAGATGAAGTTTTTACATTACGGCAAGTTGCCAATTTAGATATTCACGGTCATCGCGGGGATGTACGTAGTCTAACGTTCTCTCGACAACAAAATTACTTGTTATCCGTTGCCTCTTCTTGTACTGGAAAAATATGGCAAGTATCCAACAATCTTTGTTTAAGAACTCTATCGTTAAGTGGCTACGGAACTTGTTGCCTCTTTGTTTGTAATGATATTTTTACTGTAATTGGAACCAAAAATGGTACTTTGGAGATTCATTGCACTTTAACTGGAGACTCCGTACTGCAACTAGCTGATCATGAAGGTCCTATTTGGAGCGTATGTGAATCGTCCGATGAAAAATACTTGTTTACTGGAGGCAGTGACAAGAAGATACACATTTATGAAATGGTCATCTGCAGCACAACATCAGGTACCATTCCAACTATCCAATTGGAACCTATTCGAACATTGGAAATGTCTGATGAGGTGTTGTGTTTAAAAACTACACCAGATGGAAAGCTTTTGATAGTAGCCTTGTTAGATTGTACAGTTCGTTCATTTTATTTGGATTCTCTTCGTTTCTACCTTAGTTTTTATGGTCATAAGATGCCAGTGCTTTCAATGGATGTAACGAGTGATTCCTATTTGTTGATAACTGGTTCTGCAGACAAGTCAATCAAAATTTGGGGTTTAGATTTTGGAGACCTGCACAAGAGTTTGTTGGGACATGAAAACGCTGTAATGAACATTACTTGTCAACCAAATACTCATTATTTCTTCAGTGCTTCACGTGATGGCTTGATCAAGTATTGGGATGCGGATGTATTTCAATTGTTGATGAATTTGAAAGGTCACTCTGGAGAAGGTACGTAATTTTTGTGCTCAAGAAAACATCTCTTTTTACTTTGGATAAGTTTGGACTCTTGCGATATCTTCCAATGGAGAAATATTGGCTAGTGCTGGACACGATAAAAGTATTCGACAATGGAGAAGGACCAATGAACAGTTGTTTCTTGAAGAAGAAGAAGAAGCAAGGATGGATGAAGCATTGGCGAATTCTGTTATCCAGGAGAGACGTCGAAGTGTCTCAAACTTGGAGGCTTCCGTGCATCACATAACTTTAGGAATGGAGTCCATTCCAGAAGTAGTCAGTGCTACGACATTAAACCATATGGATGTTGTAGAGAATTGTGAGAAAATTTTGGAAACTTTGCAACTCGTTCAAAAAGAATGTGAAAGAGAACAAGAAGAACCTGAAGAAGCTCCAGATATTCAGCTATTGGGACTGAGTCGTCATATGTATCTGTTAAGAACGCTATCCAAAATAAGGATAACTGATTTGGAATCTGTACTCATGTTGCTTCCTTATTACGCAGCTGAACAGCTTTTAAGTTTTTGTTCAGAGTTGTTACGTTTACCGTGCAGTAGACTCTATGCCGACTTGTTATGTAGGGTTATTTTATTTTTGACGCAGTCACATCGTTCCGTTATGATACATGGAATAGATCGAGGACAAATGGAATATCTTACACAAGGCATCCATCAACTGCTTAGTCGGAGTAAAAAGAAAGTTGGCTTCAATATCGCTGCACTCAAAATGATCTTGAAAGACGAAGCAGTGCCAAGAACAGTTACAATGGAGAATGACGAAAAAACATTTTTTTATGATAATCAGACAAATAAGAAACGACGAAGATCCAAATCAAAAAGAGGAGAAAATCTATCAAGTCATTCCACTCTCTAAACTTTATCTGCGATATCTTTCAACGGTTCGATATCCTTATCCGAACATAATCCAAATTCCTGTAAGACTATATGAGACAAGTTGAGAGGACATAATATCGAGAGGAAAGATACCTGTACAAAACACAAAAACTGAAAGAAACATGTATTCAGATGAGATTCTGCACCACGTTCCAGAATAACATCCCAATGAGAATAATACATATGGCCATAAATTCGTATGAGTCTTCTCGCAATTGTCTTGGCAGTTGCACTAAAAGAACAAAAATTATGAGCAAGAGATTGGTCAAAGTTCCAACAAAGATACCGAAACTCTGGTGATTTGACTGCTGCACATTCTGTGCTAGTTAACTGATCAACTGCAAGAAGTTTTTCTGCCCACTACACAATGTCAAGTAACCCTCGAGAAAGAATGGGACACTCACATCCAAAAACAAAGATATATATTGAGGCGCCGATACTTTGGTTGCCTTTTTATGTTGGTCGTTATCTTGCCATAGATATTCATACTTTGAGCCAGCATTCATAACAGGACAACTGAAACAAAGCTTCTAACTATGTTCTCTCTCTCAACAGTAACATATCAATTACCTTTCATCCGTACAATCTCCATACAAACAATTTTGTAATAAACTGACGTGGTACAAGCAATCCAACAAGCCAATATATATCCAATCTTCTTCGGGATAACCTTCAGGTAGTTGAATGGCTTTCCGCACGTCAACTAAAACTGTCAATATCTTCACCTTTTGGAAAGCGAGACAACCTACTGTCTACAAGTTTGCGCTTCAACTCTGAAGGGGGAATCTTCTTCAAGTCTTGAAACTTTTTAGACACATCAAAGTGCTTTTTAGGTTTGACGGTTTTGTTCTTTTCAAAAAAGGATAACATGGACCTCGAAACAAATGAATAAAGGAACGTGTCCCAGTTCAATGGAAAACGTCAGCAAATTGCTTGCTCAAACTTTGTGAGAATCGCGCTCTCATAATTTATTTTCATAGAGACTCAATAAAAGTGTCTGGATAATAAACCATCATAAAGTATATAATAAGAATCAGCTCAAGCGACGATATATCAGTTTCGATCCAGCAACCGGAAACGAGCTACTCTACCCCAATTTCTCAAAGAAGATAACCACAACATTGCCGTATCACGTGTAGGTTCATTCCTGGTGTTCTGATCTTCTATAACGACTTCAACGGTATGATTGTCAGAATCTTCGTCGTTATGTATTGACGATGCCACATTTAAATGAATGTCAGAACGAGCTCTTGGATCTGCACTATCCAATGTAATCTCCTCCAACTCATTTCCAACTGGATGATTCTCATACTGTACATCTCTGTCTCTATAGGAAGAGGCACCAGCATTTGTATGGCTAGTATTATTCCACCAGGCAAACGAGGCATCACCTGCATCTCCATCATGATTATCACTCTGTGGCTCATACAATCCTTCTTCAGATAAAGATGCATCTGGAAATACATTTTGTTTGCAGATTGGACACAATGGACTACTTTCCAACCACTTCCAAATACAGGCTCCTTGAGAAAAGTTAAATATAATACCATACTGAAGGAAATAAAAACATACGGTGAAACAAGTGATTACAAGGAAGCTCATTGATATTTTCCCCTTCTGAAAAAAGGATCCAAGCATATCTAAGAAAGTAATATACATTCAGTTAAGCATTATGCCATTATAGAAAAAGACTCACCGCACAAACATCTGGTTCTACTGAGTCACGTGGCATTGAATAATGCTTTACAGGAATACCACGAAGACGTCTTCTACGCAAATATCGACCATGAATATCACGACACCATGCAAACAACACTTGAAAGAGTCTGACAAGCATAATAAGAGAAGAAGCTGTCATAACTCCAACTAGTGACAGATCAGTTCAAGAAACCCAATTGGTTAGGAAAGACTCACTTAAACCAGATTTGAACAAATCTATGACAGAATCAAACATGCCACCACTCACTAAATACAACACATTAACACCCAAAGACAACATAAATAAAAAGAAAACTTACAATTTCCATCTAAAAAGACATCGGCAGTTGCATTGAGAACAATTTGAACATAGTCTCCATTTGTGTTCGCCTTTTGAATAAACGTTGCTAAACCCAACTCTGTCCAGGCACATGGAATATTTATCTAAGCTACATAGTTAGAAACTACAACTTCACAATGCTGGGAACGTACGCTGTGTCTTGTGCCATATATCCCGGCAGATGAGCTCATAATGTACAGCTTATCTTCTTCGTCAAAGACTAACATGCCAGCACCATTCCGATTTTGAACTTCAAAGGCAAGCTAAATCAGTTTTAGCAACTTTGAAGCCATGTGAGAAACATACGAACCTCCGTAAACGAACAAGTTGAGTAGTTTGCGGTTGCCTTTGAAACGTCGAATAGAACAAAATTTCCACCAAAATCATAGTCTTCGAAAGGGGCGCAGGGGTTTTTGTCGTAGTACGTGATATTTCCAACAAAAGAATACCCTTTGAAACCCAAACCTCTTGTTGCTCCAAAAACTGCCATAATATGCCTATAAACCACGGCAGAACCATCTGGTCCCAGAGGATGTAAAACAACTAAAGCGTTACCCTTTCCCACAAACTCGAATAACATAACGCATACGAATAGAACAAGTAACCACTTTTGTCGATTATCCTCTCTCGAACGGAAGTTCAAGCAATTATTCATAAGTTGTTTTCTGAAAGTTTTCAAAAGAACTGCCTTTCAAGTAGAGCACTCAAGTATTAAATAAGAACAGAAGAGTAGGTAAAATAAAACACTTCAAACCGAAATAGAAAAGTATAGCTCTTTTTCCTTTTCACAAATAGCCAATTTTTCTGATGCCTGAGCTGAATTCAACACTGCGCCAATTTCTTCCAGAGCGTCTTCGAAATTGGAGGCGAGACGGGATATGTCCACTTCATTTTCATATTGAAAATAGACTTTCTTAGAATCAACAAGCAACTCTTTTCATTTTATGGATATTTACAAATTGTGGACTTTAATACTCTCTTTAGTAAACAAGGAGGAAACTGTCATTTAGATTGTCAAACTTAACGACTCAGAATGAATATGATTTCTTGCCAAAAGGAAATAAACGGAAAGATTCACTTGGAGTGTGCTCTTCACGTGACTACAGTCTCCACATTCCCAAAAGACAAACTCACTTTAACAGAACGTGATATGTCACCGTTGTGTTTTTTGAAAACTTATCTTGTTTTTACTATAGGACAAAGAAAGACTGCCTTTCGAAAATGTTTTCTTCACGTGCAGAAAAGAAAAAAGAAGTTTGGAAGCATCCATAACTATCATAAAGATAGAACCAAATACTATTTTTCTTGTCCTTTTCGGAATGTAACGCAAATGAAACTGAAATCAAGAGGTTTTTTTATCTTCATCAGTCTACCTGTGTATAACTCAAATCTTAATAGGATTGTTTGAACAGAAAAGGACTCTCATTTCTGTCTTAGCGTGCTTCCTTACCGGTATCTATTCTGCTCCTTTCTCTTTACTGTTGTTTGGTATTCCTGCTACAACAGTTGGTGCCCCTACAAACCTCGTTGGACTGTTTTCTGTTATCATTTCCGCTTTTATTGAGTTACTTTTTGGTAGAAATTGGACAGGTACTGATAACTTTTTTCAAGAGTATTTGGTTGAGTTGTTTGTGGAAAACAAGGGACACAAATTTTTGTATATTTCTGTTTTATTTGTTGTGTGCTATGGGATGGGTATGATGATATCAAACCCGACAGTACAAAGGAAAGTATAGAACCTATGATGGGTATTGAACGAGCAAGTGAATCTGAAGAAAACACAGACAACGAAGAAATACTAGAAACACTGTCATCCTTGCACTCGTGGGATGAAAAATTTCTGAAGACTATGCAAAGTGAAGGAAACGGAGAGTCAATCGACATTTCGAAAGGAGATGATAAAGGAGGTTGATATTATAGTTTTTATTTTGACAATGATATTGAAAGTTTTCAGCGAGATATATCGTTAATGGAACACCAATTGTTATACTTGATGACATAACTGTGAAATGTACCATAATTGAATTCTAATAGGATTCTTGTAACTGTATTTAGTAGTTGTGTGGATCACTTCCAATTTTAATCTCTTTCAAATTGGATTCTCCTCGTCAGAAAGAATCTTAAAGTTAGTTTTTCATTCCAGAGACTTTTTGGAAAGTGGGTTTGAGGTGTGGACAGTTTTGGGAAATACTAAACAACGAACTCGACGTATGAGAAGAAGAGCTGCCTCAGTCCTTACTTATTTAAAATCAGCCGTCCCAAAGTTTCACTCCAAATATGGAGCCTTGGTTGCCTATGCACTCAAGTCTTTGATAGCCGCGTTATATTACATTTTAGTTTCAGTTAGCCTCACCGTTTTCAATAAGTCTATTTTTCAAAATTATGACTTTCAAGAAACTACCATACTGGTTAGCAGTCAGCTATCCATTACTATTCTTCTTCTTTTTATCCTTCAAAAGATGGAATTCATTTCGACCAATGGTTTTCAGTGGGACTTGTTTGTTGCCTGTTTGCCATTAGCTTTGTCTTACTATTTGATGTTGGTTACAAGTATGGTCGGATTGAGAGACACAAATCTGGTGATATACAATACCTTGAGAAGAACTACTGTATTCTTTGTTCTCATTTTAGAAAAGGTTATCCTGGGAAAGAAAGCTTCTTGGGAAGTTGTAGCTAGTGTTATAGTGATGTTGTCTGGCACTATGGTGGCTGCTATTTTTGATATGTCTTTTTCCATTTATGGCTATTTTATGGTTTTTTCGGCAAACCTGACAACGGCAGTCTATTTGGTACTCATTCGATATACCCGAGATCAGACAAAATTAGATAACTTTGGTATTCTGTATTATTGTTCACTCTCATGTCTACCTCTGTTCTTATTGACAGGTATATTGGATGGAAGTTTGAGAAGACTATTTATGCATGCTCCCCGCTATGAGTTTTCATTTTGGCTATTTTTTATTTTAGCTTGCTCATTTGGATTTGTAATCAATCACTCTATTTACTACAATACCACGACAAACTCTGCCTTGACTCAAAATATTTCAGCTCAAGTGAAAGATTTGGCGTTGCTTGTTTCTAGTTATTATTTCTTTCATCCTCAAAAGTCATCAACTTGGGGTCATATTGGAGTCGCCACTAGTTTTGTTGGAGGCCTCTTATACGTCTTAGCCAAAGTCATGGAAATGAAAAGAACACTGGAAGAATTACCTAATAAATAAGAAGATACTCATATTGTATATCAGTATATCCATATGTATATTTATATTTATATATGGATAAATAGATAAGGATAACGACGAGTATTGTAGGAAATTCCAATCTGCTCATTTTTTACTTATCTTTACAGCTAAATGACAGCACCTATTTCAATACCTAAACCAAGAAAAGTAAAGATATCTCTGATTGCGTAAATGTTTGCCTCTTGTCCCAAAACACACGCAAGTTTCGAACCTAAAAGTGGACAAACATGGACAACATCACTACTCAGAAACCGACCCAACACCAAAATTTCTCTTTACAAAATATGGTCTTCTTCAGTTTGCAGTTGCTTCGAAGTCTTTCCTGAATAAAGCACATGCTTACATGTGGCATACACGGTGAAGCAGATTGCAGCAGCAGGCTTTATCAAATTGACTTGGAAACTCTTGAAACTAATACAATTCCTACTTACCATATGAAATAAGATACGAGGTCGTATGCCGTGCAAAAACCCTCGAATTCCTTCTTCATAATAAATACTTTTCATCGCAGAAGTCATGTTTTTGTATCTTCTAGCTCCTCTCTACATCCATTTCTTTCAATCAATGTTCCTAAAATGATCAAAATCTCATAAATCCTACTCACCTCGCCTTGAGTCTGCAGTCTTGTACGAACCACATCGAACGGATTGGTAACTGCACTGGCACATGCACCTGCCATGGCACCTGCCAAGAGCTGACTTGTTACTGATAGCTCATCTGAAGCAATATTTCTCCATTTATGAATAACTTTTTTACAGCTTTCATAAACTGTGAAATGTATAGCTGTAAAAGGAACATTCATAATTAACGTCGTTTTGTAACCTTTGTTTCATATAAGTATCGCCATAAGTCGAAGATAAAACAAATTTAAAACGCACCAACAAAAAATGCAGAGGTCCCATGTTGCCTATACACCGTAGAAATACAGTGAAAAATATTCGAATAACAACTCGACTTTAACTGCATTCGTTGCTTCACCACATCAAAAGGCGCCATCATTCCATCTGCTACAATCGTAGCCAAACCTCCTGCAGCAGAAGTAGCGAGAGGATGGTGTTGACTGTTTCTAACTCAACGGCTCAACGCTAACTTTCCACACAAATAAAACGAATACATACTTGTTTCCACCAAAAGCTTCTTTTGCCGCTTCATATGTTGCAAAGTAAACGGCGTGTGCAGGACCAGCGCTTATTAACACCGCACTTACTCCTCTCCACAAGCGTGAAACACCTTCATGTAAGATAATGGAATGAACTGCCCTGAAAATGGATTGTTTCATATCCAAGGCAGACATATATGACTGCATTCGAGTTTTGATAGTATCAACTGGATACATGACGCTATGCTCTGCCATTCCTGCCGCAGCTCCAGCAGTCATATGTTCCCAAGCCGTCAAATCTTCGTCGTCTTCAGGTTCCAGAGCACTAGTTTCACGACGTCCTAAAAAACTTTACAGTTTACCTCTCCCAAGTTTTCAAATAAATGGTTTGCTCACTTTTTGAGACATTTTGGTCATTTTCGTACGCTGTCATGAAAAGCAAAGGAGAAAATTCTTCTAGTCGTGTAAACACTGACAAAAATCAATTCGTTTGTAAAACGTTGGAATAGCTATGTCTTGGTCAGAGAATCATTCCACTGATCAACAAAACTCTACAAACAACAACAACCCTTTAAGAGAAGGAACAAAAGTTGGTAATAGATGTAGTGATACTACGTCAGTTTCTGTTGTATCTAGGCCTAGTAAGCGGTCTACTCATTTGGCTAACAGAATTCCTGACGATATCCTCCTCAATCCTCAGTTGAACCAAGATATGCAGCTGCTTCCCCGCAACTATAACTTTGAAATACACAAAACAATATGGAGAATAAGACGTCAAAATGCCAAGAAAGTTGCTCTGCAAATGCCAGAAGGGCTTACCCTGTTTGCAACGGTCATTGCGAACATCTTAAGAAAATATGCCACAGTTCAACCTGTAATCTTAGGAGATGTAACTTATGGAGCGTGTTGTGTGGATGATTATACTGCAGTTATGTTAGGTTGTGATTTTCTGATACACTATGGGCATAGTTGTTTGATTCCTGTACAGGATTGCAAAATTCCTATCATGTATGTCTTCGTGAGTATACGGTTTCAAGTAGACCATCTTGTAGCTTGTTTGTTGAAGGAATTTTCACGAGACACTAAAATTGCACTCGTTGGTACTGTTCAATTCGTGTCAAGTCTTCCTGAAGCACGTGAAAAGTTGGAAGCTCAAGGTTTTCAAAATTTGTGTATTCCTCAGCGCAAGCCCTTGTCTCCAGGAGAAATACTGGGGTGTACTTCTCCTCATTTATCGGATATTGATGCCTTAGTATACGTAGCAGACGGTCGGTTTCATTTGGAGTCAATCATGATTTCCAATCCATCTGTTCCTGCGTATCGTCATGATCCATATTCGAAGATTCTCACCAGAGAGAGATATGATCATGAGAGAATGAAACAAGTTCGAGAGCAATCCATTGAGCAAGCGAGATATGCACAACGTTGGGGAGTTATTCTTGGAACATTGGGAAGACAGGGTTCTCTTAAAATATTGAGGCGACTTACTGATGCTCTCAAGGATGAAGGAAAGAAGTATACTGTAGTTTTGATCAGTGAACTGAGTCCTCATAGGTTATCTTTATTTTATGATTCTATTGATGTTTGGGTCCAAATAGCCTGTCCTCGATTATCGATTGACTGGGGTCACGAATACCAAAAGCCATTATTGACTTGTTACGAAGCCTTTGTTGCATTAGGAAAGTATCGTTGGCAATCGATATATCCAATGGATTATTATGCCAAAGATGGGAAGGAGTGGTCCAATTATTATGATGATTAACGCAGATATTCTTCAAGATTCTTTCAGTTGTTGACTCCAAAAGGAATAATGAAATGCATCTAATTCACTTTGTAACTGACTTCACAAGAGCCAAATGAGGAATAGAATCTTGAAGGTTTCATCCCTATTTACTTACTTACAAATGACTTGAGCTTCAGATACTTCACCTCTCGTCCTAAGAATATTGAACCAAGTAATCCATACCAATCTATTATGTTTTTGTTCTTCAAGTAAGTGTTGAACTGATTGTGTTATCGAGGGAAAGAGATGCCATTCTTCCATAAGAAGTAAACAAAAATGAGCATCAAACACTAGCAGCTATCGACTTACCATCATTGACAACTTTCCATAAATAGTACCAAGCACTTTCATTCATAAAAGATCTCTGCAACATCTCCCATGCATAAGAAGCTTCCGATTGTCGAAGTTCCAAAGAATTGACAGTTGTCCTCATATTCGAAAATAACGTAAAGTATCGATAATTCCACGCAGAATTATTGCGAAAGTCCATTTCCAAGAACTTTTTGGAAAAAGCTTCCTCATCCTAACTTGTTATTCAATAAACATTCACAAACATATCACTTTCACATACCAACACTTGAAAATGATCGACGACCCATTGTCGATGAGACCAAGCATGATAATTTTTGGCATCTTCGAGTAGAGTGATTTCAGTAAACTGCAGTTCTTGCAGTGGATTTTCCAAAAACGTACAAAGAAACCTTCTATGGAACCATATCTAACAGTGGAGAACAAATAAAAAGTTCAGTCTCCCGTTTCACAAAAAAAGGAAACTTACTTGGTAGTTTTTGGGGTTCTGCAAACATAATTCGTTGCATATCTCCAATTCCTGTTGAAATAACGAACACTGCTGAAGACTTTTTAATATTTGACGTCGAAAGTCCCAGCAACTGTAGTCTGCAGGATTGTTATAAATAGCTGCAAGAGATACTTTCAAAGCCCTTTCACTGTACTCTTTTCGTTTCAATAATATTCTGAAAAGTGCAGATATCCATAAAAAATCAATTTCGTACTTTATCGGTGCTGACCTTTCGGGTTCTAGTATTCATCCAAGTTTTGTGAAAGAATTCAAAAAAGAAGATATGAACTTACTTATATATTCCTCTATATCTTGTATGACATCTTGACATAATTCTAACAACGCTTTAGTGTCTGTTCTCAAGTCCAAGTCTTGAAAGTGGGATTGCGACATGCAACGACACTCGAATCCAAAATGACGACGATGGAAGAAGTTGTCATACAAGAGTTGGAGAAAAACTCGAGCATACCAGATACCGGTATATTTGCAAGGGAAAGAGGATTGGATCATTCGGTTCTCGTAGATAGTGTTCTGAAAAGTTTGATTGGACGTGAAATAGTGGAAGCAAAACCTATATCTCATGAATACTGGATTGTGACAGAGGAAGGACAAGAATATGCTTCAAGAGGTTCTCCAGAGTTGCAAACTTTTCAGTCAATCTGTCCTACACACGGTACTACAGTAGAAGAAATACAAAACAAGCTTGGAACAATTGGGAAACTGGGTATACAACAGTGCCTAAAGAGAGGTTGGTTGAAGTTGGATAAGGAAACCAAAAAATTATTCCCCCAAGTAACTCAAGTAATGGACGAAACTGCTGTAAGTACATGGGATATTCGTTCCTTGTTTTGAATCTATCTCTTATGATTGATTAGGAAAAACTTAGGCAGTTGGCTCTGAATCCTCAAGCAACAGACTTGAGTTTACAGGACGTAAAGGAACTCAAGTCCAGAAAGTTAGTCCAATCAAAGACACTTAAGACTTTTTGTGTACAAAAAGGTCGACGATTCTCTCAGTTTCATGAGCAAGTGGCTACGGATCTATCAAAGGAGTATCTTATCTCTTCATTCCTTTTAGCTTTGTGTTTTAAAGGACGTAAATAGGATGATCGAATCGGGGAGTTGGAGAAGTGCTTCCTTCAAGGAATATAATTTCGAAGCTAGTGGAAAGGCATTGACTGGAGGCTTCTTACATCCACTTATGAAAGTCCGGGAACAAATACGTTACATCTTCTTAGGAATGGGCTTTGAAGAGATGCCAACCAATCAATATGTTGAAAGCAGTTTTTGGAATTTTGATGCTCTTTTTCAACCTCAACAACATCCTGCGAGGGATGCACATGATACTTTCTTTTTATCGGATCCTGCTTTCTCCAAACCATGCAAGGATCGAGAATATGTCCATCGTGTTTGCAATGTTCATCAACAAGGTAAATATTTTCTTCAAACTATGCAGTAATGGAAATAAGCAGAGATAGGTGCCTATGGCTCGCTGGGTTATCGTTATCCTTGGTCAGAAATGGAGTCTCAAAAGAATATTTTACGAACACATACCACTGCAATATCGAGTAAAATGTTATATCATTTGGCACAAAAGGAAGATTTTGTTCCTAAGAAGTATTTTTCTATTGACCGCGTATTTCGTAATGAAAACTTGGATGCTACTCATCTGGCTGAATTTCATCAAATAGAAGGACTAATTGCTGATCGCAATTTGACCATTGGAGACTTGAAAGGAGTTATTCATTATTTCTTTTCGCAGTAAGTATTTGTTGGAAGTAATGAAGTCTTTTCAGTATTCATTGACAACCATATAGATTGGGAATGTCCCAACTCAAGTTCAAACCTACTTATAATCCTTATACGGAGCCTTCGATGGAAATATTTGCCTTTCATCAGGGACTAGGAAAGTGGGTTGAAGTAGGTAATTCTGGTGTTTTCCGACCAGAAATGTTATTGCCTATGAAGTTGCCTGAAGATGTTACTATAATAGCTTGGGGTCTCTCATTGGAACGTCCTACAATGATACTTTATGGAGTACGAAATATTCGAGAATTGTTTGGTCACAAAGTGGATATAGAAGCCATTCAAAATTATCCTTTATGCCGTTTGGGAATAGAATGAAACAAAAATTATCCTACAAAAGTATATTTCTATAATGAAGAAGCACAGTGATGGGGATCTACTAGATTGGCCAACTGTTGCAAACGTATGGCTTCTTCTGCAACTGCCAAGTTATCATTTTCATAGAAGTTTAATATGTTCTTTTCTTGTTCTTTTTGTTTGTAACGATAATTCACCGTGATACCCAAACTTTGTCGCAATCTTCTTCTCGATAAATCTGCCATAAAGTTGATACGATATAATTCCGCTCCATTACTAAAATGCATTCTCGCAACGGAATCCAAACAACGCATTCTTCTTCCTTTGGCATTCAGAAGGAAATAACTTACAAGTTTCATGAGAGTCTCCTTTCCTCTTATAAGTCTTTGTTCTAACTGAGCTATTTGTTTTACATGATGGGGATCTTGTGTTGAACTTTTCAGCCAATTCAAAATATCTTCTACAACAGCTGCGTCTCGACTAGTTAATACGAGCGTGTCCCATTCATCTCCTTCAATCACTTTGGAATAAAGCTTCATTTGATGGAAAAGCCAAGGTACAAAATATGGAATAGGAGATAATGTATAAATATCACCCAAATATTTGGAATTTTCTCTCAACTCTGTAGTAATAATATGATTGATAAATTGTTGTTCCATGCCTAGTCCTCCTATAAATGAACGAACTCGAATATGATTAATAACGGCAATAGAATGTTGTGCTCTCTTATCCACTGAAGCTATACTTGTCTTTAAAATACTTTCATCGTTGATTGGAATGCTACTGGCAAAATGAAAATGTAGAGTCCCTAGTGAATAAGAAGGAATCAACTTGTGTTTTAGATTATAAAATCGATAGCCTCTGTACAGACGATCCACCAAGTCGTGCATAGTACGACGAATACCCCATTCCTCACGCCAATCATTCAAAGTAAACATCAAAGAACGACCGTTCGACTCCAGAGAACCAGATTCAAAGACAAGCAAATCTGATTGAAGCATTTGTTCACAAATTTGATTGACATGATATCTCAACTGACGTCCGCTGCAGCCTTGTAGACTTATGGCATTCCTATTCAAAGATAACGTTCCTCTTAAAAATAAAAGGGCCATGAATCCTTCATTCGAATTGAGTATCCTCCAAAGCACTTTAAATACAGGGGAAGTCATCATTTCTCTAGCAACAAGTAACGGATCTGAATTCATATCCAAAGCACTGTGCAGTGAATATTCTCCTGCTTCTGTTTGCTCTTCTAGCAAAGAAATATCCAAATCTTGAAAACATTTAGTTGATTCTGAAAAGAAAGAAGCTTCTTGAGTCCACTGACTAACACGTTTCAACCTTTCCAACACTTCCAATTCTGACAAGGTAAAGTCCTGCATAAAATTCTGAACAAGTCTTGCTCTTGGTTCCAAAAGTAACTTGTTCATATGATGAGCAAGAAGATTGGCAACATGCTGACAAAATATTTCCTGATATTTCCTCGTCGAGGAAACCCAAGGACTTATATCGACCTGCTCGCTTGCAAACATTGCCCTTACTTGCGATATGAGTCTTCTGTCTGACTCTTCTTCATCTTTTTGCTTAAAATTGGAAACCTTGACTTTACTATAGTCATTTGTTGACTTGCTAGTTTCGACTTTTAGAGTGGCGCGCTTCATCAACGACTGTACGTATTTCGTGGCCAACTCACTGGGCAACATTCTCTCTTGACTCGAACAAGAGTCTTTTGCCACGACAGAAAAACGATCGAAAACAATCTTACGACTTTGCTTCTCGACATACTTTGTTCGTGCTAGCGAAACTAAAGAGTCAGTAAAGGATCTCAGGCGCATAACTACAACTAAAACGTTATTCCACTATCAATCCCAGACTCTCAACTCAAGACTTGACTAACAGTTAGTACAAAAAGGAAGGTTGGCTAGTGTGGCAATAGACTAACATGGAGTCGTCTCTTGACTAAATGGTACAAATAGAAGCTAAGGCAATCAATTAATCAATTGTACCAGAATACTCTCAATGCAATGGAAATGCAACAGTGACGAACCGATGTGAAGACGAAAATGTTTTCTTTCGTGAGATATCTTTTCACATATTGTAGATCTGTTCCACAAAACTTTTTGGAAACTACTTTGAATCTCGCAAGGAAGCCTATCCCTGTATCTAAAAGGGTGCCTCAGTCAAAGAACTGTTTTGCAAAAGAAACTCAAAGCCATATCTGAAATATTTCACTAGTAACTATATGAAGAATATTAAAGTTTTTAATTTGAAGCTTTCTTGAGAGAGGTAAGTAATATTGGGCTTTATTCGTAAATTCGTTGACGTAGAAGCCATTTAATTATAGATATGTAAAAGATTCAGATGAGATATCAAACTGTTGTATGTGGGCAACCTTTTCAGAGTTCTCAAGCAGTAGGGAGAATATATTTATTAGTATTATCTGAAGGAAGAAGACTCTGTTATCATATCATTTGCTCTTGTGGTGTCCCTGTACTTTGTAGCGTATAGACATGTTTCCACTATTATTTCCCATTTTTATATGTGATGTTCTTATATAATACGAATCCTTTCTTAGGAATATATATATATATATATATATATATATTGATATGTTTGCTTGTGTGTATTGAATTTTATTTTCAAGTCTAGTCACCACTTGAATGGCTCTCAAGTGATATTTTAAGCGGATGAATCTAATGTAGAAAGGGATAGAAGGGTTAATGTTTCTCTATCGGTAAAACTCCGTCGGCTAGTAGCTTGTTCGCCCATGCTAGAAAACCAGTCCATTGTAAAAGCAAGACAAAGAAGGAATGCACCATCTGAGCAGCCATAGACTTGAAACTATTCTGTGCATTTGGTTTTCAAGACAGCAAGACGTCTTTTGGATTTTTATCTAGATTTTTGATCACTTGTTATTCGAATATGGAACAGCACGAGAGTGATGTGGAGTTCGCAAAGAATGAAAATTATGTCAATGTGGAAGACTTGAAAGAGATATCACACACACCAAGGAAGAAAACCTTTAGACATCTTTTTGGAGACCCTATTCCTCTTGGTCTTGCTGCTTTTGCAGGCCCTACTCTCGTCTTGAACCTTATTTTAACCGGAGCACTACCTTCAGAAATCAGTAATATGATTATTGGACCTGCTTTCTTTTACGGAGGACTTGGTCAAGCTATAGCTAGTATATGGTGTCTTATTACAGGCAATTCCTATGGTGCTATTAATTTCGCTACATATAGTTCGCTTTGGTTGTCTTTGGCTTCCTTGGACGAACTCCAAGCAGAAGATATTTTGAAGTTTGGTAGTGACGAAGGAAAGGTTAATGGCATATTTCTTGTGCAATATGCAGTAATGACCTTTATTCTGATGGTTGGCGCAATGAGTATCAATTTGGTATTTGTTGTTACCAAGTTAGCTCTCTTCTTAAGTATTTGCTTATTATCTGCGGAAAACTTTCGTGGAGACTCAACTGTTCCTGCTGGAGTATTTGGATGCATTGCTGGTATTCTTGCTTGGTACTCTTGTTCTGCATTCGTCATCAACAATTCATTTCAGTGTTCGGTGCTTCCAATATTTCCACTAGGAAGGGAGTGGATGCAGAAGCTAACCCAGTATTTACCATGGTCATCACAACAATGGCCTCCTCCTTTATAGGAACAATCATTAAGATGGAATTATTTGTTTGAATTGTTTTGATAGATTGTCTTTGTTCTGGAGAGAATTAAATGACTCATTGCATTTCATATTCTATCACTTTTATATCATGACTCTGCATTAAGTTGTTGAATGGTGACATGAAGAACTCAAGCCCATTTCAATTCGTTTACACATTTGAAATTGCGGGAGAGGATGTCTAACCTTTTGACGACTAGTCAAAGTCTTCTCTATTTCAACAAGGAAATAAGTGTAACCATTCAAGGAAAGAATAAGAGAAATAGGAATTGAGAGCAGTTTCACACTGTTCTTTCAATAACCCTAATTACCCGCTTGACGTTGTGAGGACGGAACCCACTGGCCGCGAGTCTTGAGTTCTGACCCCTTCGTCGAGTACTCTTATCCTTTCTTGTCTTTCCGTGGGTTTCCAGGAAAAAGAAACCGGATATTTTATCCTTTGAACACGATCCTTCTCCCTTTTTCTTGAGTTTGGATATTCTTATTTCCTTGCCTTCCCTTGCGTAACTTAGCCGCTGTCTTTCATCTCATAGGTACCAAGGCACTGGTAGGTATACGTATTTGGAAAGGGAAATAGTCGTAGGCGTCTCAAGTCGTCGCTCCTAACCCAGCTTCATTTTTGCAAGTGCAACTTTGCAGAGTATGTTCTGTTAAAGTGGAGACTGTAAAGTCTCAACTTGCCTCTAGTGTGGTGGGTTTGACTTGAGAAGCTTGAAACTGAACAGATTATTTATTTGAAGAGCTATAAATTGTATAAAGATTTTTCAAATTGAATTGGAAATTGAGGCATATGTCATATCACACCTTTCGGGTATTCTGTTTCACCTGTTTGCATAGACACTATGTCGTTCATACAAAACCTTTTGATGTCTATGTCATAGCAAAACGTTTTTCCAAAGCTTCTCTTCAGTTTTCGTCAAGTCGTTCTTTGTCGTTGGGTATACCTCGTCGAAAGTTCTCTTTGCAGCACTCCAAGCATTTACCGTTTATTCAAACTCTCGAAGCAAGTCAAACGAGAGAAAAGAGTGGTAGACATTCCGAAAAGAAAAAAACTGAAAGGAAAAAAGCGAAGTCGTCACCCACCAAGGTACGTGTTGATTTGCTTTCAAGCTGACTACGTTTTATGCGCCAACTAGGAAAAGAAAAAAGAGTCGGTGGGACTAGTGATAGTTGAATCGCCTGCAAAGGCAAAGACTATTCAAAAGTTTCTACCGGAGAGATACATTGTGGACTCTTGTATGGGTCATATTAGAAACTTACCAGAGTCAGCAAAGGAAATACCTGATGAACTTAAGAAACTTCCTTGGGCTCGCTTAGGGGTGAACGTGGAAAATAATTTTGAACCTATATACACAATTTCAAAAGATAAAAGTAAAGTTGTCGATCACTTGAAGGAATTGGTTAACTCTTGTGACGAGTTGATACTTGCGACTGATGAAGACCGCGAAGGAGAAGCGATTGCATGGCATCTCGTTCAAGTATTGCAACCGAAAGTACCTTACAAACGAGCTGTGTTCCATGAAATAACCAAAGAGGCGATAATTGAATCTTTTGAGAACTTACGCGATGTGCATATGAATCTCGTTCACGCTCAGGAAGCGAGACGTATTCTCGATCGCCTGGTTGGGTTTACTCTATCTCCTATTTTATGGAAAAAAATTGCTCCAAGACTTTCGGCTGGTAGAGTTCAAAGTGTTGCATTAGCTATGATTGTTCAAAGAGAACTGGAACGAATAACATTTCGTCAAAGTTCTTTCTATAATATTGTAGCAAAACTTGCGCTGTCTCCACAGTATGAAATCAATGAAATGAAAGAAGGGTTAACGGCATGGCTGTTGGCGTTCAATGGCAAGCGGCTTGCAACTGGAAAAGACTTCGATCCTACCACTGGAGATCTGAAGAAGGAAAGCATAGAAGAAGGTATCATTCATATGGACCTGCAATTTGCTGAGAATCTTTTAGAAAGAATGATGGAAAGCGGTGTAACTTGGAAAGTAAAATCTGTTGAAAAACGGAAACTCAGTCGAAAAGCCCCTGTACCCTTCATTACATCCACACTTCAACAAGAATCTAGTCGTCGTCTTGGTTTTACAGCAGGAGAGACCATGCGTTTGGCACAAGATTTGTATGAACAAGGATTCATTACCTACATGAGAACGGATAGTCCAACTCTTTCTAATCAAGCCAAAATTGCTGCACAAAAATGTATCGTAGAACAGTTTGGTAGAGATTTTCTTCAAGATGCTGCATCGAGCAACAACTCGCCAAAGGTATCGAAGTTAGCCCAGGAAGCACATGAAGCAATCAGACCCGCGGGAACCAGTTTTCTTTCTCCCGTCCAAGTGGTCAATCAAGTAAGCCCTAAGCATCAGAAGCTTTATGAACTTATCTACCGTCGTACATTGGCATCTCAAATGAAGAATGCAGAATTTTTTGTAACAAGTGTGAATATCGATTCTATTTTAGAAGATGGAAGTATTGCAACTTTTCATACTTCCGGTAGAACCCTCGTATTTGAAGGTTATTTGAAAGCATTTAATGAAGTTTATGGAATAGAGGAAAATTTTGATGACTTGGACGATAGTCCTTTGTCTATGCATAATAAGAATCTACCAGCGTTACATGAAGGACAGGAATTGTATTCGTTTCACTTGGAACCTATTATGCACTCCACGAAACCGCCACCACGATATACGGAAGCTGCATTGATTAAAGCATTAGAAGCAGAAGGAGTTGGACGACCAAGTACATATGCATCTATTCTGGAAACTTTGGTAGAAAGGAAATATGTTCATCGCGAAAGAAGTAAGGGAAAGTCACGTACTAGTCTCGTTCCATGTCTTTCTGCAGTTTCTGTAGTCAACCTATTGAATAAGCACTTTCCTGAAGTGACGGATCCTCAATTCACTGCTTCGATGGAGGAGGCATTGGATAATATAGCTAATGGAAAAGCAGATCATATTGAATATTTGCGCTCCTACTTTTTGGGAGAATATGGTCTTCAAGAAAAGGCCAAAGAAAAAGAGAAGAATATTGATAGTCAGGAGGTCCGTATACTTAGTCTTCCCATCCGACATGAAAATGCAAATGAAAGTGTCCAAGTAAAGGTGGGTCCCTATGGTCCGTATATAGAATTGATAGGAAATTCAACAAAGAAACTAAATATTTTGAATGAAATGTCTCCGGAAGAGTTATGCTCCAAAACCATCCAAGAACTTGTCGAAGAAAGAAAAGGAAAATTTCTCGGTTATGACCCTGAAAGTGGTCATGCACTTTTCTTAAAGAAAGGCCGGTTTGGTTGGTTTCTGCAGTTGGTTGAGGATAACTTATCACCAGAGAGTGAGGGGGAGTTGGAAATGGAGGAAGAAGCTCAAAAGAGACGAGTAATAAAAAATGTTCGTTTGCCTGCTAATGTAAATGTTGAGTCGTTAGATTTGGCGAATGGCTTGAAATGGTTATCATTACCAAGAGTTCTTGGGATAGACCCTCACACGGGTAAAGAAGTTGTTGCCAGTGTTGGTCCTTTTGGTCCTTATGTTGGATGTGATGGGAAATATATTAGTTTGAAGTCAGGTATGGCATCCGTATTTGAGATTGACTTGAAGACTGCTGTAGAATTGATATCAAATCCCGTAACATATCAGAATCGAAAGAAAGGCAATGGTTCTAAACGACAATATTAAATATGAAATATTTCCATCAAAAAAAAGAGACCAAGTAGTTGTAGGAAAAACAAAGCTCTGATGGCCACATCTTTTGGGTTCTAGTCGTACATAATGTTCACAATGCAAATACAATCGGATAATTCTCAAGTCTTCAGAAACAACTTACATTTTTTATGAGATATAAAGGGAATTGGACTTTTCATATGGAAAGGTAGTCAGTCCGACAAATAACAAGTCAAATTGATGATGATTGATTGAAGACCACGACAGAAGACGATGGCTCCCGTGAAAGAGATTCGAGGTCCCTACTTGGTAAGAAAGAAAATATTTTTGAAAACTTCGTTTCTTATTTGAAAAGGTTGGGGCCATAATAGGTGGAGCTTTGTTATTTGTGGTTCCTGCTGCTGTCGTACCCATATTTTCTCGTCGAAATAAGAGAAATTGGCAACAGTACAGACAAGAAAGACTGGAAGAAGAAAGGTGAAGGAATTATTCTCTCAATGAATCGCTCTGACCACAAGTCTATAGAACTCGTCGACTCGAAGGGGAGAAAAATATATCAGGTACCGGACAAGAAAATACCATTGAGTAGATAAGTTCAGGATAGATAATACTAGTTGCAAGAATAGGAAGTTGGATAAATGTTTTAGATATCAAGTAAATTTCTCGTTTCTTTGTAAGTTTCAGCTCCGTTAAGAAATTGCCTAAGCATTTTGTACTTTCATAATTGTAACAGCAGGAGACGGCTGTGAGCTATTCATGGAGCATTCCTTCATATCTGAAGATGGAAGACAAGTATTTGTCTTGACGTCGGACACTCTATCCGTTGAAAAAGTAACTGAGTCTGTGTCTGCGTCGGAATCGGTTAGAGCAGCGTTGATGATTCGTTGAAAGTGAATGAACTTTTCTTTCAGGGCGCCATCGCCTCTTTTTGTGGTATCACCCGAAAATACAACCATGGAAAGGAAGTAAAGTTTCTAGAATATGAGTCATATTTTGCAATGGCTCTTTCTGAGTTGAGAAAGCTTGCTGAAGAGGTACTTGGACCGTGCCATTTGTACTATGCAACTGAATTATGCAGATACGCTCTCACTGGAAAGTTGAAGGGATCTCGATATGGCATCGGCTTGGAAGAGTAGGTGTTGGAGAAATAAGTGTGGTAATAGCAGTTTCCTCTGTCCATAGGAAAGAAGCTTTGGGTAAGGAAAGTTTCTTTGTCTCTTCACTCGTTGTGTTCACTGTTTTATTTAAGAAGCTTGCCATTTTGCCATAGACCAGTTGAAAGCAAGAGTTCCCATATGGAAAAAAGAATATTTTGTGAATAGTGAACCTGAATGGCGCCAAAACTCAGAGTTTCAAAGTTGCCGTACTTTTGCAGAATAGAGTTGGACTTTTTCTCAGAAATTACTTTTTATGCTTGAAATAACTTGTCCCGCTAGGGAAGCTACTGCAGAGTCAGTGGCTTTGGGAAGATAGTTGTAATTTCCGTTCGCGGCATTTGCGATCTCTTTTGCGATACCTGTTGACACAAATTTGTTCTCTGTATCAATACAAAGCAATTTGACTTTTGCTAGTGCTGCTATTTTCCTAGCCATATCTAAGACTTCTTGTTTCAATTCAGCTTTGCTCTTTTTGGTATCAGGGGCTTCTCCTAAGCTTTGCGAAAGTGAAATATTTGCTCTACCATCGCTAATGAGTACAATGATTGCTTGTCCCACGTCTCCACTACTAAGAGCCTGAATTCCCACTTTTGAAGCGAGAAACAATCCATGCGTTAGAGGAGAACCTCCACCACAAGGCATGGTCTCCATCCTCCTTTTGGCCATGGCCACTGAACGAGTGGGTGGAAGAAGTACCTGTGCATTCTCACCTTGAAAAGAAATAAGAGAAATCTTGTCACGAGACTCATATGCAGATGATAAAAGCCGTATTGCTGCCCCTTTTGCAGCATTCATTCGGTTCAAAGCCATCGAACCCGAGGCATCAACTAGGAAAATAACCAAAGTTCCAGCCTTCTTAGACATCTTCTTAATGCGAATATCCTGATTTCTGATATACACACGACGGTCGTTGGATGACGTGATATCCATGTAACGTTCCCTTCTTATCTTCTGAAGAGGAGCTGCTGCTCGTAAAGTAGCGTCTAATGCTATTCTCCAAGTATCGCCACGAGGCAATACAGGCTTTATATAACGACCTCTGTCGAATGAATATATTTTACCCCGCTTCCCACTACGACCGCTGTTTTGTTTTGAGGCAAACTGGAGTAAATTGGGATCCACAATACCTCCTTCAGGATCAAATAAAAACTCTTCTGGAACCTGAAAATTGGTTTCTTCTTGTTCTTTAGTCTCCGTTTCTTCTTCTTCTTCTTCTTCATTGTCTGAAGAGGAAGGGGGCGGAGGTGGTGCAGACTTGGGTTCTGGAGCTGACTGCTGTTCATTATTCAGAAGAGACATTGCTCGTGGAACAAGAACAAGTTTCACCGCTGTTCGAAGATCCTCTTCCGATACATAGTCTCGGTTATCCAAGGCGGCAGAGGCCTTTGCAGCTTCTACTGCGAACACTTCACCGCGATGACCAATACATTGACCTCGAGACGCTTCTGTACACAAGTATTCTATTTGTTCTTTCGTAACAACAACATCATTCAAAAACTCTCTGGAAAAAATGATCCTCGATGCCATCTCTTGTGTTTCTTCATTGAATTGGCTAATCAACTCTTGTCGCTGATCAGCAAACATGTTACTCATATTCACTGCCTCTATACGTTGATCTTGTGTGAGTGGTTCATTGTCAACTGAAAGAGAAATAGCAAATCTATCCAAAACATGGGGTCTTATTTCTCCCTCTTCGACATTGTATGTGGCAATAAACAAAGGCTCACATGGATAAGTCACAGAGAATCCTTCACGTTCTACAACGACCTGTCCATCTGCCAATACACCAAGAAGAATATTGACTATCGAGTCGTCCAACAGATTGAGTTCATCCACGTAAAGCACACTTCTGTTGGCCTTTGCCAGAATACCTGGTTGAAAAACAGGTTCACCTCGACTTAAAGACTCTTCAATATCTACAGAACCCAACAATCTATCTTCTGTTACGTTAAGAGGAATTTGAACAAAATATGGTTTCATAACAACGACGTCATCCGAATTACTCTGTGGAGCTTGATTGCAAAAAGAACCTTTCTGCACTTCAATAGGCGGCAGAAGTGCGTGTATCGCTCGTGCCATAATAGACTTTCCTGTTCCCCTTCTTCCTGACAAAATGATGCCTCTCAAGTTCTTATTGACAGCTGCAAGTAACAAAGCAACTTTCACTGCATCTTGACCGACAACTGCCGCAAGAGGAAAGTCATCAACTCTTGTGTCCTCTAAAACCTTCGGAGTTTTGGCTTTTTCTGAAAAGCCTCTTTCTGAAGGCATCGCAGCTAGACAATGAGTCGTTGTAAGTAACTGTTTCCAGATAGAATTCAAAGAAACTTTGCACTTCCGAGGCAACCACGAGCATTTGGCTAGCTGTTTTGTTCTATTAAAACTACATATACACTTCTGGCAGTTGTATTTTAGACAAGTGGAATCAGCGTAAAAGGCAATCACTCTATTTCCCTTACGTTTCATTGCCAATCCAAAAAAAAATATTTTGATAGACAGCATTTGGAAAATATTTAAAAGGTGGAAATGAAACCATCTTATTTTAGACTATTGATCATATGCACCGAACACAACTACACTATTGTGACCGCCAAACCCAAAAGAGTTGCTCATAGCTACTCGAACTCTATGTTCTTTGGCAACATTTGGAACAACGTCCATATCTACTTCAGGATCCAATTTTTCAACGTTCAAAGTTGGATGGAGCTTTCCAGTTTGTATTGCTTTAACAGTTGCAATTGCTTCAAGTGCGCCTGCCGCACCTAAACCATGGCCTATTAAAGACTTTGTAGAATTCAATTTTACTCGGTCCTTGTAATCTTTAAAAATAGACTATAGAAAACATATTGATATATAAGAAATTAATGATGCAAAATATAAACTTACTCGAATAGCCCGAAACTCAGCAATATCTCCTAATGGAGTGGACGTTGCATGGGCATTGATATAGTCTACATCTGCAATATTTATACCCGAATCTTGCACAGCCAATTCCATGCACTTTATCACGCCGTGTCCTTCAGGGTGAGGCTCTGTGATATGATAAGCATCACAAGTATGAGCACCTCCAAGATATTCACAAAGAATAGGAGCTTCTCGCCTGAGAGCATGTTCTAAACTCTCTAAAACTAAAACACCGCAACCTTCTCCCATTACAAAACCATCTCTTTCGGTATCCCAAGGTCTGCATGCTTTCGTGGGGTCTTCATTTCGTTTCGATAATGCTCTACAAGCAATAAAACCAGTAAGACCAATCTGAACAATTCAAGTCCACAAAATAGAATAGCAAAACAAATAATCAAAACTTACGGGAGTCAATGCAGCTTCAGAACCTCCAGTTACAATCATTTCAGCTTCGCCTCGTTGAATATGCATTGCTGCATTGTTTATCGCATGATTGGACGTCGCACAAGCACTTGAGATGGAATAGTTGGGACCCATAAATCCGGTCTCAATTGCAACCATTGCAGAACCCAAGTTACATATTGAATTAGGAATAAAAAATGGTGATATTCTATCGAATTCGTCTGCCAAAAGTTTCCCAACTCCATCTGTAAAAGATATCAAACCTCCCATTCCACTTCCAATGATAACACCGCAACGTTCTTTTCGAAGCTTTGAAAAAGATTCAGAACCTATAGCAACACCTGCATGATCCAACGCCAACTTAGAAGCCGCCACAGAATAGCAAATAACTGGATCCATTCTCCTTGCTAACTTTGGGGACAAGTATTTATTGGCTTGAAAGTTTTCAGGTGTTATTTCGCCTCCTATTTTTGTTGAATATTCATCAACTGGAAACTTCTCAATCCGCTTTATCCCACTTTTTCCGGCAAGCAGGTTATCATAGAAGAGATCTACATCCGTTCCAAAACAGGAAACTACACCCATTCCTGTCACTACAACCCTCTTCCTGGGACCATCCTTTCCGTTATCTCTATAGTATGTCTGCATCTTCAAGCCGGCAAAGTTCTTTCGACATCTCAAGTTCCCTATTCGTAGTCCATACTTTCTTTGTAAAGTTCTTGACTGTTTAGAAAAAGTAACCTGGATTTGAAAAGCTGCAAGATAATTGGTTTTCCAAGTACAACTACTGTCGATCATCTATTCCTCAAAGTTTTTAACGAACCAAAAAAGTAGAAATAACGAGTGGCAACACACTTCTAAGACGACTAGGTACGACGGCCTTCCCGCTCAAAATAACGTATACCACTAAAAATTGTTGATAATGAATTGAAATCGGCCCATTTCAAAAGCTTAAGATATCCAATGAAGAAAGAGCAACGAAAAAGTTGCAATAAGTATACAAAATATCCAGTAAAAATTCCACGACGAGCTTTTCTTGGATAACCGTTTCAGTTCCTTATTACCTTTTTGAACATTTTCCAGGCTTTGTATGGCATCATGATATAAGGACTCAATCTCCTCCGCTTGTTCCGATAACTTCATAGATAAAACCTGATTAAGTGAAGCTATCTCAACAGCTTGTCTCTCTACGCTTTTCACTTGCTCTAACGTTTCCATAAGTTCTAGTAGCATAGTTTGATTCTCTCCTTCCCATAAAAGTTGCTTTTGTCCTTGACTTTTTAGACCTTGTGGAAGCTCGTCCATCTTGTTTCGGGAGTTTGAATTCTCAATGGCCTTCCTTGATAACGGTCTTTCTGTATTATTACTTGTATTCGTCTTCTGAGTTATACGAGGGTCTACGGAGGCTGTAATACTCACTACTCTTTGAGTACGTAAAGCGGAAAAATCTTCTTCTACGGTCCGAAGTAGCTCCATCAACGAGGAAATAACACCAAGCCTATATGCACGCAAGCAAGACTCCTTTGCTTCCTTTGGATGATCATCCGTAGTGACTAGATTCTTCAGTTGCATCAAAAGTGAAAAACTTTCCTTCAGGTTCTTCGAAACATATGCTTCAAAAGAGTCTCTTTCCTTTTCAGACATGACCAAGTTTCCCGTAGTGAACATAAGATACTTTCGTCGTTTGGAGGAAATATATTCTTTTGTTGAGTTTATCTTTTGGTGTGTTTCCAACGCCAAAGCAACAAACTCACTACAATTAGGCTTCCTTCGTTCCCAACTAGGGAAGTTTTCACCGTAACCAAGTGTTTGTAAAACATTTCTAAACTCTGGAGTACGGTCCATAGGCAAGAATGCCACATTAATATTCTGAATACAACAACAGGGTTGCCATTATCAACATCATAACATCAAACGATAACCAAATTTATTATTCAATCATGTTTCTGTATGAAATGTTAACATGTTATACTTTTTTCAACCGTCTTTTTCGTCTTCCTCTTCATCATCGCTACGAATGTCTCCACCATCCTGCCTTAGTGCCTCCGTCGAAGCTGATAACGAACGATACACCATTTTCAGAATAAGTGAAAACCAAAAACAGTGCAAAAGTTGTAAAACTATGAGCGCAATTAAACATAAGAAATAATGTAACAAATAAAACTGCCAATGAGCAGCCCAATAGTTAAAGGAAGGCTAAGTTCAGTTCTTTAGTATTTCAACTTCAAGACGAAAAGCAAACAAAAGCGCATACCTTTTCCAGTACCATACGCAACGAGTCCACAGCCACTGACCAAACGATTCTGGGATAAATGACCAGCCTTTACTTTTCGTTAAGCTACCAATAAACTCATTGAAATAACTTTTGTTACCTTGTCAAATAAAAAACAATCGCAAAGAATGAAAATACGTAGATATCCGCATTCCACCTTACATAATACAACACTTTCGCCAGATATAAAAGAATGTCACTCGCATCATGTATACAAAGAATGTAAAGTCCGATTCGGACATATCCAAATATATAGCTTATCAATACTAAAAATACAGTACTACCATGGTGTATTACAAACTCCAGAAAGTCAGAGCGCCTCGTGTCAAAAGAGAGAAACAACAAAGCGCCACAGTAATAACCTGCTTCCATAAGATAATAACTCCTAAACAGAGTACTCATAGGAGCCGGAAATGGAGTCCAAAACTCTCTGATAATGGTATCTCGAGGGTCTATTGTCCAGTTTTCTTGGGTGATAACTACAACGCCATACCAGAACGAGAATATATAAAACACGGTATAGAAAATGTTTTCGCAAATTTTTCGTCTTCGACTGGGTGCGAACTTTGAGAACCACAGTGGAAGCAACTTGTTCTGTAACACGAATCGGAGGGCTGCTGCCATAACGGTAATACACAATACAATGAAGAAATCCTTTGATCGAAGAAAAGGATTGAGCGTGTGGACAGGTCTCTCCTCTTTCAAAACCTGCTCTTGTTTTATAATATTGATAATTTCTCTTAAACCATCAAAAACTTTGTGGTACTTGAGCGCCATATCAACTCAACAATTGTTGCTTCCGTAGGCAAAATGAATCCGTTCGAAATTAAATTATCGATGAAATCTCGGCCGTAAAGTTCTTCAAGTTGGTATGTTTATGAATCCACCATGGTTTTGAAAACATGAAATACTTCAAGATCTAGAAACCTTTTTCTATCGTTATTTATGTTTGAAGATAATAAACTTCAACTCTTATTGACCGCAAAAGACATTTGGGAACTTTCAATGACAAAGAGAACTTACGCTTCCCATTAACAAAAACCAAAACTAAGTATTTCAAGCACGTTCTCAGATTTCTACTTTAATAGATACAAATCCTATCCTATCAATATAACGAATCCTCATGTACTCTCCATATTGTTTCTCCTAACAACGAAGCAACATTCACAATGCGCAACTGGGGGAATCTCTTCTCCTTCGGCACTTGAATAGTATTTGTGACTATGACTTCCTCAAACACACCACTGGAAAGTCGCTCAATTGCAGCTCCAGAAAAAACAGCATGAGTAGCGACAGCAAAAACTCTCTTTGCTCCATTCTCCCTCAAGCTTTTGGCAGCTTCCGCTATTGTTCCTCCAGTATCGATCATATCGTCCACTAAAACTGCTGTTCGACCCCTTACATCTCCTATAAGATTAAGAACCTTTGCGATATTATGTTGTTCTCTTCTTTTATCAATTATTGCCAGAGGTGCATCGTTTAGTTGTTTTGCAAAAGCACGAGCTCTAGCGACTCCACCGACGTCTGGAGCAACAACGACCATATCACTAGGACAATTCTTCAAAAGATACTCAACAAGACAAGGAGAGGCGAATATGTGATCCAAGGGAATATCAAAGAAACCACAAGTTTGTGGAGAGTGAATATCCATAACTATAACTCGATCGGCCCCAGCTTCACAAATCATATTTGCCACCAACTTGGACGCCAAAGCTTCTCTTCTCTTCGTATCTGGATCTACAAGTCGGTCTGCTCTTGCATAGCCATAGTAGGGTAAAACTGCAGTCACTTGTGAAGCATGTGCTCTACGACAGGCGTCAATCATCAAGAGTAGTTCTATTAAGTGATCATTTGCTGGATAACTGAAGCAAGCCAAGTAAATAAAGGCTTAAACATATTTTAGAAGTGGAACATACCACGTGGACTGTAACAAGAATACTGAGCAACCACGAACTGATTCTTCCAAACGAACATAGATTTCACCGTCAGAAAAGCGCTTTCTCATAATAGGGCTTAGTTCTGGTTTGCCCAAATACTTGGCAACTTCGCTTGCTAATTCAGTGTTTGAAGAACCTGAATAAATACGTATTTTATGACTACCGAAACTCAGACCACCATAGTGTTTTTCTTCTGTGGACAAGTCTGAAAGAGCAGATGTTTCTATAGATTCTGGTACAGTTACTGGACTGTAGGTTGACGTTAATGGTGACAAGGTTTCTTTTCTTACGTCAGAATGATGTTTATCATTTTCCACACAAGACAACGGCCAAACTCTACGATATGCACGACGAAGACGAAACCAAGAAGTAGATGAAGGAAAAGAAGACGAGAGATTTTGCATTCGCTCCAGGCACTTCCCTTGTTTCAGTGGTACACAACAATGTATATAGCAACAAACGACTCTTTTATGCTTGGTATATTTCATCAGTACGTGGCTTCCCACAACAACTTGTGACAATCCGTTGTGTACCAAAATCGACAATTCTTTGGGAAGTAGAACTGTTTGTTGTTGACCATGTTACAAGTATCAGACGATACAGAAACGCAACATATTGCAGATGAATCATTTGAGGCATATAGAAACAGTGAACTTGATAAAGCCATAGATATTGTACGAAAATTGGAGTCGTCAGACCCCATCAGGGTAGGAAAACAGTTTTCATAGTCGACTTTTATTGAGAAAACTTCCAGACAAAACTGAACTATTCCGTGTGTTTGTACTATAAGGAGCTCTGTAAAGATCCTTTCGTTGTATTAAATACTGTGGCTGCTTTAAACGGAAAAAAGGAAATGACGGACATGTCTCTTCGAAGCACGGAGTTATCTCCTTGGTTTTCCGAGAATCCTCCGTTTGAACTTGCTTATGCTGTATTCAATGAAGCAGTTATATCATATCAGGTATGCAGTGAGTTTTTCTGTTTGGTAAGTTTCATATTCCATTTTAGCTCCACTTCTGGAAGCGGTCTTGTGAACTCCTGGAAACCTTGTATAGTCATATAGGAGCCTTTGACGACGCATTGGTATTTAGAGTTTGGTTGCTCCTGTTTGATGTAAGTGTAAAACTCATGTTCTTGTCGAAACAGCTCAAGGGTTTAATTTAGGTTTATATGCGACTTGGTTGCAGTGACAAGGCGGCCATCGTGTTTGGTTTCTTAGAAAGAACTTTTCCTAGTATATCTGACCCTGAAGATGGAAAGGATGATAACTTGGAGGTTGATGGAAGTCCGAACCTTATTGTGAAGAGCTTATTTTCAGCTTATCCCAGTTTCCTTGTTAACAGAGATAAGGAAGATTTACAGCTCCTCTTATCTTATTATCGTGCTCGACTCTACTTGAATCTACGCTCTTATAAGCTTTTTAAGAAGGAAATCAAAAGCTTGATCAGTAGCTGCGAGGCTTCGGAGAAATCACTTGTCCCTCCTTTGCTGTTGAAGGTTCGTTATGAGATGCAACGAGGGAATCCTCGGAAAGCGCTGAAACTTGCGTCGAGTATCCCAGACAATGATTTGGAATATTTTCCAAGTATGAAATGTATTTTGTTAAATAATATTGGCTGTATCCATATCAAACTCGGCAGACAAAATTTGGCAATCTCTTACCTTTCTTTGGCAGAGAAGCAGTTAGACAGTACCGTTTATGAGGATAATAAGGATAAAAAGGAAATCCGGTCAGTACCGCACCTTTCGCTGAACTACTCGGATATTATTGCGTATAATATGGGATTAAGTTTTCTAGTTCTTGGAGAATATGAACATGCCGCACATGCTTTTTGGAAATGTGCAGAAACATTTATGACAAACGCGAGATTATGGGTGAGGCTAGCAGAATGTTGTGTCGGTTTTGATGCACAAATGGAATGCGAAAAGGAGTCAAAGCAAGTTAATGATTTGGTAGAGCAAGTAGTTGGAAAAGGATCCCGGAGAAGAATTGTCATACATTCTCCTTGTACGAGGAACAAAGAGGTCGTCGATGAGGACTATAAAAACGGTTCGCAGCGTCCATTGCTGTCTTTACAATATGGTGCCGAATGTGCACGAACAGCACTTTACTTACTGAATAAGAAACAAGCAAGGCCTAATGTAACAACATCAACCTTATCTGTTGGCGAACAACATGAAAGCCCCGCAGAACATGGGATTTCCTCATCCAATACCGCAACTATAGCATCGGGAAGATCCAAACAGACTTTAGTAACTTTTGAAAATGATGTAGAAGAGCATTCAATCGAACAAGGAATCGAGTCTTCGAGAAGATCGAACGATAATGGATCAGAAAGATTGATAGACTGGCAAATAGAAAAAGACAATACCAAGGCAATGCATGAAACAAATAGTAGTACTACAGAAACGACATCTCAACCAACAGCGAGCAAAGTTATTAGCGGAACTTGTAGTAATCATGATGATGAAGACCTTTTGATTCGAGAATCTGCTTTGGCACTTTTATGTTATTGTTGTCTGTCGACTTGCCCTGAAGAGGCTTTACGAACAGCGAAGGAATTGATGCAAATGAGTCATGTTTCTCCTGAAATTTTATTCTTAGCACACCTTTATGGAGTGGAAGCATTATGTGCTTTAGGACGACCGGATGAAGCTCTAGAAATGTTAAGTCCTCAGATTCTTGAAATAATAGAAAAATGTTCCAACTTGAATTCTGCTTTGGGTGAGGTCAACATTCATTCGTGGAGTCATTCTGGAACAGAAATGTCAACTGGGACAAATTCAGCTAGTGCTTCTTCTTGGAACTCCAATTCCGATGCAATAAGACCCAATGTAGAAAGCAATCCATCAAGTTTCACGGACTCTTCTTCTAACCATATTTTTCATGGTGTTAGTCTTCCAAACTATCCTTCCTCAATATCAAGAGGCGGTATTATCTCACGGGGAGCAATAGGAATAACAGGAACTGCAGCGTTTTATGTAAATCTATCGTCCGTATGTGTTTTGAAGAACAAATTGGGCGAGGCTGCAGCAGCTATAACTCGAGCGCTTTCCTTAATGCCACGTTCTAGTGCAGCTCTGTTAATGTCTACTTATATTAAGATTAGAGAAGGCGACTTGGAAGGTGCAAAAGATATTCTTAAGTGTCATCGAGTGACTTCTGGTTTTCAAAGTCTTCAAGCGTAAAAATAAAACAAATCCATATTACTCTTTATCACACAAACATGGGAACTCAAGGAAACCATCTTCAAGATGGACAGCTTCGTAAATCATGCACTATGAATGGCATGCGATTTTACCTTTATCCTTTGATGAGAAATAAAAGTAACATAACTTCTCCACAACAATTCAGCATAAAGGATTTGGAACATGCCACTAGGAATAGTATGCTTGTTATTCATTTCTTTCATGGAGTCAAATAAGTTTCTTGGAGAAATACAGCCATGATCCAAATAAGGCTTCAACCGAAAGATAAATGCACCATCACTTTCCTTGCAACTATTCTTTTGATGAGTTTCTAACAAAGACCAAGCTGTAGACTCTGCTATGGAGAAGCCATAAGTTCCAACACTATTATCCAAAAGTCTTGGGATGTCTTCAGGAACATGCGGCAACTTATTCGGTACACTGAGTGGCTGTGAAACTTTCACGTTCTTTGCCTCTTGTGAAAACTTCCTAAAACCCATATCCGAAATTTCCAAGTTGGCAAACTGGTCGGGACTGACAAGAGTGTTGCTCCAGAAACCTTCTACTTGAATACCCTTGCTTTCCAAATCAGTGATCATTTCAGTTTGAAGTTGAATCTGGTCGGGTAGTTCGGCGTGATTGTAGTAGATTGCTTCTATTCCATATTTATGGCACACTTCCAATACCGACTCTGTAGAAAACTTGGGCAGGACGCAAAGATCAGAGCCACGTCTTTGCAACTCTGTCTTCAATTCAACGACAGCACTTCTTGGCATTTCTTGATGCAACGCTACTAGAGGCAGTACTAAACCTCCTGGGACAGATCCATTCTGCACTGCCTTAATCAAAGCCTCGTTGTCCTGCACTCTTAGGTCAGCAAAAAACCAAACGAGTATTCTTCGAGGAGCTCCTCCAAAGAACCAAGGACGTTTGAAAGCACCTTGAGAAAGCTTTAAAAGAATGAGAGTTCAACTATTTCTCATAAGCAGGAATATTAAAGACCTACCCTATCCGGGACAGGTTGATCCAAGACGTTCGACTCATTCCTACCGTTGTAACGAGAAATACAGCTTACAGTAGTAGATCAGTTTCTCTAGTGTCACTATTGAAAGTCTCAATTCCACTTACTTGCTGCGGAATTCCCCGATAAAAGGTTTGAGAGATGATTTTCGAATAACGAGTCTTTTTAACTGTTGCCCGGAAGATCCACAAACGAACGACTGGGAAGTGACTACAGGTTTTTGTTGTACTCTAAACCAATGTGTACTACTAACAAATGCGTTCATGGTGTTACAAGACGTTGGAAGCTGAAACCACACTAAAAACCCAATCAACAGATAAGAATCGAGCTCCGATCAGCTTGTGATGGACAAGAAACGAGAATTATTCATTCCATTGGAAGCCCGCTCAAAGGAAGCCCGTCATCGCTTCTTCTAATAGTATATTCACAAAAGTGAATACTACTAATGGTTTCGAAGAAAATTGAAAATATTCCAGAAGATGTTCCTCTCAACCAGTTAATATCTCAGAGTAATGGGGTAAGTGTAGTAAATGTGTTCTTCCAGTTGTTAGTAACGATGGAAAAGAACCGAAAGGCTTTTAGTAGAGAGGAGAACGTAGTCACTAATTTGCTTGAACGTGCAGGACGTACAAGGAAAAGCGAAGATGTCGTGCCGACTAAGACAGGGAAAAAAAGAAATGCTACTCAAGAAGGCAAGACCAGGTTCGCTGACCCCCGCGCTGAGGATTCACGTGAAACGACTTTTGACACAGAGTCCGGAAAAACAAAAAAGAACAAACGCATGAAGAAAGAATCCAAGCAGAAAACGGATGAAGAGAGTTTCCTGAGCCTAGAGACCAAGGCAAACGGTAACGACTGTGTCAGTGAAGAAGTTTCCCGTCCCTCCGCAATATTTGATAAGCTGAAGAAGGAAGAATTTATTATTGAAAGAGCTCAACAGAACAATGACAGCGCGAAAGGTACTAAACGTGCAGAGAAAGGTTCTCCAAAGGAAGTTGGAACCTCTGAAGACGAAAGAGAAGCTGAAGAGGAGGAGGAAGAGGAGGAAGAAGAAGATTATCGTTGGTGGGGACGAGACAACCAAGAAGATGAAGATGATACTATAAAATGGACCACCTTGTCTCATAGTGGCGTCCTTTTTCCACCAGAATATGTTCCTCATAACAAGCCTATATTATACAGAGGAAAAGAAATATATTTATCTCCAAAGGCAGAAGAAGTCGCTACATTTTTTGCACAAAAACTTGCCACAGAATATGTAAAGAAACCACAGTTTCGTAAGAATTTTTGGGAAGATTTTCAACAACACTTATCAAATGATGAAAAGAAAAAGTTGAAGAGTTTGGATGAAATTAATTTCACTCCCATATATGAGCATCTTGAAGCCCAAAAGAACGCCAAGAAAGCACTTACATCAGCAGAGAAGAAGGCAATCAGGGAAGAGGAACAAGAGAAGGTGAAGAAGTATACAGTGGCCATTGTCGATGGCAAAGAAGAGAAAGTAGGAAACTTTAGAGTAGAGCCTCCAGGACTCTTTTTGGGAAGAGGTGAACATCCTCTCATGGGCAAAGTAAAGAAACGAATAATGCCTGAAGATATTACCATCAATATTGGAGAAGATGCTCCTGTTCCAGAATGTCCTATCGCTGGTCATCGGTAAGTACTTACATTTCATGCCTTTTTCAGTTTATAACAACGTTGCATACTTTAGGTGGGGCCAAATCATTCATAATAATAAGGTCACGTGGCTAGCTGGCTGGAAAGATAGTATTACCGGGGGCTATAAATATGTATGGCTATCAGCAGGTTCTAGATTTAAAGGACAAAGTGACCAGCAAAAATATGAAAAGGCTAGGAAATTGAAGAATTACATTGATGAGATTCGTAAAGATTACACAAAAGGACTTCAATCGGACAGTTTAGAAGAGCGCCAACGGTCGACTGCACTTTATTTCATTGACCGCTTAGCTTTGAGAGTTGGTAACGAAAAGGATGAAGATGAAGCGGATACGGTTGGTTGTTGCTCGCTTAGGGTTGAACATATCACGTTGCATGATCCAAACGCAGTTGAATTCGACTTTCTTGGTAAGGTAAGTTATGTTGATTGCTTGATGCTTTTCGTTTTGAAATGTAAAATTGTCGAAAGGATTCTATACGTTATATAAATACTGTCACTGTTGATGGTCCTGTTTTTTACAACCTGAAAGAGTTTGTGCGAGGCAAGAAACCTGAAGATGAAATCTTTGATAAGTTAACAGTGCAGGGTTTGAATGATCATCTGAAAACATTGATGCCTGGTCTGTCTGCAAAAGTGTTTCGAACTTATAATGCATCTATTACGCTGGCTCGATTACTTTCTGAGCGCAAGTTTGAGTCAGAAGACTTGAATAACAAGCTTACTTTTTACAATCAAGCGAACAAGGAAGTTGCTATCCTTTGTAATCATCAGCGTACTCTTCCAGTGTCACATGAACAACAGATGAATCGTCTTCAGAGCAAGTTGGATGAGGCTTTAGAGTGGCTTCATGAACTGGAACAAGCTCTGAAGAAAGCAAAACGTGACAAGAAGGATTCAGTTGAGGTTGTTCAGTATGTGAGACCTAAACCGAATTTTCGGAATGATATGACACAAATTGAACGAGAAGCGGAAAGGAAAAGAGTTGCGGAACTTCCACGTGAGTCCAAAGTTCGACAAATGAAGACGTCGAATCTACCTAGTCAAATAGAGAAGGCAGAACAGCGTGTGGAGAAAATTCGATTGGATATGTCAATGAAAGAAGAACTAAAGAATGTCGCTCTTGGTACGAGTAAGATTAATTATCTTGACCCGAGAATCACTGTAGCATGGTGCAAGAAGAATCAAGTTCCCATCGAGAAAATTTTTTCCAAGACGTTATTGACTAAATTCCTTTGGTCCATGGAAAGTAGTGAAGATTTTTGTTTCTGATGTTATTATAATGAGAAATGTTGAAATGTATAAGAATGCAATTTATTAGTATATCTATGTGTGTATATAGAGCTTTTTATTTTTGCACCTCTATACACTCATCTAGTCTTGAACACTATGTACACAGTCTTTATGCCACGTTGGCGATAATGAACAGGCAACTCTGTGCTTCACGTCTGCACCTTTTTGATTTTTCAGGATGGCACTTGTGTAACAGTCTAGATTACAAAATAGCAAATCATTCCACTTAAAGACATTGTTCAGAAACATAAGACTCTTGCTACAGTTGTCACATAGCAAATCTTCGGATGACCTGTTTGAAGTTTCTGAATTATCAGCAATATCCAATGAGCATAAAGAGTCTCTGTCTTCCTCCTTATTATAGTCTTCTTCAATGCTTTCCTTTTCGACGCCAAAAGCATCCATATAACTCAGATTGGCAGAATTGCAATACTTAGCTCGTTCTTGCTCTATTTCTTCCACCATGTTATACAACTTGCTTCTAAAGGAGGCACTGTATGCTTCTTCAAAGAAGCTATTTGTTACGTTGTTCTCAGAGGAACAGGTAAAAGGCCTTCTAGGCTCAGGTACTTGCATACTGCCGCCAACTTGTGTATGACACATTTTCTCAAATCTCAAACTTCCAATCTTCACCATCGTCAATCAATTCTTTCGATTTGGCATGCGTCCCGAGTGCGTGGAACGTGCATTTTGAGTAACGTGGAACGCTCTGCACATGGACGGCCGCTTTTCATAGGGCATCGATTTCACAAGCTCTTTTATAGGACTATTTTTAGGAATACAAGGATATGTTTGAAACTGGTGGAGGAATCGTTGAAATCATAATGACTGCAGTAGTTAAGCCGAAAGTTGGTTGATGTTTCGGTCTTTCAAGCCGTTGCTTTTAAAAGAACCTTGAAAAAAGACTTGCAAACAAAAGGTGCTGGGAGACGACAAACGACTATCGTTGACTTTAAGAAACGCTTTTTATCCAAAATAATTCCCAAACAAAGTGAAACTCAACAAAATTCCAAACCACTATTTGCCGTTTTTGAGTTGAATCCAACCAGCAACATGTAATCCCCAGGAATACGGTACCAATAGAGAGCCAAGAACATAAAGTGGATTGATAGTAGTAACAGTTAGAGGAGAGAGCAAGTTACTTTCATAGACGCAATAAGAACCAACCAACAAGCATACTACGGACGAAATGATATAAGCCGCGGAAGGAACCTTTTCTCCGATACCCAACACAGTGGAAGGAGGCACTTTACCAGTCCAAAAAGTATCTTTTGCCACTACAGTAAAGTGAGATCTTGCTTTAAACCGACTATATTGGCATGGTTGCAAATTATAGCTTCTCTTAATTAAGACGTAGCTTCTCTTTGAAAAGATATTGCTTGGAGCTCCCACAACCAAAGTGCTTGAAAGGAATGTCATGATTACTATTCAGCTGATGAGAAACGAAATCACGAATGGAGGGAGGAGATTTATTCATGTGGTGGTAGGCTCCACACGTTATGATGCCTTTAGATTCAACTTGTTTTCCATGAAAAGCTGAAGAAGAAAGCTCATTCCGTAGTCATGGAAAGATTTCATTTATAAACCTATCTTAACATAGCAAGACAGAACTTGTGTCTGTTCTGTCTTTTCTGATTCCGATTGCAGCTCGCAGCCTAGTTAGTGTAGGCTGTGGCGATACAGTTGTAATCCACCTGGAAGTCTCCCCTATCAAGTGGCAGGCATAGTTGAAGCAACGGAAACCTCCACGTCTCTCCTGAAAACAGTAAATTGAAAGAATCGTTTTATCTAACTACCTGAGTTTCATTTTCTTATAGTGAACTTCCTTAAAATATTCCCAACTGACCCATTTGTAAACTTTTGCTACATTGTCGTACGAATATTTTCAACCCTTATTGTTAGGAACTATTTCCCTCCTTCCAGGAATAGGACTTTTCTTTCGGTTGTGTCATATTTCATCAAGTCATTCAACTTTGCTTTCATGAATTGACTTTAACAACGCTATGACAGAAACCAAGCATAGAAGACTTGTCAGATATGCAAACTGAACCCCTTCAACGAGTTTAAATAGTCGAGTTTCATACTTATTAGCATAAATGAAAAGTATTCGAGTATATATGAATAAGGGTAACTATTGATTGATTGGTGGTTGGGTAAACAAACATGGGACAACCTTCCCTTGACGAGGTCTTCAAAAAACCTCCAAAAGACTGTTCCCAAGATTATTGTGATCCTTATGAGTTCTATGAATATGTAAGAGATTTTTCAATTCGGTATCGGACAATGAAATGTAACTTTTTATAGCAAAAATATTTGGAAAGAGAATATAAAGTAAAGACCGAAGAGTTCATCTACATAAAGGAGAAAGTCAAGGTAAAAAGGTCTTGTATAGATTGTTCTTTCTTTAGACCGTTGTAGGAGTGTTATTACCGAGAAGGGGTTGCTCACTATAAGAATTGTCGTGAGCTTGTTGATCAGTACTGGAAAAAGTTACGGGAAGTGCGCCGTTTCTATCACGAACACCGTAGGATTATTCCGGGCAAAGAATATATTCCTGTGCCGAAGCCCAAAAAGACGGAAGAACTACTTGATGACGCGTCAGTGGAGCTGAACAATGGCGGTGAGAGTAGTTTTAGTGAACAGCAATCCTAGCCGTTAAATCGAGTCCAGATAAAGTTAAATAAAAGCTCATAAGTGAGTCTTTTAACTGTAGCAGTTTCAGATGTACAATTTTTATTACGAAACCTTCCAGTCAGTGATATTTACGGAAACTTTGCCGTCAAAGGCTACTAACCATTTCAAGACTGCCTCACAACATTTTAGAACAAGGTTCTTTGTATGGAAGATAAGAAAATTTGGTAAAAGACCATTCAGTCTATATGTGACATGACGTGGATTTCAATGGAACCAAAAATAACAGTGCACAGTGCGGCAACTATTCCGACAATCCATGGAAGTCGCCTCAACCACAGCCATAGAGATTCTAGTTGACTCATTCTGAAGTCCCTAGTCTCACTTGACTGCAAATCCGAATTTCCTGCATTTGTTTTGAGAGAATCATGATTACCATTCCTATTTGACTCTTCTTTGGAAGCATTACTTTGCATTGATCTCGAAGCAGTAGAATATTCTTCATCATCACTGTCATTTTCAAGAACATGCAAGGCAGGAGTATCATTTTCATTCCTTAATAGAGGATAGTACTCCTTTCCAGCTATTCTGTAGAGCCCCTTATTTCCATTCATGTCTTCACTGTCTGCCTCTCGTAGTTTATCGCCACCGGATATTTTCCATAGGACAATACAAAGTTCGGCTAATGGCAAAAGAACAATTTGTGTTGTGATCCAAATAAGAAAAATAAATTGGGTTCTCTGAATGCTTTGAACGAAGTTTTGCACATTTTGCAATATCTTGATACCTAAAAAGGAGTCTGTTGCGCCCAAGAATATCACAATTATAGCAATAACAGGACTTAAAGAGCCGAATATCCAACCACGGCTGTTTTTCCATTTCCAAAGTTGAAACAGACTATTAACTAACTGAAGAAAAACCAAACATACGGAAATTAATCCAATAATATTATGAGCCATAGCTACAGAGCTTCCTTGTATATCATTTGTATGCTTTGCCAGCACAATTATACCACTCAAAGCACAGCTAAAGCCACCAACTTGGAAAAGAAGAGAAGCATAAAGCCACCATGTTTCCCCGATAACAGGTTGCAAATATCGTGATGATAGAAATCCCAATGGAAGCAATAACATGAAACCTGCATATCCTAGACTGGCATGAGTCTTGATGAGATAAAAAGTAGAAGTAGCCGGAGTAGTTTCTAAAACATTTTCGTCTATTTTCTCTTCTTCACTGCTTTGTGGTTCGATAACTGCAGTAGAAGGTGTAGGAAGATTTGCAGTAGCTGTAGGGGAAGGTGAGTTTATGATACTTTCTGCAGACTGCACCGGGCCTAAAATTGAATCTCCTGTATTTGCTGTAGGCTCCGGACCCATAATAATGTCCGTTCGGCAGTCCACGACATCATACTGAATAGGAACAAGCGAGTTTGGGTCGTTAGGGAGGCTTAAGGGTTCCAACCGAAAGGGTGTCTCCCCAGGAGCCCATATACAACAAGGATCCCCCAATTCAACACCGTTGGATAAGCCATCCCCGTCTGAGTCCTTCTCACAAAGTGTTCTTGTCCAACGTAGTCCGGCTTCCAAAAAGTCACGACCAAACTGATTCAAACCGTTCCCTGGTTCACACCACGAACTAGGGTCTTCAAGGTTTTCTCTCATGTGGCCGATGGCCTGGTACGAAAGTAAGTCTCGAAAACGTTTAGCGACAATAACGACCAACCTGACAGTTGCTCAAGTTCAAAGAATACAGTCTATGTCCATTTGGTATTTGTTCTAAAAATTCAAATCTTGCCTCAACTTTATCGTAAGTAAAGAAGAAGTAAAAAACAATGCTTAGCTTCAGTAAGATATGAAATTTCATGAACGACTGATTTTGTTTATCTGAAGCAATTGCTTTTTCTGGAATTGGGCATTTTTCCACTTTTGGAAGGTTCAGTAGACCAAAAGACTGGCCATTCTTCCAAGTACGAAACTTATAGTGGTCCCACTTTTAGGTCTCTTTTGAATAGTAACAGAGGCATTCTGTTGATACATAGAGGTCCTCAGTAACCTACAGCTATGCCACGGTAGGAGTGGTTGGATTTTCTTTGGAGTTATATTTTCTCGAGTCATTTTATTTTACTAGTCCGAAACTATTTCAAAACCTAAACACTCTCGAATAACTTTTAGAAAAAGGTAAATAGAGGTATTACGAAAAAGTGTGAATGCCAAAAAGAGTCCTTTACAAGAAGAAAACGACTTGGAGAAGCTTGAATTGTAACGCGACTCCAGTCCTTACTAACTTCCAACACAACTTTTACTGACTTTTTTCTGTCGCAGTCAATGGCATGGCTCTTCTTCAAGACAGAATTTGTTTCAGAACAACCTTATAAGCAAGGCATCTTGATAAACCTTGTCGCATCCGTGTAGAAGGAGTTGCTATGTTAGTTTCAGATGGCCTTTCAAATGTTTCTTTCAAAATGTTGCTAGTGTCCTATTTTCTTAATGAATTTGAAGCAACGTTCCTAAACGATATTCATAAAGGATAGAAATATTCATTCCCTCATGTGTGTAGTTTTTGGATTCAAGTTGGCTTCGGAGCTTTTCCAGTCCATATGGCTAATAAGTATCTCAAGATAAGACGTCCTGACGACTTTCACGTGCACCTGAGAGAAGGAAATATTCTGAAAACAGTCTTGCCTTTCACTTCAAGAGTGATGGGAAAGGCTCTGATCATGCCTAATCTAAAAGAAGTAAGCGCTTGTCTGTTTTTGGAGGCTATTGCGTATTCGGAACTTTCATTAAACCCTCTAATAGCCAATATTAAACTTGTCTCTTGCTAAAAAATACAGAGAAGAGGTTTTCTCGTCTCTTCCTCCCAACGCTTCCTTCTTACCTATATTTTCCCTCTATTTGACGGAACAAACGACATCAGAAACCATCAAGGAAGCAGCACGCAGTGAGTTCATTCGGGCTTGTAAACTCTATCCTGCTGGAGCAACGACAAACTCATCTTTCGGTGTGAGTAACTTGGAAAAGTTAGACGAAGCACTTTCAGCTATGGAAGCGTACGGCCTGATTCTCTGTGTACACGGAGAAAGTACGGATCCAGAAGTTGGTGTTTTCGATAGAGAAGCATCTTTTGTTGAACGTATTTTGCCAGGTTTATTACAGAAGTATCCCAGGTACTTGAACAAGTCCTATGTTATCAGGGTTTTCGTAACTCTATCACTTAGGTTAAAGGTCATATTGGAACATATTTCTACTAAAGATGCTGCACAGTTTGTGAAAACATTCCCGTCGTCTCGTTTAGCAGCAACTGTGACTTGTCATCATATGTTATGCAACTATAATGCCTTATTAGGACAGGGACTGAATCCACACCTGTACTGTTGTCCCGTACTGAAGTCAGAAGAACATCGAAAATTTATCGTGGAGACAGTTATGCAAGACAACGAGGGCAAATTCTTCTTAGGAACAGACAGTGCTCCACATTTGCAAGGAGCAAAAGAGTGTCGAAAAGCAGCCGCAGGTGTTTTCTCATCTCCCGTAGCATTGCTTTGCTATGCAAAGGTATTTGAGGAAAACAATGCACTTGACAAGTTGGAAAAATTTGCTTCGGAAAATGGATCCCGTTTTTACGATCTGCCTTTGAACGAAGAATGGATCGCATTGGAGAAAGAAACTTATGAGGTCCCTACACATATAAGATGCATAGATGATTCTTCACAATTTGTTCCATTTCTTGCAGGTGAAACGTTACATTGGAAAATACATAATCAGTAAAGTATTTTGCCGTGATCCTTTTTGTTTGGATTTTTTGAATCGAGTAGGTCAGTCCTTTATTCATTTTGTATGTTGTACATAACCTCATTCAGTTGGAATTGTGGATTTTCTTTAATGAATTTGTTTATTTCCATTTCAGTTTGTCATCATTCTTTTCATAGTGCTGACAGTGTGGTTGGAGAAGAATGTGTTCAATATGAGTTTTCGTTATCCCTTATTCCACTGTCTTAGTCACAAATAGTCAAGTATGAAAACTCGCTCAATACAGTGTGGGTTCGTATATTTGCTGGACTAGAAAGTAAATGTATATTTATAGTTCTCATGAGAACACAACATTCCATAAACTTTCGCGTTCTTTGCATCTCCAATGCTTATTCGCGGAAATCAAATGTTGCCATTTTTCTGTCTTCAATAAAGACTATTTTTTTGTAATCGTATCTTGAAGGACTAGGAACATAAAAGAGATATTTTTGCAACAAGAGTTGAGACAAAAACGCTCTATACTCTATTCCCTTTGTAGAACTTGAAATGATTGATTTCGTTGACTCTTAATATATTTGACTAGAATCTTGTTGCAGCTCAGAAAGATAAGAATAAGGAAACCTACAGCAAGGATAACAGAAAACACAACAATGTACCAAAGAGCAGCCTTATACCCTTTTGTACTGTAATATAAAGGAATATTCAGATTTGTTCCAAAGCTATTTCCTGTCTAAGTAGTTTTCATCAGATTCGAAGTCTCCAATATTTAGTAATTTGGCTTACTGTGGCTCCAATCAAAACAGAAGACAAAACTAAATTTGCGAGGAAATTGTGTACCACGATATCGGTTCTTGATTTTTGCA